AAAAAAGAGGGCGTGCGCGTAAAATAACCATTTACAGTTGGAATTCGATATAATTAGGAGAGTATAGGCTGTAGCACCGCTATCCGGGCAAAATTGTCCCTGATATAGCTTACAGCACACTGTAGAGAAAAGTAGGACGTCAAAGTTAAACAAACCCATTTCATTTCATTTATTTAAATAAGTTTGCAGATCATTAATATAGATAAACACTTCCTTGTTTCACACCCAAGGGCGATTCTATATTTGTTTACACAGTATAAGAAGTGTCGTAAAAGATCGGTTCCCAGAAAAGTATTTATCGGGTGGTTATTTCCAACAAAAGTATGGCAATTTTGGTATATATAGAAAGTAGAGATATCCAATCTTACTAGAAAAATACTGGATTCCCTAAAAAACACTCATGGATAGGGTGACCCATGTACTCACAGAAATACAGTCCACCGCTGATAGTTCGAGACTACCACTGAAGCGTGCACATTCGCCGTGCCGAGACCAACTTTCTGACAGTATGATACTATAAATAGCCATGGCACGTGCAATTCTCTACAAATCTATCAACTATTACAGCCGTAAAAAATTTATTGTTGACGATTTTGAATAGCAGTAAAATTAAGCTTCTTGGTTATTACAGCAGATTTAGAAATTACGTTCGTTTCATTTTTTAAATCGCTTTATCATTAACTGTACCGTTAAGAGCGGCATCTTTTGGTTTAGTACAAATAATATCTCTGAATCACTCGGGTTAGACAGGAACATGATACTAGCAGTAGTTTCATTTTACTTTTACAAGCTTCTTAAAACGATTGTTGAGCTACCTAACGTGCTTATTTCTAAATTCAATTTCTTGTTCTAGCTTTCTGTTATGTTTCGTAAAAAAGTAGTCTTGATTATCCCGACCTGTCAATCAAACGTAGAATGGTCGATAGACTGGTTAAGCGAGACTAATTTCAAAACAAGGGCACGTAACCTATCTTTTACTCAAAAGTGTCTGGATGTTATGGACGACTCTTGGAACCAGTTTTCAGTCTATTATTTATAGATGATTAATGGTCATAGCTTATTAAGTACAACATGATCGTTTATTTAGTGACTATAATTGTGTGAAACTGATTTGAGGCTTGGCATATATATAAATATTGTGGCGTAATTGTCGAGATATATGGAGATATTTATTTATGGTGGGTCACCCTATCATGGAGCGTATACTGGATAAAAATGTAAGGGTTCCCCTAATCCACAGCCCGACGATTAGGAATATCGCATGCACGCGTGACGCCAAAGTTTGCACGTGGAGATTGAGCGCTTGATGTACTATACATGTTGATAAACGTTATGAAGAGTTAGGCGCACAACACTTTCTGAGATAAAAATCACGAAAAAAGACGCGGGCAGTGGATAATCCGAGAATTTAATTAGGATTCGATATTTGTAATAAATAGTCAGCGATTAAAGACAACGTCGTCTTTTGTAAGCAATGAATTCTACTCCGACTTCGCACCCGTCGCTATAGGTACCGAGGGAGGTAAGTCACGTGACACAAACATGACCTCTTTTGATCGATTTTTTTATAGCAGGATATTCCTTGGCAATTGCAATGTTTTGAGAAAGATTTGAATCAAATTTATCATCAAATCCCGTTTGTACGCGGGAATGTATCTTTAAAGGAAGATTTAATTATAATTAGACTGATATGTCTTGAGGTTATACTGGAATAAACTATATCGTTTAAAATATAAGTAGAAAATTATAGTATACGTAATGGTAATCGGTAATATTAATGGAATGTAATCATTATATATTATGTTTTAAAGCATAATGGTGACAATGGAAGATTTCCCAATTAATGAGTAAAGGAGATGTAATTAATAAATTACATACCCCCCCCCCCCCAAAAAAAAAAAACAAAAAAAAAAAAAAAACAAAAAAAAAAAAACAAATAATGAATATGTAATGGTCAGTTACCTTTCAAGTAGGTTTTATTGCAAATACTAATATTCCCAACTATGATGAGCCTCAAATTTTAGAATCAAATTAGTAAGATTATAATCATCCAATACTTTATAATCAAACTAGTAAAATTAAAAATTATAATCCAATACTTTAGAATTATTAAACCAAATATTTAAATTAGTTTCAAACGGGCAGAATGGGCTTAGCGGGCGTAAACACCTACCGTTCGATTTAGACTCTTTCACGTATTTGTTATTTAGAAATTACAGCATTTTTAAATAAAAATTGCATGAATATAAACCACTTTTTATACATTTATTGCATTAATAAGTGCTTTTAGTAGCGATGCTAAACGCCGCTAGGAGCGCTGGCTGTACTATTTACAGACATCACAAAAAGTTGACCGAGAAAAGTATACGTCGTGTTACGCCTTGTCATGAATATTCAAAGTGTCAAACATTGACCACGTGATGTTTACCATCGAGAAAAATAGATGAACTTGCTGTCGAGTAGGATTTTGAGAAGCTGAGGTAAGATTTTCTGATATTTTTCATGAATTGAAAATTTGAAGTTGAGAGAAATTTTCGAAAAAGGCCCTCGACGCTCAAGATTTTGGTATATTTGGAAAGCCCAATTCATTAACTACTTAGTTTGACCATTTGTTAAGTCCGTATCCCCCGTAGGAATTCGTAAAATGGCTGAAATTGAACCATGTGGAATTAAAGGGAGGTAACTCGTGGTTGATCAGGGTTCAGACCATAATTACCCCCCCCCCCCCCACAGACTTCAGTGTAAAAAAAATGATGTTAGATTTGGACAGGTTTTTTTTATTATATTGAATGTTACTAAAGCTACCAACCAAACTTTAGCCAGACATTTCACTAACAAAGGATAAAAATTGTGAATGTTGTTGACCACCTTGGATTTTTTTTTTCAGGAACTGTAGCTGAAGAAGTAAGCTACATAATATATACTCATCCAAATCCAAACATAGCCAAAGGCGATCCCTGATATTACTTGGTACAACATAAAATAGACAAATGATGATGATATATAGGCCTACTCATACAATTTGCATGAGGACTATAAAAAGGGGGGCTTGAAACTGACTGTTTCTCAGCATTCTCAAGAAAGTCCATAATTATTATAAATTTGGTATGAATCATAGAAGTTAGTTTAATTTATTGTTTGAAATCAGTGTTAGTAATCTTATTTTTGTTATTTCAATATTTGTGATAATATTTATTTTATTTTTAACATTTTCTACCTGAAAGAAGTGGCCTGATGCGTCAAATGTTTTTGTTTATTTTGAAAAATATCGCATATGAATAATGTGATTATTTTATATTGTTATTATTGTTTGTTTTTGTAAGATACATGTATTAGAAATCTTATATTTGTTGATAAATGTGATAATGGTTTCTTTTTTTTTATCATTTATTTTAAACCGGTGGGTGAACATTTTTAATTTCATATTAAATAGTAACAGATATGAATTTTGATCTTATTGTGATTTTGTTTTTAATATTTTTATATTTTTATGACATAGATAATGTCTCGGCAAGATGTATCACCATCTGAATGTTTATATTGTTTTTATTTTCATGGGATAATGTCTCAACAAGAAAGCTAGACTTCTACCACTGATATTATAATATAGTATATCGTAATGCACATGTATCACAAATTAATTTTTTTAATACTCTTTCATGTAGATCATATCTTACTTTTTATAAGCTTACCTTTTAATTTGGACTCTTTTAAGATATTCAAATGTTTTAATTATGTCTATTAATTATGTCTGTTTTTATTTGAAATTGTAGTGATGTTGATCACAAAAATATAGCTGTTATATAAATCATAGTTTAATTGTTAATTTTCATTCCTGAAACAAACAATTTCAAATTGATGTACATGGCAGCTTCTAAACAACTAAAGCAGTTGGCGTGGCAAAGGCGGCAAATCTGCCAAAAGCTTACAGGTTTATTTCTCATTTTGCCACACACTTTCATGATTTTTAAAAATATCCACAGTATACGTTAGTATAAACGGTTTATAATTGTTGTATGACTGTGAATGGCCAGTGGTCAATGGCCTCGGAACCAGTAGGTGCCCAATTACATACATAAACTTGTTTCTCTTCGACATTGACATCATACAGTCAAAAATTGTGATTTAAGGTGTTGTCATGCAAAAAATAAATAACAGAACAGACTGAAAACACTTTTATGTGTGCTTATTCATTAAAAAATAAGCCTCTGTATTAATGTCAAAGCGCTACAATTTAAGTACACACAAATTTGAAAAAAATTTTGCTGTGATTTGTGCGAAATCGGCACGGATCCCAACTTTGAACCTCTGTAACATAAAAAGTATATACTAGAATATTATAGCGACAATTTGGCTTTATTAAGTACATCTAGATCTTTAATTAGTGCAATTTTCATAGACCTATCTTGTATAGTTACTGAGATATTGGCTTCGGTCACTTTTTTGCGGTTTTTTAAAAAAGCCGTTTTTTAGCGCCTCTGGTTTGCCTTCTTTAAAACGCTATAACTTTTTTAATTTTCAATATTTTTTCGAAATTTTTTCAGATTATTCATTCTAGATAGTTCACAATTGCAGTATCGTTGTCATTTTTGAGTCAATGGTTGTATCTGAAAACCCGTTGGCAATGCTACTTTTAGGCCCATTTTCATCTATATGGAAGTACTAAAGAATGCAGCCATACGCCCTTTAACGTCCTACTTTTTGACACTCAAAGAATAGATTCAAACGTCCTATTTTTCTGCATACGCGTGTTTTCCCAGTTCCCACTTGTTCAGGGTTTGCGACTGCGGGATGACAAGGAAAGTATGTCAAAAATCGTGTGAACGCCGCTGCCTAGCAAAATTACCACAGCATGTGCACATGTAACCAGACATTATACCTTATCAAGCATGCCATGAATTGCTCAAGGGTCTCTGTTTGCTTACCGACTCTCACGTGACGATAGGAACGCGCCCACTCTGCACAGTTGAATAAATTACGATTAACATAACTATTTTATATTTTTCCTGTCTGCTTGCCTTGGTATAGTGTATACCTTGGATTTGACAGTTTTATATCTTAATAGTCGTAATCATTAATTTTAGACACATTTAAATGACTATAGGTTTGGATATATACGTATGTGCAATATTGCCAACGCCAACCAACTGTTACGTAAGGCCTACCTAATGTGCACTGAACATCTATAGATAATAACCAGTCACCCGTGGACTATTAACATTATAGACTCTCTTTTGAATAAATGGACCGGTGAAATACTCATGTTGCCGTAATATAAACAGCGTTTAATTGGGATTTGACTACCGAATTTGACTGTTGAATTTCGCTCGTGAGAACAAGTTGATTTACATTAGTTGTACTTGCCATGGAGGAATTTGATTACCGATTTAAAGTAATATTACTGGGTGACTGTGGAGTGGGTAAAACCTCCTTGATACGAACACTTAGCCAAAAAAATGAATCAAATATTGGGGGATGCTGTTGTTACTCCTTTACACCAAATGGAAGTGCCAATTTAGAATTCAAGAAACATGGGCTTCGAGTTAGTGTCCAAGTTATTGATACAGGTGGTAAGTAGAACATTTGTATTTGTTACCTGGCCATCTTGTCGGGGGTAAGGTGTATCCAACATCCCTCTGAATGGTTATCTGAAGTGTAGTCTTCAGTGAATGGAATGGAGGCAATGCACGAGGCAGGGTATGGTTACTCTTTCTAGAACAACTAATACCACATCTCATTTGAGGAATTCAACTAATGAAGTTTGGCTGTATTTATGTTTTGTAATGCACCTAAAGAGGTGTATGCCACTGTATTTGCATTTAAATATATTGCAGGGAATATGGAGTATTGTATACATATTTTTTTAAACGGTCAGTAGTAGTAAGTTATCCATCCAAGTATATACCAGTCTGATCAAAATAATTGCTCTTTTAGGTTTTATTTTGTGTTACTATAAAAAGAAATAATTATGTATGAACGAAATATCAATATTTAAATGGTTTCTTGACGTCAGTATGTAGGTCCTATGTCACCCAAGAAAGTATTTTTTTAAACGGTCAGTAGTAGTAAGTTATCCATCCCAGTATATAACAGTCTGATCAAAATAATTGCTCTTTTAGGTTTTATTTTGTGTTACTATAAAAAGAAATAATTATGTATGAACGAAATATCAATATTTAAATGGTTTCTTGACGTCAGTATGTAGGTCCTATGTCACCCAAGAAAGTATGAAAAAAGGCGTGTGTAATTAAAGCAGGAGTCCCAAATTCAAACAGATATCACCACAATCTGTTTCACAGAGGATTACGAAACTCTTCTAATATTTCTGTAAAAGATGACTGGCTTCAACACGAGACGAGACGTCACACCTCGCGGCGTCAATCATTGGCTCAATGGCGCGTGTATTGTTTACATAAGACGTTACTGGTTCGGGCAGAATGGTGCCTTTTACTCATTTTCATAACCATTTACACTATATAGGAAATAAGTTCTACCTACAAATACTTCAAACGTCTTTATTTTTCTAATATATGTAAAAAAATGTTTTAGAATTTAATTGGTCGGTGGAAAAAAATTAATATTTGGGGCTCATTAAGTCGCATCGATGTCATCCTTATCTATGATTGTAGCGGCCTAGCGAATATTCACTTCTGATCAGTGTGATATCACTGTAGCAAAGCAACTATAACGAAATTAAGGGCGGGTACAGAATTCTCTTTGTCGAAAAGAAAAAAGCCCATAACCTTTGTATCTGTCATCTGCTAATCCACCAAAGTTCGCTGCAGCTGTTCGATATTTTAACACAACTCTGAAGATCTAAATCAATTATTTCTAGGGAAATCCCATTTCGGGTCGTACGAACAGCTAGAGGCCTTTATCGGTAAAATCGAATTGAACAAGCATAGCCCTTCTCTGATAATCGCATACAAGGAAATTCTTTTATGTATTTGCTTTCAATAAAACTGGTAGCTAAAAACAGACATAACATAATCTTCAAGCATGTGCTCATAAGGTGTGCTGCGTCATAGCTGAAGTGAACCTTCTGTACTTAGATGTAAATAGTTGAATTAAAATTTAGTGCTCACAACCAGTCTAACGTATGAATAAACATGCCCTTGTATACATGTATAGGCCTACAGCTTACACGTAATGTAGATTACCGATAACAGTATACAATGTATATAGTTACACCCTTACCATCAAAACATTTTATTTATCATTTTCATGGCTTATAGACCAGCATTTATAATAGGAAGGCCGCGTCCTGTTTAAGCGAACATGAGGGTGTTGTGGCTCTGCACAGGTCGTCTTTTTTGTTAAGGAGGTTTGATGGCGAATATGGTTAGCGCGTGCGCGTTGTATCATAGGGTCTGTCATTGAGTAAACTTAAGTGGTTTCGATTCCCCGGTTGTACGTGACGAGGAGTAGGGACGTCTGTCCAACCCCGTGGGGATTCTCCGGGTCCCTACGGTTTCTTCCAATTGTTAAAGACCCCTAGAGCTACAGGCAAGCGAATTATTGAAATAAATCTTAACCATATGTTAGTCCCGAAATGAGTGAACATAAAACCCAATCTCTCTTCCTCTCTGGTTATTTATGGTTCTGGGACAAGTACTGGCATTGTTTTTAAAAACCCGCGATTTAAACAAGATTTGTTTTATAATTATATAAAAATTCATCAAAAACCACAAACCAAAAACCAGCTTTTGTACTGATGATAAAGAATATGACACACCAACTATTACAGGTGACTTAAATTTGTTACCTTATGGATAATGTATATGATATAAACTGCCTTAAGATTTTCAAATGCAATCTATTACCCAGCGGGCACGCAACGTTGTTACAACATTGTGACAACGTCAATATTGGTCGTGACGTTGTACAACGTGTTTTCGACCAATATTCGACGTTGTATTTACGTCATATACAGGTTGTTGACACAACGTTGTCACAACGTCATCAAAACGTTATCAAAACGTCATATACAGGTTGTTGTCACATCGTTGTCACAACGTTGCCACAACGTCATTAAAACGTTATTCTAACGTCATATACAGGTTGTTGTCACAACGTTATCAAAACGTCATATACAGGTTGTTGTCACGGCGTTATTACAACGTTGTTACAACGTTGTCACAACGTTGTAACAACGTCTTCAAAACGTTATCAAAACGTCATATACAGGTTGTTGTCACAACGTTGTCACAACGTCATCAAAACGTTATTCAAACGTCATATACAGGTTGTTGTCACAACGTTGTCACAACGTTATCAAAACGTCATATACAGGTTGTTGTCACGGCGTTGTTACAACGTTGTCACAACGTCTTCAAAACGTTATCAAAACGTCATAGGTTGTTGTCACAACGTTGTCACAACGTTATCAAAACGTCATATACAGATTGTTGTGACAACGTTATCAAAACGTCATATACAGGTTGTTGTCACGGCGTTATTACAACGTTGTTACAACGTTGTCACAACGTTGTAACAACGTCTTCAAAACGTTATCAAAACGTCATATACAGGTTGTTGTCACAACGTTGTCACAACGTCATCAAAACGTTATTCAAACGTCATATACAGGTTGTTGTCACAACGTTGTCACAACGTTATCAAAACGTCATATACAGGTTGTTGTCACGGCGTTGTTACAACGTTGTCACAACGTCTTCAAAACGTTATCAAAACGTCATAGGTTGTTGTCACAACGTTGTCACAACGTTATCAAAACGTCATATACAGATTGTTGTGACAACGTTGTTAAAACGTTGTCACAACGTTGTCATAACGTTATCGAAACGTCATATATAGAAGTTCGAACCTTGACCTCTGATTGTCAAACCAAGGTCACCACGAGACTCCCAGGGGTCAATTTAGTTTAAATAGCCACGACCTCAAGGTCGTCGGATCCGATTTGTGATGGGCGAGTTATCTGCCCTTAGACCACACCGCTGTAATACTCAGCTATTTCACTTTCTAGGGAAATTTGCCCAAAAAATGTCTTCCAATCGCCCCGGGATTTTGTGACCCGATAGACTGACCCAACATTTGTTCTTCATTTTTTAAAATCGGCAACCAAAAGTCGTGACCTTGACCCGCTAGGGGCCCCGGAAGTATTTTGGTTTTTGAACCCTAGAGGCCCATCTAATAAAGTCAGGACCACTGGACCTTGACCTTCCAAAATGTCATCTTGGTCCACATGACCACGGTAGGTCAAGGTCATCTGAAAGGGTCAAGGTCACCAAAATATCTACTGAGTCGGATGCTCCCGGGCACATGGTGAGGCCCCGGGTCTGCGCGGCAAATCAAAGGTCATGACCATGGATAGGCAACTCATTGACCTTTCGAATGGGGCCTTGACCTTTGACCTGACCCTTGACCTTGGGATCGAAAAAGTCCCAAAACTTCATGTACCACCCAGACTTTCGCTAATAAATGTCAAGGTCAAAGTCGTGACCCGCACCCGCAAGGTCATTTTTGGGGTTGTAACCTGAGTCAAGGTCATGTATTATACAAAATGTATTATGAACTGTAAACGAGATGCCTCTCCCGCACCTAAATGTCGCTGTTTTTACATTCGGTGTTTTGCAATTGAAATAATAACACAAAGCACAGAAAATGGTGATTAATGCATATTGTGTAGTGTGCAGCGTTTGCTACACAAATTCAGTGCATAATACGGGCCTAAAACAGGAATTGCAATGCGCTTATCTATAGAAATTGACGTATGATCTTGGGTACAGTTGTATTGGTTAACGACGTAGATCGAGATTGAATAACACAATACAAGCTATAATACATTTTAATTAAGGCTTATTGTAAAACAACTAGAAGCTGACAAATATTCCGGTTAATTCTTCAGTAAATTATCTGGTAACACTAGCGGGTTTTTTTCCCGCGGATACTGATAACGTGACTCTAATGTTGCCGCGAAAGATGCTTCTGGGACGCCATATTGGTTTTTTGGTTCGTGCCGAAGGTAAGTTCTATTATTTTAACTCTCAACTGGGTATGTGGAAGGGATATAAAAATCGTCAATTGCTTCTTCTAAGGCTAATATAAGATCAGATAAAATTATATTGTATCTTAACACCCCATTAGGCTATTAGAGACAGTATACAAACAAAACATTAGGCTACCTACGCTACAGCATTATCATTGGCTATAAAACAACAAAAACACCAACTATATTTACATGTATGTAAAACACGCGCATCTATACATACATCATGTAGTAACAGGGACTATTATTATTAAGTTGAATATGAAAGCCCCTCGAATTTGATTACCGGTAAGGTAGGCATGGACTTCGTTGACGACCGCGGTGTAAGTGGCGACGTTCATTTCAAAACACAGACTCAGACTGCAGCTGTGCCGAGTGAATTTCATATTTTTAAGTTATATTTTTAAGTTACAGAATAATCCTATTATTCCTATAATTCACTACTGCCAGTTGAGAAATTGGCCAAAATATCATTTTCAACTTCAAATTCAAACGTTTGAAGATAGTTTTTCCATGGGGGGGGGGGGAGAAAAACAAAGGTGGTAATTGTGTTATTATTTCCGGTGTGAATGATTTTATAAGCGTCATAATGATACCTATGATCCTATAATAGTGAGTTGACAGCCTATTGAGCAAAAGATATAGAAATAATTATGTTTTGACTTTCTTAGAAAATATGAAATTCTCGCTTTAACTATTAAAACTAGCTGGACCAGCTGCATGATTGTGTCAGTCCGCTCAGAATACACGAGTCTAGGCCAAGCGACGTAGAATTTAGAACTGACTGACGTGATCTGCACTAGTCTAGGCTAGACATTTGCGTTGATGTGTTGCGCAAGTAGATCTAATCTAAATGAAATCTCTCATCATTAGTTTTTTCATATTACTCATATACATTGCCGTTAAACGAATAATTTTCAACACATAGCAAGCCATTTGATCTATACTACACGTCACTGGGCTATTTGATTTTACGGAGATTTGTTACCCACGGCAAAATCTCGATCGACGCTTGGTAGTTGGTAGACTTAACGCGATTTTATCATTCGGCTTCACTAAACAAATTATTAATAAAAACAGCCGTAGATCGACATCTAATAGTGCTAATGTAAATTTAATAATACTATTCCGGTATAAAAAAAAGAAATGATAATAAAAGAATAATGAAGTTAAGTATTTAAATGATCATTTTAAGTAGATACCGTTATATTACTGAGCGCCATGGAAAACGCATCACTTTTTTTCCCAAATATTTTATTACTAGGTGGTTTTGTATGTATAATATTATGCAATACTATGAACTATTGTTTCACACAATGCTCCCAAACGCAAAAAATTTCGGCCCGTGTGCACCAAAAAAATTGCATAAGATGCACATGAAAAACCCAATATTCACGTGCAGCATTGTGTGTGAGCCCTTTAAAAGCATGTTTTCAAATTAATGTGTTGTACATGAACTGTGAAACATCAATCTGTCGTAATTTGTTGTTGGACGTGTGAAGGAATCGAGCTAGAGATGCCGAGACTTACTGAAAATCAACGGAATGAAGCCATGGGAATGTCCAGGGCTGGCATGTCTACACGTGCTATTATTGCCAGACACTTCAATTGTCATCAGTCCACTATTGTAAGGTTGGTGGAACGTGTTCGAATTACTGGATCAACACGTGACCGTCAACGTCCTGGTCACTCATCTGCGTGACAGATTCCGCCCAGCGACTCGAACAGGTGCAGCAGTCGTCGGAAGACAAGGACCAGTAAGTGCCAACACCGTAAGACGTCGTCTAAGAGAAGTAGGACTCCGTGCACGACGACCTTATGTTGGAGCTATCCTCACCGTGAGCGGCGTTTGATATGGGCTCAAGGACACACCAGACATTGAGAAGAGTAGACTGGCAAAGTGTGCTCTTCAGTGATAAGAGTCGCTTTCATCCTTATCACGCTGATGGCCGTCAACATGTGTGTAGACGTCTTGAGGAACGTCTTGCAGACTGCTGCATCTTCGAAACGAATCGATGGGGTGGGGGGGAAGTGTAATAGTGTGGGGAGGCTTCACATTTCATCACCGGACCGCCCTACACATTTGCAGGGGTCGCGTTAATGCTGTAGCCTACCGTGATGATGTCTTGCAACCAATTGTTGTTCCGATGTTTCGAGCGCACCCACAACTTCAGCGCTTCCAATAGGATGATGCACGTCCGCATACCGCCCGTTTTAGTATGGACTTCCTGGCTGCTAACAACATCAATGTCTTGGACTGGCCAGCCATGTCTACGGACATGGCACCGATAGAACATGTCTGGGATGCGATTGGACGCCGTCTGTATCGGAGACCACAGATGCACACCATTGCTGCTTTAGAAGCTGCTCTTGTCCAAGAATGGAACAATTTGCCCCAGGCCTTCTTTCAAACATTGGTTAATTCCATGCGACGTTGCTGCACAGCGTGCGTAAGAGCCCGCGGAGGACACACATCTGACTTTGTACCGTTGATTACAGATTAAACATCCATGAGTGTACAAATGTGTTGTTATTGATGTGTTCCCATTTGAATATTGTCCACAATAAGAAGCAAAATAAATAAGATATGTTTACAGGATCATTTTGTTATACGAAAAACTAAGTGATGCGTTTTCCATGGCGCTCAGTATATATAAGTGTGAAACCTGGCCATTATTTAATTAATTACAGGTCTAAGTGAATCCCAGCAAGCACAAAATATTTTAAAAACGTTTTTTGTTTTTGTTTTTGTTATTTTTTTTTTTGTTTCTAAAAGGTTATGTAAAAAAAAAATATTTATCAAACGTTTTTTAAATGTTTTAAGTGTATGTTTTTCAGAAGTTTTCGATAAATATTGATAAAAATGTTTAATATAATATGTTTAGATAACGTTCATAATTGATGTTTTCTTTCAAAATTTTCCATTAAAACGTAGTACCGTAAATATGATTTTTTTTTTTAACGTTTATGAAACGTTTATAAAGAACCCGCAATGAATAGGTAAAAAAAAAATTTTAAAAACATTTATTAAAGGTTTAATACACCTTTAAAACTTAATTACGTTCATAACTTAATTGCAAAATATCTATATTTAATGTACCGGTATATAAAAAAACCCAATAAAGGTCAAGATTAATTATCTTATACATATTTTATTTTAAAACACACCCAAGGTTGACAGTTGGTCCAATCAAATTTAAACATCTTTCCGCCAAAAAGGAATCCTAGCCAAACATGGCTGCTTTATTAGAGCTGTGATAAACTATTGAGTTTTATAAGTTGCTAGAAGGCGTAAAAGTTGAAAATTAGGTATGTTACGATTAATTAACATTTTGTGTCCATTTAGAAATAATTATGATATAAAAGAATTAATTGTTTCGGTAATTGTAGATTATTTTCTACTGGTAGCCGAACTTCTATTGTCATTTCATTATTGAACCCTCCTTGCAAAGTAAATTGAGTATTTTAAATATGTTTTATTACCTCTTAAATGATTTATTTTAGTTTTGAAACTTTAGTGTTTTTATTTTATAATTGTATTGCATTTTAATCATTTAGTTTTTGGTTAATTGCTATGTCTGGATTTAGAAAGAGCTATTTCAATCTATGTCTGGAATTGGAAGGGGCCATTACAATATTTATAGTATTGTATAATGGACTTTCCCAGTATCTATTATCTTTAAATGTATAGGGTTACCAATTTCATGAAGCTTTGCAGGGAGTGTTAATAGTAATGTAACGTATACAAAACTTGTGATATATTACAAATGACAAGTGATATATGCACTCGTGCTGTATGAACTATTTATATAGTCTTTAGTGAATGAAAACATTTTTGGCTACCATTCCTGGTTTTGAATGTCAAATATGATATGAAAACGAATATCGGTTTGTAATTTTTTTTAACCGTTTTTTCCCCGGTTGTACGTGACAAGGAGTTGGGTCGCCTGTCCAACCTGGTGGGTTTTCTCCGGGTCCTCAGGTTTCGTCCCACTGCTAAAAAGACCCCCTACGCGCTAGCGAATTATTGAAATAAAATTGAACCATATGTTAGTCCCGAAATGACCTAGTTTGTGTCAAGTGGACGTTAAACCCCATTTCTCTCTCTCTTCGCGTATTTCGCCGAACATAACTGATTAGACATTACAGTAAAAACAGAAACGATTGAATGTAAATCAGTTAATATACATTCATATTACATTATTATATGCGTTGCAACCCATTTATGTCCATTTCTAGGTGTCAAGGAATGGAAAGTCAAAATTCGTGGTATTGTCAAACGCATAAACAGTATGTCTTTTTATTTTAACAGGTTGATGTCTAATTCCCTAATGGCCCAATTTAATTTAAAGGGAAATAAAGGGAGGCGGTCCATAATGGACTTAGAAATTTACAAAGTTGTCCAAGGTTTGTTTTTATCATACTCAATTTACGAACATATCCTTAAATATCGGATAATCAAACATGGTATGGGCATACAGGAGTTTTTATTACTTCATCGATGAGTATTGATCTTTTTTTTTTGTAATTTACACCCAAGCCTTTCTTACACGTACAAATTCATGGAGAATATGAAAGTTATAACACAAGCGATGTCTCATATAGAATGTGTTATTGGGTCATATATAATATAATTCATATGGGGTTTAACGTCCTACTGTTCTGCTCCGACTAGGCTAATGAAGACGGGCATGAGCCATACCGCGTGCTATGATGGAAATTTTGCCCGGGCAGCGGCACTATGGCCTACTCTTATATCGAATTCCAACTGCCAAAGAGATCTTTTACTTGCACGTCAATGTGTACACATGGCCTCGGTTTTTCATACCATCCAAACGAATTGTCCTTGTCAGGCCTACTGAACTTTCTCGGCAAATGTAGGGATCGAAAATGCGACCTCCAGACAAGCGAGCCAGCGTTTTACCCAATTAGCCACCTTTGCTCCATAATTCATGGGATGCAGAATTATCTGTTACAGCTTTAAGACGACCTTTTTGATCGGACTCAATTATATAATTTACAAAATTTGACAGAGTAAATATACAGTTTTTTTGTATTCTTCAGATAGTGTAATGATCAGTCAGCCGAGCTGCAAGGAAGCCGAGATAATAACAGCAGTTTCGGCTCATCTAAAATATGCACCCGACAGAAGAGGGACCAATTAAGTACATGTACAGTTTTAATTTGTTTATTACATGTCATATTTTATTATAATCTTTATAAGCCATTTTGAGCAGTGTTTTATATTGGTAACAGGCGCTTTATAAATAAATAAATTTTTATTATTATTACGGTACCAATTGCATTACAATTACTTTCTCATTTTTAGCAATATCATTCATTACCATTACCCATTACATTGAAAGTAAATAATTACATTTTATTACTATTTAAAGATTAGAGCTAATTTAGCATTTAATCAATCAGATTTAAAGACAATAGTTTTACCATGTCTTTAAATCTGATTGATTAAATGCTAAATTAGCACTAATCTTTAAATAGTAATAAAATGTAATAACATTAAATATGTTTCCTTGTTATATTCTTTTAAAACTCTAGTTATCACTGAATGCATAAGAGTATGGTTTTAATATATTTCTGTAAATCCTCTGTTTGATCTTTTATAAATGTATATTTAGTTAATCATGTATAGATCTATGCCTTATTTTCTTTTAAACTGGTTTCAATTATATAGTATAATGTGTATGGTTTCAGTACATCTCAACAATCCTCTGTTTGATCTTTTAATTGTATAATGAGTTAATCCTAGTATATACGATTATTTACCGTTGTTTCATCAATAGCTTGTGATAGCTACTCATGTTCACCTTCCTTGCATACCATTGGATAGTTCCCACTGATGTTTATATATATATTCATATCTTTCTCATTTTATTTATTTGTATATATATGCTTGAAAATGACTTGTGAAATCTTGTTGAAACGTTGCAGTGAAATAAACCATAGTAATTGTTATTCCATAAAAGTGTGTTTTTTGATTATGTTCCAATTACTAAATGCCATTCAAAAATGCGCCATTAAATGTAATTGAAATGTAATTGACCATTACATGATTTTCGGAATGTAATTAATTACATTTCCATTACTCATTACTTTTGAAATCTTCCATTACTCATTACATGACCATTACTTAAAATTTAATGATCAGATTCTATTACCTTTACCCATTACTGCAAAGTTATATGACTCTAGCATTAATATTGTCTGTAATATAATCGTTTGAATTGAATGTTTTGAAACTACGTATTGTCCTATTAATTGATACTGATTTTATTCAGAAAGAAGCAATTAGATTGGTTGTGATGGGACACAATAACTTTGATTCTAATTGAGTGAGAGTGTTGAAACTTCGCGTATCGTTTCACTATGTCAAAACCGTGGCCCAAATCTGTCGGGCATTTAAGCCCCCCCCCCCTTCCCCGCACACACACCTAATTTAACTTCCATCCTGCCCGGCCGCCTATTCCCGTCTTCGTTAGTCCAGTAGGGGCAGAACTGTAGGGAGTTCGGATGGGGCTTATACTGGGTTTTATACAACCTCAAAACAACAAATTCTGACGTCGTGACAACTTTTCGCCAACCACCACACAACGTTGCAAAACAACAAATTCTGACGTCGTGACAACTTTTCGTCAACCACCACACAATGTTGTGACAATGCTGCTTGAACGTCCGTACAACGTTGTCACAACTTTTCGTCAACCACCACACAACGTTGTGACAATGTTGCTTTGACGTCCGTACAACGTTGTCACAACTTTTCGTCAACCACCACACAACGTTGTGACAATGTTGCTTTGACGTCCGTACAACGTTGTCACAACTTTTCGTCAACCACCACACAACTTTTCGTCAACCACCACACAACGTTGTGACAATGTTGCTTTGACGTCCGTACAACGTTGTCACAACGTAAGAGTTTGTTGCAAAACAACCTACAGCTGACTTATTTCAGACGTTGTGATACAACCTCTGAAAAACGTTGTCACAACGTTCTGTGCCCGCTGGGTAGTACGGTGCTATTTAAATATATATATATATATATATATATATATATATATATATATATATAACAGCATCCGAACATTCAACCATCACAATAACAGTGTTATTTTAAAACGTATTTAACACAACTTAACAGTACAGTTGACCATCACAACATTTAAAAAAAAAAACATATGCGGGGCGTACATACCGATCGATTTTTATTGAGGAGGGAGGAGGTGTTTAGCAAAAATGGCACCGACTGATGCACAGGCCCCTATAGCCGAGCACCGGAGTGCAAGTTTTCTAACCGGGGGTGAGGTGGGCGTCCGAGAGAGATTTTGCAAAATTCTGATGGGGTCAGGAAACAGATATAACGTAAGTCAAATTGAGTAGCCTACTACGCATAGGAATTCATGTTATTTTTTATTAAGAATTTAGCAAGAACGTACAAAGTACTGTGAATCTGAGACAACTCATGAAAGTGATAATAATTACATCATTTACATGGACCTATAACCATATTTCATATTTTCATCAAGCGTCCGCACTTTGTCTAGTTTGACCATCGATCGGGGATTTGTCAAGGTCGATGGTGCCCGCCAGGTCACGTTCACACACAAGAGCGTCCCTATTTCATGACTGAACGCATAACAGTTTTACTATTTGAGCTTTGAAAAACTGGCTAGTACGATACCCAACCAACGCAATCACCCGTATATACACAGATATATTCATTAATTAGGTATTTGAGATTTTCCCTTCTATTTGGGCACAGTGTTTCCCATTAATTCATTTAGTCGGCTAATGCATGATTTGGAGACGGACTAGTTTTTTTCTCCCCGGGTTACGCCACCCCCACACTCCCCCAGCATTTACGCCCCTGCAACCTATATTTACCATAACCTAATAAAACTCTCAAACATTCGACCTTCACCTGAGCATGCTATTGCATATTGGATTGTTCTGAGAAAGGACAATCTTATTAATTTATTAATAGGACAAATGTCACCTGCTTAGCCCATTAAATGTTTAAATATGGACCTGTATGGTGACGTATAAATATATATTATCTAGTGAGGAAATTGTGATTTCCTTTGTCCTCATTTTAGTCTTTACAGATAATAGATATGCTTTAAAACCCAATATAATGTTCAATAGGCCTACGTATTTAGTTTTTTGTTATCCCATGTGTGTATATTAATTCATTGGTGTTGTGTTATATGTCTCTATTAAGCGCACATATGGTTACTTATGTGACAGTTAGGCGCCACAAGTGTAATGCTAATAATGCTAAAACACTACCAAATCTCTATTTTTTTTATATTGTGGATTACTATATTTTAATCACAAAATCCCAATGCACAGTTAAATCTGATTATAAATCCCTATAGGAGGAGGAGGAAAATATCGTTCCACCTGTCTTTATCAATATACGTTTTATACAACGGTAAAAATCCATCAAGTGACAATCATAGATTTTATGCTAGGGCTGCACGGTTATGGTCTGTTATAAATATTTAAGAATGGGCTCCTCAGACTCGTCGCCTAAATTTAATATAATTATTATTCTTGCCTGTGTGTTAAATAGGCATTATGGAAGATCAGATAAAGTTCTCGCTATATTAGTAAAAAAAATAGATACCATAAAGAGAATATGCTGAAAATTTCAGTCACATTACTTGACTCTGAACCCAGAAAACAGAATTTCAAAAACACTGTAGCCGCGATTGTCATTGTTATCATTGTTACGATAATAAACAAAGTCTCGGTTATCCACTTTTACGGTTAATCATGAACAGCCGTGGAATCGAAGATAGGATTCAAATCTGTTTAAAATCGAGAGTTAATTATCGTTTTGTCATGTTAAGTTTATATCAAATTTAAAGAGAAAAGAAAGACGCGCAATAGACAGATTTATCTCTTGCTTAAAGATACATTATGGGAGATTAGATAAAAACTAGACAATATAAAGCGAATTTGCTGAAAATTTCAGTCAAATTGATCCACTCTGAACTCATATTTTAGCGATTACCAAAGTCGGTACGATAAAAAGCATAGTCTCGATTATCCATTTAATGATTAAATCATGAATGGAAGTCAAACAGCAAATCGGAACCTAATTCACTAAACATCGCAGGCTAGCGATGACATCAGAATTGATTATGGTCTGGATAAGTTAATTAAAGATACATTATGGGAGATTAGATAAAGAGCTGGCAGTTCCTATACTATAGTAGTTAAAAACTAGATAATGTGAAGGGAATTTGCTGAAAATTTCAGTCAAATTGATCCACTCTGAACTGAGATTTTAGCGATTGAATTTTCGGCCTAGCCTCGATCATCATTACTAAAGTCGATACGATAAAAAACAGTCTCGATTATCCATTTCATGATTAAATCAAGAATGAAAGTGGATCAGCAAATGGTATCCTAATCCAGTAAACATCACAGGCTAGCGTTGACATCGAGAGTTGATTATGGTCTGGATACGTTAAATAATGTCTAATTAATAATTTAGATAACATTTCAGGCCCAAAGAAAGACCTGCAATAGGCAGATTTAGCTCTTGCATAATGTATGTTTAATGTGTTTAATTATTCAGATTTGTTGAAATAACGTATATAGCTGTGATTCGCAGGAAGGGGCAAATACAGACGTAATTCGGAAAATTATAGCTCTTTTGATTGCTCTTTTTCAGGTCAAGAAAGATATCGAAGTATGACTACATCTTATTTTCGTGGAGTAGACGGCTGTTTAATAATGTATAATATAAACAACGCCAGTTCCTTTGAGAACGTCCCAGACTGGTAAGAATAATTACATAACAAAATATAGACCAAACGTCATAATCATAAAAAGTGTCTGGTCAACGCAGAAAGATGATTTTTGACCAAAATGGACAGACTTGACGAAAATAGCCTGAACAACTTTAATGACAGTCGTCGGCGTCTACCCCTTGCTGTTATATTTTGTCTATCGGAATAGACTTTGTTTATATACTCAAAGCCATTAAAAACGCAATGCCAAATTCAAAGTTTATTTACTACAACATTTTTTAACAAATGTACATAACAAATGACAAAATCGAGATAACAAGCATCTGTGGATAATTTCATGAAAGAATTCACTACAAATGCACAAAACTGAAACGTCAGAGAACCATGAAACAAAGCAGGGGTCAGCTGAAGTCAATATCGGGTATGTCCAGCCTGAGCTCTCACACATGCCTGAAGTCGCCTTGGCATGGACTGGCACAGATGTCTCACTACACGCTGTGGGATTGTTTGCCAATGATCTTGGAGTGTCTGTGCCAACTCTGCAACAGTTCGTGGTGGCACGGCTTGAGTTCGAACCCGTCGTCCAAGTTTATCCCAAAGGTGTTCGATCGGGTTATGTCGGGCCAATCCATAACATGGGCATGATGATTGTTCAGAAGTTTCTTGTCAACCTGGCAGTGTGGGGTCGGGCGTTGTCATGCTGGAAAACCATCTGTCGACGAACGCCATGTTGAGCCAGCAATAGAAGCAAAACCGGACGAAGGATGGCGTCAACATAATGTTGAGCGTTGAGATTGGCTTGGACCACAACCAACTGGGACCGGAAGTTGATGTTGATAGCGGCCCCGAAACGACCCCTTTCCAGCACGCAGTTACGAGCAAAGCGTTCATGTCGACGTCGGTAGATACGGTGACGTCCATCAGGAAAACTGAGGTTGAATCGGGATTCATCCGAGAAGATGACATTTCGCCATGGTGTGTTGTGCAGATACCCCTGATTTGCGTCCCATTGCTGTCTGGCAAATCGAAGGTGATGCAAAAGAATTTGAACTTGGTAGGGTCGACGACAGCGGAACCCAAGAGCAGCCAGGCGCCTTCGGACTGTTTGAGGGCTGATCTGACGTTGCCGTGCTCCAACAGTTCCCCTGGCAGTAGCTGTAGCTGACTGGAACCTGTTGCGCAGATGCTGTAGTCGGATGTGGCGATCTTGAGCAGCGGTTATTACAGGTGGCGCTCCAGGTCGTGTTCGATCGTCAACTCTTCCAGTGGCGTGGAAGTGTTTGAGGCGAGCAGTGGTCGATGGGTAGACTAAATGGCGACGGCTACCTGTGAAGCCCCCTGATCCAGCATGCCAATAGCTCTGTTCCTGTTTTCCTGTGTAAGGCGTGGCATTTTTCCGAAGTGATGAATGTTGAAATTTTGATCTGTATTTAAAGGGCCAGAGTGCAGGGAATGCACGTGCAAAACGTTTGACATGGGACTGCGTAAAATCGTGAAAAAAGAGACCCATCACAAGTTTCATCTATGTGCCATAAGATAGGAAAGCCCATGTCCGTCCGTCCACAATTTGTTTGTGAACACTCTACAGGTCACAATTTTTATCCGATTTTAACGAAACTTGAAATATAGGTATATCTCCCAAAGATCTCGATATTCGCGCATATCAGATCGTAACTTTGATCTGTATTTAAAGGGCCAGAGTGCAGGGAATGCACGTGCAAAACGTGTGACATGGGACTGCGTAAAATCGTGAAAAAAGAGACCCATCACAAGTTTCATCTATGTGCCATAAGATAGGAAAGCCCATGTCCGTCCGTCCGTCCACAATTTGTTTGTGAACACTCTACAGGTCACAATTTTTATCCGATTTTAACGAAACTTGAAATATAGGTATATCTCCCAAAGATCTCGGTTCCTTTCGATATTGGCATGTATCGGACCATAAGTTCGTGTATTATGGCCCCTGATTGTACGAAAAATCACGTTTTTAGCTTGTGGACACTCTAGTGGTCACAATTTTGATCCGATTTTGATGAAACTTGAAATCAATGTTTACAACACAAATATTTTGTTTCCTTTCGACATTCGCGCATATCGGATGGTAACTTCGTGAATTATGGCCCCTGATTTTACGAAAGATCACGTTTTTAGCTTGAGGTCACAATTTGTATTCGATTTAAAAAAAAAAGTTTTACTATATCACCGTTACACCCTAATGATGGTTGAGTTCGAATTTCGTGAAAATCAGACCAAAACTGCCGGACAAAATGGCCGCCCCTTGTACGCAAATAGTGCAAAATATGAAATATCAAGGTTGTGGACCCTCTAGAGGTCACAATTTTCATCCGATTTTGATGAAACATTAAATGCATGTATATATCCCAAAGATCTTGGTTGAACTTGGTTCCTTTCGATATTCGCGCATATCAGATCGTAACTTCCTGAATTATGGCCCCAGATTGTATGAAAAATCACGCTTTTAGCTTGTGGTCCCTCTAGAAGTCAAATTTTTTATCCGATTTAATAAAAACCAAAACGTGTGGATATATTACTTAATGATGGTTGAGTTAGAATTTTGTGAAAATCGGACGAAAACTGACGGACATAATGGCCGCCCCTTGTAAGCAAATCAAATAGTGTAAAAATATGGTATATCAAGGTTGTGGACCCTCTAGAGGCCGCAGTTTTTATCATAAATATCTTGGTTCTATTTGATAATCACACATATCCGAACATTACTGCCTGGATTATGGCTCCTGAATGGTCGAAAAATCGCATTTTTAGCTTGTGGATATTTAGAGGTCACAAATTTTTTTTTTTTGATTTTAAAAACCATTTAGATATATCACCATTCCACCATAATGAAGGTTGAATTGGATTTTCGGGAAAATCGAAATGAAAATGCCCGCTCTTTGTACGCAAATTGGGTTTAAGTATGTAATACAAGAGTTATGGACCCTCTAGAGGTAACAATTTTTATCCGGTTTTGATGAAACTTAAAACATATCTTTATATTCCAAAAATCTCAGTCCCTTTTGATATTTGCGCATTTCAGACCATAACTTTCTGGATTATGAAAATGACTGTGGGCGTATCCTGCCTAGCGGCCGCTAGTTAATGGCTTTGAGTGTAGCTTGTGACTTCTACTTTTTAACAGCAATCTCTATTCTATATATTTTGAGCAAGTGGCAAGAAGAAAATATAAAAAAAATGTTCCATGAGTCTTTAATGTTCTATTGATTCTTTTTGTAGGGCTGAAACATTGGAGAATCACACATGCAAGAATAACCTCACAGTCATATTAGCAGGAACTCGAAGCAAAACATCATGCGATGCACAAGTACCAGAAGCTAGAGCGCGTAAAATGTCCGACTATCTGGAAGTGCCATGTGTTCAAATTGACTTGGATAACGTTTCAAATATCATCGAAGTGTTCGAACAACTTGTTGACATCATGATGAACAAATATCGTATAAAAGAATCAAGTACTGTTGAACTAACACGCCCGTTAGACGCTGTTGTACCGGAAAAAAAAAGATTTGAGTGTTTATGTTGAAACAAAGAACAAAATTGGCCTTCTCTGTTTATCACCACACCACCTTAAATTAGCAGAGAGTATTGTGGGAGGAGGCACATTTTAACACCACCCAACCTCCCCAGAGGTGTACTGACACTATAATAATGGGTTTTAGATACATAATCGCATACATTGATGCAGCTTTCTTCAAATAACACGACCCAGTCTATCTTAAGAATTTTAAAAATCTCAATTATGCACCAGTGAGTGTGTTGAACCAACAGTTAGTTTCTCGCTTACAAAAACTTTTCGCTTGTGTTGCAGAGGGGATTATGTTTGAATATATATTTAAGATTTATGGAAACCTTCATGTAAACCTTGTTGAAAATGGTTGGTCTTCCCCCGATCTTTTTTTACGTCATGTGGACGTGGACGTATACTGTCGTTGCCCCTTTCCGCGAGGACGTCCGTCCGTCCAAAATTTGTTTGCGGACACTCTACAGGTCACAATTCTTATCCGATTTTGACGAAACTTGAAATATAGGTTTATCTCCAAAAGATCGCGGTTCCTTTCGATATTGACATGTATTGGATAAAAACTTCATGGAATATATGGCCAATAATATGATTGTACGAAAAATCACGTTTTTAGCTTGTGGGCACTCTAAAGGTCACAATAATTGTCATCTGATTTTGATGAAACTTGAAATGCATGTTTATAACCCAAATATATAAACAGTTCATATGGGCGGCTTATCTGACGGCTCCATTTCACTCGCAAAGAGATACACTGTCAAAAGTGAAAATGGACGTTTTTGATTTTTGTCTTGATAATGAGTAATTGCTCCACCAATCCTTAGACATTCAGCAATATTCGTCGTGGCGTGCTACTACCAATTCTTACAGTGTTGACGTTGACGAACACGTCTCCCGATCATGTCCTGGGACATGCTCTATAGGGGAAAGGTCAGGACTCATGGCTGGCCAAGGCATATGGACAATATGGTGACGCTAGAGGTTGTCATTCGCGACACGAGCGCGGTGGGCACGGGCATTATCATCTTGAAAGATGAAACGTGGACCTGCACGTTGAGCAAAGGGCAGAACTATCGGTGCCAGGATGTGGTCACGGTGGTTCAGACCAGTGACCCTTCCTTGAACAATATGCAAGTCCGTTCTGTCAGTCATGGTGATTCCTCCCCACACCATAACAGACCCACGCCCCAATCTGTCATGCTGTCTGACGTTAACGTTAGTATGACGCTCATTTACACGCCTCCAAACGTGAGCACGCCTATTGGTGAAATCCAGAGTAAATCTGGACTCGTCTGAGAACATTACACGTGCCCATCGACGATTACCCAAATTTCTACGCTGCCTACACCATTGACGCATGTTGCCATGTGCTTGCGAGTTAATGGAGGCACAACACGCGGACGTCGCACATGCGTGTCGCATGTGCAGCTCAGTGGTTCTGTTGGGGCAATAAGTTCTTCATCTGTGAACATACTCTCAAAGCATGCAAAGTGTCCATGACTATTTATCATATCACAACCTGCATAGGAATTTGCATTTCAATATCTCCTACTTTTTTTATACGCCCACATTTTCATGTGGACGTATATTGTCGTCGCCCCTGTCCGTCCGTCCGTCCACAATTGTTTGTGAACACTCTAGAAGTCACAATTTTTATCCAATTTTAACGAAACTTGAAATATAGGTTTATCACCCTAAGATCTCGATTCTTTTCGATATTGGCGTGTATCGGACTGTTAACTTCATGGATTATGGCCCTTGATTGTACGAAAAATCACGTTTTTAGCTTGTGAACACTCTAGAAGTCACAATTTTTATCCAATTTTAACGAAACTTGAAATATAGGTTTATCACCCTAAGATCTCGATTCTTTTCGATATTGGCGTGTATCGGACTGTTAACTTCATGGATTATGGCCCTTGATTGTACGAAAAATCACGTTTTTAGCTTGTGAACACTGTAGAGGTCAAAATTTTTATCCGATTTGGTTTAAACTTGAAATATATGTTTATATACCACAGATCTCAGATCCTTTCGATATTCGCGCATATCGGACCATAACTTCCTGAATTATGGCGCCTGATTGTACGAAAAATGGCGTTTTTAGCTTGAGGTCCCTCAAGATGTCACAATTTTTACCCGATTTAAAAAAAAACGTGTGAATATATCACTGTTACACCCTTATGATGGTTGAGTCTGAATTTTGTACAAATCGGACCAAAACTGCCCCTCGTACGCAAATATTGTAAATATATGGTATATCAAGGTTTTGGACCCTCTAGAGAGGACACAATTTTGATCCGATTTTGATGAAACTTGAAATACATGTTTATAACCCAAAGATCTTGGTTCCTTTCAATATTTATGCATACCGGATCGTAACTTCCTGAATTATAGCCCTTGATTGTACAAAAAATCACTTCTTTTTTTTGAGCTTGTTCTCTGTCCATCTCTTGCAAAATGTGGGCAGATCTTGCACGGCAACCGCTTGTTTGAAGAGTATATAATACCTAGAAAACTATAATTAAAGATGTTATCTATTTTTCATTTGTATATGCAGAAATTGTGTTACGGTTATTTTCATATATGCATTTTATCGAATCTTGAACTTCATATCTCATATTAAGTGTTAATGTAATTGTGATATTTTATATATTTATATACATTCTTATCATTTAGTAAAAACATCTGTGTTGTTGTTTGTTTATCATTATTGTTTAGTTTTAAGGGTGTGTTTGATTCGGGCCGAAATTGAATCTGGATTTGATTTTAATATAAAATGAAATGGAATTGAACGTCCTACTTTTCTAAAACCAAGTAGGTCGAATTTGCCAGTACAGCGGGGCTACAACCCATTTTTATTTTGAATTCCAACTGTTAGCCCCATCCGAACATCTAGACACAAGGGGAATTCTTGCCCAGGAACATTCTCGGCCATCACTGGGAGAGAATCCAAGACCTCTGGTTAGTGAGCCAGCGTCATACTCACTGATCAACTGTGGCTCCTGATTTCAGTACAGCTTTCGCTAAACTTTTTTTATCGTAAATTTTAATTTAAAAAAATAGAATTCTCGATTCTTGGAAGAATGGAAAATGTATTTAACCAGTTCTATCACATATGTAATAATGACCGACACCAATATTGTCCTTTAAAAGAATAAAAAATGGTATATTAAAATTTCTTTAATCATAAACCAGCCGCTGCCGGGCAGGATACGCTCACATTTTGCAAGAGATGGATAGAGAACTAGCTAAACAAAGATAGGTTGCCAAGCAACGAAACATACACCCACAGCAGCCAATTCCTCCGAGCGGTCGACAAGGGTTGTTGCATACTTATTGTTTTGTAAGTAATTGGGGGCATTTACAATACAATTTCATATAGCTCTGATTATAATTTTTGTCGTTTGAGGGTTCACAAGGTTCTAAAAACTGAAACAAGAACCTTAACTCTGGAAGTAATTTACAGAAAATTTTGAAATTTGATATAAATTTCATACAGACTGGATAACTTTTGTCATTCGAACGTTCACAAGGTTCACAAAGTAAAACAAGGGCCATAACTCTAGAAATAATTGCTGGAAATTGCTGAAATTTTTTCGTCCCGTCCCGATGCCTCTCACCTGCCTAAATGTCCTGGTTTTTAAATCGGGTGTTTTTCAATTGAAAATAACACAAAACACATAAACTAGTGATAAATATTAATGTATAAAACAGCGTTTGCTACAAACAACTCTTACTTCAGCACACAACTTCTGATCCAAATTGTTCAGTGCAAACCTTGTCGGGCTGCGGTGTGCCGAATGTGCATAATAAAGGACTAAAACTGGACGAGTTCCTACAAATATTACTAACATGTGACAATTGAAATAATGCCTGTCAATGACCAATTCAACAATATATATTTCTAGTGTAACTACCACCACAAAATGGCTGAATATGCATCTCCCGGCTTCTAGAAATGAAACCAGCGGCTGCCAGGCAGGATACGCCCACATTTTCGAGAGATGGATAGAGAACAAGCTAACAAGAAAGTGATTTTTCCTACTATCAAGGGCCATAATTCAGGAAATTACAATTCAATATGCGCGAATATCGAAAGGAACTGAGATCTTTGTGTTATAAACTTACATTTCAAGTTTCAACAAAATCGGATAAAAATTGTGACCTCTATAGGGTCCACAACCTTGATATACCATATTTTTACGCTATTTGAGAAGGAACGGCGGCCATTTTGTCTGTCAATTTTGGGCCGATTTTCACGAAATTCGAACTCAACCTTCCTTAGGGTGTAACGGTGATATAATAATACGGTTTTTTAAATCGGATAAAAATAATGACCTCTATAGGGTCCACAAGCTAAAAATTGTGACCTCTATAGGGTCCACAACCTTGATATACCATATTTTTACACTAGTTGAGAACGAACGGCGGCCATTTTGTCTGTCAATTTTGGGCCGATTTTCACGAAATTCGAACCCGGTTGTCCTTAGGGTGTAACAGGGATATAATAATACGGTTTTTTAAATCGGATAAAAATTATGACCTCTAAAAACGCGATTTTTCGTACAATCAGGGGCCATAATTCAGGAAGTTACGGTCCGATATGCGCGAATATCGAAAGGAACCGAGATCTTTGGGTTATAATCATACACTTCAAGTTTAAACTAAATCGGATAAAAATTGTGACCTCTACAGTGTTCACAAGCTAAAAACGTGATTTTTCGTACAATCAGGGGCCATAATTCATGAAGTTACAGTCCGATACATGCCAATATTGAAAGGATCCGAGATCTTAGGGTGATAAACCTATATTTCAAGTTTCATTGAAATCGGATAAAAATTGTGACCTGTAGACTGTTCACAAACAATTGTGGACGGACGGACGGCTGAACAGGGGCGACGACAATATACGTCCACATGAAAATGTGGGCGTATAAAAATTTCTGGGGGGGGGGGATGCCCCCAAACCGGCCGGACATGCGGGCGCTCCGTGCTCAATTTAACTTTAGTTTGATCAGAATAATAAATGTCCTGGTTTCTCCAATGATTAATCTGGTAACCCTAGTTACAGGATACTATTGGCAGATCCTTGTGTCAAATATAAATTACTGTATTGAACATAAAATACCAAATGGCAAATAAACTGCAAATGAATTCTCCTAATACATGTGCATTTCATCACCAAAAATATAAATAATATCCGTTTAGAAAAGCGAAGGGCAGTGGGACGCGTTGCGTTTTAAAGGGCAACGTCGTGTTAAAAAGTCGACGTCGCTTTTTTCTCTATAGCTTAACATCGAGAAAGGCGACGCGGGAGGTGGCCGAAATAGAACACCATACATTACCTCTATCAGGTTCACGGGCCATTTGATGACGGACTGACGGACATGGGTGATGCCATAATATGTAATAGGAATAAAACATGCAGAAAGTGTTTAGCATATATGTCTGTTTTATTTTAATTGAGCAATAATAGCTTTACAGAAGTCAGGTAAGTCTGCTGGAAGTCGTGAAGTTATCATGTTTCCATCCACAACCACTGATTTATCTTCATACAAACCTCTGTATAAAAAGTAAGATATGTTAGGCATTTATATGAGCTAGGTTATAATATGGGCGGTGTAATGCAAATGTGTCCTAACTCTCAAATTTCCAAAAATCATTTTAGTACATGTTTCGATTAAAGAATTCATGATGATTGATATGCAATATTATTCTAACCGATATCTATTAATAGAACAAAGCTATTTATAGATTGTATAATAGAACACCATTACGAAATACTCTGGCTCCATTTGCTTATTAAACAAGTCTGATCTAAGTGGGTTGGATCACTGTTATTTCTGAAAATGTATTTTGCGTAACAAAGCTATATGAGGGTTAGATCATTCTTCTGGTATATCTGTTGGTGGTTAGATCTTTCTCTTCACACTGTCCATTTTCGGTTTAGGGTATTGGGTCACAATTTTCTCCCCAATGATTCCGACAGTGTCTTTTTACTCCTGGTGATTACATGCTAGTAATGGAGAGGCGTCGTCAACAAAAACCATTTCTCATGTTATACCCTCTTCACACATACACCATAACATCGCTTTGGTGACACTCTTAGTACGTTGATAAAGATCTTGTCAAGCCCTCTCTAGACCAATCAGATCGTGCTATGCTCTCACCATGCTATTACGAGGTTCCTATAGTCCCCTTCACACAAAACAAAGTCCTCGCTATGACCCCTCCCCCCTCCGTCCCGCCCGGTTCTCAGTATGCTTCACTTACACTACATTGTCCCCGCTCTCACTACCCTCTCGATACTATGCTTACAAAGATCTTGCCACGTCCATGCCGCTCTCAGACACGATCTGGTAGATTTTTTTTTAAGTTATAGCGAAGTCAAAGTCGTGGTTTATGTGTGAAGTTGAGTTATTTTTTAGCCCTCCTAAGATGAGGCTCAGTATCTGCCCTACAGACCATGAAGAATATACTAATCAATGTGAAATCATTTTAACAGTGTAGCATTGATGGGCTCGGAGCGACGTGTCAGCGTGGCTTTCTAGATTGTGGCAGCAACGTGGTTGAGAGCGGTGGGGACGTTGCTGTGCGGCGCAAAGGGTGTGTGCCAAGAGCGTAGTGGGGGCATTGTGTACGTGAGAACGTGAAAATGCCTTCACACTTAAGAGGGTTTTCCTCATTTCACCACAACCTCACCGCAGTGGCACACTCTATTTAATTTTTGTGCGTAGGATATCCAAAATTTGATGCACATTATCCCTGGTGATAGCACACAGTTTTATACTGGCTTTGATTTAAACTGCCTGCAGCGATCCGTCTACATCATACTTCGAGATAATGATCACTGCCCTAGTTAGCCTCCATTTAAAACGCTCACATGATCATTTTGGGGCGGGACTTATCGACTGGACGACTACTTTGTGTACAAAAAAACCCCGATCTAGCACATGTTTTATGTAAACACGTTTCATTGACAAAATGTCAACTTCTGCCACTCCGGTAAAAGAGATATATTGCCTCTGCTTACCCTAAGCAGAAAATGCTCATCTTCGAACTCCATCAAGGCATTGACCTAATAAACACCTCCACTAAGTTTGAACATTCTAGCTCAATTAGAAGGAGAGTTATTGTGTCCCAAAAAGTGTGACGGACAGACAGATGGACGGACGAACCCATTTTAATAGTCCCCTGCTTTCTTCAAAAGGCGGGGGACAAAAATATCAATATGTACCCGAATCATATGTGTTTAACATACTTCCTGGCCAATTTGAAATGGGACCTACATTTCCCACCTAGTCTGTGCTTATTATCAGCTTTACACGCACATGAACCAAATGACAATCCAAGAAATCTGAATACTTCACAAATAACCTTATACCACCATTACATTCATGTGAATGGACCAGCAAGTAAATTGACACAGAATAAAGACGACATAAATGTATATGTATCCATATTAAATGTTGCCGTATAAAATTTGATCCATAAACATGTATACTTACCCTGCATTTTCTACATCATCTTTGATGGCAACAAAACATGTCAATTTTTTTCCTTGAAGTATTTTAGCTGAACAGAACATCCAAGCCCCATGGCATATAGCTGCAACTGGTTGACCTGATGATAGATATGTTATAATTTCTTTAAAATGACAAGTGTTTGTAGTTGTTGTTGCCTAACAATAAAACAAGAATGACCTTTCAAACAAGAAATTTTGATCAATCAGTTAGTGGGCTATGGCGGCCATGCTCATTTTGACCAAAGTCGCCAAAATTGAATGGACCACATCTCAGGAACCGTTAGTCCAATCAAGCTCAAATTTGGATTATCAACCTTTTCAGCCAATATATACAGGAAAATTGGAGTTAAGGATGGGGTATATACCACAACTGACAATTAAAAGGGAGATAATAATCAATATAACATTTGAACATACTCAGTGTATCTTTTAAAGTTTAAACAAGCCAACAGTGAGGCTGATGTCCCCCGCTGAAATCCCAAAATAAATAGATGACACATATTAATTAATCGCACATTTATTTTTTTCAAAAGTATCAAGCAATCAAATCGATTATCAACTATACACCAAGTTTTATCACTCTCTATCAGATAGAATCAAAGTTATCTGGTCCCAAAGTATCGACCAATAAAATTGCTTAGCACTGTTTAGCTTTACCTCGAACTGTTAATCATTGAACTCAGTCAAGACATTCACCTAATCAACATCAACATCAAGTTTAAACATTCTACCTCAAATAAAAGCAGAGTTGTGATGTTCCAAAGTCTTGATCAATCAAACTGCTTATCACTCCTTAGCCTAAGCAGAAAATTCGCATCATCGAACTTAGTCAAGGTAATGATGTAATGAATCTATACTCAAAGTTTCATCTCTCTCACTTAATTAAAACTAAAGTTATCGTGCCTCAAAGCATCAACCAATCAGATTGCTTATCGCTGCTCATCTTCATCAAGGCATTCACCTAATAAACGCCTACACCAAGTTTGAACATTCTACCTCAATTAGAAGCAGAGTTATTGTGTTCCAAAGTCTCGACCAATCAAATTGCTTATTGCTCTGCTTACCCTAAGCCGAAAATGCTTATTATGGAACTTAGTCAAGGTATTGATGTGATAAAACTATACACCAAGTGTCCTCACTCTCACTTTAATTAGAACTAAATTTATCGTGTCCCAAAGCATCAACCAATCAAATTGCTTATCTCTGCTTACCCTAAGCAGACAATTCTTATCTTCTAACTCTGAACTCCATCAAGGTATTCACCTAATAAACACCTACGCCAAGTGTGAACATTCTAGCTCAATTAGATTGAGAGTTATTGTGTTCCAAAGTCTCGACCAATCAAATTGTTTATTGCTCTGCTTACCCTGAGCAGAAAATGCTCATTATCGAACTTACTGAAGGTATTGATGTAACAAAACTATACACCAAATTTCCTCACTCTCACTTAATTAGAACTAAAGTTATCGTGTCCTAAAGTATCAACCAATCAAATTGCTTATCTCTGTTTACACTAAGCAGAAAATGCTCATCTTCGAACTCCATCAAGGCATTGACCTAATAAACACCTACACCAAGTTAGAAGGAGAGTTATTGTGTCCAAAAAAGTGTGACGGACAGACAGACAAAAAGATGGACGGACAGACGAATGGAGGGACGGACGGAAGGACAGACAACGAACCAATTTTAATAGTCCCCTGCTTTCTTCGAAAGGTGGGGGACAATAAAAAAAAAATGTATGGAGGCCTATATGTGTGCCTATAGAAATTGTTATCGAAACTACTTACGTGGATTTTGTAAGATATTACAGTTTTATCTGAATGGCTGACTAATGTTCAATCAAAATTGTGCATAATTGACAAACATGGACATTTGGTAACAACACAATGTAATAAGAAGAGTTTATATAAGAACTTACCAGCTTCATATACACCTTTAACTAGATCCAAAAAACGTTTATCTCTTCTCCAATAATCCGGAGCGAATCCTCCAGGTATAATCAAAGCATCAAGATCCTGAAAAGAGATTTTTTCTCTCCATATATCGGTAATCCTGGAATAATGCTTATATCAGAAAGAAATACAGAGACTTTAAGAAACAAATGTAGAAGTAGACTTTACAAAATACTGTAATAAGAGATCCTAAAACTCGTGTGTGGCACTCTGTCGGGTATATAATTATGGCGGAAATCCAAGCTCAGAAAGAAATACAGTCTTTAAATAAATTTTTTAGAAGTAGACACTTTACAGACACTGTAATAAAAGGGATCCTAAAACACATTCTGAGGGCAGAAACACTAAATATATATTTGTAATTCAATTACATCATAATTTACATGTTAATTGTATGCTGTTAAGTTTTAAGAACCAATCCTAAATATTTTGGAAAAGTCAAAACATGACGCGTAATAAACTAAATGCATCAGAAAAATAGTTCTTCGGATGAGACGAAAAAACGAGGTCCCGTGTATATATTGGAATGCACGTAAAGATCCCCTGGCAGTTGGAATTCGATATAAGAGTAGGCGATAGTGCCGATGCCCGTCTTCATTAGCCCAGTATAGGAGCAGAACAGTAGGACGTTAAACCCCATTCCATTTCCATTTTGCATCAGAAAAAGGTAAACATTATACTTGATACTGAAATCAATCATACACCTATCTAATTTATTGGTAGTATTACTTGCCTGAACTTTGATATCATCTATTCCATATGCTGCTTTACATGGGTAAGAATGTTTACTGTTGTAGACTTTATCTTTTTCTGGTCCTATTGTGAATGTGTTGAACCCCTCCTCCTTTAATCTATAATATGGATACCACAACTACAAACACAAAAAATGTACAAAAAATCATTTGAACTAATTAATATCCTTCAGCTATACACAAGACACTCTGGTTCTAAGACACCACACCATAGTATGATATTTCTTCTTGACAGCCAATTATGACTATTTTGACCGAAAACAATCATTTGCCACTCCATTGATGCAACGTCGATCTTTCTACTACTTAGGTCTATGTTACAGTGAATGATCATGAGGTCGCCGGCCCCCGAGGCATCCTTTGGGGTCTGGGTATCCTCCTCTCGGGGTCCAGGGATCTACCCCCAGGAAATGATTTGAAATTTTGACCTGAAATGGAGGTCTGTGGAGTGTATTCTAGGCGGGAAGTTCTAAGCTGAAAAAACTATCTCGGAAAGGGGGCCTGTGGGAAGGAGGGCCCACTGCCAGGGGAACCCATGTGCGAGCTGGTTGAGTGAGAAAAGGGAAAATATTGGGCAATTAACAAGACCGCCACCTGTCAACCAGAAATAAGATTTCTTGTTATGGAAACATTTCTGATATCAACATCCCGCTATCAACCCACCCAATTTGGAATCGTTGATATCAATTTTTTTCTAACCGACGTCCCTTTGGGCCCCTCTACCTAATAATTTTAACACTCATCAAAAAATGCCCACTATGTTTCACAATTTTTGGGAAATGGGTCCTCATTATTTTTTTTTCATTATTTTTTTTCATGGCCCTCGCCATGTATCGTAAGTTATGTACAAAACAATAGACCTAAATCTATCAATCTTTTATACCCACCCTCCAAAAGACTTATTTAATATAATTAGATGAAGAATTTAATATAATTTTACACAATGAAGATTGTACATTATCAATGAACCGTATATAGCTGCAATATTTGTAGCCGTGATAATTATTATTCACGGCTACATTTGATACACTATTTGATGCTTTGCGCAAGTAAAATTAGGTTCAATTGCAAAATTTTCAACACATATCATCACAGTTTGCATGGAAATAAGTAATTATGTTACACATAGTGAAGAGTGGAACACGGAAATCTTAATCTTATCTTACCGAACAGTTTTTCTGTATTTTTGAGGGACATGAAAATACATAATGATTCTGGTTTGGCGGCTATTTTAAAATGAACAGAAATTTCGCATAGCAGCAGTATCTGATTTCTGTGAATAAATTAGACAAGTTAAAAACAAACTACATGTACATAGAAAACACTCATAATTTGGAATTTTTTAAAAAAATATAATTGTTTTTTTTTACATATATGTCATGAAAAATATCCAGACTGACAAGAAATATATTTTTAGAATCCGTGTATGCAAACAGAAAAATTGCAAATCAGTTGCATTGATTGTAATATTAAAGATCTATACTGAAACATGTATCCCTCCCCCTAATCTTTGGTTGCATAACTAACAATACCGAAGGAATCTGTCTAACAGCTATGTTTTACCATCCTTTGGCTAACATGTGTACATATAAACTAAAATATGTGCAATACATTTGAATTATTGTTAAAAATGAGCCTTGATGAATGAAAATAATGCCATATTTGGTCTATGATCTAACAAAAGCGTCACAGAATACACAATTTTGACAAATTTGGGAATATTTCAATGTTTCCAACATTTCAAACCTCAGAGGCATCATACAAATTTTTATTGCAATCCTTGTGCTGAAGCAAGATGTCTGGACCTTTACATTAATTTCTAGAAAAAACAATGTCAAAACAGTAGTTATGACAGAGTTGACAACATAAAGAAGGCATGAAAAGGAGCAAAATTAACATTTTATTGTTCTATAAACAACATAAATGCAACAAACACCACAAATCCTAGATTTTGATAAGAAAATATTGAACATTAAGCTGACATTTACCCATCTACACCAGTTTTATATCAGGTTGTGGTCTTTTTGGTCCGAAATGCCTCAGGGTTCTAACTTTTGACTCGGAACAAAAAGGGTTAGAAATCCTTGAAATGTACAAAATAACTATGCATTGGTGAAAAATAACATTCTTAGCAGTAATTCAACCACAAATTCCAATTACTATCATTTAAATGGGTGGAGTGGGGCATATATAGTCTCTCTTAATGCAATGGTGGAGTGAAAAATGTCTAGAAAGACTTAAATATTGTTTTCTACATGAAGGGAATGCAGGAATTTAATGTTTCAAAGAAGAAAAAAAATGCTTGTCCTGGGTAAAATAGTGACAAAATTAAGCCAACCCCTGTTTTGGACATTTTTACAAAACCATCTGTTGTACATTATCAACACAGCGTTACCAATTTTCAATTTTCTGTAGGAAAGATGGAGCATTTTCTAAACCTGACAAACTTATAGATCCCATCTAACTTATATGTATTAACAATGAAAACAAGCCAACAGTGAGGCTGATGTCCCCCGCCGAAATCCCAAAATAAATAGATGACACATAATAGCACATTTATTTTTTTTCAAAAGTATCAAGTAATCAAACTGATTATCAACCAACCATACACTAAGTTTCATCACTCTCTATCAGATAGAATCAAAGTTATCTTGTCCCAAAGCATTGACAAATGAAATTGCTTAGCTCTGCTTAGTTTTAGCTCAAAATGTTAATCATTGAACTCAGTCAAGACATTAACCTAATGAACATCTGCATCAAGTTTAAACATTCTACCTCAATTAAAAGCAGAGTTGTTATGTTCCAAAGTCACCGAACTTAGTCAAGGTAATGATATAATGAATCTATACTCAAAGTTTCATCCCTCTCACTTAAAATTAAAACTAAAGTTATCGTGCCCCAAAGCATCAACCAATCAGATTGCTTATCGCTGCTCACCTTCGAACTCCATCAAGGCATTCACCTAATGAACGCCTACACCAAGTTTGAACATTCTACCTCAATTAGAAGGAGAGTTATTGTGTTCCAAAGTCTCAACCAATCAAATTGCTTATCGCTCTACTTACCCTGAGCAGAAGATGCTCATTATCGAAATTAGTCAAGTTATTGGTGTGATAGAACTATAAACCAAGTGTCAACACTCTCACATAATTTGAACTAAATTATCATGTCCCAAAGCATCAACCAATCAAATTGCTTATCTCTGCTTACCCTAAGCAGAAAATGCTCATCTTCGAACTCCACCAAGACACTGACCTAATAAACACCTACACCAAGTTTGAATGTTCTTGCTCAATTAGAAGGAAAGGTATTGTGTTCCAAAGTCTCGGCCAATCAAATTGCTTATCGATCTGCTTACCCTGAGCAGAAAATGCTCATTATCGAACTTAGTCAAAGTATTGATGTAATGAAACTATACATCAAATTTCATCACTCTCACTTAATTAGAACTAAAGTTATCGTGTCCCAAAGCATCAACCAATCAAATTTATTATCTCTGCTTACCCTAAGCAGAAAATGTTCATCTTCGAACTCCATCAAGGCATTGACCTAATAAACACCTACACCAAGTTTGAACATTCTAGCTCAATTAGAAGGAGAGTTATTGTGTCCCAAAATGTGTGATGGACAGACAGACGGACGGACGGACGGACAGACAGATGGACGAACCTATTTTAATAGTCCCCTGCCTTCTTCGAAAGGCCGGGGACAATAAAGGCATTTTTAGACATTTTGACTCATTGCAGTAGTCATAAGGATTAATTTCTACATCGCAATGGGGTAAATCTGGAGATTTTCAGTGAATATTCCTGATTTTTAGACAAAATTTTGTGAAATTACAATAGTGTTCACTTTAACTGTGCTTTCTGAGAATGAATAGTCCAAAATTTGGCATTAAAATATTTTTCTTACTGTTAGAAATGAAATAAAAACTGAACAATTTTCCGGGTCTACAGAGTTGATTTTAAGCTTGTCATGTAAATAAAGGTCTAATTAATAATTTCTATAACATCTGAAGCCTAAATAAAGACTTAAAATAGGCAGATTTAGCTCTTGCATAATGTATGTTTAAGCATTATAAAAATAAATAAAGGTGTTTCAATTTCATGTATATGTGGGTAAAAAATATTTCCTATTTACCGTAGTGTAAATGAGTAAGTGAAATGAGTAAAAGGCACCATTCTGCCCAGACTATTACTAGTAGCATCTTATGTAAACAATGCACGCGCGATTAAACCAATGATTGACGCTGCCTGATGTGATGTCACATGATAAAGCAGTCATCTTTTACAGAGCTTTTAGTATTCGTAATACATCTGTGAAACAGATTGGGGTTTGATACAGAGTTACACCCGTTATGTTCGTATTTCACCACTGCATGGTTGTATTCTTATAATTATTTTGACCCATATCATAAGGCTCTATTTGACTGTTTTGTTGCATTTAAACTGAGGTCCAGTGTTCGATCCCTGCATTCATTGGGACTTTCCAGTGTGCTTCCCCCTTGTCAGTGATGTAAGACGAAGGGCCTGACAAGTCGTTCGAATGAAACGAAAAACTGAGGTCCTGGATTCATATTGGCGTCCACGTAAAAGAACCCTTGACAGATGAAATTCGTATACTCTTCTTCATTAGCCCAATTGGAGTAGAACAGTTGGATGTTAAGCTCTATTTCATTTCATTTTTGGTACATCCTGGTGATGGGTTCCAAGGGGGCGCACCTCCCCCTTTTTATTGACAATTGTTTTCACTGTGTCTAGTGTCTTCACTAATACAAACACTATACAGGTCACAATTCTATGACCTGTGACCTGTATACTCTAGTTCAATTACTAAATGCCATTGAAACAGTTTAATACAAACACCTCTGGGGATTGGGGTTAACACTGTTTACAAATTCGTACTCATTGGAAAAGCTATAAAAAATACTTCCGACTATTCTGCGTCTCTATAAATAAGGATACAAATTAAGAAATATATTCTATTCTATACTATTTGTGTGTGTCAACCCGTTTAAATCATTGATTAACATTTGGCATATAACTTTAAAGATACTGGTACTTTATGTGTACAAATTGGTTTTCCACTTAAAAGACTCCTTGGACATTGGCCGAAGTGTAGGCGGAAACACCACCGTCAGGGCAAAAGTTTCGCATCATGTACACATCTTAGTCCTGGATTTAACTTGCACAGACCCTTACATCAACAGTGAATATGGGTCATATTATGGCCATTGTACATCACTTTACTATTGGGGTCCCTGGTGTAGCCCAGTCAGCCCCCCCTCCCCCTCACACACACACCATAATCAGACCCTGCCCATATTGACCAAGGTATGTTGACTAGACCTTATTCCTGGTGGCGTTGCAGTTAAGAGTTCAAACTTCTACCCGGGCAACACCGGTTCAACGATTAGTCTCTAAAATACTATATTACTCAACATAGTTGCACTTTATGTTAAAAGGCAGGGGGCATAACTCCAGAACGGAAGGTCTAATGTGGACCAAAATTGAACTCATCCAAGAACTATAGTGATACTTAAAACTCGTTTTAAGTTTCATCTAAATCATATGAAACTTTATCCGTTTTCAAATTGACAATGTTCTCAGAACCCCCGTATGTTGAAGACTAGGAGGTTCTGGGTGACCAAGACTAATTCCAACTGCCAATGGATCTTTTACATGCACGCCAATGTTGAGTTTGAACTCTAAAAGTGCAACGCCACCAGGAACAAGGTCTAGTCAACATACCTTGGTCAATACGGGCAGGGTCTGATTAAGGTGTGTGTGTGTGGGGGGGCTGGGGGCTGACTGGGCTACACCAGGGGCCCAATAGTAAAGTGATGTTTCTATATATAGCTCTATGATTGGTCATCCCTATCAATGACTGTAGCATTCGGCAAACCTCGGCTATTTCTGCGATGTAGATGTTGGGTACCGGAAACTGCCGACGTTTGCCGACTGTGACTGTAACAGACTCGCGAATATTCACTGTTGATCTAAACTCATTCAAAACTGCTCGGCGTCAATGGTTATTCGGTCTGGATAACCAAGTAGCACAACACTGTTTTTCTCTGATAAGTAGCCAACTTACTTCCATGTCTTCATAATTAAACTCCACCAATATACCAATGCGTTTTTCAGATGCCATCGTGTTTAAGAAGCTGGGCACAACTACCTCGATAATTTGTATTGTTCATCAATTTAGTAAGTGGACAAAGAAGGGTCGGCTGTCCCAACACAAGTGACAAACTTAAGTCTTGCTGAACCGAGTGTTGCAGTTTGTGGTCGTTCGATTCCGCATATTGCGGCATATTAGGTACTTTCCGCGATTCCTCACGTTGCCCCATAGGGTGTATATATAATTTCCAATCGAATGCACAAAAAGCAATTTTGACACAACTAGTAGACCACCATTAATACGATTGTGGGAGTAGTATCAGGTCAAGACGAACCACCGATTCATCATTATTACCAATTTTCGTTAAGTTCAAAGTTACATGTTGGCCTTAGAGAACTAAATATAGTAAATATATAACACTGGAAAGCCAGCGTGCCATTCGGGGCGAACTATATATGCTCGTCCCCTGCACCCTATATTAAATTATATCGTTTTTTGTCCGTCTAGTTTGTCTGCGTCCGTCACACTTTTTGGGACACAATAATAGTTCGGTGGCTGAAGGGGGGCGGGGGAAATATCCGAGCTGTGAATTTATGAGACCAAGTTTTTCTAGACCAGTTTTTTTGCGTAGATTCCGAATCTGGGTGGAGATCAGGCGTTTGAGGGGGCGTTTTCGAGATATAGGGCGTCCAATATGTCTACGGGGGCAATGTCATTATGTTGACATAAATGATTATCATCATATATATTAATAAAACATAAATTTCTAGGACTGCCGTATTTAAAGAAGTGTGTATGATGCCCCCCCCCCCTCCTCACACACAAACCTGCAACCACCCCACCCCACTTCGCCACAAATCAAGCGGTTGTCCAGGAGCATCATATACACACTTCTTTAGAGATGGACAGTCCTAGAAATTTATGTTTTATTATTATATAACATGATAATCATATATCAACATAATAACATTGCCCCCTCCCCCCCCCCCCCAATTGTAGACATTGGACCCCCATATATCTCGAAAACGCCCCCTCAAACGCCCGATCACCACCCAGATTCGGAATCTACGTAAAAAACTGGTCAAGAAAAACTTGGTCTCATAAATTCAAAGCTCGGGTAGTGATTCCCCCCCACCCCCCTTCAGCCACCGGACTATAAACTCCGGTAAGCAAAGATAAGCAATTTGATTGGTTGATGCTTTGGGACACAATGTATAGTTTCATTACATCAATATCTTGACTAAGTTCGATAATGAGGATTTTCTGCTCAGGGTAAGCAGAGCGATAAGCAATTTGATTGGCCGAGACTTTGGAACACAATAACTCTCCTTGTAATTGACCTAGAAAGTTCAAACTTGGTGTAGGCGTTTATTAGGTCAAATGCCTTGATGGAATTCGAAATGAAATGGGGTTTAACGTCCTACTGTTTTGCTCCTATACTGAGCTCCTATATTAAGCAGCCATTTTATTTAAATAGATAGAAAATAACATGTAAAGATCATTAGTTTTTCATATATACATATATATAGTAGATTATAAGGTACCGTTTTGAAAGTATATTGTATGTATAATCAGAATAATGTTATTTTCCAGAATATAGTTATCTGAAGATTTTGTTCGTCATCTTGATAGTCTTATTTAAAAACCCCTTCTTTGGGTATGTTATCAATTACTTATATTATATTTAGTATAAACTTAAGGCCTGTTTAATATGTTTAATTTAATTAGTGATGTATTTTAGTGTATAAATTATTGATATATTTCATTGAGTACCAATATGCATGCCTTACTATTTTATCGTATACTCAACTGTTACTGTGATATGTATATTAATTTTTAATGTATATATATTTCAGGGTTTTTAATAAAGGTTTAAAAACTAACCACCTTAGTTTTTATTGAGAATTTACACCCCCGGTTACACTTGTTGTCACTTCACAGAAAAGCCACCCACTTCCCCATATGATTTCTACTAAAACTAGTATAGTGTAAACCAGCAAAAGAGTGCAATAACATTGAACATATCTAGTTATTGCATGGTTAAGCTCCACCCAATCTACTAGGCCAATGCAGGGATCGAACACCCGATCTCCAGGCTAGCGAGCCAGCGTCTTACCCACTTAGCCACGTGAATATGGTGGTTGAGTTACCGTCTATCAATAAACGATCGGCAATTCTCGTATACGGTGCGGACACAGTTGATGCCTATTTCTAGCCCAAACTTCCAACAGAATTAAGTAATTTGACTGAAATTTTCAATACTTTCTTTTTTTATCATCTTGTTTTTAATTATTATAGCATGAATGACCAACTCTTTATTAAACTCTTAACTAATGTATCCTTAAAATATAAGTTTCATCTGAACGAGGCAAAAATTGTGTGCTCTAAAGGGTGTACCAAATTTGTACAATTCACATTTTGCGTAAAAGGCAAGGGATATTTATATAGGTTGTGGTCTGATGGTGAAGCAGAACAAAATGGAAGCTCTCCAAGATCTTTTGATTCTAAACATTAACATATCTAAGTTTCATCTGAATCCGACCACAAATTGTGGACTTGTGTTCACAATTTACATTTTGCGTAAAAGGCAAAGGACATATACCTACGCCTAAGCAGTTGTGGTTTGATAATCATGTTAAATTTCGTCTGAATCGGACCAAAAATTGTTGCATCTGGAGGGTCCATGCAGGGGCTACAAAGTCGTACATATGTCACATTTTGCAATAAAGGAGGGAATTTAAGTCTCTAACTCAATATCATCCACAGTCTTCGACATTGCAAACACGATTTGTTGGTGAATTTAAAACAACATTGGTGTTGTTATCTTAGCGTGAAAAGATGGACCTCTGATATCCAATATTAAAGACAAAATTAAAATTTTAAAATTGGCACACGAATCGCGTTTGAATGCCTTTTATAATGAGGCGACTCGATGAAGGAGGCTAAACATATCCCACAGGAGAATACTACCGGTGTGGACTGCAACAACCAGACGCCAAAGACTGCCATTCGATTTTGACTCTTCACGTATTTCGAAATTACAGTAAAAACAGAAACGATTGAATGTAAATCAGTGTATATACATTCATATTACATTATTGTATGCGTTGCGACCCGTATGTGTCCATTTCTAGGTACTAAAGAATACAGATTTAGCTCCTTAAAAGGCAGGGACCATCATCCAACAAGTTGCTGTCCGATGAGAACCAAAATCGAACCCATCCGAGATCTTTTGGCACTGGAAATAAACATAGGCTATACACTGTTAGAAAAAATCTGGTAAATTTACATGAAAATTACTGGCAGCAAAAGTTGCCAGTAAATTTACTGTAAATAAACATTCAGCTGTAATATTACAGAGTTTCTGTAATTTGACTTTGTGTGTAACTTTACCTGAAATCAGTAAATAGAAAATAACTATGAGTTTGTTTTTTAACTTTGGCCTGTAAATTCACCGCAACACAGTAAATGAACGGTTACAGTAAGTTTGTTTTTTAACTTCCAAATGTAAATTTACCTAAAAGCAGTAAATGAAAAATTACATACAAATGTTAAAAAAAAAACCACAATGACTAACTTCCGCTTACCCTCCCACCTTTTTTTTTTAGTAAACAACAATTTCCCCGAAAGAGAAATAAAATCTCAACTGAATAAGAGGCTTAAATTTAAAACCCCGCTTGTTGTTGCGTACCGAAAACATAAAACTAATCCTGTTTAGTAGATTAGTCATGTAAGCCAACACAGGTTGAAACCGCCGCTCGTCAGTGATTGCGGCGGTTCCAGGCTTTCAGATGTAAGCTTGCGGTACTGTCTATTGCAGGCATTGAAACTGCTTTAGAGACAGTACAGCTAACACTGGCCAATCGGTTTAATTAACCGTCTTCAAGTGAGCTTGATAACGAGATAATACAACCTTTAGCCGGAAAGTCAAAACATTTTTTTATACATTTATGAACATACTTACAATCTGATTAGTGTACGATGTATAATACACGTTATAGATCGTATAAATAAAGGAAATTAGATATACATAACATGCAATATACCAAATTTCACAAAATGTGATTGTCCATATTATGGTTAATAAATTAGAATGAGTACTATTAGAAGATAAGTATTAGGAATGGTTCGTTGCCATGGAATACTAAAATAAAATAAGAGACAGTAAATTTACCAATAAGTAAATTTACAAAATAATGTGAATAAACGTAAATCTGTAAAATTACCTTCTGGCTTTGCTATTTTCAGTTCAATATTGAAATTCTATATATGTAAGTATGTATTTTTACGGGGTTTATTGTGCCTTTGATTTCATCAAAGTTTATTGTAAAAAAGAAAGAAACTTGGTAAAAATACATCATTTTGGTAAATATTCCTAACATTTTAAGGTAAAAACAAATACTTTTATTGATGTAATTTTACTTATGTTTCTAACTTGAAAGTTTACAAAATAATGTGAGCAAACGTAAAGTCTGTAAAATTGCATGCTAAGAGACAATAAATTTACCGAATACGATAACTACCAATAGGTTAAACATAAATTATGCAAGAGCTAAATCTGCCTATTGCAGGTCTTTCTTTAGACCTGATATGTTATATAAACTATGAATTAGGCATATATTAACATGAAAAGACCATAAACAACTCTTGATGCCATCTTATGTGTGGGATTTTCACTGGATTTGAGTCCGATCTGGGGCTCAACACTCATTGGTGATTAAATTTAAAAATGGATAATCGAGACTATGTTTTTTTTATCGTACCGACTTTAGTAATGGTGTCCGATGCAAGGCCTAAAATTCAATCGCTAATGTCTCGGTTCAGAGTGGAGCAATTTGACAGAGACTTTCAGCATATCCCCTTTACATTATCTAGTTTTTAACTATTATAATGAGAACTGTTGTAATTTTACTTTTATTCTAACCTAAAAGTAAATTTACAAAAAAAATGTGAATAAACGTAAGATCTGTAAAATTACATGCTTGCTTATTTATTTTCAGTTCAGTTTGTAAATATTACGTATGTATGAATGTATTTTTACTGATTTTGAATGTGTCTTGGATTTCATCACCGTTTATTGTAAAAAAGACACGAAACTCGGTCAACATACACGAAACTCCGTAAAAATACGCCAGACTTGGTAAAACTACTAAATTGTGGAAAATATACCGACAATTAAGGTACAAAAACTACTTGTACTACTGTAATTTTACATAAATTTCTAACAGTGTAATAATAAAGATATATAGATTTTTTTTTTAATTTAAAGTTTCATAAAAATTGGATAAAAAATGTGACCACCATGATAGATGCAACAAATAATTTAGTAGAAAATTATCAAATGTAAATAATCGGTTAACCAGTTGTGGTTGGGTTAACCGATTCAATAATTTTTGAACTGTTACATCCTTACTCCATACCAGGCTGTAGAAGTTTAGTCTGATATAGCGGGGGTCGATCGTAGCCATGTTTGAAATTGGGTTTTGAAAAATACGCTGTTTCTTAGGCGTGCAAAATGACCCTTAGGGTCAGATCTAGTTTCAGTCATTTTCCGAAGCCCTCGGTCTTGACCGACATATACGGCCGACATGATGCTCAAGATGTCCACAAACAAATGTATAACGAGTGACTGGGAAGCGATTAGATTCAATAAGGATTCAATAGGACAGTTCCTGAACGTACAGGGCGAGTGTAATGAGACCTACGTTCAGAGCTGAACTACATCCGTGTGTCGCTCATACTGGTTCTAGCGAGGTAAGCAAGGTCTTATTTTCTCACTAAGGTGTTCAATTACATTGTTCAGGCGTTCACAGGGTCTGACACGCGACCGTTTAGTAGTAAAAAGTTGCTAAGTAAAATTGACTGGGAAGCGATTAGATTGTCGACAAGGATTCAATAGGACAGTTCCTGGACGTACAGGGCGAGTGTAACTGAGACCTACGTAGCTGAACTACATCCGTGGTAGAAAGCATTCTACCCAACGAAAATTTGGGAAAGCCGGTCTAAGAACCCCTAGAACTTCGATGCAGTAATGACGGGTTTCACCGGTGCCACTTTATCCTTGAACTGACGTCACTTTCCGTACCAATAGAAACATTAAACATATTTCCACAATTCCACATGAGCATTGGACACGTGCTATAAAATGGACGCAGAATTAGCCAATACACCCTGCAATATCAGTTCAATTTATACAACGAAGAATCGACGCCATGACATTACTTCCGTTATCAACAAAATATTTAAATTGGAATACAGAAATAACCACTTCGATTGCCGTTTGCATGACGCAAAAATCGATTAAAATTTGAACAGAATTAACACTTTATAAAGCCTTATAATAATGCAAAAAAATCTTAAAAAGTGATACTGACAAAACGGGTTATTTCTCGAGACGAGAACACGTTGGAAATTCCTCCTTGATATTTATATGATGCTATTGATTCATACTATTAGTTCATTGAAATCCAATATCATAATTTTATACGAATAATGAATATCACTTACTTCAAACAAATATTTGTTTTGGGGGCTAAAAATAGAGTTTTTTCCAAAATGACAGGGATGGTAAAACATAGCTGTTAGACAGATTCCTGTGGTAATGTTAGTTCTGCAACCAAAGATTAGACTGATTCGATCAGTGGCATATTTAGGGGGTAGGGATACATGTTTCAGTATAGATCTCTAATATTACAATCAATGCAACTGATTTGCAATTTTTCTGTTTGCATATTATCCAAAGATTAAAAAAAAAGTGGAAAATTATTGGTATTTTGAAAGATGCTACATGTAAATTTTAAACATTTTTCATGACATAGCAGTAAAAAATTATATTTTTGAAAGAAATTCCAAATTATGAGTGTTTTCTATGTAGTTATTCACAAGGCTCAAATACAACCTTTAATAAGAATGTTTTTTTTAAAATTTGAGCACGCCCATGGACCTGAGATGTCCCACGTGTACATAAAACTAAACGCAGCATGTATACTTAAAGGGCCATCATTTTTGCAGTTCTTTTTTTATATTGATTTTCTTTCACCGACATGTTGTCAGAACACATGGGGAGCAAATAAAAAAGGCCTTTTGGCGATACCTGAAGTTTCGCCCCTATATAGGACCAGGCCCGTCTGAAAAAATGTTTTGTTCCCCCCCCCCTTCACGGAAAAAAATTTGTCCCCCCCCCCCTAAAAACTTCGGGCCTGTATAGGACACAGCTGACCAAATATTCTTACGCCGTCACCCAGGAAATTTTAGTCTTTCTCTCCGTTTTCCTTTTCGCCCCCTTCGCATGGCGATTTTTGATGACTTTTTGGCGTAGAATCGAAGAACAGGGTTTGAAAATACATTTTCTGCCAGGTTTTGGTGAATATTCGTGACTTTGAGGCAGAAGGATACGAGAGTTGTGAGGTTGGTTAGGTTGAAATGTATGGCGGGATATCAGGTTCAAAATGCGATCTGTAGTAGAAAGTAGAAAATAAAAAGCAAAAGAGAAAATTCTTATCCAAAATGGACATTTTCGTGTGGGAAACATATACCGCTCGTGCTTTTTAACCTAATACGTCCACCTTTTCATCTTTAAGTCGTAAATATTGTACTTTCAACAACAGAAATGTAGGGCCGAAAATTGCATATTCAGTTATTTAGTCTACTGCTCTTTACTTCCAGTTTGGGTATCTCAAGTTTTCCATGATGAACCTCATACGTGGATTTGCGCAAGCGGTTGCCATATGTTGCTCCATCCGTGGTAGAAAGCGTTCTACCCAATAAAAATTTGGGAAAAAGTTAGAGTCGGCCTCAGAGACGAGAATAAACATAAGTATTAGTGATCTGTGGCCAAAGGGCAATTGAATTGAAGGGAGGCAACCGACCCGTGATATTCATGAACAAACAACAAAAAGTAAAAATATAGCCTATGACATTTCTTTAAACATAACGGACAGTGATGCTAAAATCAGACCTCTACGGAGCCATTTTACACACGACATTATAAACATTTTACATTTGCATCATAAACTTGCATTATAAACAGGACTTATAAAGAAAGTAAAACATCGACTGCTAATCCTACCTTGTATTTATACTCTCAAAACCAAAATGTCTTCCCATTAAATCAAGTTAATTGTGGTTATTTTCGAAATGACATCCATCATGTGGGGTCCGGTATTATATAAAATCAATTTTGTACACCATTACAATTACGTTTTCCAAAAGAAGTATTACAAGAACTGTCATTTTTGAATGGTTACCTAATGTTTAAATTGGAGAGTATTATCCATATATGGCACAACGTCCTTCAGAGGTCCGCTAGCGCACGTGTTATACAATAGACGGTAAATGTTATGGCTGGGAATACTAGAGTTGATGAGAATAAAAAAGCAGACGACACGTCTCCGAAATCTGACAGTCGTGAAATCGAAGGCAATATGAACAGAGCTGATGAAGGCAAGTTATGAGAAAAAAATTAATAATCTTTTCAGCATCTCAAAACATGATCCATGGGTTGAAAACGTAGATCGGTCGAAGGCTTACCGTTACGAAACTGCATGAGATGAGCACAACACATGAATTAGAATATTTCTTAATGTAGGGATCTAATATATAGCCAATGAGCAGAGTATATGTGGAAAATCGTTTTGTCTATTTGTTTGGAATTCGCCTTGGAATCATTTAATTCATGCTTCTTAATGTCCGCAAGTGACATGTGTTTTTGCTGGGAATCAAACTTAAAATGTCAAAGGTCACGGTACATAGTACATGAACTTGATGCAATACCTGACGATCAAAAACACACTTTGAGTTAGTACAATTAAGACCATAGCAGATTGAATTATTAACTAATTGGCAGCCCTTATAATTGTATTGTTTGCATTCATAACTGTTTCACTAGTATTTCAAAATATCTGATTTACTCACTGTTCTTTTGCGGTAAATTTTCAAGGTCGAAAGGTCAACAACGTTATTTATTTTCTCTTGTTATGTAAGTTTTAAATTAAGATTAATATACATGTAGATTTTTTTAGAAATTGACATCTGGACAATTTGGTGGTGGCTTGACAATTTACTCAATACTACCTAGTAAAAATACTGCATTATATAATTATATATTATAGGTCTACCGATCATTTCATTATTTATGAAAAAAATGTACAAGGCTAGGCTTAGGTTCAGTTATTCCAGTGATGGTTGATATTTTACCATTCCAGTTATCTCCATTGATTGGTGCTAGAAATCAGACACAAACCCCTACGATGGTTGTCATTTAGTCTGACACAGATTTATCTGTAACATATGTCACGCTGATTGACTACAAAAAAATTACTGTGGTACCTAGCTAAGACTACCAAAAATAACACACCAGCACAATTATTTGAATGCTGGTATCAATTATTATTATTGTGATGTACTTGGCGCAACTTTCACATTATATTGTGCCCTGATGCTCAGAATGATAATGCATTAACCTGTCACAAGTTAAGTCATGAAATTTTAACTTAAAAAGACAAGTTAGCTTAATTAGTACAAAAAGCTTTAACTGATTTATGTTCCTGAAAAAAAGGATGATTAATTGGCAATTCCATTGTTTTGCCTTTGCATAGGTAACCATGGCAATAGAATTTATCATATTTTAGTCTCAGAATGGCTGAAATATTGTGTTGACCATACCTTAAACCCCACTCCGTTCAATATCCTATAACATTTACTGGCTGTAATTCCCTAATAATATTAAAAAGTTGTGTTTAAGAAAGAATGCTTATATTATTCGCAATTCGTCATTGCACATTGGGTGGGTTGGATGGCTGAATGGTTTGTGGGCGTGCGCTGTATCATAAGGGTTATTATTGAGTCAACTGGCGTGGTTTCGATTCCCCGGTTGTACGTGACAAGTAGTAGGGTCACCTGTCCAACCTCTTGGGTTTTTGCTGGGACATGTTTTTGCATATTAATGATATTTTAACTTACTTTCCAGCTTCTATATTGTAGGAAATTATTGCTGGAAGAATTTTTATAAGCCCACATTGAAATGTGGACGTATATTGCCGTCGCCCCCGTCCGTCCGTCCGTCCATCGTCCACAATTTCTTGTGAACGCTCTAACACCAAAAGTTATCATCCAATTTTTTTAAAATTGATATATGTTGTTTACATTAGTGAGATGAAGAAGCCTTTTTAATTTCAATAATTTCTGTTTATTACGTCTAGAGTTATGCCCTTGTTTCACTTTGTTGAGCCTTGTGAACGCTCTAATGCCAAAAGTTAACATCCGATCTTTGTGAAATTTATATGCAATATTTAGGTTAGTGAAATGAAGAATCCTATTGAATTTCAGCAATTTCCGTTTATTACGTCTAGAGTTATGGCCCTTGTTTTACTTTATTGAACCTTGTGAACGCTCTAACGCCAAAAGTTATCACCCAATCTTTGTGAAATTTATATGCATGATTTAAATTAGTGAAACGAAGAAGCCTAATGAATTTCAGCAATTTACGTTTATTACGTCTAGAGTTATGGCCCTTGTTTCACTTTATTGAACCTTGTGAACTCTCTAACGCCACAAGTTATCACCCAATCTTTGTGAAATTTATATGCATGATTTAAATTAGTGAAACGAAGAATCCTATTGAATTTCAGCAATTTACGTTTATTACGTCTAGAGTTATGGCCCTTGTTTCACTTTATTGAACCATGATTTAAATTAGTGAAACTAAGAAGCCTATTGAATTTCAGCAATTTCCTTCAATTACTTCTAGAGTTATGGCCCTTGTTTTACTTTGTTGCACCATTGGAAGGTTCTTAACGCTCTGCCGATTTGTATGAAATTTACATGTGTCATTTAAATTAGTCAAGAGAAGAATCCTATTGAATTTCAGCAATTTCCGTTTATTACTTCTAGAGTTATGGCCCTTGTTTCACTTTGTTGCACTTTGTGAACGCTCTAACTTCTAAAGTTAACTGCCGATCTGTATGAAATTTATATGTGCCATTTAAATTAGTCAAGAGAAGAATCCTATTGAATTTCAGCAATTTCCGTCAATTTTTTCTACAGTTATGACCCTTGTTTCACTTTGTTGCACCATGGGAACGCTCTAATGCTCTGCCGATCTGTATGAAATTAGTCAAGAAAAGAATCCTATTGAATTTCAGCAATTTCCGTTTATTACTTATGCATCATTTGAATTTGTGAAACTAGAGGTCTATTGAATTTCAGTAATTTCAGTCAATAATTTCTAGAGTTATGACGATTGTGAACCATGTGAACGTTTGAATGACAAAAGTGATCATGTGATCTGTATGAAATTTTATATGCATTATTTAAATTAGTAAAACGAAAAAGCCTGTCAAATTTCAACAATTTCTGTAGATTACTTCCAGAGTTGAGACCCTTGTTTCAGTTTGTAGAACCTTGTAAACCCTCAAACGACAAAATTTATAATCTGATCTGTATGGAACTGTCTTGTAAAGGCCCCCAATTACCTACAAAGGAATAAATATGCGACATCCCTTGTCGACCGCTCGGACGATTTAGCTGCTGTGGGCGTATGTTTTGTTGCCTGGCAACCTATCTTTTAGAAAAAGAAACAAATGGATAAAATTACTTTTGCAATTTTATAAGACAAGCTGATCTATGAAAACCGATATTAGATTTGACTGAACTTATAAGAATTTGGGGAAATGGGGAATGAGCTGCCTTTGTAGTCCAATTTGAAACTTTTGACCTTTACACCTGGAGACTGCTTGATTTTATTTTTGGCAGATTGACATCAGGTTTTAATTTGACTCCCTGAAATTTTGAATTCTGATCTCTTATCCTTTCCTGTTGGATGCCAGCTGTATAAATGAATCTATTAAGGTTTTACAGCTGAATATAACTGTTTGTATATTTAATAAAGAGGCAATAGTTGGTCTTAAATTAAATTTTATTTTGTATTCAAGTTCATGCTTTTTTTAATTAAAAATTTAAAGTACAACTATATTGTTGCCCTTGAGCATGGATCTATTAGACATTAAACTCGTACCTCTGTTTTGTTAACAAGATTCAAATCAACAAACATCTTGTACCCTTGTTGAACATAGACAGTTTCAGTGTTATTGGTACCGTAGTCCAATTATGCAACCTAATTATTGTCCCCAACCTTTTGAAATACATGTAAGCAAAGAACTATTAAAATGAGTTTGTCTTTCCATTATTTTTACACGCCCACATGGAAATGTGGTCGTATATTGCCGCCGGTCCGTCCGTCGTCCAGAATTTCTTGTGAACACTCTACAGACTACATTTATCATCTGATTGTTTTGAAATTGATATATGTTGTTTACATTAGTGAAATGAAGAAGCCTATTTAATTTCAATAACTTCTGTTAATTTCGTCTGGAGTGATGGCCTTTGATTCACTTTGTTGCACCGATCTGTATGAAATTTATATGCATCATTTGAATTAGTAAAACAAAGAAGCCTATTGAATTTCAGCAATTTCCGTTAATTACATCTAGAGTTATGGCCCTTGTTTCACATTGTTGAATCTTGTGAACGCTTGAACGACAAAAGTTATCATCCAATCTTTATGAAATTCATATGCATCATTTAAATTAGTGAAATGAAGAAGCCTATGGAATATCAGCAATTTCTTTCAATTACTTCTAGAGTTATGGCCCTTGTTTTACTTTGTTGAACCTTGTGAACGTTCGAACGACAAAAGTTATCATCCGATCTGTATGAAATTGATACATGTATGTATTATTTGAATTAGTAAAACGAAAAAGTCTGTCGAATTTCAACAATTTCTGTAGATTACTTCCAGAGTTACAGCCCTTCTTTAGTTTTTAGAACATGGTGAACCCTCAAACGACGAAAATTATAATGTCATCTGTATGAAATTGTCTATTAAATGCCCCCTAATTACCTACAAAAGAACAAATATACGACAACTCTTGTCGACCGCTCGGACGATTTAGCTGCTGTGGGCGTATGTTTAGTTGCCTAGCAACCTATCTTTTGTTGGGGTAAAATGTTCAAACCCGGTGTAGGTGTTTATCAGGTGAATGTCTATAACTAGACTGAGTTTGTTGATGACCCACTAGAAACGTACATATTGATTGATTAATCAAAAGTCTTGACATTACAGGGTCAAAAGTAGTGCTGGCGAAAAATAGCGCTATCGTTATTCAGGTCTTGATATTGATATCGATAAAAAAACATAAAGGAGCTTCAATAAAATTTAATTAACGGAATGTTTTGAGTCAAATAATCACCGTCATATCATTCAAAACACGCTAAAACTAAAAACACACACACATTAAAATCCTTGTGGTACTAGGTGTAATTTGATTAAGGTACAACCACTGTGCCATGTAATTTTTGCGGTCATTTACAGCAATGACAATGACTAATTAATTAATTGTTCATGGGAAATAACTCAATTTTAATAGAAATTTATTTATTGTTGTAAGCGGCCAAGGAAAATTGTCAACAGTGATTGATAGCGAGCGTGAAGCTGCGAATACTATTTTGTTAATAACACCATCAGATAGTTGTGAATGAAACAAACTTTAAGAAAACATAGTTTAAGGATCATAGTTTTTTTTTTATTTGATCATTAACACATTGAAATGCATTATTAGCATACAAACAGTTATTTCTTTCATGGGATCACGTGGCTAAGTGGGTAAGACTCTGGTTCGCTAGCCTGGAGATCGGGTGTTTGTTCCCTGCATTGGCCGAGAAAGTTCATTCAGATTTTCCTGCGTGGTTTCCCCTTGTCAGTGATGCAGGATGAAGGGGCCTGACAAGGACAGCTGTCTGGTCGTTCGGATGGGACGAAAAACCGAGGTCCAGTGTACACATTGGCGTTAACGTAAAAGATCCCATGGCAGTTGGTATCGATATAAGAGTAGGCCGTAGCGCCGCTGCCCGGGCAAAATTTCCCTCATAGCACACTGTATGGCGTATGCCCGTCTTCATTAGCCCAGATTAGGAGCAGAACAGTAGGACGTTAAACCCCATTTCATTTCATTTGATTTCTTTCAACTTCAAATTTTCCGATATATTGATTTCGATTACCAGCCCTAGGCAAAAGCCACTCGTATGACCTCTGATGTGACCTCCCACTACAACTGGTCAGATCTTCATGTATTAGAGGCCATCGAAAGTATAAAAACTCAAGTGAAATATAGATCAGTATTTTAATCAGATTTTTTATTTTTAAGATGTTCAAATTGTTGGTATGTCGATGTTTCAGCTACAAGTAACAAGACGGAATGTAATTGTGATAATGATGAGACATCTACAGATGATAATAAAGTAACAACTGTAAATGGAGAAGATGAAAACCAGAAAATGGAAGAAGATGAAGATAAGAAAGATCTGCAAGAGATTGTTTTAATACAAGATACAGGATTTACTATCAAAATAATTGCACCTAATGTGGAATCATTTGAACTACCGGTAAGGACCCAGTTTCTTGCACATAATCCTGTGCACAGATTTCTCTTAACCATCAAGGAAAATGTTTGCCTATAAAGATTTTTTTCTGTTTTTAATTTTATTATCTCATTTACTACTAGATGTATAATTAAAGGGTAAAACACTTGATAACTTATGGCTGTGCAAGGTTGAAGCTTAAGTCAGGTAAAAATGGGATGGCTGCAGCTCTCCTTTACTTGTGTTATTGTGTAGACAAAATTAAATGGAAGGAAGCATACTGAATATTTGAATAAAGATGGTTCAACCCCTATCAGTATCCTACTATCTAGAAATTTCAGTTTTAATCTTTGTTATTGTTCACAGGTGAGTTCTATGGAATTGGTGCAGGAAATATATCAGGTACTGATGGATAGAGAAGATACATGCCACCGCACTTGTTTCTCTTTGCAACTAGATGGTGTGACTCTTGACAATTTCTCTGAATTAAAAACTATAGAAGGATTGAAAGAAGGCTCAGTTGTTAAAGTTGTTGAAGGTAATACACATTTATATTTAATTTCCGATGTAAAAACTTATCGATAGTAGCAGTTATTACGATTATGTCTCAGGAATTACTTCTATATATGACCATGTTTTATGGTGAGTGACCAGGACGGTGTTGTGTTTTGCACAAGCATTGCACACTTGATCATAGGAAACAAAATGACCAAGATAAGATGTTAAACTCGATACGAATATATTGATTCACATCAAGATCTAAATATGAAATGTTTATTAAACTTGTAATTCACCGAAAGGACAGTAGGCCATGCAGGCTTAGTATTGTAGGGATGGCAATAAGAAACCAATAAGCTTACTTGCAAGAATGTTATTGTCCCCCACCTTTCGAAGAAAGCAGGGAACTATTAAAATGGGTTCGTCAGTCGGTCCGTCCGTCCGCCTATATGTCACATTTTTTGGGACACAACTCTCTTCTAATTGAGCTAGAATGTTCAATCTTGGTGTAGGTGTTTATTAGGTCAGTCCCTTAATGGAGTTCACGATAACTTGGACACAATAACTTTAGTTTTAATTAATTGAGAGTGATGAAACTTAGTATATAGTTTCATTATTACATCAATACCTTGACTGAGTTCGATAATAAGCATATTCTGCTCAATAAGCAATTTGATTGGCTGAGACTTTGGAACACAATAACTCTCCTTTTAATTGAGCTTGAATGCTCAATCTTGGTGTAGGTGTTTATTAGGTCAGTGCCTTGATGGAGTTCGAAGATCAGCATTTTCTGCTTAGGGTAAGCAGAGATGAGCAATTTGATTGGTTGAGACTTTGGGGCACAATAACTCTCCTAATTGAGCTAGAATGTTCAAACTTGGTGTAGGTGTTTATTAGGTGAGTGCCTTGATGAAGTTTGAAGATGATCATTTGCTGCTTGGGGTAAGCAGAGATAAGCAATTTGATTGGTTAATGCTTTGGGACACGATAACTATAGTTCTAATTAAGTGCGAGTGATGAAACTTGGTGTTTAGTTTCATTACATCAATACCGTGACTAAATTTGATAATGAACATTTTCTGCTCAGGGTAAGCAGAGCAATAAGCAATTTGATTGGCCGAGACTTTGAAACACAATAACTCTCCTTGCTCAAACTTGGTGTAGGTGTTTACTAGGTCAATGCCTTGATGGAGATCGAAGATGAGCATTTTCTGCTTAGGGTAAGCAGAGATAAGCAATTTGATTGGTTGATGCTTTGGGATACGATAACTTTAGTTCTAATTAAGTGAGAGTGAGAACACTGTGTAACTTAACTAAGTTCGATAATGAACATTTTCTGCTCAGCGTAAGCAGAACGATAAGCAATTTGATTTTTCGAGACTTTGGAACACAATAACTCTCCTTTTAATTGAGGTAGAATGTCCAAACTTGGTGTAAGTGTTCATTAGGTGAATGCCGTGATAGAGTTCAATGATAAACATTGTCTGCTTACGGTAAGCAGGGATAAGCAATCTGATTGGTTGATGCTTTGGGGCACCATAACTTTAGTTTTAATTAAGTGGGAGTGATGAAACTTCGAGTATAGTTTCATGATATCATTACCTTGACTAAGTTTGATGATAAGAATTTTCTGCTTAGGCTAAGGAGCATTAAGCAATTTGATTGGTCAAGACTTTGGAACATAACAACTCTGCTTTTAATTGAGGTAGAATGTTTAAACTTGATGTAGATGTTCATTAGGTGAGTTCAGTGATTAACATTTAGAGCTAAAGCTTAGCAGAGCTAAGACGTTTATAATAATAATAATAATAATTTTTATAATAATAATAATAATTTTTATAATAATAATTTTTATAATAATTATTTTTATAATAATAATAATAATTTTTATAATAATAATAAAAACTTTATTTAATGAGGCAACTTATTTAGTTTGCAGAAAACTAATCTTCCATAAGTTCCTCCTAAGCTACAAAGACATATATACATGTAATGTCAGGATAAATTCAAAATCATTTGAAATGCAATAGCATTTTAAAGTGAGAAGTTTGGGTTAGTAAGTCACTCCTCAACTACATAACATATACACGTAAAATATAGGAAGAACACTATAATTACTCACGAAATAAGATAGAATGCAGTTGCAAGTTAAATATACATGAAAAATAATATGTATGTCATCATTTGAATATAATATTTTCTTCAGTGCTCAATATAAATAAGTTTTTAGTTTAATCTTAAAATCTTCAACATTTTTACACATCTTTGTATCAAAAGACAGATTGTTCCATAAAAGTCATGCAGAATAATGAAAAGTACATTTCATGGATTCCGTTTTGCATTTTGGAAGGAAAAGGGATTTACTTGTCTGTGAATGGAGCAAGATTTTAGATAAAGTGGAGTATTAAATGTAATAATTTTGAATGATAAGACAATTTTATTATAAAGAATCCTCTGTGTAAGGGGAAGGCAACCGAGTTTAGTAAATAAAGAGGTAGACGCAGTTTCAATTGGTGCATCAAGAATACTTCTTGCTGCCCTCTTGTAATTTTAAAAGAATGTCTAATCTACTTTTGGTAGCATTCCCCCAAATAATAGAGCAATAGTCATATATTGGTAGTATGTAACTATTATAAAACAAAATTCTTGTTTCGTAAGGTAAAGGGGGGTCACGGTGGCTAAGTGGGTAAGACTCTTGCTCGCTAGCCTGGAGGTCGGGTGTTCGATCCCTGCATAGGCCGAGAAAGTTCACACAGATTTTTACGGCGTGGTTCCCACTTGTCAGTGATGCAGTATGGAGGGCCTGACAAGGACAGCGGTCTAGTCATTCGGATATGAAAAACCGAGGTCCCATGTACACATTGACGTGCACGTAAAAGATCCCTTGACAGTTGAAATTCGATATAAGAGTAGGCTCTAGTGCCACTGTCCGTGAAAAATTTCCCTCATAGTACACTATGCCCGTCTTCATTAGCCCAGTTCGGAGCAAAACAGTAGGACTTTAAATCCCACTTCATTTCATTCGTAAGGTAAATGATCTTTTATCTGATTTAGGAGAAATACTTTTGATGCAAGTTTTTTTTAGACATGTATGCTGTCTAAGGTCTTGGTCAATTTGAATTTTGCGGTAGTAACCGTCTCAATTTTTTCACCATGAAGTGATAAAGTTAGGTTTTTCAGTTTTCTTTTGTGTTTTGATGAAATAAGCATTGACTTTGTTTTCGAAAGATCGATTACCATCCCAGTGTTTTCACATTGGTCGATGCTTTGGGACAAGATAACTTTAATTCTATCTGATAGAGAGTGATGATAATAGTTGATAATGAGTTTCAAAAAATTAAATGTGCGATTTATGTGTCAACTATTTATTTCGGGATTTCCACACTGTCCATAGTCCATGTCTATTGGTGGGGTTATTCCCATTTTTAAGCCAGAAAATTCAAGTTTGCTCTTTTTAGATATTTGGCAAACAGACACTATAAAACTAAAATGTATGGTGTGAGAAGATAATTCTTTTTATTGTAATTATTTTTTTGATCTTCAGAACCTTATACTGTGCGGGAGTCCAGGATTCATGTACGTCATGTTAGGGATTTACTCAAATCCTTGGACTTAGCTGATGCCTACAACGGTGTTGATTGTATTTCATTGTCCTTCCTTAATACGGTCACAGCTGCTGATGTAGTGGGTAAGAATATTAATCCCTTAAGAACAAGATATCTAACTGATCAATTTCATTATTTGACTTAGCATGGCTTTATTCTCGGCTGTTTTATGTACACAATCTAAGATTATGACACACTCAATTACTTAAAGATTATCTTTCCAACTTTAAGTTGACTTAATATAGTGTTATACATGGATTACAAGCAGGTTAAAGATGCATTATGTAAGATTTAGATAAAGAGCTGGTTGTTCTTGCTGTAATGGTTTTAAAATAGATATGAAAATAAATATATTTAAAATGTCAAACCAATTGCTTTATTCTGAGCAAAGTTAAGAATGTGTGAAGTTTTGAAAAGAAATAGTCTCAATTGTCAAGTACCATTGCCATGATAATAAACAGTCTTAATTTTCAATCGGCACTCTCCATGAATGGCATCCATGTTATTTTGTATATGGCCACATTTTCATGTGGACGTATTATGCCGTCACCCCTGTCCGTCCGTCCACAATTGTTTGTGGACTCTCTACAGGTCACAATTCTTATCCGATTTTGACGAAACTTGAAATATAGGTTTAACCCAAAAGGTCTCGGCTGCTTTCAATATTGGCATGTATCGGATCGAAACTTCATGGATTATGGCCCCTGATTGTACGAAAAATCACGTTTTTAGCTTGTGGACCTTATAGATGTCATAATTTTTATCTGATTTAAAAAAACGTATTATTATATCACCGTTACACCCTAAGGACGGCTAAGTTCGAATTTCGTGAAAATCGGCCCAAAACTGACAGACAAAATGGCCGCCCCTCATTCTCAAATAGCTTAAAAATATGGTATATCAAGGTTGTGGACCCTATAGAGGTCACTATTTTTATCCGATTTTGTTGAAACTTGAAATGTAAGTTTATAACCCAAAGATTTTGGTTCCTTTCGATATTTGCGCATAGTGAATTGTAATTTCCTGAATTATGGCCCTTGATTGTAGGAAAAATCACTTTCTTTTTAGCTTGTTCTCTATCCATCTCTCGAAAATGTGGGCGTATTCTGCCTGGCAGCCGCTGGTTTAATGAAGATATGGTGGAAATTGTCTAATCCACTCAATGTCTTGGCCATACGATGGTCTACAGCGAGTTGAATATGAGCTTGTCATGAGAAAGTTCAAATGTCTAAAAAATATTTATATAATATTTAGGCAAATCTAACTCTTACATAATACATCTGTAAATAATCATAGTCTTTTTCCTAGGTATCATACCTATAGCCTCTACAAATCCTGTAACTGCACAAATTCAAACCTTTAGTATACAAGTTGGGACCACATTTAGCTTTCTAAACAGGATTTAGTCATAAAATTTATTGCATAATTTCATGAGCACAATAGCATACAGTATTTTGTTCAGGTACACAGTATACATGCAGTGACCGCCCTAGACATTCGCCAATAGCGATAATTCTTTTTATTGGCAATCAAATTGATGATACTGACGAAAGTTTTGGCGAATGAATTTTAGAGTGTAATTCCGAAAATCTTCTAATTTTAATCTTGCAATTGTCTAGTTCAACACTTCTTTCCACTGACTTGATGTAGTGTTTATTTTTATTACATTAATTGACTATTCTTAATCTTGCAAGTGGCAAATTAGTCAATGGTTACACATTTTAAAAACGACCGAAAGATTGAGTCTCGAGACTTAACATTCAAACACAGTTCAGTTCCTTTTGTATGGTGCTCCTGATTTAATTACGCTTAGCTATAATTTTTCCAATTCATTTTCAAATTATAATATTGAATAATGATTACTAATATTTATTTACCGAACCAAAAATAAGGATAGATTCAATTTTACTACCTTCATCCGCAAAGCACATGATTAACGAAACGGCCGATACAACTTCTCCTTCTTCCAGAAAGTTACTGATGGCGACAATGTGAATGTGATTGATGTGATAAGGAGTGTACGAGTGACACTTGTATGACAGAATCTCATTTTTTGTTGCCTGCATCCTTGCAAATGTGAACTTTCGGACAGTTCAGGGAATAAAATAATACTCCTGTGCATTAAATAAGTACATATTAAATATTTATTTTTAATTAACAAACACAAGAGAAATATTATATTTGGCTACAAGTTTCCGAATTGGCTAATAAAATTTTGATTTGGCTAAAGGTTTTAAGTCTAGGGTGGTCACTGTACACGCATTGTCCATCTATTTCAGAAAAGAAAAAGTCAAAACTTGAATCTATAGATTGCACACCACCAGATTATATTTTGCCCAATAATAAAGAAAGACCATTGCTTCCGTTACATCCAGGAGTCAAAGAACAAAAGGTATGAAGATTTTTCTTAAAAATAAGAAATATAACATTTATTTTGAAACATTTACAGATATTTTCTAAAGGTTCAAGCATTATAAGGTCACCAGTTGAACCTTCTAAACTTATTTTTATCAGAAATTTAAACATGTCGATGAAAAATAGAATTAAAGGATCAAATTGCCTATTACATGTAGCTATCAAATTGCCTATTAGGTAAGTTACAAACTGTAAACCACAGAGTTTGCCATTGATATCTTAGCATGTGCGTTATACCCACACAATACCCAGAGCTCATCAACTTAGTGCACTCAAATTTGTCGCATGTCATAAAAGCCTACCTTGAATTAATTTTTGGTAGCAAATATTTTTATTATATTTCCCAGCGATTTGGATATATTTTCCAATTGATGGTTATGTATATTTTGGATCATTACTTCCAAGAAAAAATCTTTAAGATGAACATATTTTATCTATAGAACATGTTTTTTTTTCTAAGGCCCCACAATGTGTAAGAGTATTAACTTACAGTGGTTGGAATCCTCCTCCAGGAAACAGAAGAATGCATGGTAAGATACCCAGTTAGCTATTGGTTTTGATTATAGATTTTCTTATAAACTTGAACAAATTGTGTGAACTAATTCGAATCAGTTAATAGCTATATATACATTATCAACTTTCTAATTTAGAGGTTATTTAAGTGAAATAAATATAAAACACAAGGCATAATTATTTAATGTCTTTACCCAAATCATTCAAATTTATTGAAATATATTTCAGGTGATTTATTATATTTGTATGTTCTAACATTAGAAGATAAGAAATTCCACATAACCGCGTCCACCAGAGGTTTTTATATTAATCAGTAAGTATACAAGTGACCATTTCAAATTTTACTTTCAGTTCACCAGTTAGACCTCTATCTTTTTTTTAGTTATTTTACAGATGTAGTAGTTTTGACATTCTTTGTTTAAAACTTACTTGGATAATGTTTGTCAAGATATGATTTCGAGGCTTGTTTTTCTGACTTAATGACACATGGATTATTTAAAATATTTCAGATCTACAGAAGATGAATTTAATCCACAACCAACACAACCCAGTTATCTTTCTCATTCTTTAATAGATTTAATGAACCAGGTAAAATTAAAAGATAAACTGAAAAAAATATTCTCAAGGTTCTCATTTCAAAAATGTATCCATCCAGACATTTTTATACGCCCACATGGAAATGTGGACGTATATTGCCGTTGCCCCCGTCCGTCGATCCATCGTCCACAATTTCTTGTGAATTCTCTAACACCAAAACTTATGATCCAATTGTTTTAAAATTGATATACGTTGTTGACATTAGCGACACGAAGAAGCCTGTTGAATTTCAGCAATTTCCCTTAATTACTTCTAGTGTTATGGCCCTTCTTTCACTTTGTTGCACCTTGTGAACGCTCTAACATCTAAAGTTATCTGCCGATCTGTATGAAATTTATATGTGTTGTTTAAATTAGTAAAAAGAAGAATCCTATGGAATTTCAGCAATTTCCGTTTATTACTTCTAGAGTTATGGCCCTTGTTTCACTTTGTTGCACCTTGTGAACGCTATAACATCAAAAGTTATCATCTGATCTGTATGAAATTTATATGCATCATTTAGATTAGTGAAACCACAAAGCCTATTGAATTTCAGCAATTTACAAAAATTACTTCTAAGAGTTATGGCCCTTGTTTCACTTTGTTCAACCTTGTTAATGCTCTATTGGTGAAAGTTGTCATCCGATATGTATGAAATTTATATGCATCATTTAAATTTGTGAAACAGAGGTCATTGTATTTCAGCAATTTCTGTCAATTATTTCTAGAGTTCTGGCTCTTGTTTTACTTTTTGAACCTTGTGAACATTTGAATGACAAAAGTTATCATCCGATCTGTATGAAATTTATATGCATTATTTAAATTAGTAAAACGAAAAAGCCTGTCAAATTTCAAAATTTTCTGTAAGTTACTTCCAGAGTTAAGGCTCGGGGTCCTGGTTCTTGAAATCTTAACTAAAGATAAAATCCAAATTTTAGTAGATACTTCATTTTTTGATTGGCTAAGAGCCAAAATCAATCTAATATTACCTAATCAAATTACTAAAATTGGGATTTTATCTTAGTTACAATTTCGCGAAACAGGCCCCTTGTTTCATTTTGTAGAACCTTGATTAACCATCAAATGACAAAAATTATAATCTGATCTGTATGAAATTGTCTTGTAAATGCCCCCAATGACTTACAAAACAATAAATGTGTCAACCCTTGTCGACCGCTCGGATGATTTAGCTGATGTGAGCATATGTTTCGTTGCCTGGCCACCTATCTTTAGTGTATGTTAGTTGTTTTAACTTTATTTTGTTGGCTGGAGAGGTCACATGATACCCTGCAAATTCAGACCTGTAATAGCTCTGGGACAAAAATTCAAGAGATGTGGGTATAAAAATTAAATTTCACATTAGTTTATAAACAGGTGTGCCATCATTGCCAAAAATACAATTGTTCACATTTATTGCATAAAACATTGACAGCCAAAAATACAATTGTTCACATTTATTGCATAAAACATTGACAGCCTAAGAAAGACATAAAGAGAGGGTTATTGGTACAGGTAGACCAAGAGAAGGAGTGAAATAAATATTCAGTCAACTTGGTACAATGATATAGCTGATCTGTTTGGTTTGGTATAATATTGTTTTATAGTCAACAAAAGGTTTTACTAAATGAAACATGGTATCATGGTAAGTGTGATTTTAAATTGTAACATTCTATCCTTTTAGATTAGTCCAGCATTTAGAAAGAACTTTTCAGTATTGTTGAAAAAAAGATCCCAGAAACATCCATTTGAGAGAGTTCCTGCTCCTTATCAGGTATATAGTTGGATGGCACCATTACCACAACACACAGTAGATTATATCAGAGCAGAAGATGGTATGTATATTTATCTGTTATATTTGAGTTACCATCATTAGTAATATGATAATTTTTTTATGAATCTTGAATTAGCTATATAGTAGAATTCAGCCTGAAATAATTTATTCATTTATCCTGAAAACAACAGTGTCTTAAGTTGGTTTTTAAAAATTGGGGAAATTCATTCCACAAATGTAATGCAGCATATGAAAAGTTGACCAAATAAAGTATTAATTATTCAAGAAGTTTTAAAGATTTTGGTCTTGGACATAGATGTGACTTTCATAATCTTGGAAGATCCGAGTAGAGTTTTACCATCAATTTTTGTCCAGAAGGATTTGGCACAGAATTTTAATTGTCTGCAATAATTTTGGCAGGTATATCATTAATTACTTTCTACTTTATAGCCTTTTCTACTAGACTAGGATATGAGGAACATATTCCTGGCCAGACAAGAGACTGGAATGAGGAAATCCAAATGACCCGTGAACTATCGCGTAAAAACTTACCAGATCGTCTTATAAGAGAAAGAGCTATTTTCAAGGTACTATTTATCATTATGTTTTCTCAGTATTTGCAACCTTTTAAAGACCATGTTACATACACAAAGAACTGAATTTTCTTTGATTTGGTAAAACATCCAACATCTTGGTGTGAAACATCCGACATCTTGGTGTAAAACATCCGACATCTTGGTGTGAAACAATCAGATTAAAACAGATCCTATTTCGTTTCATTTTGTATTGTTTTGTTTTACTTGTCTTCACAACACTAGGATCTGGAACAGTTGTTATATAACAGGCATTCTAGTTGATGTGAAGAATTGGCCAAAGAAATGGTTTGTTACGACAAGTTCTGGGCGTGCTCTGCAATGAACTGTGGGTAGACCCCTAGAAACGTCAACGCTGATTGATTATTCAATATCTGACGTCATAGGGTCAAAGTCGCTTGTATGACCCCAGATGCGACCTTCATGTTGTGTAGGCCATCGAAAGTATAAAAAAAAAAAAACGAAATGGAATATAGATCTGCATTTTAATCAGATTGAGTGTGAACAATTCATAATATTTAGGCTCCATATACTACCCTTTAATGTAGTATATGAATACAAATTGAATATACAGAATTGTATCGATAAACTTCCATATCCATAAAGGATCAACAATTTTACACAGGCTTAGAGTGATGGCATAGTCAGATTATATCATTTGAAATTTAGGTTACAGAGACACTCTCCAAAGTGCATATAGAACAATTTAAAGCTTCATTTAAAAATGTCCATGTGTACTGTTTAGAAATAACTTCCAAGTAATAAATTTGAGTTAATCTGTTATATTGTGAAAGTAATGTTTTATTCTAGGTACATAGTGATTTTGTCGCAGCAGCCTCACGAGGAGCTCAAGCTGTTATTGATGGCAATGTTATGCCTATTAATCCTGGAGAAGATTCCAAGTAAGTAATTTACAAGATTTAATCTTTGTATAATCTGGTGGGAGGGCATAGTACACTGTAAAATTGCATTATCACTTTCATAGAAAAATCCATTGACCTTACTAGAGCTGCATATGGAATCCTACAAATATTGTATTATTGTTTAGCCATTATATAGCAGGAGATGTTTTGCTTATTTCATTAAGTGAGGGGGTTGGATGGCCGAATGGTTAGCGCGTTCACATTGTATCCTAAAGTCTGTCATTGAGTCAGCTGGCGTGGTTTTCGTTCCCCAGTTTTTACGTGACGAGGAGTACAGTCGCCTGTACAACGTCGTGGGTTCTTCCCACTGTTAAAGAACCCTATGTGCAAGCAAATTATTGAAATAAAATTGAACCATATGTTAATCTCGAAATGACACGTTTTGTGTTAAGTGGACCTTAATCCCCCCTCTCTCTCTCTCTCTCTCTCTCTCTCTCTCATTTAATTGAATATGGAGTGTTGGGTGGTCTAGTGGTTTAACGTGTGCGTAAAATCATAAGGTCTGTCATTGAGTCAAGTGGTGTGGTTTCAATTCTCTGCTTGAACATGACGAGGAGTAGGATTACCTAGCCAACATTGTGGGTTTTCTCTGGGTGCTTCGGTTTCCTCCCGCTGCTAAATACCCCTACGCGCAACCAAAATAAACTAGTTTGTGTGTGTAGACGTTAAACCCCATTTCTCTCTTAATTGAATAAACATTCCAAATCAGAGATGTTTTGAACAATTGTATTTCATTGTCTGGTAAGTGAATTAAAACTGATATAAATTAACTTTTAATGAACTTTAGTAACAGCAATAACATCAACAGATGGATAACAAAACACATTAACACTTGTAAAAGTTTGACTCTTCATGCCAACAGAACAGTGAATTGTTTTATTTTCTGAAAATGTAATAATTCTTCATAAGCCGAGAAATTTATTTGGGTTGTAGATACTATCTCTGTAGAAATATGAAATAGATCTAAACAATTTGATTTATAATGAATATAAATATTATACTTCCATCAACCGGGCACATACTATATTTCCTTTTTGCGATGTCTTTTAAGTCTGGCTAATTAAGTCATTGAGTAGAACGGGTGCAGTCAAGGTTGGGCTGTTCGTGCGATTGAGTCTTATCAAATAGGTACAAGATTTGAAGATTGTAACCATTAGCAAAATGCGAGAGTGAAAAACACACATTTATTAAAATGATTTTCGCATTTGTGACAAGCGTAATAAAGCTCCTAAAAATAACTTTGCATGTGCTCCTCAAAACCCAGGGCTGGCATATTCACCACAATTCTGTGCTTTTAGTTATTCTGTATGAGATGTACATTTTTATTTGATACATTTTGTACAGTTCAATCTGAACATTTACAATCTTTTTTTACACGCCAACATTTTCATGTGGACATATATTGTTGTTGCCCCTGTCCAGACGTCCGTCCGTCCGTCCATCCGTCCACAATTTGTTTGTGGACACTCTACAGGTCTCAATTCTTATCTGATTTTGAAGAAACTTGAAAATTAGTTTTATCTCCAAAAGATCTAGGTTCCTTTCAATATTGGCATATATCGGATCAAAACTTCATCGATTATGGCTCCTGATTTTAGCTTGTGGACACTCTAGAATCACAATTTTCATCTGATTTTGATGAAACTTGAAATGCATGTTTATAACCTAAAGATCTTGGTTCCTTTCGATATTTGTGCATGTCGGATTGTAACTTCCAGAATTGAAATATATCTTTTACAACCCAAAGGTCTTGGTTCCTTTCGATATTCTAGAAATGATATTGTGTTTAATGTCGTTTCAGAATGCAGATGTTTATTTGGAACAATATTTTCTTTAGTCTGGGTTTTGATGTTAAAGATCATTATAAAGATTTTGGTGGTGATGCAGCAGCTTATGCTGCCCCGGTAAGTCATTTGTGATGGTATGACTGATGTCGCAGGATCTAGATGTTTAAGATCATAATTAATATTATGCATGCATTTTTATACGGTCACGTGGAAATGTGGACGTATATTGCCGTAGCCCGTCCGTCTGTGGTTTCATCCGTCCATCGTCCAAAATTTCTTGTAAACGCTCCATCACCAAAAGTTATTATCCGATTGTTTTAACATTGATATATATTGTTTACATTATTGAGATGAAGAATCCTATTTAATTTCAATAATTACTTCTAGAGTTGTGTCCCTTGTTTTACTTTGTTGGACCTTGTGAACAATCTAACATCAAAAGTTATCTTTGATCTGAGTGAAATTTATATGTGTCATTTGAATAAGTAAAAAGAAGTATTCTTTTGAATTTCTGCAATTTTCATTAATTACATCTACAGTTATGGCCCTTGTATCACTTTGTTGAACCTTGCGAATGCACTTAACGCCAAAAGTTATCATCTGATCTTTGTGAAAATTATATGCATTATTTAAACGAAGAAGCCTGTTGAATTTCTGCAATTTCCGTTAATTACTTCTTGAGTTAAGACCCTTGTTTCACTTTGTTGCACCTTGTGAACTTATCTGCCGATCTGTATGAAATTTATATGTGTTGATTAAATAAGTAAAAAGGAAAGTCTTATTGAATTTCAGTTTATTACGTCTAGAGTTATGGCCCTTGTATCACATTCTTGAACCTTGTGAATGCTTTAACATCAAAACTTATCTGCCGATCTGTATGAAATTTATATGCGTCGATTAAATTAGTAAAAAGAAAAGTCTTATTGAATTTCAGCAATTTCCATTTATTACGTCTAGAGTTATGGCCCTTGTATCACTGTTGAACGTTGTGAACCTTCTATCGTTACAAGTTATCATCCGATCTGTATGAAATTTATTTGCATCATTTAGATTAGTGAAAAGAGAAAGCTAATCAAATTTCAGCAGTTCCCGTTAATTACTTCTAGATTTACGGCTCATGTTTTGCTTTGTGAACCTGTGAACCGGATGACAAAAGTTACCATCCGATCAGTATGAAATTTATATGCATTATTTTAATTAGTAAAACAAAAAACCCTGTCAAATTTCAACAATAAATTACTTCCGGAGTTGAGGCCCGTGTTTCAGTTTGTAGAACTTGTGAACCCTCTAACGACAAAAATTGTAATCTGATCCGTATGAAATTGTCTTGTAAATGCCCCCAATTACCTACAAAAGAATAAACATGCAACAACCCTTGTCGACTGCTAGAACGATTTAGCCTCTGTGGGCGTATGTTTTGTTGCCTGGCAACCTATCTTATTAAGTGTGCATTCGGAAATAGATCTGTCAGTCTTTTAGTGATTATTGGGTTGCAGGTTGCTGTACATATAATTGTTTATATGCATTAGCCTTGACTTCAAACTAAAAGTTTAAACATTGTCAAATATTGAAGTCTAGCATATGTGATATACATAGATGCTAAGGCCTGTCATCTATGCAAGTGATGGATCAAATCCTGTGCTTTTGTTACAAGGAGTAGGGTCATCTGCCTAACCATGTTGGTTTTCTCCAGATTCTCTAGTTTCCTCCCACTTGAAAAAAACCCAAAAAACACTGCATGTACGCAATTTATTAAATATAACATAACGTTCGTTCTGAATTGACCTAGATTTAAAACTCGTATTTTTTCACTTTCATTTGGAAAGTTGTGTAGGGTTTTTTTTTGATAGATAATTCAATGAAGTAACATTTGTTTTTACAGGGTAATGATTTACAAGGAGTACGAGCATATTTTAGTTCCGATCAGGAAGGTTTATATACTCTAGGTACTGTTGTTGTAGATTATCGTGGCTATAGAGTTACAGCTCAATCTATTATACCAGGAATATTAGAAAGGGAACAAGAACAGTCAGTAGTTTATGGTTCGGTTGATTTTGGTAAAACCGTCGTAACCAGTGATAAATACAGGGAACTAGTAAGTATATTATGATTTAAAAAAAAAATAGCTCGACTGCCTTTAAATATAAAGTGATTACTTTAAAGTAGCTAAGTCTCTAACTCAATATCATCCAAAGTCTTCGACATTGAAAACACAAATTATTTGTCAATTTAAATCAACATTATTGATGTTGTGATCTTACTGGGAAAAGATGGGCTTCTGATATCCAATATTTAAGACAAAATAAATATTTTACCATTGGTAACAAGGGACTCGAAGAATGAGGCTAGACTTTCATAAGTGATGTTAAACAGTAACACAATATTCTTACCTGGAGAGCATGCACAATAAATGCTATAGGTGTAGACTAGAATAACCAGACATAGAGATTGCCATTTGATTGAGACTTCTGGCATATTTCGCCGAACGTAACTGATAAGAAATTATAGTAAAATCTTAAAAACTCCCATACTTTACTTGTGACTTATATACTTGGTATGGGGGATTTCGATCTCAGTATTGCTTTTGTCTATCATGCGATTTGAATTTGAATCCATTATGAAAACATTTCAGCTGGCTCGTATTGCCACAACAATTTCAGCCAATGAAAAGCTTTTTCGTTGACGGGTCAGTCATAGATTACAGAACAGCGAAGGAGATAACGTTACGAAGATTTTAATAACAAATATTAATATACATTGAAAATATGTGCTGATCAATGTATACAGTATGTACAAATCTGAAACAGTAATATTATCACAAATCACATATTACTGATGTGTATATATATATATATATATATATATATATATATGTTGTACGGTTTTTTTTCGCATATCATTCAAGTGTGTAATTTGAACGCAACTTAATTTCCAGCACGACTGCATAACCAGACTGATATTTTAATCTTAACGAAATAGCTATAATAAGCCACTTCATGTGTCGAAAATGCCTTAACACTCACTCAAAATAAAAAAAGTTATTTTGCTCATGGACTTATTTATGCATTTAAAGGAATATCGGTCTATTTTTGTGAAATTATTATTTGGATAACGAATCGCGATATGGACATTGATTGTATCATCCATCGGGGATTTTTAAAACATTGCGGTTCGCCGATTTATCGTTGCAGCCCTAATAATATGCAATTTTTTATTGTTTCAATTCTTCATTTCAGCTTTCTAAAACAGCTACACAATTGAAGATTCGACCACATAAGTAAGTTACTTCAAATTGTTCTGATTATTGATTATAATGATTACATGCAGAGCCTAGTTTCGATAAATTCTGATTCAATTTAATCTGACATCACCATTTAAAGCTGATAAAGCAAAACCCAACAAAGTATTTGTTAGTCAAAATTTATGTTATATATCCTTGGATTAATGATAATTGTAACATGCTCAAGGGTGAATCTTGCGTTTTGATTGGTCAATTAGACACTGTCGATTAGACAATAAAACCCCTCTGTTTTAGCAAGGCGAATAACTGCGTATAAATATTAGGTACTTTTTATACGCCCACATTGAAATGTGGTCATATATTGTCGTTGTCCCCGTCCGTTCAGTGTCCACAATTGCTTGTGGACACTCTAGAGGCTAAAGTTAATATCCGATTGACTTTGAATTTATATACAGTGTTTAAGGCCATGATACGAAGAAGCCTATTGATTTTCAGCGATTTCCGATAATTACTGCCAGAGTAATGGCCCTTGATCACTTCAAAAAAATACGCCTACAGTTAATATCCGATTGACTTTAAATTTATACACAGTGTTTAAGGTCATGAGGCGAAGAATCCTATTGATTTTCAAAGATTTCTAATAATTACTGCCAAAGTTATGGCCCTTGATCACTTTGAAAAATCTTGTGACGCTCTAGAGGCTAAAGTTATTCGATTGACTTCAGATTGATACACAGAGTTTAATATCTTGATACGAACAAGTATATTGATTTTGAATGAATTTTTATAAAAGACTTGAACAGCTAAATTCATGATATTAAAAGTTTTGTATACTAAGCGTTAGCATGGGGCAGAACTTTATAAAAACCAAACAAATTCTAATGGTTTTCTGATAATTACTTCATGAGTTGTTACTCTTAATCAGATTTTAGTGTATAATAAATGTTTCATTACTGAAAAAAGTAAAAACATGCGACAGCACTTGTTGACTGCCTGGATGATTTAGCTGCTGTGGGCGTATGTTTCGTTGCCTGGCAACCTATCTTTTCATTTTGTGCTCAACCATCTTCTTGAACTCAAATCTTTATTGACATATATCTTCAAGAAATTCTGCTGAAATGACCATCACACTATTTTCAAACTTCATCCTTTATCCAAACACATCTCTGAAATAAAACAGTAGAAAATCAGTTATAAATTAAATAAAACCGTATTCAGGCATCATAAATTATTCGTAACTAAGCAGTGTGGACAATTTTCTTTTCTTTTCTTTTTTTGCACTAAGCCATGTTTACTGATAAAGGTTTGATCAAATTTTGAATAACATGACCCGCCTAATAATGAGTCATTAGTCACAAGAAATCGTTTGAAAATATTGTAAGGGAGGCAAAATAGCAGCTGAGATGGGCCTAGGATAACGAGAAATTATTTCAAAATTGACAATGATTGACAACACGTCAGAACGGTATACATAGCAACCACTAGAACCCTGGGCATCACATAGTTTTATTGGGTATTTTGAGGGATGTAAGCAAGAACTACTCTTTTCTGAACAAGAACTAGCAATACAATGCAAAACAGTAGGTGTTTATCTCCTAAATAACTGATATGCAATTGGTCATTTTAACCATAACAGGGGCACAGGTCACAATTTTTATCCGATTTTGACGAAATTTGAAATATAGGTTATGTCAAAGTGATCTTGGTTCCTTTCTGTATTCGCTCATATCGGACCATAACTTCATTGATTATGGCCCCTGATTGTACGAAATATCAGTGTTTTTAGCTTGTGAACACAATTTTTATCAGATTTTAAAAAATGTTTAAATGTATCATCGTTACACAATACTGAAGGTTGAGTTCAAATTTTGGGAAAATTGAAACAGGATTGCCCAACAAAATGGCCGCGCCTTGTACTCAAATAGTGTAAAAGTATGTAATACGAAGCTTGTGGTCCCTCTAGAGGTCACAAGTTTTGTCTGATTATGGTGAAATTTATAATATGTTTATATCCCAAAGATCTCAGATCCTTTCGATATTCACACATTTCAGACCATAACTTACTGGATTAAGGCCCCTGATTGTACGAAAAATCACTTTTTTTGTTAGCTTGTTCCCTATCCATCTCTTGCAAAATGGGGGCGTATCTTGCATGGCAACCGCTTGTTTTTATTTTGACCAAGTTTGGGTCAATTTTGGTCTGAGTCGGTACCAACTGTAAGTGTTGGTTAAAATTTAAGATGGAAGATTATTCTCCTTTGATATTTTGATGATTTATTAAATCAATTTGAGTTGATTTTTAGCATGCATTAAGGGGTGAACAAATAGATATTGTCCCGTAAATATAATTAAATCTGTATAAATTCAGTAGAAATGTAATGACATAAATATTTTATTCTGGTCATAAGTAGTAGAGGCAGTAATATTAGATTTTAATGCGAGGTAAAATTGATTGTTTACAGAGTAATTAACAATAAAGATGAAGAGGTTGAACTGTTTTCTTCTATTGAATGCAAGGTAAGAATATATTCAAAATATTCATTTTAAAAAAATATGCTGATCAGGTCTGCATATTAGTCTGTGGCTACTGTGACAGTCAATAGCTCTTGTGCATTTAGAAATATGAAATATGGTACAGCTTTGGATAGTCTGAATATAGTCCGGGCCTATCTTATGTCTTGGTATACCTTGTGTTAAATTGGGTCATGTTTAGAGCACTGCAAATTATTGACCCAAATTGGCAGACAAAATGGCCGCTCCTTATACGCAAATAGTGTAAAAGTAGGTAATATCAAGGTTATGGACACTGTAGAAGTCACAATTTTTATCCAATTTTGATTAAACTTGAAATGTATGGTTGTAATCCAGAGATCTTGGTTCCTTTCGATATTTGCATATATCGGACCGTAACTTCCTGGATTATGTTCCCTGATTGGACCCTCTAGAGGTCACAATTTTTATCCGATTTAAAAAAAAAAAAAAACGTTCGAAGATATCACTGTTACACCCTAATGACGGTTGAAATCAAATTTCGTGTAAATCGGATGGAAACTACCTGCCAAAATGGCTGCTCCTTGTACGCAAATTGTGTAAAAGTATGTAATCCCAAGGTTGTGGACCCTCTAAAAGTCACAATTTTTGTTCGATTTTTATGAAACTTAAAATACATCTTTATATCCCAAATTCTCAGAGCCTTTCTATGTTTGCGTATTTCAGACCATAACTTGTTAGCTTGTTCTCTATGAATCTCTTGCAAAATGTGGGCGTATATCTTGCCTGGTAACCGCTTGTATATTCTTTTGTTTAATTATAGGGTATTATTGGTAATGATCAACGTCACTACATCCTTGATCTTCTACGTACATTTCCTCCAGATGCTAATTATCTACCAGGTTAATATATCATTTATTATAATTACTCCCACACCGCTAATATCAACAGTTTTAGATTTCAACAATTCTAGATTTCCACACTGTTCAATAATCAACAGGTAAAGATTTCCTAAACTCATCAACAATAAAAAAAACCAAAAAAAAACAGCCAAGCTCCAAAATATATCCCACTTCTTTGGATTTTCCCACTTTCTCATAAGTTGAATTGTTTACTTATTCTGCAGTAAAAGGAGAAGAACTAAGTAAGGAAATGAAAGAGCATGGTTACCCACGTAAACATCCTCATAAATTAGCCTGTTTACGACAGGAATTAGTAGATGCTTTCATTGAGTAAGTAGATTTTAATGATTATATCATCTGTGTGTGTGGCCGAATGGTTTAACTTGTGTGCATGAGATCTAAAGTCTGTCATTGAGTCAAATGGTATTGTTTCGAGTAACAAGGAGTAGGGTCGCCTGTTTAGCCATGTGGGTTTTCTCTGGGTCCCCCGTTTCCTACCACAACTAAAGACTGGGACTGGCAGAAAATATCGATATTGCCGATAATCGCCAGTAAAACATTTTGAAGATCGGTAATCAATACAGAAATTCATAAGATAATCCATATCAAAGCATTCTTTGCAACTTGTTCTTTGGTAAGCTCGTTAACTATAATTAAAAAAAAAAAGTCATTGAACACATGTTTTTGTTTTTCATGCGAGACGTCAGGGTAACAGAGTAAAAATGCCAATGCTAATAATTTTCGGATGCTTAAGGTGCAAACAAATAGTTCCTCATGATGTAACGTATTGTCAAATATTGAAATTATATAGATCTCATAGTGACCAAGAGTCAAAAGTATGAATTAGGAACTGCTAAATATCTGTTGATTTGACCAACAGTTAATAGGGTATATTTGATTATTTTTTTAAACTACACATAGCTGGATGACTTATGAAATGAAATTTAAATGTTCTACTTTTCTGCAAAGACTGGGCTAATGAAGACTGGCATACACTATTCAGTTTGCAATGAGGGGAATTTTGTCGTAAATTAATGTTCGATACACTTTGATAGTTGCCGGCAGGATTCTTTCCCCAATAGAGATTGGTAAACTACTAAAACCAGGTGCTATTTGATAGTGTATATAACATTTCAGGCCTAAAGAAGGACCTGTAATAGGCAGATTTAGCACTTGCATGGAATATGAACAATAGACTCACTGACTCTGACTGTAGATTAAGGATGAATTTTATGAATGAATTATATTTATTCTGTAAACCACATTTTGATTTCAGGAATCGTTATTTAGCTTTTGTACGACATGCTGCCAACCAGTTTCAACAATTACAATTATCAAAACAAATCAAATTAAACAAAGATAAAAACAATGAAAAGGATATCAATTCTAATGATAATAAAGATACAGAAGAAAAAAATGCTACGGTAAGTTTTGATTATACAAAACTATATATAATTATATACAAAACTATAAATAGAATTATATATCAAAAATTCAGACAGTTATATACAAAATTACAGATAGAATTATATACAAAACTATAGACAGAACAAAACTATAGATAGAATTATATACAAATCTATAGTTAGAATTATATACAAAACTATTAGTGATGGTCTGATATAGCTACTATCAGTTTTACCTATATCAGATATCGATAGATGTATATATAAAACTGTTACACATTAAAATGTCTCAATGTCATGATAATTGATGTAGTTGTTATGTCATTGTTAGTCGGGAAACGCCTGGTACTATTTTACCTAGAGGCTAAAGTTAATATCCGATTGACTTTAAATTTATACACAGTGTTTAAGGTCATGAGGCAAAGAAGCCTTTTAATTGTCAATGAATTCCGATAATTACTGCCAGCATGCTTTAGAGACCATAGTTATCATCTGATTGATTTTATATTTATACACAGTGTTTACGCCTATATTTATACTCTTCGTTGTCGGTATACCTTTGCTCTACTATCGCCTCGTTGCAACAGGAACCGTGACACGTCGCTGAATCAAACTGCTCTCCAGTGTTGCTGTGGCCATACCCTCAGTCTCTGAACCAATTGAAGCTGGATTTCACGGTGTTGGCGTATTTCAAAACAGCAGCTCTAACCGGACGTTTGGCTCATAATCCGGTTTCATGAAGGCGTTTATGGACTGTCTGGTCTGAGATTCTACGCCATCCATGAATTGCTGCTGCAGTAGAGGTGGCTGTTGAGAACTGTTTCCGCAAAAGACGTAACCGGAAGTGACAATCCTGAGCAGGTGGGGTCACTCTTGTTTGGCCTGAGCTTGGGCGGTCATGTGTTGAACTTCGCTGTTGGTACCTATCCCAAAGGCGAGAAATGGTACTCGGGGAAACATTCTGCAGTCTGGCTACATCTGTCTCACAGTGTCTGGGATTCACCTGCTTGTAACCGACCAATAGCGTTGTTGCGTTAGTCTTCGTTCAGATGTGGCATCACTTGGTTTGTTGAGTGTTTACATGTGCAACTGATTTGGAAACCGAGAACCCTGGGATTTTAAAGGCCTTTGATTTAAGTTAGATGCGGAAAGCTCACAAAGTTGTTAAACTCATGTGTCTTGGTGCACTCAGGCGAAAACAAATTTCAGCAAAAAGTATAACCAGTCACAATTAGTGACCCCACCTTTAAAACCAATAATGAATTTCTTTTATCCTTACATGACATCAAAAACAAGTAAGATTTATGGAAACAACAACCTCGTTCAAATAAAAAAAATGATGAAAAATGGGCTGTGCATTTCTATTTTTGAAGATTATATAATCGTTTTAATTGACTTTAGATTGATACAAAGTTTTTGATAACTTGAACAGCTAAATCCATGATGTTAAATGTTTTGTATACAAAGTTTTAGCATGGGCCAAACAAATTCTAATGATTTTATGATAATTACTTAATGAGTTGTTCCTCGTAATCATGTTTTAGTGTATTATAAATGTTTCATTGCCGACAAAAGTAAAAATATGTAACAACTCTTGTTGACTGCCCAGACTTTTTTAGCTGCTGTGGGCGTATGTTTCATTGCCTGGCAACCTATCTTTGTTTAGCTTGTTATCTGTCCATCTCTTGCAAAATTTGGGAGTTTAGGGGAAAAAAATAATTGGGTCACACCTCCTCCGCAGTCAAAAATACACACCATCTGTTGTGAACTAGAATTATTTGCTGTATGAATAATAAAGTCTAGATTATCAGTTATTAAATGTTGACTTTGATATAATTCCCAAACTTGGTCGACACTTGCATTATATCTATGTCAGAATGGTTCATGCGGTAATGATACGACATCAAAGCGATAGATTCCCGTTTGTCAACAGTGACAATCACTTGATATTCTCCCCCCCTTCCATACTTCCATCCTTCATCTATATCACACGTATACTAGTACTGTAAATTGTAATGAGTAAAGGTCTTTATGTACCTTGCTTCATATAAATATAAAATGAAACCTTTTTATTTCTTCGACATCGGAATGCAATTTGTGCAATTCTATAAGTACAGCGCAGTGGACGCTTACGGCTAGCCCCCCGGATCCATTCACTTTATTTGAATTGTTCGTTTGTTTCTGATCTCTGCGTATTGTGTCTTGTCCATATATTTGTTTTGTGTAAATTATGTGTGGTGCTGCCTCCCTGCACTTATTATTAGAAACTAATAATTAAAAGTACTCGACCTGGACGTGAGTATTGTAGTCTGAGTCAATTTACCTGTCAGCATAAATCTCGCTTGTTGTCAACAAGTAGACTGGCAAAAATTCCAAGGCGTGAGTCCACTGCTTGATGACGTACGATATCGGCACGCATTGAAATGGGATTGAAGAGAGGCCACGGCACTTGCTGCTTTCTCAAATTCTGTCTTTTTGATCATCATGCAATGGGCTTATTCCATATTCCAGTCACATGTTTAATCGGGTGGGCTGTTGTATGTTTATGTCTGTTTGCATATGCGCAGAAGTAGTATTCTTAAAAAAACACAAGACAATGTGTGAATAAGGATTAAAAAAATAACGTAGACCGGTAAGAATTTTGCACTGTTATTTCCTATTACGGCCTCCGTCGGAGTCATGTATTAGAATTTAAATAGTCTCGCGCGTGGCAACTATAATAATCATACTGAGTGCCAAGCAAATTAATGATATTTTAGGTAGTGTTGAAACTACTATTCGGATATCCGTTAACAGATACAAAATAAGGGTTATCCGAATCATTTTACTATCCATTACAGTCTTCTGACATTCCGTATGCTCTATATTTAGCCATTTTTACATCTGATTACCGGTACTTTGAAATTTTCCCCAATGATCACGTACGCAGCTTTGAGCATAAATGTTAATATCACGCGTATTATTTAGCGATAGTAACTAATAAAAATAGTAATGCAGTGCAACGAAAACAGTAGTCTAAATAAAAAAATATTCATTCATTCCTTGCGCTGGTTTATGCTAGATAGAAGCTACTTCGATACCAATTTCTTCCAATAGGCCAGTTATCGGCCGATTACCGATGTTGAAACCGATTATCGAGCCATCACTAATAACTATAGATACGCAAGAAAATTTGGAATTAAAAGTCAGAGTTTGAAATTGATTTCATCCAAATCATGAGAATAATTAATATTGAGCCTTAATTGAAGTTTCCAATCATTCATCCAGGGAGTCTGTGCAGAGAATGATTTTGTCCAGGAAGAAGCCTTTATGCAACTGTCTCTTTACTTTTATCTATGTTTATTCATTTACGGCTACATATTTAAGATCCTCAGAAGCTTTGAGATTTAATTTTTCTTCAGATAACTGAAGTAAATAAAACATTAGAAAAAACTCTTGGATCAGATAATAAAGATATATTGGAGGATGACATGGCTGCTGAGGAGGCCAAAAAGATTGTTGAAACTTTGACTGGAACTGATAGTAATACATGTAAATATATATTTTATTATTCTGTGTATGAGTTGAATGTTTTCAGTAGAAGTCTGTTTGTGTGAGTAGATAATTTGATTCCATTTGAAATTTTTAAAAGTTACATAAAAGGGCCGTGTTAATGTAGACTTATTTATTCCATGTAGTTTGCTAAAATCATCTAATACCGTACCCAGTTTCTAATAAATTCTTAGATTTAAATTGTTTAATGATATATTTAGTAGCTGACTTGATTGATTATATTGACTCCAAGTCTCTTTGATGTTTATTTCTAGCAACATTTCAAAGAAGGTTCTCTTATCTTTTCATGCAAATAATAAGAAACCATAGTACATGAACTAAATGTTTTCCTTAGTCCCCATCTTTACACTATTTAAAAGCAAGGGGAATTTAACATTATGCGTGTAACCAGCTGAAGCACAAATTTTGCATCATTGGCTTTGAAATTACTACATGTAGACAGTAACTTTAAATAAGTATTAATATGTATATAAATCTTCTATGTCTTTTGTTAACTTCACCATTAATATCTATATATCAGTCGCATATAATTGTATCAATATTGAAATATCTGTAAAAGTGAAAAACAAATCATTTTTGAGTTTTGGTATTTTGTCCCTTAAGTTATTAGAAACTGGTGTATGTAGATTAATGTGTTGTAGAAAACTATCTTTTGTATAAAAAAATTGTGATCTGTGTTGTGTTGTAATGTTCGCCTTTCTGTTTTTTTTCTTCTATCTAGCTTTGAGTGAAACTAATGCACAAAATTTAATTCAAAAAGGTATGTTTACCAAAATAGTCATTGGCCTTGTAATCGATATGAATTAGGAATGTTATTAACTAATATACACCACATTGTTATTGTCTATTGAATTTGAAGAATACATTATCTCTTCATAATACCCTAATTAATCTTCAATACTTGATTTTATCTTAATCATTTCTTGCTATAATGTTCATCATCACCAGGGGGTGGGTCTGAAGGGTCTAACCACATGCACTTTAGATTATAACGTCTATCATTGAGTGGTGAGGTTCCCAGTTTATACATGGATTTTCTTTGGGTCCTCCTATTGCTAACAGCTCCTTTATTTTGTTGAATAAAATTGAACCATATGTTAGTTTCGCATAGTTTATTCGAGTGAACTTAAAACTCCATTTTTCTCTCTTGTTTTTTCATTTTCAGCTAATACTGTATGCATGCTTTCACCAGAATGACTTCTTAGTTTTTATTGGTCTTATTTCTGTGTAATTATGTCTTGAGTTGTGCATGATGTGCGTATGTCCTATTATGAATATTAAGTCTGTCAATTATTTTTATTGTTGCGATATTAATTTTACATTTACAGTTCTGGTACTTGTTTAACCATGTTTACTGATTGTTGACTGTTTACTTGTTAAAATAATATTAAGTTTTGTTTGTAATTTTGTTTGTTATTTATATTGATTCTAATATCCGGTTCCTTTCTGAAGGAATGAATTTATATCCAATAACAGATATTGTTATTAGTAGGATTAAAATTAGATGTCAGTTGCGTTTCTTTTTATATTTAAGGCTGTACTACATTGACATCTTAACATTCTGTGTACTTGATATATTTTGGAAAGTTATATAAAAGGGACGTATTAATGTAGAATTATTTATTCTATGGTTAGAAGAGGAAAATAATGATTATAAAAATATAAAACATACTATTGTATCTTTGTTTTTGTAGTTGAAGAAAATACAAGAGAAATAGTGAAGAAAGCTGCAAGAGCTGTTTGTTCATTGTCTGATACAGAATTCAGTGTTACATTTAATCCTGATGTCTTTCAACCACATGTTAAACATTTTGATGAAGATGTAATTATTATTTATTTCAACTTTTTGGTAGAAGGTATTAACGGCACAATATTCCAGATATGGTATTCAGACTATTTACTATCAGTAGAAGTCTTCCGAAATAAAATTGGTCCAGAAATTATTAAAATTGATCAATCTGCAATAATATACCTTGAGACAGTGACGGTATACTGCGGTATATATGCCTTGGTTCGGTAATGTTCCCCTGTAGTTCATGTGACAAGGAGGAAAAATAATAGGCACATGTAACGTGGAAAATATTTCAAAAATAACACTAAGCTATGACTAAGTATAATGTCTAAAATCTGTTATGTAAGCGAGATTATCAAATAATTTGTTGGATTCCAATTTCTAACCGATTCTCTTTCAGTAGATATAATAATACCTTGGTGAGAAATGGGTTGGAATTAAAAATTGGGATCAATGTTCACTACTCTAGATTCCGTCAACCAGTGGCAATACTCATTAAATTTCGCTAGGTAGACAATCAAGTCTACAGTGACTTTTTAAAATTATCCACATGACCCTCTTTAAGTCACATGGACAATTTTTAAACGTAGACTCAAGTAGTGAACTTTAATCCCAATTATTTAATTCCAACCCATTTCTCATCTTGGTATTATCATATCTACTGAAAGAGAATCAGGTTCAAATGAGTTATTTGCCTTGGAGTTAGAAATTGGAATCAGACCAGTTGTTTGATAATCTCGCTTATGAACATGGACGTAACAGACTTTAGACATGTACTTAGTCATAGCTTGATGTTATTTTTTAAATGTTTTCCACGTTCCAGGCGCCTTTGGGAAAGATGCCTTCTAGCAATGAAACATTCGCTTCCAGCGAACCATAAATCATTGATATGGAAACATTTTGGATTAAAAACGCCGGATGGAAGAGTCATGGCTAATAATGTGACGTATTGCCAGTAAATATCATGTAATGGTTTTTACTTTTTTAAAGTAAATTTAGAAAGGACACATACTGCCACATGTATCGTATCGTGAGGTTCCTACCATGATACATAAATCTATCAATAAAAAGTCAAATTTATATGGTTAAAATTTGTGAAATACATTTCATAAAGTGTTAATTTCAGTCACTAATTTTATTTCATTTCAATTTTTTCTAGGGTGAGAATATGAAACGTGAAAAACAGATTGTTAAAGATGCTTCAGAATTTCTTGTCTTGCATCAAATTCCTACCCTTGTAAGTATCTATCATTAAATCTGGATTATTGCTATGTTTAATTGCTCTTTGGAAATGGGTGTTGTCTAAAAACACTTTAGGAATTCCCTATATTCTGGAATTGAAGTGTCTCAATCACAGTTTGAAAGTACATGAAATGAAATGAAATGGGGTTTAACATCCTACTGTTTTGCTCCGAACTGGGCTAATGAAGACGGGCATACGCCATACAGTGTGCTATGAGGGAAATTTTGCCCGAACAGCGGCACAACAGCCTACTCTTATATCGAATTCCAACTGTCATGGGATCTTTTACGTGCACGCCAATGTGTACACGGGACCTCGGTTTTTCGTCTCATCCGAATGACTAGACAGCTGTCCTTGTCAGGCCCTCCATCCTGCATCACTGACCAGGAGGAACCACGCCGGAAAATCTGGATGAACTTTCTCGGCCAATGCAGGGATCAAAGAAAGTACAAGAGGATTTGGGCTAACATAGTATGTAATGTATCAGCTGAATCAGAAAATATCTTAACCAACCACAGCAGCTGAAACATGTTCAATGTTTTGATTACGTTGTGATTCTACTCCAACCACTAATGTTGTCGCAGCCTACAGAATTGCTACAGACTGAATTCTGTGTCATTTGATAGCGATTATATCAAATTGGCACTAAGCTCCCCGTGGGAGCTATACAAATTTCTTTAAAACACCTATCAAATAAAATGCATTTTACATCCTCAGATAAATGACTGTTTAGATCACAGTTCTTCCCCGATAGACGGTTCAACTTTAACGGAGGCTATGCACAATAGGTAATTATTATTCATATCTAAAGTTCACCTAGCCAAAAAAAATAGATCTTGTGTTTGATGTTCATTTGTTGAACTTTGTGGGTACTCTGTTGGGAAAACAAAGTGTACTTGTATTTTAGTGATTTAGTAACATCCATTGTGGTCTGGATCAAAGCTGGCCTACTAGGTAAATGTTTCTAGTGATAGCTGGCAGCATGGGCTTGGTCTTATTTGAGACGTGATTCTTGCTCATTCACAGAATATTGATAGTCCAGTTGTCAAGAGTTAGCTTGACCGAAATTATGGAACATAAAAGTGATAAAGAAACGTGTTCTTAAATCTATATCAGTGTATTAAACATATTATTGTAGTATTACAATTGATGTTATCTTATTTGTTAAAGTGTATGTTTATATTTACAGAGGGATAAATGTCCGATATCTTGGTAAAGTGGCTGAGATGTTTGCTAAATATAATTCTGTTTCTTACGTTTATGTAAGTTCTAAAATCTTTCTTTAAAGGAGCCATGGTAAAAAATCAATATAATGTGAATATAAGTTAATTATTTTACTAAAGATTTGATAAATCAATCAGTATGAGGTATACTGTAGTAAATACTGTGAAAGACAGAATACCACTATATATATATAGTGGTATTGTATTCAAGGCGTTGAATCTTATTTGAATATTTTATCATAAATATTTACTGGGATATATTTTCCTAATTGTTTTGTTTATTGTAATTTTAGAGCATTGCTGTAGGAGAATTAATTTGTAGATCTGCTAAGCATATTTATAAAACCTACATGCAAGGTGTTGATATGGTTAATTTATCATCTGCTATCAGCCATTTTTTAAACTGCTTGATTGGCAGTCATCCCAACCCGACAGCACAGATCTCGGCAGAAGAGGTATGTTTATTAATTATCTTGTTTCTATATTACGAAAAATATGTCAAGTCCTTGTATAGGACAAAAATAACCATTTGGATCTTTCAAACTTGATTTTCCATATACAGGTACTGTCTGAAAGGCTGACACGGAGAACGTTTCTGACTTCAATATCTGAAGTTAAAATAATAAAGGTTGGGCCAAATAGTGTAACCTCCAGTTCAAATTATTAGAAATTCAGTTCTGATCTTTCAATATTTTGCATGATTGAAACTAATTAAACACTTATCTCCATCAATGTGTTTATCTCTAGATTCAAAATAGAAAAGCAAGAAGGAAGAAGAAATATAATCAACGTGTGGTAGTACATGCTGGTGAGTTGACAATCATCAATGGACAAGTCTGTATTTTGAATATATGGTTTCTTCTTAGAACTAATCACACAATCAGAAAGGTTTTTTTTGTATGAATGATTCGGGAACAGGGGCAGTAATTAAAAAAACTAGTTTCATGTTGTTGAATTTCGATGGGGTTCCTGCCATGTGGAATTCCAACAGATTTGTAGAAACTGTCTCAATAGACTGTAGTCAGTTAGTAACCCTTGTGCAAATATTTGTGCTACTCTCTAATCCTAGCAAGTTAAAAAAATAATCTTGAAAAAATACTGTCTGTAGAGCAATTACAAAAAATGTGGACTAACCAACAGAGGACGACAGTATGAATATGATTATGAAGTGGATTTGCATAAAAATCTGTCATATGTAAATTTGTCATTTTCTGTACAGATAACACAGAATGGTTGAATGAAAGTCCCAAATCACTGTGGAAGAAAATAGTTGACGAAACTGAAGATTATTATGGCTATACATTAGAATGGTAAATATTTGGAGTCTTATCTTTTTGAAATAATGCTAATTTTATGATGTAAATTTAAGCAATTGAGTGTCTCGTTACTGTAAAACAAGACATTAATGTGTCCGAAATGTAATACGATCTGAAGAGGTTGAAATTTATTTCGTCCTATGTTGAACAATGAAGTATGGCAATACACTACTTAACATGCATTCAGCAGTCTAAAATGCACATTTTAAAGCTAGCACTGTAATTTTTGTTGATAAAATATGACATTTTTTGTTATTTTTGGGTGGTAAACTACATATAAATCACCCAAAAAAAATTTTATTTACCAACTATGTTCCAAACTTGGCCCAAAAGCATGATAATAAAGGGTGCTGATGACAACAAAAGTCAAATTATCTCAGTTATGCCTGCATGGATTTCCATCAAATTTGGTATGAACGTGCTAATTGCAAGTCCAAAAAAGCTACTGGACAATTTTTGGCTGTAGGCTGTGGTTTGTCTGGTATGCATGGAAATGCAAAAAACATGTTTTCTTGGAAATTTAGTACATACTAAAAAGAGATATCAATAATCACACCAGTAGATGGAAAGTAGAGGTTATAACATACATTTTGACACCAAAATCAGTTCAAAATACTTTAAAATCGTTGTTCATTATTTACCTTCAAACAGGATTTTGTGATTTTGGGTTAATTCTTTGAATACGTCCACAACAAGTTTTAAAATACAAAAATTTGCACATAGAAAGTAAATATCTACTAAAGTGAATTACACCACTGTCTAAAAATCATTTTATACATTCAAAAATGGCAGTCCTGGGCCATCAAAAAATGAAATTCAGCCATGTTCCAGTGGCGATAGATGGTAGACCAGAATAATTGCGTCTTGTAGGGAATTCCTTCTGATGTCATATCTAGATAGACGTCAATGATCCAGTGTGAAACTGCTGGTGGACACGGCCATAATTGTTTACAGCGGATGATGTGAACGGTGTATACAACGACATCATAATTATTCAAGAACTTATATCTAGGTCGGGGAAACCCCCTCATTTGCTATAAATATATTTTTCTTTCTGCTTGTACTTCCATTATTACACAACAAACGATTGGACTGTTATGTGTCCTCTGGGTTATTTTACACATGGAACTAGTGTGCAAAGTCTTAATAAGATTGGTGTTGAAAAGTTAGTGCGTACCTTAGACTACTCAACCACATATGCATGTATTAGCCTATTAACTTCTTAATTATCAGTGATTAGTGTGATTTGACAACATAACTTATTTACTGATGGAACTAATAACTTTTTTTCAGTGACTCGATAGAATGTTCTATAGATAAATATGATCTACAGAGAGTATCGGTATTACGCGCTTTCTGTCGTACAGTTGGTATACAGATATTATTAAGAGAATATGACCTGAATGTAAACGGTAAACAGATATTTAATGAAGATGATATAATCAATGTATCGCCTATAGTTAAACATATGCATCCAAAAGTAGTAAGTGAAGTCTTATTTCATGATCTCTTATTAAAAGAAATCCTTAAATGATAACATCAACCATAATTTTCATTATATTTTGTTTGCATGTTGATTCTGCATTTAGATTAAGTTGTCAAAAGTTGTGTTCTCTAAATGCAGTAATCTACACCCAAACATCAGATTTGTATATCAGTGTATATCAGTTTTAAATGAGTGGAAGATAAACAAAAGTTCAAATGGGAAGGGGTAGCAAATGTTTTAGAAATAGTATACCCTCCTTCATGCATGACACCTGGTAACTACTTATAGCTGGAGCAATTGTTTGTTTCTCGATTTAGATGCCTGAACGTGGGATTGTGAAACTTGTGAATCTGAGCAAATTATTTTGAAGTTCAAGACAAAATCAAGAAGATTAACGTCTACTGAATCTTCACATCATTTCCATTGTATTATTATCTGACGGATCATTTGTTTTACTTTTACAGGCAACAGATGCATATCATTTCTTTACTAGTGGTCAGACTAAAATACAACAAGGTTTATTGAGAGAGGGGTATGAGTTAATAACTGAGGCATGGAATCTATTAAATAATGTGTATATAGCACTACATCCAGAAATAGCTGCCTGTTTACGTCTATTAGCTAGACTCAATTATATCATGGGAGATTATGGCGAGGTATTTTCTGTTTCTTCACAAAAATATATTTCATGACAGAAAAGATTTTTAATTCCTTGGTGAGAGTGTTACTTTGTCTAAAACACCAAATAGTACTGTTTAGGTACTAGTATAATAGCATAATTATTTGGGCACACTCACCATGCACGATGCTGTAATATCAATCTTGCTTGATATAGAATATTATGTTTATTGATAAATACAAATTTTATTTCGTTTCATATCCATCACTAGAAATGTAGTAATATTGGGTTTTTTTTTCAGGCCTTGTCATATCAACAGAAAGCTGTTATCATGAGTGAACGAGTCCATGGAATAGATCATCCAAATACTATTACTGAATATGTAAGTATCATCCTAAATATCAATATATAAAATTATTTATATTTCTCTTAAATGTTATATAAATCATTAACAAGCCAACAGTGGGGCTGATGTCCCCCGTCGAAATCCCAAAACAAATAGATGACATATATTAATTAACTGCACATTGGAGTCTCTACTTTGCCTAAGAAAATTCTCAGCATCGAACATTGTTAAGGTATTGATGTAATGAAACTATACACATAGTTTCACTCAATTAGAATTAAAGCTGTCAAGCTCCAAAGTCTCAACCAATCCAATTGCTTATCACACTGCTTACCCCGAGCCGAAATGCTCATTATCGAACTTAGTCAAAGGTATTGATGTGAGGAAACTATACACCAAGTTTCATCACTCTCACTTAATTAGAACCAAAGTTATCGTGTCCCAAAGCATCAACCAATCAAATTTTTTCCCTAAGCAGGAAATGCTCATCTTCGAATTCCATCAAGGCATTCACCTAATGAACAACTACACCAAGTTTGAACATTCTACCTCAATTAGGAGAGTTATTGTGTCCCAAAAGTGTGATGAACAGACCCATTTGATAATCACTTTTTTTCTTATATGATAATAAGTATTAATAAATTTATTTTTTGATCACCAACTTATATTTTCAGGCTCATCTTGCCTTATATAGTTTTGCAAACAATCATATCTCTAATGCTTTACGTCTAATGTACAGAGCTCGTTATCTAGCTTTATTATGTCATGGTGAAAATCATCCTGAAGTAGCTCTTATTGATGTAAGTAAATTGGGTTGTTTTTAAATTTTACTTCCCTTAATCTCTTTCAAAAATAAATTATATTTCGTAGATTCAGCAGTCATGGAAATATGGACTATTCTTCTGTTGACAGATAATGTCAAAAATAAAACTATATGAGAACTTACTACAAATTCTACTTTACCTAGATTTTGTGACTAATTCGTACGAGGAGGGTTGATTTATCCTCAATTGTAAATTTCAGGATCATTTGTTATAAACATTTGAAATATTTGATAAATTTTATTTTAGAGTAATATTGGTTTAATACTACATGCATTAGAAGAATATGAACTGTCATTAAGATTCTTGGAAAAGGCACTCAAACTGAATATCAGGTAAAATCTTCTAGATTGAAATATTAAAATCATAAAGAATACAAGAGTTCCATTTGTTGGAGATATTTATTCAGTCAGATGTTTACAACGGTTTTAATCTGTATTTTCACTTTAAAATTAAGTTACTGCTGTTGTGTAATATTTTATGATTATGTTTTAAAGGTATTTTGGTAGTAAGAGTTTAAAAGCTGCTATGAGTTATCATCTTGTAGCAAGAACTTATTCTTGTCAGGGCAACTTCCGTGCAGCTCTACAAAGTGAAAAAGAAGCTTTCTCCATTTACAAACAGTCAGTAAGTATGGATATGTACTTTGTAAATATTTTATGGTAATAAACAAAAACATATACTTATGGAAAACAGCTACTAGTATACTGAGGCTTTATGTATGTTTAAGCTGTAGTAGCTTGATAAAGTTGAGAGAATACTCCTCAAAAGGTCTATCATTGACTTCCCCAGTTGTATGTGACACAAGGAGTAGGGTCGCCTGTTCATCCTTGTGGGTTTTCTCCAGGTAAAGACCCCTATGTGCAAGCAAATTATTGAAATAAAATTGAACTGTGTTAAAGTCCCGAATTGACCTAGTTTGTGTCCAGTTAAACCCTCTCTCTCCCCCATTGGGTCAAGTGACTTGGTTTCAATTCCCAGCTTGTACCTGACCTTATGGGTTTTCTCTGGTTCTCCAGTTTTCTCCCAAGGCTAAAGACCACTGCATATGTTAGTCCTGAAATGACCTAGTTATTGTCTACATATTTTATGGGTGTGAGATTTCAAGCTCTCTAGTAAAAATACATAATACACAATAGCTTTTGGCAAGTTCCATTGTTACTACCAGTTATCTGTTAATGATTACCAAATAATAATTTTGTGTTTACAGTTGGGAGATGATCATGACCGTACTAAAGAAAGTTCCGAATGTCTGAAACATTTAACCCAACAAGCTGTAGTATTTCAGAAGAAGATGAATGAGATCTGCAAAGGAGAGAAAAATATGACATTCCCACCTATACAGGTTTGTTCTATTTCATTTAAAACTGATATTACAAAATTATTTTAAGATGAAAGTCAGTATTAAAATCATTTTTTAAAATGATTTTTATACTGACATTAAACTTGTTTAAATTTTAAAATGACGTCAGTAAAAAAATCATTTTAAACTGAAGGTCGGCTGTTGACTAGAAAATGTAAACAAGTTGAATGTCTTAAGCCAACGTATAGTTGTGCGGATAGAACGGAAAAACAAGGTCCCGTGTACGCATTGGCGTACACGTAAAATAACCCTTGACAGTTGGAATTTGAAGTAAAAGTACACCATAGCGAACCGCTGTATGGACAAAATAGGCAGACCGTGCTTAAAGTAGGATGTTGCCCCATTTCATTTCTTTTTTGTGATTTGTAATGAAAATCTGCAAATTTAGAATGAAGATTGAAATTTGCCAGTCAGTTTATTTCAATGATAGTCAGTCGAGACAGATAATTACAAGTAATATGTGAGCCTTCCAAATATCTCATGGTACTTTGTATCTAGAATATCTTGTTTATAGAAATTGACACATCAGATTCCCACTTTAGTAAAGAACATGCTTTCATTTCATTTGAGAACAATTTGACAGGGATGATTTGTCATAAACAAACTTGAATTATTTGTGTTAATTCTGTGATTTTCTTTTAGATTCAAACCCCCTCGATGTCCAGTGTATTGGATACACTAAATATCATCAATGGCATTGTTTTTGTTCAGATAGGGTAAGTAAATAGACACAATTTAATATTAGGCTTTTAATATTTATGTGGATGTATTTTGCTGTCGCCCCTGTAGCACTTATTTAATCCAGTCTCTGCTATAAACAAACGTCATGACTGTTGTTAATCGGGTATAATACGAGAACGTCACTATAAATGTCTGTGGATTTTTTCAAGACTCAGAGTTTCAAGGGGTTAGGTACCTTTTCTACAGGTATTATATTGAATTCGTAGCAGATATGACAAGATTTTTGACTTGAAGAATTCTCGATTTTTATCATTTTGGAAAGTGCCATTTTTCAAACATGCAAACTTGACATTTGTGAACGCTGAAGAGCTTGCCAAAAATGAAGCCCTGCGTAGTGTACTTTGTAAAGCTAGAAATCTGAAATTCATGTTCAACACTGATGCAAGGTTTTCTTTATTTTAGTGATATTGAAAGATTAAAGAAAGAAATGGCTAAACAACAAGGTGAACAAAGTGAAGTGAGCAAAACAGCTGAAGAAACCAACAAAAATAATCAAAGTGATGTTAAAGAAAATGGCGTGGAGAGTGAAACGAATAACACAGCCAATAAAGACGATATTAGTATTGAACTTAATGATAAAAGTGAGACGTTAAATCATATACCAGCTATAAATGGAGATGTAGTTTCAAATAACAAACAACTTCTGGTTACATCTGGCCCTCAGTGAAAATAATCTACATTATCCTATTGTTTTTTGTTAGATTTTTTTTTATAGAATTATCAACAGTATTTTGTTTTAAGAAATGTGGTGAAATGAATGAGGATTGCAAGTTGATATTTTTGTGCTCCATAATTTCGTGCTCATCATAATATTATGTATTCAAAAACCATGTTTATGGGATGGAACTAAGTAACAAATATGCATAAATTATATTACATATATATGACCATATATTAATCAGGTGCTATCAACAGTTAAATACTGTATGAAAAGGAATAAGTTTATCTTATATTGGATATCACAGCATGGTTTAGTTTATTCAATAGTAATATACAGAAAAATCGTATGAAAAAGAATAAGTTTATCTAATATTGGATATAACTATATGGTTTAGTTTATCCAATTAGACTGGATCTCCAAACATGTCTTCCTTTTTTATATGCCCACAATGAAATGTGGTCGTATATATCGCTGTCTGTATACTCCATGCTTGTTGACATTCGAAGCCTATTATCCGATTGATTTGAAATTTAGACACTGTCTATGTTCAGGAGACAAAAAAGTCTTTTGATCTTCAACTATAATAAATGTTAGCACTCAGAAGAACTAGAAGCCAATCAAATTTTAGTTATTTCTGACAATTAATTGGTGGGTTGTTACTCTTATCAGTTTTTAGGGTCTTGTGTAATTTTACCCACAAAAGAATATGAGATAACCTTGTCTACTCAAGTGACTTGGTGATTGTAGGTGTATGTTTCTTTGCCTGGAAACATATCTGTTATACTTGGTAATGAAGAAAACTTTTTAAAATCATACAAAAAAATATTTTTGTTCTCGGATAATCCTTATCAAAATCTGATGCAGTAGGGAGGTTTTTATTTTTGTATTTTTATTTTGTCAAAGGATCACATTTCAGGGAACTACATTTATCGCATGTTTTATTGGAATGTATGAGTATCCATATATGATTAGTAGGGTTATATACTTGATAAATGAGCCTTGTTTTATAGATGTACTTCTAGTAACTGGGGTAAAATATTTATATGCGATAATTAATGAGACTTTTTATTTTTTGACGCTGAATTATCCGAAAACCAGAATAATTTTTTTTTATGGCCTAAATCTTGAATATTCTGGGCTGTGCAACACTATTTAAATTAATTTGTTTTTCTGTTGAATGTGTTTGAAAGTATTAAATGTTAGATGTAAGGATAGTAAATGAAGTAGATTTTTACAAAATTGGAAATTGGATTTTTGACTCCGTCCTGACAAGAATTGAATAAGGTAAAGGAATACTATATTTGAAAATCATAAATGCTTTGTGCATATGTGATTTATTTGTAATATCAATTAACAATACAAACACATATCACATTATCAACAAAGACATTCATTTTGAATTTTTCTTATTTTTTAAATAGTCAGAAAACAAGCCAGCCTTAACTGTTTACATCGAACAAAATAGGGTATGATTTTATTCATAACGGATGCTGGACATTGTATGATAATCATGTAATTTATTTGGTAGGGGTGATGCTTTTTTCGCGACCACTGAAATAATACAGAAATCATAAAGCACAGGTCAGTCTTGTATGTGTCTCTTTTGTAGATATACCATTTATAACGTTTATTTTATGAAAATACTGGGAAAATGTTGAAAAAGGAAAAAAAATAATTGAAATCTGCATTATTTCAGAAAAGAATTATCTGTTGTGGGAATGGAAAAGCACCACTCTTAGTTGATAAAATAGAAAAAAGATCTTGATTTTATTTGTTCAAGTTACTACTAGTCAAATAAGATAGATAATATAAATAAGCTAACTATAAATTTTTTTTATATTAATTTTCTTGCCATGAATTTACCATAATTGTATAGATTAGATTTTTATATGGGTCTGATCATATAGATTATAATTAGCTTCAATATATTGAAGAGTTAACTGGATGGCAGATCAGGCCTGGACTTTTTCCTTTGGCCAATTGTTGGTCAGTAAAATTCTGCATTTTGTTATTGTTTATAAATAATACATGAATTATGGACCTCATACTGGATTTATACACAATCTATATTATAGGCATTCCTTTGGTCTGTTTACCAGAAAATTTATACACAAGTAGTTTGTCATGTTGTCATGGCAGAAATTTATATAATAGAGGTGACCAATCAAATGTAAAAATAAAAAATAGGCATAAATCTAAAACAGACCAATTATAAGCCAATTGTTTGCATTTAAAACAAACATTTTTATGTACAATGAAAAGAGTAATATTGTTTTTTGTTATTTTAAAAGTAAATATGATTTGAATTAAAAATTGTAGATATTACAGTTTAGTGCTACATATAAATGTGATAATGAAAAGACATTACAGTATAATATAGTGATAACCTTAATAATGAAACTCAGTAAATTGTTATTTAATTTTCTTATTATATAACGCAGACTCCAGTGTGTGTAATAGTAGACAGTGATCTCTTTGTTGATCATGTAGTGTGAATTTCACTTAAATTATTTTGAGTGTAATTTTGAGTGAAGTCTTTTGTGAGGTCATGTTGCCCAGGAGTCTGGTTTGGAAGAAGAGTGCGGTTATGAAATCTTGAAACCTCAAAACTTTCAATAGAAAAATTATTCATTCATGTTCTCGATTAACATTTCATTGTGATTTTTGCATCGTTTCAATACACACAAATTTTCTATATGTACATACAGAACCCGATCCTTGCTTTTATAGGTCATGGAGGAGTGGTCACATATGAACATTAGAAAACTGGAATTGTCATCTAATCAATATCTTGTTTTCATTTTGTTGATTTCACTTGTATATGCAGTGATATGAGGGACATTTAAAAGAGGGGATACATATTTTTAGCATTCTCCGCCTACAGGGGTTTTAATCTGGTACTGCCTCACAACATTATTATAAAGCTTCTTTCTATATTAATATTATAACTGTGTTAGTGATGTGTGATAGATATATATATATATGATAGGAAATAGTCAGTTGTTATGTGTGTGATTTCAAGTATTGATAGTTAATATATAAATGTATGTGTGGGCTATGATTTCATAGAAGTAATCAAATTGACTAGAAAGTAATAAAAAAAATGATATTTATTTTAGTGTTGCTTGTAATGTCTTTACCAAAAGAATGTCAAATTTAATACTGTAGATAAGCAGTTTGTAAATGTCACTTCTCACCATTCCGGCAGGGTAGGGTGGCCAAATGGTCTAACAAGTATGCTTTAGATCATAGGGTCTGTCAAGTGGTGTGGTTTCAACCCTGTACTTGTACATGACAAAGGAGTATTTTGATGAAAATTAAAATATATGTTTATAATTATATTCCAAAATATATCACATGGGTTTGATTTTGGCACATAAAGACTCAAACTTCATGGATTTTTGCCCTCGATTGTACAACAAAGCATGTTTTTTTACGCCCACATTTTCATGTGGACGTATTATTAAACTTGAAATGTAAGTTTATAACCCAAAGATCTCGGTTCCTTTCGATATTCGCGCATATCGGACTGTAACTTCCTGAATTATGGCCCCTGATCGTACGAAAAATCGCGTTTTTATCTAGTGGACCCTATAGAGGTCATAATTTTTATCCGATTTAAAAAAACGTATTATTATATCACCGTTACACCCTAAGGAAGGTTGAGTTCGAATTGAAAATCGGCCCAAAATTGACAGACTAAATGGCCGCCGTTCGTTCTCAAATAGCGTAAAAATATGGTATATCAAGGTTGTGGACCCTATAGAGGTCACAATTTTTATCCGATTTTGTTGAAACTTGAAATGTAAGTTTATAACACAAAGATCTCAGTTCCTTTCGATATTCGCGCATATTGAATTGTAATTTCCTGAATTATGGCCCTTGATAGTAGGAAAAATCACTTTCTTGTTAGCTTGTTCTCTATCCATCTCTCGAAAATGTGGGCGTATCCTGCCTGGCAGCCGCTGGTTAAACAATTGTGGACGAGTTCGAATTTTTATACGTCCACATGGAAATGTGGACGTTTATGGTCGTCCGTCCACAATTTGTACAACAAAGTGTGTTTTTAAACAATTGTGGATGAGTTCGAATTTTTATACGCCCACATTTTCATGTGGACGTAATAATGTCGTCGCCCCCCTGTCCGTCCGTCCACAATTTGTTTGTGAACATTCTACAAGTCACAATTTTTATCCGATTTCAATGAAACTTGAAATATAGGGTTATCACCCTAAGATCTCGGTTCCTTTCGATATTGGCATGTATCGGACCATATCTTCATGGATTATGGCCCGTGATTGTACGAAAAATCACGTTTTTAGCTTGTGGACACTCTAGAGGTCACAATTTTGATCCGATTTTGATGAAATTTGAAATGCATTTTATAACCCAAAGATCTTGGTTCCTTTCGATATTCACGCATATCGGATCATATCTTCCTGAATTATGGCCCCTGATTGTACGAAAAATTACATTTTTAGCTTGTGGATTCTCTAGAGGTCACAAAATTTTTTCTGATTTTAAAAACCGTTTAGATTCCACCATAATGAAGGTTGAATTGGATTTTCGGAAAAATCGAAATGAAACTGCCCAACAAAATGGCAGCTCTCTGTACGCAAATTGTGTATAAGTATGTAATACAAAGGTTATGGACTCTCTAGAGGTCACAATTTTTATCCAATTTTGATGAAACTAAAAATATCTTTATATTCCAAAAATCTCAGTCCCTTTTGATATTTGTGCATTTCAGACCATAACTTTCTGGATTGTGGCCCCAGCTTGTACAAAAAATTGTTTTTGTTTTAGCTTGTTTTCTATCCATCTCTTGCAAAATGTGGACGTATCCTGCCTGGCAGCCGCTGGTGTGAAAATCAGACTGAAACTTCCTGTTAAAATGGCCCCACCCCATTACTCAAATAGTGGCAAAGCATGTAATACATATACCAAAGTTTTTTTCTGATTTAAAGTATTTATTGGGTGGTTATTTCCATTAAAAGTCTGTCAAATTTGGTATATATAGAAAGTATAGATGCCCAATCTTACTATAAAAATATTGGATTACCCAAAAAACACCCATGGGGCAAGCACTGGGCAAAACCCAACAGCTTATTGTCTGCCAGCTTGACTTTGGGAGTGGTTGTTATTTCATGATCGAATGGATAGCTTGTTTTGGAAACATTGATGGATGTAAACCTATTACAGCAAAATAAATCAAGAATTTACTTAGGCCTCACTATGTATAGTAAATGGACAGTAAGTAATGACAAATACATTCTGAAAAATGGGCCCTCCCTCAATCAAGGTAGGTGACAAACATGGTTTCTAAAAACAGATTTTTTTTTATAGCTTGGGGTATCTCCTCACAAATACTGAGTTTTGAAGCAAATTTTTGATAGATTAATTATAGTTTGAATATATTTTTAGTCCAGATATATCATCAAATCACACAGTTTGTATGCATGAAGGTATCTTTAAGGATCAAAAATCTTAATGAGTTTGATTTTTGTGGGAGCCACAGTGGCTCAGTAAGATGAAGGTTCTCTAACCTGGAGGTTCTGTGTTCGATCCCTGTGTTAATGAAGATGATCATATGCCATACGTATGAGGGAAATTTTGCCCAGACAGTGGCACTATAGTGCCTACTCTTATATTGAATTCTAACTGCCAAGGGTTCTTTTATGTGTACGGCAATGTGTGCATGGTACCTCAGGTTTTTGTACTATCCAAATGACTGTTGTCCCTTGCCAAGCCCTCTGTCCTGCACCACTGACAAGGAGGAACCAGGCCAGAAAGTCCCAATGAACTTTCATGACCAATGCAGGGATCGACCATGGGACCTCCAGGTTAGCAAGCCAATGTCTACTGTGCTACCATGGCTCCCATTTATGAAACTTTGTACATCCATCAATCAATCTACAAGAATAGTTGTACCTTTTGCTTATTAAGATATAAATAAGACCAAATTATTAACAAATTCCTTTAATGTTATGTCTTCTTGATCTTCAAAACAAAAGTAATCTTAAGGGGACAAATTCTGAATATTACATTATATTTTAGGCTTGTGATTTTAGTTTATTTTTAAAATACTGCAATATTTGATTACATAGTTCTCTCTTATCACCATCTAAATCAACTATTTCTAACATAATTCTGTCATCCGTTTTCTTCAGTATTATTCTACATTTCACTAAATGATTTTTCTTTGTGTCATCCAAGCATCCAGATTTTGTTTTAACAACAGATTCAGTTGAGGTACTAGGTGTCTTGTTAGTTTTTAATTCCACTGGGATTTCATCAGAGGAAATGTTAGCACTATTAATATTTTTTGTTTCCATTACAGTTTCTTTGACAATTTTTATTTTCTTATCATCATCAATGATTGTGTCCTCAATTGCTTTATTATTGGAAAGGGTACCATTTATTTCATGAACTATGACACTGTTAACAGAAGATGATTTTTCAGGGGTTTTATTTTTTTTTTCTTCAATATCTTTGTTTAGCCCTTGTTTTTCAAGTCTGCGTTTGCGTCGTTGGTTTGACCAGCTATTTACTCTGGCTGTCATAGTAACACATGAATTTATATTTGTTCTCTTTCCCTCTTTATACTCAACCTAAAACAAAACAAATGATAAACGGTGCCTTATGTGGTCAATAGAATATCTCTATGATAAACAGTTCCTTATCTGGCCAATAGAACATCTCTATGATAAACAGTTCCAGATAATGCTGAACGAATGGTCAGTCAATTTCTTGGGAAATGTTTCGAGTTTGGAATCTTGCTTTTTTTTTTGTGTTCAGTATAATATTACTTATTCATTTCATGACTTTGGTTATCCCAACGGTTTCTGTCTTGTTTATCAAGAATGTATTTAGTATGGAAACCCAAGTTGTTTGTCAAAGAGGCTGAGAAAAAGCCACACCTCTTCATTTATATCATAATGGTCCATTTAAATTAAACATTTGTCAAAAAAGTGATGAAAATAATGTATGCTCAAACTGCTATAAAATTTGCATTCCCACATATATTTAGGATTAAACCGCCATATATTAACAATTCCTAAGTATCGCTGTCAATATTAAATGCTCTGCTAAAATGTCTTGTCGATTGATTATGTGTAAAAAAGTAAAATGTAATGATAAAGTCAAAATACCTCAAAGGCCAAGTTAAATAAAGTCAAAATACCTCAAAGGCCAAGTTAAATGACAAATGTCTTATTGGAAAATGCTGGTTTTTGACGTGTCAGCATTTTACATTTCTCGTTACATTTTACATTTGCGCTCTGCTACATCTCATTTGTCCTACATGCTTTCTGCATAGCATTCTTATACACAGCGCTATCTTTGATATTATTATGCAAATCTAGGATATCACGTGACTTATTAACATACACAAAAACAATGCAGAGATCAACCTTGCATACTATAAGCCAGCACACTATAAAGATATTCACCACACGACAAGAGGAAATTACCTGGCACACTATAAGAAATTTACTTAACCTTGACAAACAATCAAATTTGGATGGTACTTTGATTACAAGAAGGGGGGTGGGGGCGATGGCGAGTACTTAAAATGTCAAAATATGGGTCTTAATACAAAAATCCAGTTATCGTGTTATAATCATTGGAAAGTATGTTTCCTAGGTTCTTTGAATCTATCAGTTATTTCTCTTGGCACATTCATGATTGCACACTTTAGAAAAGAAAGAAAAATCCTTATCGTTTTGTCGAAAGAAATGTGTGACTGTGCATACCAATCACAAGATTTCATTACAGTCATGGTCGTCCAGTGAATTTCTTATACTGTGAAAGCTTGATTTCCTTATAGTATGCTGGCTTATTGTCTGCCAGGTTGATCTCGGTGACATTTCCGTGTATGTTAATAAGTCACTCAAAATGCAAAAAATCACATTAAAAATACTAAATTTTCTTGGGGCCCCAATGCCCAAACCCCACGTCTGAAGCTTCCAGCACCTGTGACACCTGCAGCAACACGCTCTTGTGTCGCTACCCTTACGTTTTGGGACTTTGTCCCTCAATTGTCAGACCCCCTACTTCAAAAACCGCTCCGCAGCCTCTGTTATGTACACATAAAAATCAAGAAAACAAAGCATACCTTGAGCTCCTGTAGTTGTGATATAATATAAGCTGTCATATTCTGAATATCATAAATCACTATACCATTATCCATTGGTATTTCATATATTAACTTAGAATTTCCTTTCTTCTTTTTCTCAAAGTAAGATTTCTGAAATATAACACAAGAGAAGATTCAAGTTTTATAAATATGATTCTCAATACAAGTTAAAAGTCCCTGATTGTCATTTGTTTTTCGGACAATATCTAATTCTTTGTTGATGGCACATTCCATGCTATAATATACTCATATTGATTATTTAATTAAGAAAATAAAATCAAAATAACCGTGATGGATAATCTTCAATAGGATTAAAATTATAGTTGGTGCTGGATGACTTTGACCATATCCTATATTATATTATCTGCAGTGGATGCCAAATATTGATAATTTTCACTTGAACCATTTTTGGACTAATATTCGTTTTAGTGATTCAATGTTCACAATACTGTATTATAGTTTTCAATAGATTAAGAATCCCCCAAATGGCGATCAGAGACTTTAATGAATATAGTTCAAAATATAAACTAATGTCATAGTGAATAGCCTTCATCCTTTGGCAACTTCTTCTCCCAAACCGATTTTTTGATTTCAACCAAATCTGGCAAGTGGTGCTTAGTAGGGGAAGTACAATTCAGGCATTTGGTTGATTTCAACCAATTTTAGCAGACATCTTGTTTAAATGCTGTTGCTCTGCATTCTGTACCTTAAGAATGGAGCAGGCACCACTGTGGGGGCAAATGATGAATTTCAACATTAGTACCAGAAATTAATATATTGATAATATGATAGAACGTACTGGGAATTTAATAGTTGTATCAAAAGTCCATGCAATGCCCCATCTCATTGTTTTACCCTGACAAAATTCTGTTGTAGAAAAATTCGAAATCTGAAATAAAAGATCTGATCTGAATATATTGAAATCTGAATTGATGTAGACAAAATTAATATTTAAATCAAATATAAAGATATTTATTGCTAAAATATGCCCTTTGAGGACAGCATTTGTACAAAAATAAGACTTATCAAAGATGCCCTATTAAGTCAAAGGAAAGAAAGACCTATGAGAGTTCTTGTCATTAACTTTTATTTCTAAATTTCTATATAGAACAAATCTGTGCTCACCTTCAGTGTTTCTTAGTTGTCAAAACTTGAATCTACTTATCTTATGTGTGACAGGAAGTTTTTCCATGTTTCTGTAACAGTATTGCTATGAAACAATGTTTATAAAGATTAAAGAGCACTATAGACAAACACCAACATACCTGTCTCCTTTTAAGTTCCTCTTTGATCACTGATACATTTATTTTCTTGCCCACCATTGAAGTAAATACTCTGTAGAAATAGGAGATAATGCTATTGATAAACAAAACTGTGTACTTTGTTTAATCAACATGTTACAGTTGCTACTAGAGTAATGATGTGTGAGTAACCTGTATACTGTTATATATAACATGATGTATTTCTATGGTTAGTGAAAATACAATTTTTTTTTGGGGGGGGGGGGGAAGGAGAGAAAAATGGGGTTTAACGTTCACTCAACACAAACTAGGTCATTTCGGGACTAACACATGTTTCAATTTTATTTCAATAATTCGCTTGGGTGTAGTGGTCTTTAGCAGTGGGAGGAAACCGGAGGACCCGGAGAAAACCCACAAGGTTGGACAGGCGACCCTACTCCTTGTCATATACATCTGGGGAATAAATACAGAAAGGGGTATGCGAAACTCTGGTTGTGGTAGGAGGAGAAAGAAAATATTATTGGAATGGGAGGCATCTGGCGTGCGATGGTGTTACATAGTTGGTAGATGCCATATATTAATCATTAATATTTAATATTAAGTCTAGTCTACAATATCACCTTAGGTGGAAGTGGACGTTAAACTCTAGAAACGAACGAACGAATATTAAGTACACGATATGAATCAGGACAAGTATTACCACCTATCAAGAGGCACTAATTATCACACTATTAGTATTAAGACAAGTTAAATATCTATACATCAATGGTAAGTTATGTAGATCAAAACACGTCAAGTAAAACCCACCAGTACACGTTTAGTATAATCAATTTAGAACAGTATATTGATAGGCATAGTTGATCGAGAAACGGGGAGTAAACAATACGTGTAGACAAACAAACAAGAATGGTAGGTAAACAAACCTGCAAGTTTATACGGTAAGTATCACCAAACAGTAGGTGGTAAGTAAAAGGACGGTAAGAAGTAAACTTTTTACCGGTAACTTGTTTATGACTCATTTTAACACGCCTACATTTTGATGTGGACGTATTATGCTGTCGCCCCTGTCCGTCCGGATGTCCATCCACAATTTTTTTTATCCAATTTTGACAAAACTTGGTATTGGGATGTATCGGACCATTACTTCATGGATTATGGTACCTGATTGTACGAAAAATCACGTTTTTAGCTTGTGGACACTCCACAGGTCACAATTTTCATCTGATTTTAATGAAACTTAAAATACATATTTATAAACCAAGATCTTGGTTACTTTCGATATTCGCACATATCGGATCGTAACTTCCTGAATTATGGCCCATGATTGTACGAAAAATCACATTTTTAGCTTGTGATCTCCCTAGAGGTTACAATTATTATCCAATTTAAAAAAAAACGTTCAAAAATAGTTACACCGAATGTCAGTTGAGTTAGAATTTCGTGAAAATCGGACCAAAACCTACAGACAAAATGGCCTCCCCTAGTACGCAAATAGTGTAAAAATATTGTATATCAAGGTTGTGGACCCTCTAATGGTCACAATTTTGATCCGATTTTGATGAAACTTGAAATACATGTTTATAACCCAAAGTTCTTGGATATTGTCGATATTCGCGCACTTCAGATCGTAACTTCCTGAATTATGGCCATTAATTTACGTAAAATCGCGTTTTTAGCTTGTAGTCCCTCTACAGGCCACAATTTTTATCTGATTTTTAAAAAAATGTTTAAATATATCACTGTTACACCCTAATGATGGCTGAGATTGAATTTCGTGAAAATCAGGCCGAAACTGCCTGACAAAATGGCCGTGCCTTGTACGATGATGGCCATTAATTTACGTAAAATCACGGTTTTAGCTTGTAGTCCTTCTACAGGTCACAGTTTTTATCCGATTTTAAAAAATGTTTAAATATATCACTGTTACACACTAATGACGGCTGAGTTTGAATTTCGTGAACTTAAAATATATGTTTATATCCTGAAGATCGAGGTTCCTGTAGATATTCATGCAAATCGGACTGTAACTTCTTGGATTATGGCCCCTGATTGTACGAAAAATCGCTTCTTTTTTAGCTCTTCCAAAATGTGGGCGTATCTTGCATGACATCTGCTTGTTTAGCTTTAATAGCATTATAATGTAAAGCTTTGTGCATGATGATACAATAAAACAAATTTTATTTTTAACAAATTTCCTTTCGCTATTTGCGCATATCAGACCATAACTTCCTAGATTATGGCGACTGTACGAAAAATTGCGTTTTCAGCTTGTGGACCCTCTAGAGGTCACAATTTTTATCCGATTTTAAAAACTGTTAAAGTATATCACCGTTACACCATAATGATGGTTCAGATCGAATTCCGTAAAAATCAGATCGAAACTGCCCAACAAAATTAAAAGTATGTAATACCAAGATTGTGGACCCTCAAGAGGTCACAATTTTTATCTGATTTTGATGAAACTTAAAATGTGTTTATATCCCGAAGATCTAGGTTCCTGTAGATATTCACGCATATCTGACCGTACCTTCTTGGATTATGGCCCCTGATTGTACGAAAAATCGGTTCTTTGTTGAGCTCTTGCAAAGTATGGGCGTATCTTGCATGGCAACCGCTTGTATAAACTTTAATAGCATTATAATGTAAAGCTTTGTGCATGATGATACAATAAAACAAAACAAAATGAGAAGTGATATCAGGTGTTCTCAAAAAGGTAAGCTTACACTGCCTTGTGCCTTATTTTAACAGCTTTAATAACATTATAAAGCTACATGTATATGTATGATGAAACCCACAAAAATACATTCAATCCAAAGAATTGCCCAAGTTAACCAAAATTGTTGAGATGTTTGGAAAACAGTAAGCATACAATGCCTCATGCACAGGCCCTGCAACTATACATTTAAAGAGAAAACACAAATACGGGAACCAACGAGAGCAGTCTACAGTGTTAAGATTTTACTGAACACAAAATATTATCACTGATAGTAAATGTATGATGTGCAGGAACTAATGAATATGAAAAAGAACTAATATACCAACCTTATTTTTTCCTTGACTTGAAAAGATTCTTGAATCATTTGTTTAATAAATTGTGCTTCGCCACCTGGTACAATGCTCTCACAATCTTCAGCTGTACTCATAGATGGAGGATCTGGCCGATTAACTTTACGTGTGCTTGTTATAGCCTGTGCCTCCATGTGATCCGCAAAAAATGGCGGGTTGCACATAACAAAATCATAGGTCTGATCACTTGACAAAACAAATTGTGGTATACACGTTCCTTCTTCAACTTTTACAACTACAATATGCAACAATAATATTCCATTTAATATTTAAAATTTAATTTGACTATTTTATATTGTCTACAGAGTATTTCAAATGTTCTGAGAACTGGACCATTTTATGACTGATATTAGTGATATTCCTTCAAGAGATTCAACTTTCACAGTATTTTAGACTGCAAAGGATTCAAAATCTTACAAATAACAAGCTTATAGGTCAAAAACTTTAAAACAAAATCCCTCAAATGACAATTAACATCTTTAATAATGTCTTGTTTTTTTTCCAACAATATTTATTAAATCAATATTTTCATAATCTAAAGATACAACATTTAATTATGGGATCTGATATTATATACATGTACGGTTTATATAATGTCTTTACCTTGAATTTTGGTCTGCATATTATTACCCTTGACATTCTTATCTGCATATTCTAAATTTTTTTCATTTACATCCGTAGCTAGAAATGACCAGTTGTTTATTTTACATCCAAGAATAGGGTAAATGCATGATGCGCCGGTACCTTAAAAAGAACCAAATAATTCATAACAAGCCAACAGTGAGGCTGATGTCCCCCGCCTAAATCTCAAAATAAATAGATGACACATTTTAATTTATCGCACATTTATTTTTTTCAAAAGTATCAAGCAATCAAACTGATTATCAACTATACACTAAGTTTCATCACTCTCTATCAGATAGAATCAAAGTTATTGTGTCCTAAAGCATTGACCAATGAAAATGCTTAGCTCTGCTTAGCTTTAGCTCGAAATGTTAATCATTGAACTCAGTCAAGAAATTCACTTACTGAACATCTACATCAAGTTTAAACATTCTACCTCAATTAAAAGCAGAGTTAAATTGGTATGTTCCAAAGTCTTGACGTATCAAATTGCTTTTCTCTCCTTAGCCTAAGCAGAAAATTCTCATCATCGAACTTAGTCAAGGTAATGATATAATTAATCTATACTTGGAGTTTCATCACTCTCACTTAATTATAACCAAAGTTATCATGCCCCAAAGCATTAATCAATCAGATTGCTTATCTCTGCTTACCCTAAGCAGACATTGTTAATATCATCAAACTAGATCAAGGCATTCACCTGACGAACGCCTAAACCAAGTTTGAACATTCTACCTCAATTAGAAGGAGAGTTACTGTATTCCAAAGTCTCGACCAATCAAATTGCTTATCGTTCTGCTTACCCTGAGCAAAAAGTGCTCATTATCAAGCTTAGTCAAGGTATTGATGTGATAAAACTAAACACTAAGTGTCCTCACTCTCACTAAATTACAACTAAAGTTATCATGTCCCAAAGTACCAACCAATCAAATTGCTTATCTCTGCTTACCCTAAGCAGAAAATTCTCAGCTTCGTACTCCATCAAGGCACTGACCTAATAAACATCTACACCAAGTTTGAACATTCTAGCTCAATTAGAAGGAGAGTTATTGTATCCCAAAAAGTGTGACGGACTGACAGACAGACGGGCAGATGGACGGACACATTTTAATAGCCCCCTGCTTTCTTCGAAAGGCGGGGGACAATTTGTGTACCAAAGAATCTAAACATTTTGAATAAAAAGTTCAAACAAGGGACACAGATGAACATTATTGAAATTAAGGGTCTTTGCCTTTGACATTGCAACCATGTAATTATTCTTTTTTTTTCAAACTTCCTCAGTTCTAATTTGCAGCTACATGTAAATGATGCACAACTATGACTTTTGATGCGGTTCAACATTATGACTATCTTCACATCGCCATCAAAAAACCTTAAAATTTCGGACATGGCAGGTTTTGATGGCAGGACAATAATTAATTGATGCATAATGCTGAATTTCATGTCTATTTAGTTGAATAAGCCCAGCACGTTTGAAAAAAAAAACCTAAAAATGTCTGAGCTTTTGTGTGATTACAAGAAGTTGGATGGGTGGACAGGGGCTACAACAATATATGACCACACTGAAATGTGGGCATTTAAAATGATTAAGTAAATTCAGAAATCTTGGGTCATGAAATTTAATGTTGATTTTTATTTCCAAGTAATCCACAACCAAAAATATGACAAACCTATATCAATTCCTCTAAGTTCTTTATATGAATCACCAAATATATCTTCTATCCAATGAATATAATTCAATCTAGAGGACAAGGTAGGAGTTAGACGGTCATCTGGTAGTTCTACATTCAAGTTAAAATCTTCTTTTAACAATGTTTGAGTAAGTATGCGAACACTATTCGCTTTCTTAAAATCTAAACAAATTTTCCCATTTAAATCTTGTGTTGAGTGATCAGCAAATTCTGGATATTTCAAAGCCAGTTGACTGAAATCGGGTTTATTGTTTCTGTAATGATTTCTAGGATGCATAAATCTGTTTAGAGCCATGATGTATTATTATAGCTTATCCTGCAAAAAATAAAAAAAAGTTATTTTAAACTGCTATTGAAGTACTATTATTTAATAGTTTTTATTCCAGTTATTCAATTTCATTATTAAAATATAAACACTAATTGAAGGGCTTGGAACCAGACCTGGTTAACCAACATACATTGTACATGCAAAAAGGGGTCTTAAAGTAAATAAACAGCGTTTTTGTCCTATCTCATAACCACAATACTTCACGCCCAATTTGAAAGGAATATAATAAAAACTGTATGCTTTATCCATTTTACAAGCCTTTCGGCAAAGGGGGAACAAGTGTCACAGAACACTGAATATCAATAGGGTTCGTTCCCTCATGACCAAAATGTTTCACACCAAATTTGAAAAAGACTTCTAATAAACTGTAGCCTCTTTTGCGTTCACAATGAAAGGGGGGAGGGGTATGTGTGTGTGTGTGTGTGGGTGGGTGTGGGTGTGTGTGTGTGTGTGTGACTTCGGAAAGTTGTGTAATGCTGGTCATTGATAGAGTTTTTCCTGTTATGACCCCAATCTTTCCAGCTGAAAATAGGCCTATTTGACCTTTTATGTAAATCTACAATAAAAGTACAATGGAGAAAGAAGAGAGATAGAGAGAGAGAGCTGGGGGTTTAACCTCTACTGACACAAACTACCTGAATTCGCAGTGGAAGCAAACCTACTCCTTGTCACATACAATTAAGCTGAGAATTGAAACCATGGCACTAGACTCAATGTCAGACCTTATGATCCAACACGCACATGTTAAACCATTTAGCTACCGACCCCCTAAGTAACAAATAAAAGAGAGCTTTAAATCAGCTCTATCAAGAAAATAATGCACTCACTCTCCCGTCGCGTCCTTACTGTAACAGGCCCTGCGACGTACAGATTCAGATTCAGATCAGATTCAGATAAATAATTAAATAGGCCCTAAGGCTTTAAGGTTTTTTTCGGCAATTCTTTCTTTTTTTTGGGGGGGGGGGGCTAAAACGATTTTTCACCCATAGAAGCTTACCTTTTTACTTTACTTACAGCTGTTAGTACTTATTCCTAATCTGACAATGTACTTTCTAAATTGAGAACGAAAACGGTACGTTTTCGTAATTGTAGGTAAAGGGAGGTAATTATTGTCAACTTTTAAATTTGCGATTGAAAAAAAAAAGAAATTTCTTTCGTCCTACGGCAAGACAAAGACATTTTGGGGTAATACTGGACGGACAGCTCAATATTTCTCTATAAAACATAGCTATTGTTTATAAACCAAAGCAAATAATTTTTACCAGCAGAAAGTTCACGGGTTGAACAAGTGTTTGTTTACTTCATGGGCGCAGACATTTTGAATTTTATGTCTCGGAATTTCACGCAGTTTATCGCGAAGTGAAATCATTTCCGAAATTGCGCTTTCAAGGTGCGCGAAGGGATCTGTCTGTCTGGTGCTGGTTAACTTACCTTCGTTGTCCAGGGGACATATTTCGAACTTTATCCCCTGAGGCATAAGTATGGGCATTTGAATGTGTATAGGTATGCAGAAATATGTTGTTTATTATTTAAATATTCAGATTTAAGATCAATGTGGCTGAGAAGGAGCATCCGTTTCGTCACAACTGTGATTGTAAATGGCGATCTATGAAAGCAAAGTTACGTTACAAAAATTATCATAATCATTCATGATAAATTGATTGTTGTTTTATGGTTAGATCAGATGCTTATTTTAATATTGTAACTATATTATTAATATCATTTTCAACAGCATATATTACTTTTCTATTCGAAGAAGTTGGTATATTTTTTCACGAATATATTACACGTATCATGTGTTGGAATGCCATCCATGATAAATAAATTATGTTTGTAAAATGTATAGAATCTAGGCCTAGAGAGATGAAGTCAGAAAACTGTCAGTGTCAAAAACAAAGTCTCAACTAGGCTATAATGCCAGTGGTTTATTAGTCCATGCTCTGTAGGTATTATAACATAAATACCAACAAAACACTAAACTAAATTTATGGCACTGACAGAAAGATATTGCAATTTTTCATTTATTAATTACCATCGTTGCATGTACTAATACTATGATGATATGTAGAATGTATTTGTAAGCTTATTGACATTGTCCAGCAAATTGACTGATTATTCAAATAAGGTAGTAGTTACAACCTATGTAGTTCTGATGGACTTTTCTTGAGTGAAACATCACCGTTGACATGACTCCCAACTCCAAGTCCAAGCTTTGAAGGTACAGTGTCAGTAGAGAGGCTTTTCAAGGGGAACTAAGTGTAACAGTGTCAAGCAATTATGCTTTAATCGAGCCAATAAATAATTGTACATAACTTATTTTAAAAAAAAGTAAACAAAAGGGATATACACATGTATGTTAAAAAAAATTTGCTTTAGGCTGCTGCACATTCCTCCTTGTCTTGTCAGTGGTGCAGGACAGAGTTCCTGGCAAGTAAAGTTCAGGATTTAGGTGTTTGAAATGGTACGAAAAAAGTAAAGTACATCTGTGGACTTTTTGGCGTGCAGATCCCATGGACTTGACAGTTGGAATTTGAAGAAAGAGTAGGCGGAAAACTTTGATGTCGGTCAAGATTTCCGATGTACATGTAGCAGACTGCATGGTGGTACTAACTCCTACCTGTCTTCATTAGCCCGGTTGGTGCAGAAAAGTATGACATTAAACCCCATTTCAATTTCATTGCCATACTTGAAAAACGAAATCACTAAAGAAAGGCAATTAAAAATAATATTATAGATGTCAAAATGTATTTCAATGACTCAGGTTTTTATTATTTGTTTCGGATCTTCAGTTGAAACACATATTGTTTTCATAAGTGTTTTTATTTTTATTTTTTTGGGGGGGGGGGGGGGGGATTGGGGTATTGAGTCGGTTCAAAAAATAATCTCTGATTTCCCATATCTTGGTTATTTCTCAACAGATGTTCTTTGGGTTTTCATTTTTGGATTGTTTGAACGAATCCTATATGGGCTCTGACTGACGGGTTTTCGAAATTCGGAAGTTCTCTCGATTAATATTAGCATCAAAATTTTTTCGGCATTCAAGATGGCGTATCGCCGTCACTATTTGATATCAAGTTGAAACTTGTTAGAAATAAAGAACACATCAATGCTTTCAAAATGACATATTCAAAAATTTTGTGACCACTTCCGGAAATTACTGAGGCCTCCGATTTTTCCCGAACATGAATAGTTCTCTCCATTTTGAAAAAAAGACCAATAGGGAGATATGGTGGTGTTAGCCCTAGATATTATCTTTCATTCATGCACCTTGTTCGATAACATTTTCAACCGTTTGGCCGCCATATTGGATTTGACAAAAAATCATCAAATTCAATCTGATTAAAATACAGATCTATATTTCGTTTCGTTTTTTTATACTTTTGATGACCTATACTACTCACTACATGAAGATCTGACAAGTTATAGAGGGAGTTCATGTCAGGGGTCAAACGAGCGGCTTTTGACCCTATGATGTTAGACATTGATTAATCAATCAGCGTTGACGTTTCTAGTGGTTTACCCACAGTTCCGTGCGTAAAAAGGCCAAGAACTCACCGTAACAGACCGTTTCATTGGCTAATCCCTCACTTCACCCAGAACACGTCAATGATAACAACTCTTCCAGATCCTAGTGTAGTAAAGACAAGTAAAACAAAATTTTGAACTGTAAAAACAAAACCAAATAGGATCTGTGTTTTAATCAGATTGCTTCAAATTGATATTCAGCCGTCAGTTTGATTCCGATTTTCGAAAAAATTTTGTTTTGAACCTACACCAAATGGCAACAATCCTTAGAGAATCAATTTTTGAATTTTTATTTCGTTTACTTCAGGTTTCACTTTGTATTTTCTTCGACTTTTCAACATCTATCTGGTGACCTAACCCTTTAATGACCCTTGACCATTTCATATATGATGACCCTCATGTCTACTAACAATTAATATCAAAATGTTCAGTCTCGAAGTATAACTTCCGATTTTATTAAGAGTTCAAAATGACAGGTTTTTCCACTTAAATAGGTATTGGATGTTATTATACTCAATACTTCATGGTGTAACTTGAATGTTGACGTGACAAGGCGTAAAGTGACATACAGAAACGCGTCAGTACTCCATTGAGTTCTATTTTATTTTTAAAATGTAATTTATTACTACAAATAGGTTTTAAGTTCTATAGATAAATAATACTGTAACCCAGGTATCATTTAATCTTGTGTATCTAGCACTAATTTCTTTCACATTTGTTTAATATCCAATCTTTGTTTAAAAATTCGTAAAAACGTTTAAAATCACAAAAAATCATCTAATTTGTACTTGTGTCCAGTTTAAAGCTGACTGATTAATTTTGATATTAAATGAGTGTCCAATTTACAAGTATTTAATTTCCTGACTACGGTTCAAAAATTAATCATTATACATCATTAATCAATTGAGTTGTTTATTTTTTTAACAATAATTGAGAAATTAAACACTTGTAAATTGGACACTCATTATCAAAACTGAATGGTCAGCTTTAAACTGGACAGAAGTACAAATTAAATGATTTATGGTGATTTTAAACCATTTTTACAAATTTTTAAACAAAGATTGGATATTAAACTAATGTGAAAGAAATTAGTGCTAGATACACAAGATTAAATAAATGATACCTGGGTTACTGTGTAGATTCAATAACTTGTAAGATTAGTTACTATGGATATGTTTTAAAACATATTACAGTCCCAGATTTCACAGGTCGCAGTAATTAAAAGTGGGTTTTAAATTTAACTTTGTAAAACACATTACAAAATGTTACAATATGGCCAGTTGGCCTGAGTTGGGCACTACTGAAGTTGTACCTGATCTTTTTAAACTTTGTGTCAGTCTTTATATTATAAATAAGCTGATAATAAAAATACCGAAAAGCAAATCACTGGTTTGAATGTTTGTCAGATAGTGACAGGTACATGTAGCATATTTCGAGGTTTGGTACAGTACAATTGAAGTAGGCCAACAGAACTAATAGTTTACCTGAAAAAAACACGGAAGTTTTGCGTGGAATTTAGGATGACCACTGTAAACAAGAGAACCTCATAAATACATCTAACACTGTACTACTGTAGTTAAAAGAAATTCTATTTATATGTAAACCAAAATGGAAATTCATTTGAAAAATTTAGTTTCACATGAAAAAACCCTCTGGCTTATTTTGTAAAAATAATGTTCACCCAATGGACCAGTTTAAGCTTATTTTTCAGTATTTGTATAATGATTAGAATAGGTTGCGTGTAAACTGGTTTTGTTTGAACTATTTATTTACGTTCATGGCTTGCCAATTTGTGAGAGTAAATCAATACATGTAACATAACACAACAGGAGAGTTCAGAAATAGTGAGATGAAGATCCATGTGTATTTATGGATGATAGAAAGTCCAGTTTTCAACTTAAATTTACTGCATACATTTACAATGTGTTTGATCATATTGATACAGCATTGCATAACAAGCCACGAAATTTCAAATTCTGGCATAACCAGAAAAATGGTTGCACTATTTTCATGTTTTAGTAGCCAGATTTCTATGGTGCTATTATTCATATCCACTTGCAGTGAATGTATTTGTTAAAGAAATAACTTGAATAATTTATATTTTATATTTAATATTATATTTTGAGGTTATGTGTTTATGACTTTAATCCCACGGTGTCCCCATTTAAACATTAGAAAAATTTATTCTACTTCACTAAATCCCCATATTTTAAGTAGCTAGCTGATTGACTTTTTATTAACAAGTAATAATTGACTTGTTGTAATTGATCAGAAAGTAGATACAGCCTCACTCATATGCCGGGTAGCGGTCAAAGTTGATGACATACATACAGGTCATTGGTACCAGGGTACAGAATGGCTATAGTGAAAGGAACATGTGTAGCAAATTCTTTGGAAATATAGCCGACATGTTAAATAGTTGAAATATTTTTGTATTTGAAAATCCAAAGATACTTTAGGTACGCTTTCAAATGTTTATGGCATAACTAATCATTTAAAGAATTAGGGAGGGGGGGGGCATTTTTAAATCAACCTGCTTGCAACTGGTCAATACGTGATGTCAAAATATGTGATCTGTCAAAGTACCATCACAGTATAGAGGTCGCATATTTTTGAGCTGGCGCAACCGCAGGTAACTGAATGGTATCATTTATGTGAAATTTTGTGGCCTGCATAATGTCATAGTAAAAAGTTGATCAAATAGATTCATTGGGATTTAATTTAAGTGGTAATACAACATTCTCAAAAATATGTTGATGAATTGCAAAGAACATTCTCTTTATTTCAGGATTATAAAAAGTGGAATAAAAATTGATTTTAAGTTTGCCGAGTATAAGATTTTAATACTTTTAATAAAACCAGATTACCAAAATGGTTCTTTCACAAAGACAGAGAGATGAGCTGTAAGTTGTACTAGTATTAAGAGTAGATTATCATATATTACATGTATATATACATATGTAGACTGTAGTTATAGGTTACCAGATATATCTTTATCATTTCCTCTACATACTATTATCACAGAAGAGAGGAAGTGTTTTCTTAGTCAAATAAATACAGTTACATGTATTGTCGTTCATTGCATTCAGTGTTGATTTCTTTCTTGAGTGCATCTCCAGTAAACACAATGAATACACAAATACAGAGTAATTCCTGCTAAAATGACCTTAAATGGATTCAATTAGATTAAAAAGTGGGCTAGAGTTGAACGGAAAAATACATTTGTGATGTCGGCTTGTATGTCTGCAGCGAAAGCCAAATGTTGACAGATTTTGAGTTTATCATATATCTTGGTAAATAGTATTGTAATCACAAAGAATTAACATTCCCTCAAATTAGTCAAATGACTTTAAGAATGTTATCACAGAATAAACAATTGGGCTAATAATGTCATGATCAATTATTACCTATAGTGAATATAGACGAAAAGAGATCTAACGACTATGGTGTAAGGCTGGCAGAAAGTATTGATATCGATACAGTTTTAAAACAACAATTATCGCGTAATTATAGGTACATGATTTGTAAAAAGAAGTCCATAAAAAATAATCCTTATCACTGTATTCTTTGCAACGCGTGCTTGGGCCTAGAACTGTAATTTTAAAAAACAGAATAGTCATAATTAAACACACACGTTTTGTTTTTTCACGAGAGGTGCCAACGCTGAGAAATGTCGGCTGCTTATGATGAGAGTCTGGCATGTCGTGTTGTGACATAATGGCACAACATATTGTGGAATATTGAAATTATGGCTCTCACAGTGACCAAGAGTCAAAAACATGAATTAATCCACTATTATTACAAGGCGTTCTGTGCGCATGAGAAATGAGAAATCACTGCAAGAAATAAACTGTTACGGGGAAGCCCGGAACTGGATGAAGGCTCTGTTTCATGTGATCAAAGGGAAATACATGTAACTACATTTTACTCATTATTATTCAGGTCATACGTGACAAAGATATGCGAGCGGTGGCAGTTCTGTCTTCCAAATAAAGTAACTTTGTTGATCAAGTTTCTACACCTTGGTTTTGCTATGGAATGCTATTATTTCATTGTCAAATCAATGAAACAAATTCTACATGTATGCAGAATATTACAACATAAACTCACATATAATTCGTTATTCATGTACAAATTATGACTGTTTTCAAACAATTTTAAGTCAAAATAATTTGCCGATATTATCGATTATTGATCGATGGATAGTCGACGATAATCGATACTTGAAACCAGTATCAATTGCCAGCCCTACAATGGTTTTGAACATTTAACAAGAAAGGTGATAATGATACATAATGACAGACAGTGAAAACATTATAGGATAAAACTTAGTGACCAACATATATTTAAGTTATATTTGCTAAGGAACTGCCAAAATACATGTATAAAATATAAACTCTCTTTTATCATATTGCAAGTGATTGTCAGAAGGTAGAGGTATGATCTTATACCTTACACTGTTACTATTATTATAAAGTTAATATTTGTGTGACAAAATGTCCAAACTCTGCAAACGTTTTAAAAATGTAATTATTATAATTGTTTTATATTATAGTAATAAAGCCATTGCTGACTATCTTAGTTCGAATGGATATGTCAATGCATTAGGAGAATTCCAGAAGGAAGCCAATATGGTATGATTATTTTAGCTCTTCTACAAAAACTTCACTGCGTAATCATGATTCTCAGTATTGTGTATGAGAACAATATATATATATTTTTTTAAAATCTTTTGTTCTTTCCCTCTTGCTGAGTTATTTTAATAAAAGTATTTTAAGAATGAATGAGAAGTGTTTTAATTGTTGTACTTAAGAAGGATAATGATGTCATTTTAGTTGTATGAAGGATAAAGCTATATACATTTTGATTGTCTAAATTAAAATAGAATATTTTATTATTTTTTTCAAGCTGAAATTAAATACCTGCATGATATCTTTGGTCCTTGGGACCTGTATTTGATTTGAATTTAAACAATTTTATCAAATGATTGTTCAAATTGTAGTCTCTATTTTTCGTCCGAAAGTAAATAGCTATGTGGCCATCCACAAGTTCCCAAATTTAAACAAAAAAACAAAAAAACAAAAAACTAAGAAGTTTGAGCCGTTATAAAATAATTTCCATGAACGTAAAAACTTATCTATTCCTGTATTTGCAATTTATTGCGCTCGAAATAATATTTCTTGATTTCTTTTGTAGTCTAATGATGTAGAAAAGAAATATGCTGGCCTTCTGGAGAAGAAATGGACATCTGTAATCAGATTACAGAAAAAGGTAAGCAGTCAAATATATCAAATAATCATATAAATAAAATTTAGGTGTAGTTTTATTTCCAATACACATACAGATGTAAAAATTAGAAGAAAAAAAAAACAGTTGGTACATGTAAATCTGGCAGAGTTTTGTTATAGAAAAATGGATAATGTGTGATAGTCTTTATCCACTAAATATGAGCCATAGTCATACATGTAAATATAATGAGATATAAGAGAGGGTATTTTTTTCGTTTTTATTTTCCTCTATCTTCCATTTTTCTCGACCTTTCATTTTCTCATATTAAAATTCTGGCATGGTGTATAAAAAAAAGAATAATATTATATTAATCAAGGTCATTTCATTCCATTAAAAGTACTTCATGTCTACTTAACATTTGTATGTTATAGTAAACTTCGCATAAGTCGGATCTAAGTAGACTGACCAATTTTATCCGAGCTGAGCGAAGATCCGAGTTATCACCCTGTATGTTCAGGAACCGTCCTATTGAATCCTTGTTGAAATAAAATCGGTTCCCAGTCAGTTTTACTGGTCAACTTTTTACTGCTAAAAGGTCGTGTGTCAGTCTCTGAACGCCTGTACAATGTAAAGGAACATTTTAGTGAGAAAATAAGAACTTGCTTACCTCACTGGAGTCAGTTTGTGTAACACAACATGCTGTTAAAAATGCGTCCCCTTCGGTTTTGGCGAATGCCAGTGAAGTCTAGATGTGGGGTGGCGCATGGATTTACGTGACTAGGCCATATAAGACGAAACGAAATTTAGGTAAGCTGTGGTGGGGAAAAGTTAGAATCTTTGAAAATCTGAGAAACTTCAGTCACTTATTGCTTTGCCTAGCCCAATTACAATCAAATTTTTTCAAAATTTTCAATTTTGTTTCGTCTTATATTGCGAGTTGTGTAATTTATGCATTGTCCTGTATTTTGGATTTCAATGGCGTATGCCAGGGCATGTGGCGGAGGGTTACATATTTTAAACAGCATGTTGTGAACATACTGCCGATCCGACTTAGGCGAAGGAAAAAAGCCGGAATTAGATCAAATGCACCAAACATTTTGATCCGTGTTGAGCGAAGATCCCACTTACGCACAGAAATTTAATAAGAAAAACATGCAGGATGAAAGGATCCAAACGATTTAATCCGAGTTGAGCAAAGATCCGACTTATACAAATCCGACTTATGTGAGGTGTAGTGTATATATATACAATGATTAGAGTTTCCCATAATTTATATTATCGGTTACAACATCAGTACTTGCCGATAATTGGCCATTTTTAGCGATATCCAAAAGTCAGTATACAAATTATTAGTATTGATATTTGTATCGGGCCAATAGTTTTACTAAAAGTTTCAGATATCAGTTTTACCGATAACCTGCAATAATGATTTACTGTATTATAAAGCCAATAAAATTTTTAAATTGATATATGGCCTGAAATAGATACCAAAATCACAAGAAGTACATGTAGCCGTTTTATTTGAAATTGAAATTTACATATAACCTGTTGTCAGTCTTGCAACAGAAACTGACTACACTATCTGTCTTTTAATGTTTTAGATTAATATTATAAATGAGATTGTTAATTTTCAGCTCGACAGTTCATTTCATATTTTGTTTTAGGTTATGGACCTAGAATCTAAGCTGACAGAAGCTGAAAAAGAATTCAGTATTGGAGCTCCAACCAGAGATAAACGTAGCCCTGCCGAATGGATTCCCCGTGCCCCAGAAAGATATTCACTGAGTGGCCATCGTAGTCCAGTTACTAAAGTCTTATTTCACCCGGTATTCAGTGTAGTAATATCAGCCAGTGAAGATGCTACTATTAAGGTATGGTAATAAAAGTATTAGTTTAAACGAGATTATATTCAGTGTTCCATGTTATAAATCGTCAGAGATATTATTTTAATCCATTAATTTTATTCCTTCAGATATGGGATTATGAAACCGGTGATTATGAAAGATCATTAAAAGGACATACAGATTCAATTCAAGATATAGCATTTGATCACACAGGCAAACTGTTAGGTAATTTAAACTAGGTTATTTTCCATGATGTAATATTTTATCAGCTAGTTGAAAGTGGTCTACTCTGTTTACAATAATGTATTTTACAGTTGATATCACCTATTTGGTATTCAAGAGCAATATCTACAGGGCTATCTCATATGTAATTTTATTACGTTATTTTTCATTGAGTCCTGTCATAGCTTTTATAAATAAATTCAGTTGTTGCAGGGTTCTGGTCTTTAATGATATCGTATATTTACAGCTTCGTGCTCGGCAGATATGATGATTAAACTATGGGATTTTCAAGGATTTGAATGCCTGAAAACTATGTTCGGTAAGTAAAATCTTCATCATTTGACACCCTCAGTGAATTTGTAGAACACCATTAGATAGCCTTTTTTTAAAATCTGAATTTTGGGGATTTTAATTTCTAAAAGTAAGAGGTAGGCAGCACTGTTTAGTTTTAATTATTTTTTGAATATATGGATATATTGTCTTACAGATGTATGTAGGTAGAACTTGCAAGACCCATCCGATGCTTTCTTTAAATATTTTTGTGATTTCTGTTGTTTATTTTCTCTGTGACAATAAAATTATTTATGTGACAACTAAGTATATTTTTCAAAGGATTGTGGATTAATCAGTCGAGATATTGAATTTGTTAATATTTTATAATTTTTCATTTCATCTATTATTTCAGGGCATGACCATAATGTTTCGAGTATAACCTTCATGCCAAGTGGTGATTTCATTGTTTCTGCATCCAGAGACAAAACTATCAAAATGTGGGAAGTTGCCACTGGGTAATTACTCATATTTATTTATATTTATACATCTTCATCAATGTAACATATATTCCATGTCGGGTTTAGTATGCATTATATGAGGTTCTACACCAACCTGGACAGCACTACTTCATTATGTAACAACAGATCATTAGCTATTATGCTTGCTAAATCTAGTCACTGTATTTGGACTATTTATAGGAGGTAAACACGCTTTAATCCACTGTTGAGCAATGATGCTTACTGAATTTAGTGACTTAATATGGACTTTTAAAGAAAGTAAACAAACTTTATCTACAATTTTAAAATTGGAGTAAAGCAAAAGCAGGGTTGGAGAAATGATTTGCCTTTAAAGAAAGTCAGAAATATGCTAGTCTTGTTGAATAAGAAATGCAAGTGTAAACATCAGAATTAAATTATGTATTTTCAGCTATTGTGTAAAGACATTTACAGGCCATCGTGAGTGGGTCAGGATGGTGCGTGTAAATAAAGATGGTTCGCTGCTGGCCAGCTGTTCTAATGATCAGGTAATAAATCTCGGTATAGTTTGCCCAATACATCAGTCCATGGTGATAAGCATTTACATTGTGTTAAGAGAAATTGTCTTAATAATTCTTTAGATCAAACTATAAATCAAGGCAAGAATTTTATGTGAATAAACTTGTAAATCTACATGTATAAATATCCAAGACATTAGTAATAAAGAGAAGATAACCTATTGATTAGGTGAAGAGTCAATAATAAAGCATTATTATTAAAGGTTAGAGAATAACATGTTTTACAGACTGTTAGAGTATGGGTTGTAGCTACAAAAGAATGTAAAGCTGAATTAAGAGAACATGAACATACTGTTGAATGTATAGCTTGGGCTCCAGAAACAGCATACCCATCTATTGGAGAAGCAGGTGGCGCAGATGTAAGTACTAATTTATATTTGAAGAGAGTCCCGAGACCCAGTGACAATAGCCTTGTGCACATATCTACAGGTTTAAAAGAAATCATGCTGTTTAGTTTATTGTCAAAGATGTGCCTATCCAAATCAGAGGTTGTACAAAATACAATCCCTTTTCTTTTCAGTTTTAAATAATTATTTAGAGATTTTGAAACCTTTGATAGTTGCATGTTTTATGATATTTATTTAATGTTTTAGGCAAAGAAATCAAGTGGGCCATTCCTTATATCTGGTTCTCGTGATAAGACTATGAAGATGTGGGATATAAGCAGTGGACTTTGTCTCTTTTCATTGGTAAGAACACATTTACATAGAAAAATACTCTAAACATTTTCCGATATCTTGCTTCAGTGAAAACTGTAATCTTCAAGAAATTTCTTTTTACAACTTAATTCTGGTTTTTAAAAGACATGTATTTATTTATAGGTTGGTCATGATAATTGGGTACGAGGAATTGTTTTCCATCCAGGAGGACTTTTCATACTTAGTGCTTCTGATGATAAAACTCTTAGAGTCTGGGACATCAAAAACAAACGTAACCACAAAACTCTGGAAGCACATTCACATTTTGCTACATCTGTAGGCAAGTATATTATAGATTTAATCATATATTAAACATAATAATAGGTAAATGTTAATCTCCTATATATACTTTGATGAAATGAAGAAAACTTGGGTCACAAATCTCACATTTTTGCAAGTTTTATTTCCAAATGTAAGGAACATGAAAGTGTGTTGCTTTCAGATATTTATGGGATTCTCCAGATCCTATTGCTTTCAATCCACACTAAAAAGTCATGCAAACATTAGTGACATACAACTTATTATTTCTAAAATGGCCAAGTTGTATTGAGTGAATGTTAATTCCCATTTTGCTCCATCAAAATGAGAAGAGTTGTGATGTACGTGTAAGTAACGCAGAACCATTTTGACTAAAAAGTTCTGTGTAACGCCTTTAAGTCCAACCTTTGCAGATCCTTATTCATTTACTAGTATCAACCATGCTCAACCCAAAATCATTTCATCAGAGACAAGAGAAGTTTTATTTTTGTTTAGAAATGTGGAAACTATATTAATAGCAAATCATGAGATCTTCTTCAAGTCCTTTACAAATGTAAATGTGTTTGTGTTTATTACTTTCAGACATGCATAAGAATTCTCCGTATGTAGTAACAGGGAGTGTTGATCAAAGTGTAAAGATATGGGAATGTAGATAAATACAGTCACCAGTATATCTGGTAGATTTATCTCATGTATAACATCTAGTGGTTCATAAAACAGTTGATATATTTTACCTTACTTACTGTACACTATATCTTTAACATCATTTAAACACTGGATTTAATTAAAGTGCTTACTTTACACTTCAATATTTATTTATGAATTAATTGTATTCATATGATAAAATATAATATATTACATACTTGGGTAAATTATTTGAATAATCAACTGTTTTAAAAACCTGTGTTAGTTAGAGACGATGGACCACACCACTGACTATCAAGGTGACCCCTTTTCTTTTACATGTGTCTGCCAGTTGTTATTCTAAGTTTGTATCTTAAATAAAATGGTGATATTTTGTGGCTTTTTGTGATGCTCATATTCACCCAGTGTTCAAGTATGCTTTGATAGCTTGAGAACACTGCAAACTAATTATATGATTGAATAAGATATTAGATCCAGAGATATGACAACTAGGTACTGTAGAAATCGTGATGGTTTATGAAGAAAGCAAGAAATTATTTATCACTGTGATATATCTGTCTAGAGGTTATACAGATTATGAAAGTCTCCTGAATTGTCTACTGTATCTACAACGATATTGTAACATCTATGATTTAATCCAACTGTCCCTAAATATAATCCCATTCATCATGAAAAACCATAATAGTAATAGCTAGGTCACAGGTGATAACTTAGAAATCAAACGCATCACCTCCAAGTTTGATAACGATACACAATTATACTACTCTAGTCTAAACTTGTAATTTCTAATTTACCTCATAATATAATCCTTAATACCTTAATAAAAAAGAACAAAGATATTAATCTGTTATAGTAACTGATCGTCATTTGCACTTTTCAGACAATGACTTAAACTTAAACCATGTTAAAATGTACACAAATTAAAATTTTAATTAAGAAAGCAAACTATCAATGGTACAAATGTTCCCAGCTTGGATTCCATCGGATCAAAAACGAGGCCCATCAAAAGATTTCAGGTGGCAATGGCTTGTGTGACCATATCTTGTATGTTGTCTCTAGTGGATGCCGAATGTTAACAATTTTTTAATTCATAATATCTTTGGAATACTTAATGGAATTGAATTATTTTTGGACAGACATTCCTTTTAGAGATTAAACTCTCACAATATTATGACGATCAGAGACTTTAATTGATGGAACAAATCAGTATATGTATGTAGACATTAGGAAAATTTCTTAGCCTGCTTACCAACTTTATAAAATCCTCTTAAAAAATTTGTGTGAATCATTGAAATCAGAGAAGACACTGTATGTTGACTGATACTGTTGACTACTTTCTATGTATGTAATAATTAAAAAACGGAATGTGAAGGTTAGAATCATAGATGGCTTCCTAGTAACTTTTACTGTTTGTTAGTGGGCTATATATTATATAAATTTAAAGTCCAAAGCAAGATGTCTTGCACAAGCAATTTTATATCTATAAATTACCACTCTTTTCGAATTTCTATTGCATGCAATAAATAAAATTGTTTGTAAAAGGGGTGACGGTTGGATTTTAATTTTGACTATTCATCTTTTGTTTTTCTATTATTTATCACGAGAAAAACAATGACTACCACTTTTATTTTTCGAATCTATGATCAGTCAAAGTTTACATCTTTTAAGATCATTTTCGTAAATTGAAAATCGTCAAATTTCCCCAAATACTATGGACTATGTTTGCTTTTTGTCCTTGGAACAAACATACATACTATTTAATAAGTGTTATAAATTAAATGTTAGAGCTGAATTAACAACCAATATATGTGCTTTATATTTGTTATTGTATATATTTGTACATTTTGATTTATATTTTTGTCTTTGCTTTTGTAATTTATTTTTTTCCACGTAGTGCTCAGAATTATTTATGGTGTTAGGAAATTTATTTTATTTTATCAAATAGACTATATTATTAAATTAAGAAAGAAATCTATTCCAGTGATATATCAATATTTTATCTAATTACAACATTCAATGTTTAATCCATTTAAAACTTACAATAGAAATGAATGACACCGAAATAAGTAACAGAAAAACTTTATAGGACTAGTTGTTTTATGTTTTAAGAAAAATCTACATGATGATTTAAAATAGATTTGTTCATGTACAAGCTTGTCGTAGGGTTGTTCGTGGACCATATTTTAACCGGATTAGGATTACTTCATGAACATGAAATATATATTGTCCTATTTAATTAGGGATAGAAGTTATCTTAGGCATAGTAGATAGTGTGATATACAACTGCCAGTAATATCAGTTTTATGCATAATCTTAATACTTGGGTATAGTCACTTGAATTAAAGTAGTTCTTCTAGATTCAAAACTTAAGAAGTGAAGATAATTCTCACTTGAATTGTACATAGAAATGTTAGTTTGGAAGAACTACTTTAAACATAATAGATATTCCAAGTTTTAAAGGGTGTTTGGTATGGACTGCATACCTCTCATAAGGCTTCTATAATATATTACAGTACTACAAACCTATATTTGCTTTAATTAACATAATTGTTGTTTTTTTTTTGTAATTATTTTTTTTTTTTTTTGTCACAGTTTTGACCGACCTCACTTTGTAATTTTCTCTGTCTCGATAATATATATATATATATTTAATAAATCTCCAGATAGTACAAGTTGATTAAAAGGAGGATTTTTTTTCTCTTCCAAATTTTACCTTGGTCAATAACATTCAGCCATTTAAAAATATGAAATGAGTGAGGAAGGTCATTTTTTCTAGATCCTCTCCATTGATAAGAAATTTGCTAAAAATAAAATGGCCCTCCCACCATTGGATATCTTTAAATAGAAATCTATTACCAGTACATAGTATGATTCATTTAATAATTAATTGTCATGCATTAATATGTAGTTTCTAATGATTACTAATAAAAGTATCAATTAATCTAAACAGTGCTAAACAATTTCAAACCCTCTTTATTATTCTTTTTTTAAATTGGAGATTTATACCATATTTGCATTTAATAGAAATTTTAACTTATGATTATAAATACATTTATTGATTACTTAGTGTATAATGTATTTTATGTTACTGAATATTGTCCTACACCTAATAAGTTCTATGTGAATAAAGTATTAAAAAAAATATATATATATTGGACTTGTATTTTCTGTATCCAGCTGATAAGTTTCTTTCTTGATACAAAAGTAGTCCAAACAGTATATATAGAGGCTGTTGCATATTTATTGTAGGTAATAGGAACATTCCCCAAGACTAACTGCAGTGGTGTGTCACAAGGTAAATTTTACCCCAACGTTTCCACCTTCTCTTCTTTGGATTCCAACTGTCAAGGGTTCTTTTACGTACACAGGACGATTCAAATGATTAGACACTGCTCCTTGCCAAAAATAAAATGCCTCAGCCAGTGGCTCCACAACATAAGAAATTGATTGTCTTCTAGCATACGAAACTTATGCTGTCTATATCTACAATTAACAACAGACGCCAAGCTGGTTGAATGGCATTTTAATTGCTACATCGATGATTGTAGTCAAAAACACTTGGAGACTATTGAGAAGTATTTATTCTGCTTCCATTTAAGGGAGGAGGCTATCCGAAAATTTTTATTCTGAAATGTTAAAGCTATCGAATTGAAAATAGTACAAGTAGTTAGGAAATGTAATAAACAAGGGACAAATGGCATTAAAAAAAATGTTCTTGCCAGGGTAACACATTTTTGGGGAAAAAATTATGAAAAACGTAGGTACACTATATCTCTGTAACTAATTAAGATATCTTCGCCAAATTTGCAGGATATATTAACTAATATCTACCACAGAATCAAACAGAAAGCAATTTGAATTATTAATATTTCAAAAGTTATCAAAATATTTCTCCAAAGACAAAATATTGTGGTGAAGCAAATGTTTTAAACACCATTTTCCAACAAACTAAAAATTAAAGAAAAACTCTCTGGTTTTGAGGTCATCATTAAAGAACAAGCAGTCCGAAAATGAGACATTTATCTTTATTAGTGCCAGAGATATGGTGTACCTACATTTTTCATACTTTTTCCCAAAAAATGTGCCAGAGATATGGTGTACCTACATTTTTCATACTTTTTCCCAAAAAATGTGTTACCCTGGCAACAACTTTTTTTCCCTTATTTTTAATGTTAGTGTTTCCTTATTTATTACATTTCCTAACTACTTGTGCTATCTTCAATTCACTAGCTTTAGAATTTCAGAAAGCATTTTTCGGGTAGCCTCACCCCTTAATGAAACTGAATATGGTTATTTAGTCTGTGTGCATGTACAATGGATTAGAACCACACTACAAAATAGTATACCGATTTTGAATATGATAGCCTATTATCGGCCCATTCCAATCGTTAGACACTGTTCCTTGCCAGGCCCCTCTGTCTTGCACCACTTGCAAGTATTTATTCTGCTTCCATTTAATGAAACTGGAAATGGTTATTTAGTCTTTGTGTGCAAGAAACACTACAAAATAGTATACTAATTTTGAATAAAACGGCCATTCAGGGCAGAGATCCATGCTCAAAGTAGATAGTTCTCTGTGTGCAGAATGGGGTTTGAACCACTACCAGTAATAAGCTTGGCTGTTCAAAGTCATCTAAAATTGTTAAAAATCAATAGGCTTCACTGCATATAAATTTCAAGTCAACAGGATGATAACTTAACCTCTACAGCATCCACAAAATATTTCAAATTGTTCAAGAGTGATAACAGCTGTGACAGGAATAATCGGAAATAGGCTTTTTCGTCTTATGACCTTAAACACTGTGTATAAATTTAAAGTCAATCAGATAATAGCTTTTGCCTCTAAAGCACCCAAAAGATTTTTCAAATTGATCAAGGGCCATAACTCTGAGAGTAATAATAGGATATTGTTAACAGTAAAAGGCTTCATCATCTCATCAACATAAACAGTGTATAAATTTTAAAGATTACGTTCCTGTACAAACTGCGTGATTTGACGATGTATTTGGACCAAAAACACATTCAAAATTTTGCTACAAATCCTTCTCAAAACACTGTTTAGGTGAGGGAATACCCCTGCTATAAAAAATCTATTAAAGGAGGTCATGTTTGTGTCACGTGACGAACTACCGAGCAACGGATGCGAAGTCGGAGGTGAATTCATTGCATACACAAGACGGTGTTGTCGTTAATCGCTATCCATTTATCATAAATATCGAAGTGTAATTAAATTCTCGGATTATCCACTGCCCACGCCTTTTTCCGTGATTTGTATCTCAGAAAGTGTTGTACTCTAACTCTTCATAAAGTTTATCAACATGTACATCAAGCGCTCAATCTCCGCATGCAACCTTTGACGTCACGCGAGCAGGCATTTTTGTCCTGTATACACTCCATGAGTGTTATTGCCATACTTTTATTGGAAATAACCACCCGATAAATACTTTTCTGGGAACGTATCTTTAAATCATTTTGATGACGACTTTAGCCTCTGTAACATCCATCCAACATAGGTGACAAATAAGCGCATTTCAATGTGGGCATATAAAAAAATTAATGATTCATTGGTTGTATTTTAGGTAAACTTTTTCCACACCATAAAAATCTTTCAAATATATCTATTTATCATTACAAACTTAAAACCAATAACTAGATAACATGTAACTCCAACTGTTTACAATTCTATAATGGATACATACTCAGTATTTGATGAATTGATTTTTTTATATGCCCTTTTTATTATCTGCATTTTGTTTTTTGCCATTTATTCCCAAAAGTTTGAAAAGTATATTTTGTTAAATATTGACCAGAATTAAAAAACAAGCCTGATCTTCCAAAATCTATCTTTTAAACAAGAAATATGTAAAGAGAAAATCCCGAAATTGAAACAATATTTGCACTAATAGTTTATCAGATACCTTTCCCGAATGCATTGTTATTTTCATATTTACATACTTGGTCTTTAAGGGAAGATTTCAAGAAAACATTCAAATTATATTTTGTTTTATCTAGATGATAGGTCTTTGTACATATCACATATTTGAAACTTCTATAGTTGCATGAAAACATACCAAAAATCACCGGCAACTTCCAAAAAACAAAGATGTACAAAATTTTGGTTTCTTGCTTTTATAATAATAGAAGATAATATAGTATTTTTTCACAATATAATAATATTAAATATCAAAGTAATTTTTTACATGATTCATAAACAAGATATAATCTTTTCTATACTACAAGTATATACAAAAATTATACAAAAATATCGCCATCTGTCTTTAACACATTTCAATTAGATGGTTCAAGTTTCTGAAATCATAAAAAGATAAATATACCGAAATGCAATAAAAATGCACCACTGATTTGACTTTTAAGTCCTGGCGAGACTCTCGCCGCGAGAGATTATGCAGCCAAGATTGATTTTAGGCATTGTAGACTGGATATGATAACAACAAACAATGGAGTCTATAACAACTTGAAATGGAAGGTAGGTATATGGCTTATTAATCACAAGTCAGTTATGTGTGTCCATCTCTAGTAGCCACATATGCCATGAAATGCTGCTGCATGAAAGAGATAAGCCTCAGAATGGCTGCTTGTGGGAACCCTATTCACCCTCCTTACAATAATGCTGCTTCCAGTGGCTGTGGTACTCATTAGGGTGTTTCACTTGTTTTGGAATTTCTATGGTTTCTACCCGTCACCTAAGTCCACTTGAGGTCAAACTTACACCGTAATATTTTCAGAATTTTCTTGCCAAAAATGGGTGCCGACGGCCATTTTTTCTAAAATTGCAACTATTTTCTGGATTTTCGGACGTTTTGAGCTTGACAGATCACTTAGAAAGGTCAGGTATAGCTTGTAATGTATCTATTTTATCCTTTTCAGGTATGTAGAGTCCATTTCCACTATCTTAAATGAGATTGTCAGAATCCAAGATGGTGGAAATCCAGGATGGCGCCCCAAATCATCTATTTTCGTGACATGGAAAAGCATTTTTCAAAGACAATGTCATTCTGAACATCATTGTGTCTCCGATAATAAACTTTGCACTCATAAAATTCAATATCGGGGCCAAAATGATGTTCAGACTGACACTGAGCTACCTTTGGGTGAAAATGGCGGAAGGTAATGACTGAAGGCGAAGTTCCGATGGAGTATATTCACCATACTATGAATCTGGCAGAACTATGACTGAACCTGGAAATTGTTTACAAAGTTGTTTTTTTATGATTGATTTTAGTAGCCTAAGGTGTCATCTTTCAGAATGTGATGGGTGAACCTCGGTAACCCTTGAGCGTTTTGAGAAATTCAAGATGGCATCCAAGACGGCCGGCATTTCACTAAATACACTGAGATCGTTCATTATGTTGTGGGGTCATTAGATGATAGTAAAATCCAAAATTCCAGATAATATGGCCCTTTAACTCGTTAGCAGCGGTTGGGAGCCATTATTTCAGCAAACCAAATTACATCTAGAGACAAACTATATTTCTGGACATAGGAGCACAAATTATATATTTCTGGATACAGGAACATATGAGTGATACAATAACACTACATACATGCCTATCAGGAGCACGCTAGCACAAGATGTTTTTTGAATATTTAAAAAAAAAAAAAATTCTACCCGCAAAACACGAAAATAACTAGGTAATATTCAGTTTAATCCTCTAGTCGTGTTTCTGGCTGCATCCTGTGACAGCGCAAGCGCAAAATACTGTATAATCTAAGCCATCCCTAGTGTAGCTACAAGCACGCGTACTACATGTCACTCTTCCATCCACATCTGATGAGCCACGTAACAGACTCCGGAGCACGTTGACCAGTTGTAATGTTCTCAATTTAGTGTCCTTAACCCAGCAATATAGTTCCTGCGAATTACGATCTTCCAGTCAACGCCACACAATGGCTTGGTGATGACATCTTTTTACGTTCCCTACACATGCATCATTCTTTGGAGCAAAACTACATGGTTTAAGTGGGGATGAAGACGACACATTTCCCGTTTTGGATGTCTATACCCTCCAATGTGTTTCAGGCAGCGATTTGAAAGAGCTCTGTCTATAACAAGCTTCTTACAATTGAATCACCAATCGAGGAAAGAACAACCGTTGACATTGGTTCAACTTCTAAGAAACATATGTCCAATACCATTAAATCATCAATCAAGGAAAGAACAACCGTTGACATTGGTTCAACTTCTGAGAAACATATGTCCAGTACCATTGAAATCCTGCCAGCTCATGCTTTAACTGGATGTGACACGGTTACGTGCTGTTACGTCTTGGGAAAAGGAACAGCTTTGAAAATGGTGAGAGCTTGATTGTATTCTCTCTTTAGACGCTCTAATAGAATCTGTGCTTGCACAGGCCACTGTACATGTCGGCTGGTTATGGACAAAGTTCTAGCAAATCGATGTCTGAAACACGCTGGAGGGTATGGACAATTGGACGTCCAAAACTGAAATGTATGGTCAGCATCCCGCCACCCAAACCATGTAGTCTTGCTCAACGAATGATGTATTTGCAGGGAACTTAATCCGGAACTGTGGGTGAAGGTTACAAAATTGAGAACATTACAACCGGCCAACTTGCTCCAGAGTCTGTCATGTGGCCCTGGAGCTCCTGATAGGTATTATGTGGTGTTATCATATCACTCATATGCTCCTATGTCCAGAAATATAGTTTGTCTCTAGATGTAATTTGGTTTGCTGAAATAATCGCTCCCAACTGCCGCTAACGAGTTAAAGGACCATATTATCTGGCATTTTGGATTTTACAATCATCTATCTAATCACCCCACAACATAATGAACGATTTTAGTGTATTTAGTGAAATCCCGGCCGTCTAGGATGCCATCTTGAATTTCTCAAAACGCTCAAGGGTTACCGAGGTTCACCCGGCACATTTTGAAAGAGGACACCTTAGGCTACTAAAATCAATCATAAAAAAACTTTGTAAACAATTTCCAGGTTCAGTCATAGTTCTGCCAGATTCATAGTATGGTGAATATACTCCATCGGAACTTCGCCTTCAGTCATTACCTTCCGCCATTTTCAACCAAAGATAGATCTGACATCATTTTGGCCCTGGTATTGAATTTTATGAGTGCAAAATTTATTATCAGGGCCAAAATGATGTTCAGAATGACATAGTCTTTGAAAAATGCTTTTCCATGTCACGAAAATAGATGATTTGGGGCGCCATCCTGGATTTCCAACATCTTGGATTCTGACAATCTCATTTAAGATAGTGGGAATGGACTCTACATACCTGAAAAGCATAAAATAGATACATTACAAGCCATACCTGACCTTTCTAAGTGATCTGTCAAGCTCAAAACGTCCGAAAATCCAGAAAATAGTCGCAATTTTAGAAAAAATGGCCACCGGCAGCCATTTTTGGCAAGAAAATTCTGAAAATATTATGGTGTAAGTTTGACCCCGAGTGGACTTCGGTGACGGGTAGAAACCTTAGAAATTCCAAAAAAAGTGAAAAGTGAAACACCCTAGTACTCATATCCCCTTGAATTAATGCAATGAACTGTTCTTTCGGCATATCTTTGCATTTTCCACAGAACGGTAGGAGTTGTTCTGACTTTAAAAGTCACATTTTATGTCTGTACCATAAAATCGTTATTTTCAACAGTCCCAATCTATCAAATTCAATTTTTTCTTTGAGAGGACTGATTTGTGGTGCTGTTAAGTGAGCATGAAAACATCATTCTGGCGTGTTATAGCCGTGATCTGATTTTGTTTTACTCAGAATTTCAAGGTTAAAGTGTATATATCAAACAAGATATAGAATCATTCATTTGTAAAAGTCGTGCCTTTTCAGTATATATGATGAAGATTTACAACTATGAAATGTTTCCATGGCTGGATTCAGGGCTCACACTGGGTTTCAATTTTTTTTCCCATGATAAGCTGCTAGGCCACGAAACATACGCCCATAGCAGATAAGTCGTCCGGACAGTCAACAACGGTTGTCACATATTTTTTCTTTTGTAAGTAATGGCAACATTTACATGTACAACACAATAAAATCTGATTATGAGTAACAACCTCTACAACCTTTCAAAGTGATCAAGGGCAATAACTTTCGCAGTAATTATCAGAAATCGTTGAAAATCAACAGACTTCTTCGTCTAATGACCGGACATTAACTTCGGCCTCCAGAGCGTCCACAATATTTTTCAAAACGATCAAGGGCCATAACTCTGGCAGTAATTATAAGGAATTGTTAATAATCATTAGGTTTCCTCGTCTCATGACCTAAAAACACTGTGTTTAAATTTAAAGTAAATTTAGTCCCTAGAGCGTCCACAAGCAATTGTGGACACCAAACAGACGGATGGACTGACGGACGGGGGCAACGGCAATATACGACCACATCTCAATGTGGGTGTATAAAACTGTACTATCAACATTAGTTTAAACATGATTAAATAAAATGTGATCAGTTTAATCAAATGAAAAGAAAGATATAGAAATCAGGGTTTACTTACAACTGCTTGAATATTCCACTTTTTTGGTTTGGGTAATCTAAAAGACAAATCAAGAAACAAAATATTAACATTCTTGATCTTTTCCCCAATTTGATTAATGAAATCAGAATAAAGAAATACATAACTAGAGTACACTATCATTAATCGGGCTTACGTTGATCTTACAACTGAAAGCAACTGGCGCTCCAAATTCAGATGCTCTCAGTTGCTGATTTGCTCGACGTAAGCACACTTACAACTAGCTGAAAGCAGTTGCTCCCAGTTGGAGAGTTGACATAAGCCCCGCTTTACAGGCATCTTTTGTCATTTCTATTAGTATTAGACAGTGAAATAAACTTACGGTCTTTCTGGTGAAAGTAAAAATACAACATCATCATCAAAATTAGGTCGCTTTTCATTGGCCAGATCTGTAATAAAGATTGTTAAATCTTATTTTTCCAGGTAGAAAATTATCTTTGATTTCCATAGATATTAAATTAAATCCATGTCATTAATTGTTTGAATAAATATGATAAGAAGTTGTTTCATGAGTCATAAGAAGTGAGTCATGATTTGTTTAGATGCTATCCAGGCATCTACCAACTCAGAATATTAGAGGGGGCCACAGTAAGATGGGCCTGGCACCTAGACACTATTAAAGATACATTATGGGAGATTTTTATAAGGAGTTAGCCATTCTTGCTATAACAGTTCAAAAATAGATGATGAAAGAAGAATATATTGAGAATTCTGAACATAGGTATCACCAGTGTAATTTTTGACTAGAAATGGGATTGAATTCCATCTTCACCGATTCTTATGGCCGATCGTTTGATTGACAGGCGTTAACTCCACCTACATAATCTCTGCTGTCTTTTGTCTGCTGTCATCATATCCGAATTTGTGTTTTACCTTTTTGGATTTTTATAACAATTGAGCAAAATGAGTGAGGGGGTAAATTTTCATTCTTACTTGTATTTTGGGCATGCATTAAATCAAAAGAATATAGGACATAATATTATAATACAATTATGATAAATCTATAGGTATACACCAATGGCATCGTGCCTGCTATTGGGGAAATAAAAAATATTCTTATTGATATTATTAAGACAGAAGACCTGTCCGTCTGTATTAGTCATCACACGGTCTCCAGGAATTGTATAATTTGTCATTATCTGTGTTTAGTTTATTGCACTTTAAATAGTTTAGATGTCATTTGTTAAGGCATCGCTCAACAGTGGCCTCCCTCGCTTCGTACATTTAGCCTCGATCTGGGAGTATGACGTCAACGTAACGGTTAATCTTCGCTCAGGACGCCATTTAAAATTAAATCAGTCAACGAAATCCTGTTTAAATCCAAGCTGAATCCAAGCCATCCGTGGGTCTACAGAGTTGATTTTGTGCTTGTTGTGTAAATAAAGATCTAATCTATAATTTTTATGACATCTGAAGCCTAAATAAAGACTTGCAATAATCAGATTTAGCTCTTGCATAATGTATGTTTAAACCAACACATTTACCAACCTGGAAAACAGTCACATCTATGTTTGCATAAAAGTCTTCTCTTATGATCCAAATAGAAAGATTGCAAAAGCCTATTCAACCATACAGGAGGAAGCTTCGACTCTCCTGGTCTTAGTTAAAGAACTAAGATAATACTACATACTACTCTGGATGGCTATGGTTGTAAATTCAGCTGACAAATATGTAAGAGTGTGACATTTTGTTTTCACAAGATTAATTTGTCAATTTTGTACATAATAGATTCATTTTTCATTCTAGAAACATAAAAACCAGTAATTTAAAATAAAACTGTACCTGAATCATCACCTAATGGAATAGGTGAAGGTGGTATCAATGTTACATTCTGATCAATAGCAAATGTTATATTTCCCAATGCACCTAAAAAATATATACTCTTTCTTAAAATTATCCAACAAAGTTAACAATTAAGAACTGACATTCCTGACCTCAAGCGTCAAACAGAATAATCTGCGAAACAGAGTATTTAGGGTTTAGCACACAGGTTCCAGAGGTATATGACTCAATACACAAGGAAAACCACAAGGTCATTCTTATATCTACAGTTATCTGTTTGAATAACATTTTATTTCCATTGTTAAATATGTCATAACCATATGTAGATATTATTAAACTGCAAATTTCATTGAGTTTAAGTGAAAAATATCATTTGTACTGTAAATACAACAGTTTTACTCATCAGAAGAGTTATCATGATTGTTTTATCATCTTCTGATTGACAATGTTTTTTATGTTGTCATCTGATTTCAGAGGGTGAAAGATATAAAGGAGATAAGAAACCAACCACTTGTATATGGCTAAAACTGCATCCTTCTTTCTACAAATTACTTAAAATATTTCCTTGATAATAATTACAAACTAATTATAGTGATTATAGATTTAGATGATATAATTATGATGGTACCTGCTGGTGTACTAATAGCTCGAGATCTAGTTGATCTATTGGTTGTTGGTGTCTTGTTATTACTGTCAGACATTTCCTGAGAGAAATAAAACAACAGCAAAATTAAACATTTGACTTTTTAATAAAACAAAAATATTTTTCTGAGAAAAATGAAAAAATAACAAAATTAAATATCTGACTAATATAAAATAATAAAAACATTTATCTGCAGTTTGGCCTTGACAGCTGTACTGTTTTGTATACAACAGTAAAACAGAAATGTTACAGCTATGTAAACTCTGCAATTGATTAGTGGCATCATGTGTTCCAAGTAAGCATAACCTGCATTCATGACACTCACCACTACATGTATGATACTTAAAACTCTAGAATAAGTAAATTATTATAAGACACATGAAAATAATATCTAAACATGACCAGCAAAGCCGAGGCTTACATTTTCGAAAATTATTTTAAAATAGAATGTCTAGAAAAGTCATTAAGCAGTACCTGTGTTTGAGGACTACTGTTATCTTTAGAATTTTCATCAGCCCATGTTACACCAGATTTTCGTCTCTCTTTAGAAGCTGGTGAATTTCTAGCAGTTTTAACTTGCTGTAAGCGTTCTATATTTTTCTTAGCAGAATTAAATATAGCTGCTGACAGCAATGGTTTCGACCTATGGAAAACATAATTATATTTAATTAATACAACAACATGTGTTATTTTTATTATTTCTTTCCACTCATATGTTTAATTTATTCAAGAACATGGTCATAGGTATCTGTGTGAATCTTAGAATCTGATCTGTCCAAAGATTATCTGAGGCCTTAAACTTAAAGACCAAGGATTTTCAACAAGGTTTCCATAAATTTCAAATATTCAGAATTAATTTCCTATGTAACACAAGCAAAAACGTTTTTTAAGCGAGAAATTAATTTTTATTAAAGTCAAAGTGATGTAATTGGTTCAACATGTTCGCTGGTCTTTATAGTAAGCATATGGATTTGCCATAAGTTTACCGCTGTATTTTGTTCATGCATCGTCATTTGGCCAACAATCTTATCAAAGGGACTGTTTCTTAGGATATTATAAACACGATATCATGTTTTTTTTTAAACTTTTAATACACAAATCCTTTGGATAAATTCACTCATACTAAACAGTACGCTGTGACCCATTTCACACCTCATGGCTAATTAAAATTTGTTTTGATTGTTTGTCTCACGAAAACAAGACTTATGTACCCACTGAGGAATCTGCAAAACGAGCAGAGTTAAGGTACAAAATTTATTCGAAAAATGTATCAAGAAAGATTGTGATACCTGTAATAAATTAGACCAAAACAACTACTTTATTAGTGTTAAAACTGGTGGATGAATGAATGAAATGGATTTCAGCCTCTAAAGTGTCCACGAGATATTTCAATGTGATCAAGGGCTATAACTCTGGAAGTAATTATCAGAAATCGTTGAAAATCACTAGACTCCTTCGTCTCATGACCTTAAACACTGCGTATAAACTTTAACTTTAGCTTCTAGAGTGTCAACAAGATATTTCAGAGTGATCAAGGGCCATAACTCTGACAGTAACTATCGCAAATCGCTGAAAATCAAAAGGGGTCTTCATCTCATGACCTTGAACACTCTGTATACATTTAAAGTCAATCGGATATTAACTTTAGCCTCTAGCAATTGTGGACGCTGGATGGCCGGCCGGATGAGGCGACGACAATATACGACCACATTTTAATGTGGGTATATAAAAAAAGTGCTCCACCGCAGCTATTTATATCCAAAATGCCTTTCTTAGTATCACCTTCGGTGGAAGCGGACGTTAAACACTAAGAAAGAAGACTTTCTTAGTAAAGAAAAACAGACATTGTTTAGAATGATATAGGCAATCTTAAATAATACTCCTTTTCGCCCCTTCTGCAAAACTGTTCATTTTCCATTTCGCTTAGATCTCAGAAACAGTAAGAAGCGATAGAGTTCTGAATACTGTTTTTGTCATGAAAATTTTGAACAGTTAGCACTTATAAGTACTGCGTGTGAGTTGCTGTCTTTACGGGATAAGGGATAAATATGCAAAGTTCCAAAATGATCCATTCAGAATTGCAGCCTGTAGACGATAAACACAAAAACTGGGCGTGGCTCTACCCCTGGTGGTTGGATATGGAACAATATTATAGGTACAACCCTGTTATTGAAGTGATTGATATGCTCAATTTGAACAAAATCTGTTAATAATTACAAAAAATTACAAAAAAGTGAGTGTTCTACTGTTAACCAAAATATGGTGTTAGTGCTTCTAGAGTGAAAAAAAGTCATTTTACTAAATAACAGTTTGTCCTAGAATTTTTGTGACAGGTCTTTTTTTTTTTGTACTTGATGGCACTACTTAATACCAGGAAAAATAAAGCGCTCCGCTGAGGCTACTTTAAAGTCAAATGCGTTTCTTAAATTTGTCTATGATATCACTTCTGTGGAAGCAGATGTTAAAGCACCAGGTAGTAGTAGTAGTAATAGTAGTAGTTTCTTTTAAAAATAATAAAGAGAAACAGATGTTGTTAATAATACTATAGGTCTTATCATTGGTGGATTTGAAATGCTTTATGTCCCATTCACAAAACTGTTCTTTTATTCCTCTTCCATTTCGCATGGTCAGAAAAGGTAAAAATTGGTACATATTGCCTATCAATGGAGCTTTATTTCAAAGTGACGATGTTTGAACTATGAATATTTTACTGTTAACCAAAATATGGGATTGGTGCTTCTAGAGTGAAAATAAGTCATTTCAGCAATTAACAGTTTATCCTCCAATTAATAATATGACAAGTCTTTTGTCTACATGATGTCATCACCTGATACCAGTGAAAATAAAGTGCTCCACTGAGACTACTTAAAAGTAAAATGCCTTTTTTGAAAAGGAAAGAAACAAACCAATAGTGAGGCTGATGTCCGCAGTCGAAATCCCAAAATACACAGATGACACATATCAATTAATCGCACATTTATTTTTTTCAAAAGTATCAAGCAATCAAAGTGATTATTAACTAAACACTAAGTTTCATTACTTTCTATCAGATAGAATCAAAGTTATCTTGTCCCAAAACATTGACCAATGAAATTGCTTAGCTCAGCTTAGCTTTAGCTCGAAATGTTAATCATTGAAGTCAGTCAAGACATTCACTTAATGAACATCTATATCAAGTTTAAACATTCTACCTCAATTAAAAGCAGAGTTATGTTCCAAAGTCTTGACCAATCAAATTGCTGATCGTTCCTTAATCAAGGTAATGATCAATCTGAAGGACAGACCCACCCTAGCTACCATTTAATTTTCGTACGTTAGTTACGTACAGGTAATGATATAATGAATCTATACTTGGAGTTTCATCACTCTCACTTAATTATAACCAAAGTTATCGTGGCCCAAAGCCTCCAGTATTGCGCGCAATTCTAGTTTATTATTTAGTTTACTGTTTAACTTACCCATTAGGTTTGTTCATCTTAGGAGTACCTTGACACATTTGCAACACTGGTGGTGTTTTCTGTATAGATGTGTTATTTATTCTAACACCTTGTGGTGTAACTTGATCTGGTTGTCTGTCCTGTTGGCAGGTAAATAAATACTTAAATGCTAATATCAACCTAATTTTCTTACATCAATATTCCACAGAGAAAACAAGTTAACTATGGTTTGTATAGTATATCGTCATCATAACAACCTCAAAAACCACCTCAGCGAAATCATGAATGAAATTGTCAAAAACAATTGTTTTTACAGCGTTGGTCCTCTTTTCCTGATCTCTGGTTACAGACCGGAGATGTGACAGAATGCACCCCCCCCCCCTTCAACATAACAGGTACATCAATATAAATATGTATATTTACAGTGCACCCCCCCCCCTTCAACATAACAGGTACATCAATATAAATATGTATATTTACAGTATCTTATAATACCTGTGGTGTTATTTTACTAGTTGTGGTAGGTTGTACTACTGGTGTTTGTTGTTCTTCAAACTTTCTAATATCAAACTCTATTTCTTTTAATAATTGTTTATCTCCAGTTAAAATCTCTACAATATCATATACACACACATTAAAGAAGCATATTGACAGGATTGGTTGTTAAATAACAAGACAGATATAAGCTACCGAAGAAGGGAATTTTAATTAATAATGATACCTTTAAAGATGCTAAAGCTATCCATACATGTGTATTCCAAAATGCTCTGTTTTCAAGTTGCATAGAAGAACCCAGAGAACATGTACAGAATGCATACATCTCTCAGCTAATTCTGAACTGACTGAGCTAAAATGAGCAAATTATTGAAATAAAGATGTACCATAAGTTAGTCCAAAAATAATCTTTCTCATTATCAGTAGTTACTATCCTAAAGGTAAAAGACAGGAGGTCATTTTAGCATCTTGTCAAATTTCAGCTAAACCGAAACTCTGAGAGTAAAATATTTCTATTCATTGAACAAGGATCTTCACAACATGAAACTGGCTAGGGATCATCAAACCTTAAATGTTCTTACCAACAATCTCTTCTCTAAAATCTTTCATCAACACTTGTAAATACACCATTAGATCTTTTAAAACTGGTGATTTCTCTTTTTCTAGCTGTTTAACAAAAAAACCCAATGTATTAACTGGATTATATTTTAAACTTTTTAAGAATTCCATAATCATAAAATGGAACACCATATGAGAAATCCCTTCCATAAACGTGAAAAAAACCTTCTTATTATATTTTTAAATAATAATATAAATACTTACAATGTATTTGAGTGATGTAACAATGGGTACTATATTTTCTATAACATTCTTCTTGACCACCTAGATAAATAAAACCATATATTTAAATGACCCCAGTAAAAATATACAAGACAAGCAAAATATGAAAATATAAATATATGATGTTGTCATACCGGTATAGATTTTACATTAATTATCAACAATTGTCAGCTAATTTGTTTGTCACATCTTGAACAATGATGGGAAAGGAAGAAATCCCAAAATATCAACTTGAATCCACTTAAAGCTTAACAGAATTGTGTGTCAAATTGAATCTACTTCAACTGAAATAAGTATTTGTATAAAAAAAACATGAAATGCCTATATAGTAGTAATGCTTATACAGAGATTTCTGTACATGTTATAATTGGTTAATACGAAAGTAACTGTCACCTTTTGATGGAAATCTGTAAAATGTACTGCCAGTGGATTGAGGCATTATTCCAAAAATTCATTGCTTTAATTGCAATACACAATCTGAGCTGGACTAATCAAAACTACCAGTGTCACAGCCAATGTCTAGTATTGTAGATCGATTTTATTTCTTTACCTGTGTAATAAGCTGCTTTTTAGCAGTTGCCAAGACAACAGCGGCCATATCTTGTTCTTCATCTTCTACTCCACCAGGTTTATTCTTTATACTAGATATTTTTATTTCCTGTGTTAAGATACAAAATTTAAAAATTCTCAAATTATATTCCAAATTAATTTGTGTTAAGATACAAAATTTAAAAATTCTCAAATTATATTCCAAATTCTTGTTGAAAAAATACCGACACATTTCAAATAGCTTGTACTCAATGCCAGTGATTCTGTACATAATTTTTTTTTTCCTTCACAAGAACAAAATGTGCTCCTAGTATTTTTTGTTATTACTTCATTTTAATACCAATGTATATAAAACCAAGCCTACCTTACTACTTAATATAGCCAGTGCATCTTTTAAAAGAGGAATAGTATCCTTATCAAGTGGTAAAATATTATCTACAACAGCACCCAATATCTGAAATATATAGTTTAACTTTATAGGAAATATAGATTATTGTAGATGAAAATAGGAGGTTCACAATTTGTTTAGACCCTCAGGTGGGATTGTTTAAAATAAAATGGGGTAAAATGCTGTGCATTAGGCACATGCGTAGAAAAGGTGTAGGGAGAATTTGGTAGAGATGTTTCAGGAAAAAAAAAAGTACATGGTTTAGGCACACCCTTCTCCAGCGCCTTGTGAAACATGTGCCATACCATATGTGAATCAAATCATCCTGCGATCTCCATTAACTGGGTCAAACTCTTTTGTTTACAGTTATAATAATTGCCGGTATTTAGCCGTATCATCAAGCTTTATATATTTTATTATGAAATAAAAAGGCTCTATATACATTTGTTTTCAATTGCATACGACTTAATATTAATCATAACTTTCAATTGCATTATTGCATAACTTTAAACTATAATTCTGGTGCTCGTACGGTAGTCAAATTGTCATCCAAGTCCTGCAAGCAACAAACATGACAGTCTATCACATCTTGTGAAATTCATGAGCAATTGGCTGTGATAAATGAATAGGTATTGATGATAAACAAATTAAATAATAACTGTAGAAACAATTTCTCACGACTTAAAAATCCTGACTACAGATAAAAGAGAAACAACAATTCCAGTTTACTCCAAGTTATGCAAACAACTGACAATCAAACGATAGCGTCCATTGCCCCGCCCACTACACGTGTCATGACAATACCTAGATTGTAGCCATTTAGATCTAACAGTAAAATAATACAATAGCATTTTTAATACCAATCAAAGAAACAATGATTTTGTTAACTTTTGTTATATGTTAAAATTATAACACAGTTTTGCACAACGAAAATACCCCAATTCTTAAAAATTATTTATTCAGAATGGCTACGAGACAAACCGCTTATACCGCTAAGAAAAAGTTGAGGGTGACTAGTTACACTGAAGCGCACGGTTATAGGGATGCAGGTCGTGAATTTAGTTTGGTCGAGTCAAACGTAAGACGTAGGGCTATGAAGGTCGTGAATTTAGTTTGGTCGAGTCAAACGTGAGACGTAGGGCTATGAAATGGCTACAATCTTTATTGCATGTGAAATGTTGATATTATTAAGTACAGACTTCGATGGTGACAGAGAGAGAGAGAGAGAGAGAAATGGGGTTTAACGTCCACTCGACACAAACTAGGTCATTTCGGGACTAACATATGGATTAATTTTATTTCAATAATTCGCTTGCGCGTAGGGGTCTTTAGCAGTGGGAGGAAACCGGAGGACCCAGAGAAAACCCACGAGGTTGGACAGGCGACCCTACTCCTTGTCATGGTGACACAGGGAAAGGCCTAAATTTGCTTTTTACTATGTATTAGGCACACCCCTTCTATAAATAAAAATATCTGGTAAAAAAAGTGCGCCTAATGAACTGAAAAATTAAGTATTTTGATTTTCAACTGTCAGGCAATCTTTCATGTGATGCCAATGGTATACATGGGATAGCAGTTTTTTGTCCCATCTGAACCACTATACCCTTTTCTGTGCCAGAACACCCATCGTACACCACTGACATGGGAATACCAGGTAGGAAATTCTTGGCCAACACTAAGATCGAAACTGGGATCTCCTTATGTTCTATTTTTAATTGTTCCATGGTTTTATTATTGTTGTTTAAGAACTTACATCTTGACATAGTTTAGATGTTAGCTGAAATTTGTGTTGATCACTGGTATGTTCTAACATAAATAAATACAGTTCAAGTCTTTTACTGAAATAAACAATAATCATTTATTTAATTGAATTTGTGGTAAAATATGTAATTGAAAGGAATATCAATATTATTTTGTTTAAATCCTACATCAACCAAGTCCAAAAACTATTGTATTTAAGGCATTAAAGCATTCTTTAAGTTTATAACAAAAATGTTTTAAGGACTCTAGTCCAGACTGTATAAAATGGTGATATATAAAAACTTACCCAGCAGCCTGATCACCTTTTAAATTAAATAATGTTTTCTCCCTCTCAGACTGGGCAAACTTATTGTAAACTGGAAAAAAACCCCTCTAAAGATTAAAATTTTAACTTCTTATCAAAAGCGGCAATAAATTCATTCAACTAAAGGTCATTATTAGGAATATCAGATTTCAAAACAGAACTCATACTAAACAACATATTAGCTGGTCTGTTTTAATTATTACCATCACCTTTCAAGAAAAATAAGACAAGACTTTTTGTTTGTTTTAAAACTTTTCCGTTTGTAGATTCTAAACCAAGCTAATGAACACATTAAAAAGACAGAGAGAGAGAGAAATAGGGTTTAATGTCCACTCGACACAGACTAGGTCATTTCGGGACTAACATATGGTTTAATTTTATTTCAATAATTCGCTTGCGCATAGGGGTCTTTAGCAGTGGGAGGAAACCAGAGGACCCAGAGAAAACATTAAATAGAACAATGCTTACCAGCACTAGCTGTATAGCCATTAAAATGGAATAAACATTCAATAAAATGGCTGAAGAACATGGTAGGTTGTCTTTGTAATAAAACATTGGTCATACAGAAAGCAGCTGTTAAAATAAAATAAACATTTAAAATAATTATCAACTTTGAACAATGTCTCTAAGGGAACTAAGCAGCATCATTATACAATCATTTCAAAGATCAACACATTAAAATTTTAAAGCAATCGGTCACAAAACCTAAATTTTTGGAATGGGAAACCAATTCTGGATGGAAGGACATCCTGGATTTTGAAACTTTGTACTTTCCACTTACCAAAGTCTTTGATATCCACATTTTCATCCAGTAATGTTGTGATAAATCTGTAGAATAGAACACCTTTCCATTTGATAAAGTCTTCCTGTTGAAAAAACCAATCAATTTATTAAGTGATGCATGTGTATGTTTCGACCTATTCCCACCCACTAAAGTAGCATCATTTTTAGTGTGTATTAACAGTTAATGGTAGATATTGGGATTGTTATGAAATTATATATTACATAAAGTTTATTAGATACAAATTTTAATCATCTATTGATGTATTCTTTATGGGGAAATACATTCATTACAAACAAAATAGTATGAAATACGTATGACATACAGTAATCTAATTAAAACACAGATCCTATTTCGTTTCATTTTTTTATAGTTCAAAATTTTGTTTTACTTGTCTTTACTACAGTAGGATCTGGAAGGAGTTGTTATATAACCCGTGTTCTGGATGATGTGAGGGATTAGTAAATGAAACGGTCTATTACAGAGAGTTTTTAGTGTGAGGTGCATAGAACTGTGGGTAACTGACTAGAAACATTAACATTGATTGGTTAAACAAATGTCTGAAGTCATATGGTCAAAAGTCGCTTGTATGACCTCTGACGTAACCTTCCACTACTACCTGTTAGATCTTCATGTAAAACCAGCGGTTGCTATGCAAGATATGACGCCAACATTTTGCAAGAGACAGAGAACAAGCTAAACAAAATGCGATTTTCGGTACAATCAGAGACCATAATCCAGGAAGTTACGTTTGGATATGCGCAAATAGTGAAACGAACCAGGATCTTTGGGACATAAACATATATTTTAAGTTTTATCAAAATCTGATAAAAATTGTGACTTCTAGAGGGTCCACAACCTTATTATACCATATTTTTTACACTATTTGCATACAAGGGGAGACCATTTTGTCAGACAGTTTCTGCCTGATTTTCGCGAAATTCAAACTCAACTGTCATTAGGGTGTAACATTTAAGTGTTTTTTAAAATCAAATAAAAATAGTGACCTCTAGAGGGTCCCCAAGCCAAAAATGTTATTTTTCGTACAATCAAGGGTCATAATCCAGGAAGTTACGATCCGATATGCGTAAATATCGAAAAGAATCTGGATCTTTGGATTATAAACATACATTTCAAGTTTCATCAAAATCGGATAAAAATTGTGACTTCTGAGTTCCAGCTAGAGTGTCCACAACCTTGGTTATGTTTGGATATGAGCAATTATCGAAAAGAACCAAGATCTTTGTGATATAAACGTAAATTTAAAGTTCCATCAAAATCCGATCAAAATTGTGACCTCCAGAGGGTCCACAACCTTGATATACCATATTTTTACAATATTTGCATATAAGGTGCCGCCATTTTGTCCTGCAGTTTTAGTCCAATTTTTACAAACTTCAAACTCCGCCACAATTAGGTTTAACTGTGATATATTCAAACGATTTTTTAAATCGGATAAAAATTGTGACAAGCTGAAAACGCAAATTTTCGTACAATCAGGTGCCATAATTCAGGAAGTTACAATCCGATATGCGCGAATATCGGAAGGAACCGATATCTTTGCGTTATAAACATGTATTTCAAGTTTCATCAAAATCAGATGAAAATTGTGACATCTAGAGTGTCCACAAGCTAAAAATGTGATTTTCTGTACAATTAGGGGCCATAATCCATGAATTTATGGTCCGATACATTCCAATAGTGAAAGGAACCAGGATCTTTGGGAGATAGATCTATATTTCAGGTTTCGTCATAATCGGATAAAAATTGTGACCTGTAGTGTGCCCACAAACAAATTGTGGAAGGACAGTGGTGACAACATAATACGTCCATATAAAAATGTGGGTGTATAAAAATGAAACGAAATATAGATCTGTATTTTAATCAGTTTGTAACATACAGATATTTTGAATCAATAAAAAGGATAACTGAAAAGTAATTTATTGTAAAATAAGAATTTATTTAAACTGGATGAGATGAGATGAGATGATAACAGCTGAATGATTAGCTTACTATGAACAACCCATAAAAGCCAAAAGATGGTATATTTCTTATAGAAAATTTCTATATCCCTAATTTTGAAGCTACATGATGTCATCTTAATCACACAGAAAACTTTGGTGGATTCTCTTTTTCACAACTGGGTCCAAATGTACATTTTTATTTACCTGTAATAGTCGTGTTAAAAGTGTTAACGTTTGTTTTCGTATTAATGGTGATCTATCTTTAAGACAAACGGCAATGTTTGGTACGTAATTATCAATAACAGTTGTATATCTGTAATAGAAATTTTTTTATATTACTTTTATAAATGGACGATTGTATATCTCATTTGAAAGATACACTTGAATCTTGAAATTCTGAATGTAACGTTAGTTTTAAAAAAAACATGTAAGGAAAGTAGAAAATGTACTGTACCTGATACATAAATCACACATAATAATAACAATATTATTTCTTAATATAACATCTGTACATGTCTCTAGTTCACGAGCTAAAGCTGGTATACATTTCTTAGCTAACTTCTCATTCTGTAGTAATAATTTACCTGATAATAAACAAACATCATTTGATAAATCTCACATACAATTAAAAGTCCCAATATTCCAGAGAGAGAGAGAGAGAAATGGGGTTTAACGTCCACTCGACAATAAACAGTGTACTATATATAGACTTTCAGACCATACACAATGAAAGTATTCTTACTAGAAAGCATATTGGTCAAAAAGTTATTAAAGTAGATCAAATGAGTTGAGGCCATCTAATGGCAATGCTGCAATCTTCATTTCTTTCTAATCATCTGTCTACATTAGAATGACAAGTTAATTCTATCAACTTACCCAATGTTGTGAAAGCAAAAGTTCGGACTCTGTTTGATGATGTAACACCTCTAAACTGGGAAAATGGTTGAGTTGATGGGATGGGAGCTTCCCCTTCTGATGTCTGTGATGAATTTGTTAATTGTGAGTTTTGTTCTTGAGGTAGGTCTCTACCTATAACATATTAATAAAAATAATGCAGTACACATTCTGGTCTCGCAGGAAACCTAAAGTTATACAATTAATTATTTTATGGTTATGTATATATATGTATCACTTTCTAAAAATTAGTATGACAATACAATGTTCAAGATCTTGTTTACATACCAGCAATAATGCTTTGAACAAGTAAATAAATACGTTGAGGTGTTTTAGCAGGACAAAGTTGTACAATTTCACCAATAGTTACTAGATAACATATAATCTTATTTTCATCTACATCACCTGTAAATATAACATATACTGTAAAAGGTAAATCTATCCAAGATATTTAAATATTTCAGTCTCATTGTATCATTTGCATTTTTCGATAAATTATCAAATTTCTCATGGCTTAATTCACACTAACATGTACTCAGATTGATTATTTAACATTTAAATAAAGATATAGCAGGGCATTCCTTGGCAATTACAATGTTTTGAGAAGGATTTGAAGCAATTTTATGATAAATTAATTAGTTTGAATATGTTTTTAGTCCAAATATATCATCAAATCACCCAGTTTGTATGCGGGAATGTATCTTTAAGAAAACAAAATCAAAATACTAAAGCTAGAAAATCGCTGGCTATAATTTAAAACAGGGATATCAATTACGCTCGCAAACAACAAAAGGGCAACAGGCATATTACGTAGCAGACCCCATTTGGAAAAATATTTTAGTTGCTCCATCATTTAATAGATCATATCTAATATTAACACATACCCTCTAATTTTTCTTCAAATATAACACGACTAAGATATTCATCACAATCCATCAATAAATCAACTCCCCATGTTTCTCTCTGACTTCGACTATCTTCATCTTCAGATTTCGATTGGCTTTCACACAACTGAAAATAAAAAATATTGACCATTCAATACAATTCTAAATTTTGTTTTGTATGGGGAACCACAGTGGCTCAGTGAGTAAGACTTTGGCTCAGTAACCTGAAGATCCTGTGTTTGATTCCTGCGTTGGCCGAGAAAGGTCATCAGGATATTCCGGCCTGGTTGCCCATTGTCAGTGATGCAGGACAGAAGACCTGGCAAGGGACTTCATATAGTCATTTGGATTGGATGTAAAATCGACGTCCTGTGTACACATTGGAGTGCACCTGAAAGATCTCTTGGCAGTTGGAATTCGATATAACAGTAGGCCATAGCGCTGCTGTACAAGAAAAATTTCCCTCATAGCATACTGTATGGCAAATGCCCGTCTTCATTAGCCCAATTGGAGCAGAACAGTAGGACGTTAAACCCCATTTCATTTCATTCCATTTTATGATATTAATCCGAAAAATATAAAAAAAAAAAACCCCAAAACCATCCCAGTTGTAATAATCAATAAAGTGTATGCATTCAACTATGTGATTTGATCTTTGAGTGAAAACTAAGGCACTCTGTTCCTAGCTACGTGTGACGACAATGCCATCACCATTGTCTTTTAAGGACACAATCCACAATTTTTGTTCCATGTAATAAGACAATTTTTTAACAAATTACCTTTGACAATGTTTTAACTATTACTGCTATGAGCCCAGGTGGTAATTCAAACTTCTTTAATCGACCTTTTAAATCATCTACAATTGTAATAAAGCAATGTTTATCAAATTATAAGTTTCATAAAATGAAAATTTGGTAAGACTTTTCAATGATTTTAAAGTACCTATCAGAATCCATCTGGCTGTGAAAATATCCAGCTAATAAATCAAGTAAGCTTATTTAAATTAAAATTAATTCAAAATAGAGAATCTAATTTAAAACTATTGTTTGCTTCTTTTTAAGCAAGAAATAAATAAACTATATGATTAGATTTGAAGGTCTCTATTATAAAGCTTGTAAATGTGTCCATCTTTCGCAAGTTGTCAAAAGGAATGTTTAGTAGAACTTACCAATCATATTGATTCTATTGGTAGATGTTAGTTGATCAGATGTATAAGATATAACATTTAAAACTCTCTCAAACGTATCTTCTTCTAACTCTGAAAAATTTAAATATTACTGTTAACAGATATATCATGTAATAAATTCTACTTCCCTTAACTGAATCTAACATAAAACCTATTTCAAACAGAATCAACATTATATGATTAGTTTCGAAATTCAAAGAAAAAAGTATCCAAAGTCTTGGCTTGACTGTGCACTTTGTCTTTGGGATTTCAGGGAAACAGTCTTGCCTTTTTAACCAGCGGTTGCCAGGCAAGATACGCCCACATTTTGAGAGAGATGGATTTAAAGAAATATTTTAAGTTTCATCAAAATCGGATTGAAATTGTGACCTCTAGAGGGTCAACAACCTTGATATACCGGTGTTTACACTATTTGCGTATTAGGGACGTCCATTTTGTCCGGCAGTTTTGGTCCGATTTTCAGGAAATTCTAACTCAACCAACTTTACCAACTTTACGGTGTAACAGTGATATATTCGAACAGTTTTTTTAAATCGGATAATGATTGTGACCTCTAGAGGTACCACAAGAAGTTACGATCCAATATGCGCGAACATCGAAGGTTACCAAGATCTTTGGGTTATAAACATGGATCGGGTGAAAATTGTGACCTCTAGAGTGTCCACAAGCTAAAAATGTGATTTTTTGTACAATCAGGGGCCATAATCCATGAAGTTATGGTCCGATACATGACAATATCGAAACGAACTGAGATCTTTGGGAGATATACCTATATTTCAAGTTTCGTCAAAATCGGACACAAATAAATTGTGACCTGTAGAGTATCCACAAACAAATTGTGGATGGACGGACAGTGGTGACAGCATATATAATATGTCCACATGAAAATGTGGGCGTATAAAAGTGGTATCTGGCAATAACTAATACAGTGCTATTCTTTATTTTTGTATTTCACATATCATTATTAGACCTACTGAATACTGTGTTGTATTTAAAGTAAGGTAGCAAGTCAAAGCACAACACTGCTAATTAACAATAACTTATAATGATATAGAAAGAAACTTACCTGACAACGTCTGTGAATGTTTCTCCCAATAACTTATAACAAATTGAGGATTCATCTTAGATACAAATTGTGCTATAATATATAGCAACAACCAAGCTCCCTACAACAGATTTTGAAATGTATAGAATTATCATGTACGTCGGGAGGGGTCCAAATTTATAAGTTTATTGTATTTCCAGAGTTTTGAGAAAAAGGTCTCAAACATTTAATATGCAAGCAGCAAAAAAATGATAAATTCCCAGGTCAGAAAATCGCTGCATATGAGCTCTTTTTGGTGCAATAATTTGATAAAGTGTGGTTTATATACTGGTACTATCAATCAAAGGAAAAACAATGGATCCATCCTTCTTAATTTTCAGTAGAAATTATTCTTTATTATAACTGACAAACTGTGACACCAGCTTCATGCTACTATTCAACTTAAGGGAAATACTTGCACTGGCATTGTGCCCAAATATATATTCGTCATCTATTTAACCATGCAATAACTCTAAATAGCTCTTGTTTCTTGAATGACAATTAAATATTGTGATAATGTATTTAGGGAGTGCATAAAATACCTTGTTGTTTTCTGTATCGACATGAGTTAATAAACTGTTTATATGATTCAGTTTTATCTTCTGTAGTCTAGAAAGTGTCTGACATGCCAACTGTAGATATCGTCTACAAATACAAACAAAAGCTTGTTACGAGTTATTATATAGGGAATCTCCTACAAGTCTTTTTTTTTATATCAAAAAATATCAACACTCGTCGATAAAGTAAAAAAAACTTGGCAAAGATTTTTTTTTTACTTTATTAACTTGTCCTGATATTTTTTGATATCAAAAAAGAAGAGTAGGACATTTTATTTATCACCCAATCCTTTCTTACATGCACAAACAAATAAATATAATTCTTTGCTATAGATTTCATTTTTAATTAACCTGATTACATTACGGCATAGTGATATATTAGTAGTTTTTGTCAGAAATTCAACCATTGCAAAGTCCTTTATATTGACCCAGTGTTTCCATCAGTCAATTAAATGAAAATAGTTCCTTTTTAATAAAAAAAAGAAGTTACATTTAATAAAAAAATGAATTGTTCTTTGAAAATAAAAAAAAGTAGTTCCTTTTTAATTGACCAATCAAATTTATGTGTAGTGGCATCTCCTAAGGAGATGTCGCAGTAGATTATGAAATTTATCAACACAAACTAGGTCATTTTGGGTCTAACATATGGTTTAATTTTATTTCAATAATTCGCTTGCACGTAGGGGTCTTTAGCAGTGGGAGGAAATCGGAGGACCCAGAGAAAACCCAGGAGGTTGGACAGGCAACCCTAATCCTTGTCACGTACAACCAAGGATTCGAAACCACGCCAGTTGACTCAATGACAGGCCTTATGATACAGCTCGCATGTGCTAACCATTCAGCCATCCCCCCCCCCCCCCCCCACATGGATAATAAGTAATTCGCTCATATTTATATCTTAAAAATTAAACAGACATAAGAAATTCTCGAAAAATTATATTATTCAGGCAATTTTCATACCGACACTAACCTTAAATCTGCCTGTTCATTTTCTGATAGAGTAGCCAACAAACCCCACAGTAATCGATGTCCTTCATCTGTAGATCTGATAAATAAAAAAAAAAACTGTTAAAGTTCAATACAGGTAATATCGATAAATAGAGAATCTCCTACTGTTCTTTTTTGATATAAAAAAAATATCAACACATGTCGATAAAGTAAAAATAAAAGAGGCTCTGCCGAGTTTTTTTACAATTTCGATGAGTGTTGATATTTTTTTATATCAAAACAGACGAGTAGGAGATTTTATTTATCACCCAATCCTTTCTTACATGCAGCCAATCCTTGCTCTCGTTTTTCATGCGAGACGTCAGTGCCACAGAGTAAAAAAATGGCAGCACTAAGAGCTGTCAAACACTAATGATGAGAGCAAATAGTTCCTCATATAACAGCATATTGTGGAATATTGAAATGATATAGAACTCATAGTGACCAAACGCGAATTAAGCCATTATTCAAGGCAGTCTGTGTGCGTGAAAAATCCCTACAAGAAAGAAACTGGAAGTGTAATCCGTTTGAAAGGGAAATAACTACATTTTAATTTTACTCATTATTGTACTTGTCATAAGCGACACAGATATTTTGAGCAATGACAGTTCTGTCTGATAAACGACACCATGGTTTTCGAATGGAGTGCTATTATTTTATTTTCATATCAATGAAATAAAGGTTACATGTAAACTCATTGATATTACAGCATAAAATTACATAATTCGTTAATCATACACAAATTATGAATGTTTTCAAAACAAATTCCTAAGTAAAAATAATTTGCCGATATTATCGATTATTGATCGGCGGAGGGTCAGCAATTATCGATACTTGAAAGCAGTATGGATTACCAGCCCTAATGATAATGTCAGATTGTAAAAGGTTATTCAATTAAATTATAAGTAGATATTACAGATAACATGATCAAAGGATATGCTTACACGTTGTGGATTTTAACATCAAGAATTTTGACTGATTAGGAGGGTATTTTACAGGTCAAAAAAAAAGTTCAACAAATTTTAAAGATGTAACTTACTTTGGATAAGTTGTTAAATTTCCAAAAATAACATCTTCTACCAGTTCGGAACATTTTTCTTGTAATGTATTTTCTCTGTCCATAATCAATGGTAAAGCTCCATCTAACCAGGCTCTGAAATTAACATTCACTGTATTTGCTATGTATAATACAAATACTGATCTCCAAATCAAGTACATAAATTGAACATGTTCTGTAATGGCCAATTTATTTCCATATCATACATACCTCTGTACATCTTTATTTGATGGCATATTATGTAATATGTCTGTTAAGCTTTGTATAGCTTGTTTACGTACTGATAATGATGGATCACAGCATCTCTCTTTCAAAGTAGTTAAATTCTAAAAAATAACAAAAAAAATCTAACTGAAGAGTAATTTCTTTTCTATTTTTTGAAGATATATTATTCATGGTTATTGTACATACATGCCTCATATTGTTCCCAAAATTAGGAGATAGATGATAACATCAGCTGTTTCAGTTATCAGAAACCATTGAAAATCAATAAACAGTTCGCCACTGTGGATGACCGATCAACCAAAGGAGATGACAATGTATATACAAATTTCAATTAACCAGAAGGCAAAACTGACAACAATGTGTTTCAGTATTTTATCTGTTGCTCTAGATATATATAGAAAGCTTATTCTGGATTTGATCCAATGAACAGAACATGGTACATATAGAATATGGTTCTGCTGTATATACTTGTACCTCTTGTCTGAAATTAGGTTTTTCAAATAATATAATATTCTGTAGAGCTTTTACTGCTGCTTTCCTCACTCCAGCATTATCATCACCAGATCTTCTTCTTAACATGGATATTACACCTTCATTATCTGTTAAATCTAGTGACAAGAAAATCTTAATTCATTGCTAAATTGTTTAATGACATTTACTAATTAAAGTGGACATATATAGAGTACAATTACATTTCTACTAGGATTCTCTAGTCTTTATCAACCATAATAATATGATTGTTAACTTTGAATGTTAATATCAAAATAATCGAAAAAGATAAAAATAAAAGATAGGTTGTCAGGCAACGAAACATACGCCCACAGCAGCTAAGTCGTCCGGTGAGTCAACAAGGGTTGTCGCATATTTTTTCTTCCGCCAGAAATGAAAACATTTACAACACACTAAAACCTGATTATGAGTAACAACCCATTTGGCTTCTAATTCTGCCCTATTCTAACATTTAACATACAAAACATTTAATATCAATTGCCATGTAATCATCAGAGATTGAAGAAAATTAATAAACTTCTTCGTCTCATGACCATAAACACTGTATTAATATAAAGTCAATCGAATATTAACTTTAGCCTCTAAAGCGTCCACAAGATTTTTCAAAGTGATCAAGGACCATAACTTTGGCAGATCTAATTATCAGAAATCATTATCAAGGACCATAACTCTGGCAGTAATTATCAGAAATTATTGAAAATCAATAGGATTCTTCGTCTCATGACTGTTAACACGGTGTATAAATTTACAGTTAATCAGATATTAACTTTAGCCTCAAAGTGGTCAAGGGCCATAACTTTGGCAGTAATTATCGGAAATCGTTCAAAATCAATAGGCTTCTTCGTCTCATGACTTTAAACACTGTGTATAATTTTAAAGTCAATCAGATATTAACTTTAGCCTCCAGAGTGTCCACAAGCAATTGTGGACGCCGGACCGACGACAATATACGACCACATTTCAATGTGGGCGTATAAAATTTAGACTATAAAACATAAGCTACAATCAGTTTAGGTTACCAACTTCTATAATTAAAAAGATAGGTTGCCAGGCAACGAAACATACGCTCACAGCAGCTAAATCATCCGGGCAGTCAACAAGAGTTGTCGCATATTTTTACTTTTTTCGGTAATGAAACATTTATAATACACTAAAATCTGATGAAGAGCAACAACTCAGAAAACCTTGCTAACGTTTTGTATACAAAACTTTTAATACTGTATCATGGATTTAGCTGTTCCAAGTCATAAAAATTCATTGAAAATCAATATACTTGTTCGTCTCAAGATCTTAAACTCTGTGTATCAATCTGAAGTCAATCGGATATTAACTTTGGCCTCTAGAGCGTCCACAAGATTTTTCAAAGTGATCAAGGGCCATAACTTTGGCAGTCATTATAAGAAATCTTTGAAAATCAATAGGATTCTTCGCCTCGTGACCTCAAACACTGTGTATAAATTTAAAGTCAATCAGATATTAACTTTAGCCTTTAGAGCATCCACAAGGTTTTTTGAAGTGATCAAGGGCCATAACACTGGCAGTTATTATCGAAAATCACTGAAAATGAATAGACTTCTTTGTGTCATGACCTTAAACACTGTGTATAAATTTAAAGTCAATCGGATATTAACTTTAGACTCTAAGAGCGTCCACAAGATTTTTCAAAGTTATCAAGGGCCATAACTCTGGCAGTAATTATCGTAAATTGCTGAAAATCAATAGGATTTTTCGTCTCATGACCTTAAGCACTGTGTATAAATTTAAAGTCAATAGGATATTAACTTTGGCCTCTAGAGAGTCCACAAGATTTTTTTTAAAGTGATCAAGTGACCTTAAACACTGTGTATACATTTAATGTCAATCGGATGTTAACTTTAGCCTCTAGAGCATCCACAAGATTTTTTGAAGTGATCAAGGGCCATAACTCTGGCAGTAATTATCGGAAATCGCTGAAAATCAATAGGCTTCTTCGTCTCATGACCTTAAACACAGTATATAAATTTAAAGTCAATCAGATATTATCTTTAGCCTCTAGAGCGTCCACAAGCAATTGTGGACGCCGGCCGGCCGGACGGACGGACTGACGGGGGCGACGACAATATACGACCACATTTCAATGTGGGCGTATAAAAATAATCAAAATTAAAACGTACCTGGATTAAAGCCTGGTGTTAAATGAACACCAACAAAAGGTGTAAATGGTACAGTTTGATTGCGTGGTTGAGAGAAAACAGAATTAGTTGATTCTGAGTTTTGAATTTCTGTGGCTATAGTATCTGCTGATGTACTAATTGTCTGTATAGATGATTCTGGTGTTCCTTCTTTACTCATTGTTGGATCTAGTAAAAACATCTCAAACTATTAAAGATGCGTTATGTATGAGTTAACTAATATTGCAGATAATTTTTATAGCTTCTACTGTTATGTATATAAAATATTGTTAAGACATCTATTAATAACAAGACAAGGACAAGCTCATAACCAACTCTCTGGGCATTCAGGTTGTTCAGATTTTAGGGTTTAACGATATAATAGATAATTGAGAATTTGTCTTGAAAGTCAAGTACCGTTGCTAAATAATAATAATAATTAATTTATATAGCGCTGACAATTCAACTCAGCGAGCTGCTCTCGGGAGCTTTACATAAGTACAACTATTAAATATAAAATTACAACAATCCATAACCAGTGGTTGCCAGGCAAGATACACCCACATTTTGCAAGAGATGGACAGATTTTTTGTACAATCACAGGCCATAATAAAATTATGGTCCATTGTGACCTCTAGAGGTTCCACAAGCTAAAAAACATGATTTTTCGTACAATTTAAGGGCCATAATCCAGGAAGTTATGGCCTGATATATGCAGATATTGAAAGGAACCAAAATCTTTGAGTTATAAACACACATTACAAGTTTCATCAAAATCAAATAAATATTGTGACTTCTAAAGGGTCCACAACTTTGTTATTACATATTTTTAGACTATTTGCGTACAAGGAGCGGACATTTTGTCTGGCATTTTTGGTCAGATTTTTACGAAATTGGAAGTCAACCTTCATTTATGTGTAACGGTGATCAATTTAAACGTTTTTTAAAACCGAATACAAATAGTGACTTCTAGCGGATCCACAAGCTAAAAATGCGATTTTTCGAACCATCAGGAGCCATAATCCAGAAAGTTACGTTCGGATATCAAAAGAAACCAAGATCTTTGTTATATATAGATATAAACTTAAAGTTTCATCAAAATTGGATCAAAATTGTGGCCTCTAGAGGGTCCTCAACCTTGATATATCATATATTTACACTATTTACAAGGGGCAGCTATTTTGTCTGGTAGTTTTGGTCCGATTTTCACGAAAATTGAACTCAACCATCATCAGCTTTTAACAGTGATCTTGTGAAAACTTTAAACACTCATAACTTGAATGAAATTTTCAATATATTCATTTTTAAATTAATCTAACAAGAACAAGTAGTTCTTAATTGTTACATAATGCATCTTTAAGACTTTGAAGTGTATATTTCATACAAAAAATTAATTTCAGAAACTACAGCATTGTCACAGATACTGAATTTTCTAAATAAGCAAAATAGAAAGGAATGGAATTTAATATATCACAAATAACAAACTTCAGTCATTTCGTGACTAACATTATATTTTGTATGGTAATTTAAATGAGTGAAATGCATTGGAGAGAAAATGTCAGAGACAGAAGCACATTTACATAGATACATTACTCATCTTCAAACAACCAATCATGACTTCTCCTGGAATAATATCCAGTATGACAATATCTAATGTTTTATTAAAATAAAATGCTAATCCGTTTTGATTGTATGTTGGGGTATTTTGCTGTGGGAGGTTACCAGAGAACCTGGAGAAAACCCACAAGTTTAGGCAGACGACCCTTCTCCTTGTCATGTACAATGTGGGAACGAAATCATGACACTTGACTCAATGACAGACCTTATTAATAAAAAGATATGTGCTAGACCCTTCAGCCACCTAACCCCTCTTGGAATTAATTAAGTATATACCTGTCGATGTCCGTGCTTCGGTTCTACAATCTACATCTGGTGTAGGAATAATGCGACCATGCGTTTTAGAGCGTACAGCAGCAGTCCTAGGTGTAACAATGTTTTTCATAGCCGACACAACATCCGTATTAGATGACACAAAACACTGAGAAAATCCCAGAATAGCTTTCGCTCGTACTCTGAAAATAAAATTAGAATTTCCCACAATTTGTATAAAATTTTACATCCAGGAAAAAACATCTGTGTTATACTACAAATAAATAAATTAATAACATCACTAAACATTAAAGTAATGCACACATTTTACTTATTTCATTGAAATGGATGTGCAACCTGAAAGTGCGAATTTCTTGGGTTGGTGGAAGCAATTCTTGGGGGGGGGGTGGGGGGGGGGGGGGGCTACCATCCTAGGGTTTTAGGCAAGCTTCCAGGGGCCGCCTAGTCCCCCGAAGTGCCTGGGGATCTAGATCGGCAGAGACACTTTCTGGCTAAAGAATTACTCAGCAATGAAGTGAAATTTTATTTCTTTTCTAAATCCCTTACCATGCAAACACAGTCGATGGTGGTTTCCTGCAATGCTGTCCTTGACAAATATATGCATCACCGTTACACCATAATTTCGTGAAAATTGGATCGAAACTGCTCGACAAAATGGCCGCTACCCTAAAAAGCATGTAATAACCAGGCTGTGGGACATCCAGAGGTTCGAATTTTCATTCAATTTTGATACATTCCAAAGGTCTGGGTTCCTTTTGACATTTTCACGTATTGGACCGCAACTTTCTGGATTATGACCCCTGATTGTACAATATGTTTTTAGTTTGTGGATCGTCTAGAGGTCACCATTTTTATCTTATTTTTAAAACCGTTCAATATATCACCGTTACATCATAATTTCAGTCAAGTGGCTACTCCAATTTACACAAATAGTATAAAAGCATGTAATGCCAAGGTTGTGGATGATCTATAGAGGTCAGAATTTGTATCCGATTTAAAACGAGTATCACTAGCTCTTGAATGTGTTCAATTTTGGTGCGCATTGGCCCCTTACCTTTTACCCGAAATGTGAAATATAAATGAAGTTTGTGGATCTTCCTGAGGCTACAGGGAGAGTTTGATTTTGGTCCACAGCAGACCTCACATTCTAGAGCTATAGCCCTTGCTTTTTTGCGCAAAATGTGAAATGTGTATGAGTTTTTAGGCTCTCTAGAGGGGATACAACTGTTGTCCCATTCAGATGAAACCTAACAAATATGTTAAGGATCAAAAGATCTTGAATGAGAGGATGAGCCCCATTGACTTTACCTCTTCCCCATACATTTCTTGGAAAATGTGGGCGTTTTTTGCATGGCAATCGCTTGTTTTAACCGGTCATAACTGATAGCAGTGAATTATTTGATAGATAAGGGACACAGGGAAAGAGTGTGAGAAAACCTCTATCTTGTGGGGTTTTTTTTTAAATTACCTAATCTGCCATAGATAAGTGAGATGGGGTTGAAATAATGATCAACTGTTTAGTTAACTAATCGTGACCCTCATAACTGGGAGTCTCTTTACCCAGGTATCAGCAGCACCCCCCTAGCCCCCCCAACCCCCGACTCCATCGGGCCTAATTTCTCAGGTGAGTCAATGTTATTTCAATGCATTATATAGCCCACTCCAATAGTCAGTTTTTTTTACAACTTCTTAGTTGAGTAATAGATAAATGCTAAAATGCAGTCTTATTGCTTGACAATAGTTAAATTCCTGTGTCCTATCTTATAATATTTGGGACATATATATTAGAGGAGTTATCTAAAAATTTATTATAAAGATGATCAAGTTTGTAAAAAAAAAATTTAGAAGAAATATAGAAAATAACTTACGATGGTGATAAGTCCGAACATCTAGCCAATACTACTCCCATTAAAGATTTATGTTTAGTAAATATCTGTGACTCGTCTGACAAATCACCTGGAATATAGGAAAGACATTAGGGCCACACTAATATTATTTCATTAGTTTTAAGGTATAATTCATTTAATATTTTAATTTTATGCCCTTGTATTATTTCTTCTTTTTTTTTATATTTATTTTTATTAATCTATTGAAGGATACATACACATCGAGTCTGGTTCTTTTCTACCTAATAGTAGAGTAATAACTTCTAAGGAAAATGTTCTGTGATTTATCTGTAAAATAAATGAAGTAATTTAACTAAATATTATTTTCCCACATCCTGATCTGTTCAAAGTATAGCTCCACTTTGCATGATACAAAAATTAGGTTCTGTAAGGCTAGTCTTCCATTTAGAAAGTAATCAATGATTAGTGTTAACTGTGTTCAAGGTAGATCAATGTTGTCTTTATAACAGAATTTATAATATTTGTATTTTTTTTTATTTTACCTTAGCATGCTGAGATAGTTGAAAAAGCCATTCCAGTAATTTAGCATATGAATGTGGTGGAAAATCTTGTAACAATGATACTATGGCCTAGAAAAAAAATGTCTTTTCAGAATTAATGAGAGAACATAAATATAAATAATAAAAAAATTTAATCAAATATTTCATTACAAATCTATAGATTTTTTAAAAAGAAAACTAAACAATTTCCTTTATTCTGAGGGACAGTTTGCAAAAGAAATCTTGTTGATTCCATATGACTATTGACAAATATTTAGACAACCAATCAATAATTATATTAACAGAATAAATTGCAATTTTGATCCAACTTCTGAACAGCATAATAAATAATTTTCTGGACATACCTGTGCAACAGTAGTTCTGAAATCAGCTTTATCAGGAACTTTAGTACACATATGTTGTATTAATGTTGATATAACTGGTATTGTTTGTTCACCATAAGTTTTCATAAGATATCTGAAGATACAACAAACAGTTCTAACATTTTTATACATTTAGCCCACATAACAAGAATAACATAATCTGATTATCGGTTTCACTACTGGTAATCGGTCGATACATGGCTATTTTGCTGATACTTGCGCAGCCGATATCTGATCAAATAATTCAGCAAATACCTTTCAAATATATTATTCAAATTGTGAACAAATCATTTTTTCTTGTTTGGTACTCAGCTTTTTTATTTCAGCTGCCATGTGTGTGACTATTTAGACATAATAAAAGACTCGATGCTTAGAGGCCATAATAGATGGTTGTAAATTCAACTTTTAAATAGAAAAGATGGGATAGTGTCATGTGACATTGACAAGGACAGAAGCTATCAACGTTAGCTATGAACAATTATATCGGTACCAACAAATTTAGAGATTTATATTGTATTCAACATTTAATAACATTTAATAAGTCATAAACTCAATCATACAGCTAGTGCTCGAAATCAAAACTGTGGTAAAAGCCGAAGCAAACACGCCTAAATTATGCTGTTGTGGATACAGTGGTTTTGGCTCTAGACTTGTGTTCTGCAATCCGTTTTCTAGTCACAGTGGTCTTTTCGTTTCTCCAATGTATGATCTGTTGCAGGAACAATCAATTTTGTAGACTACTCCTTTTGGTTGAATTGGATTGGTCGGCAGTAGTTTCCCATTTGCTTTGAGTATCTGTATTAAGGTTGTGGAGGTGGTAAACGTTTCTAGTCACAGTGGTCTTTTCGTTTCTCCAATGTATGATCTGTTGCAGGAACAATCAACTTTGTAGACTACTCCTTTTGGTTGAATTGGACTGGTCGGTAGTAGTTTCCCATTTGCTTTGAGTATCTGTATTAAGGTTGTGGAGGTGGTAAACGTTTCAATATTCACTGTCTTCAGAATTCTGCTAACTTGGTAAGATAGTTTCCCATAGAAGGGCAATACCACTCGGATGTCTGGTTTTTCAGGTTTTTGGGTTATCTTTTTTGTCAGTATGGTTCAGGGTAGATTTTATATGGTTGACAAACTTTAGAGGGTAGTTATTGTAATACTATTAGGGTGAGATTTGAGCAAAAGAACGCATATGTATAATAATATTATGACCTTGATTAATTATTCTCCATTGTTAAAATATTAGCTGAGTTTATTTGAAACGCAAATTAAATTGTTTTTGAAATCTGTGAGAATAACAGGAAAAGGGATTCTAAGGTCAAGGATGAATTTTATGTCTAAAACATGTGACAGGAAAGTTGCCGTTCCATATTTGGCATGAGTGACCAATCACATGATTAATTACATCATAATTAGTCAACAGAACAATTAATGGCAGTGAACCTGAGTCTATAATTAATAGAATGTGCGCTCTAGACTTAATTATAATCTATGCTTGTAACCGAGTAACCAGCTTGATATAAAACAATAGAAACCACCATACTTTTATACCAGTCATCTTGTTTGTTAATTAAACGATATTTTGGGACTGATAACCTGTGATGTCAGAATGACGTGAGTCATAAGAAGTGCATTATAATTGCAACCAGAGACATTACTAGACGATCATGGCTGTTCCAAAATATGTAGTAAGAAACGATGCATGGGTCATACGCCTGATGTGGTACTACATTGTTGAGGGTACAAAAGGTATGTCGGAGATAAACATTGAGATAAACATTGGTTGGATGTGTAGAGTTAAAGTTGATGGTGTGTATTTTGAACTCCATAGGAAGCATGACCCAATTATCCCTTCAATAAATATGATGTTCGTCTTTGATTCCCAAGATAAATTAGGATTTCCCGAATAACAATGATATACATCTACATCATTTACCATGACATTTGAGGCATTTCAATGTGTAATATTTTTTAATGAGTCAATATCGGTAATTGTATCTGTATCAACTGAAATGTTTCACTGTCAACATCTGATTTCGGTACATTACTAATAACAGCATAATTTATTTGCTCCATATAAAAGTAATTAATATATTTTTTTTATTTTGACTCTACAGATTAGTTATTTCCTAACATAGTTCTCCAAGTAACTTCTCCAGTAATGCCACAAAGACAAATAGTAAAAAAAAATTTACCTTATAAAATTTACAGTTACATCAACAACAAGTGTGTCTGCTCTAACAACAGATTTTCCTAACATTAGTAAATTTGGTAGTAGACATTTACACACCTATAAAAATGTAGAAATTATTACTTGTACAGAGTTCAGGACCATAGATAATCAAAAGTACTTATAGCATAAAAGATACTGGTCTGAAATTAGTCAAATCAACCAATTCTAAACAATATCGCCATAGGTTTCAATTAAATTAGTAATGCCATCTTTATTTGTCTGTAGTAATTTGAATTTTGATTTGTATCAGTTAAAATGGACATCAAGAGAACATCAAATCTACATTTTAATTTAATATCTTTTTAAAGATACATTCCCGGTACAAACTTTGTAATTTGATGATATATTTGGACTAAAAACATATTCAAAGTAACCAATCTTTTAAAAATTTGCTTCAATTCCCTCTCAAAACTTTGTATTCGCCAGGAATACCTATAGCTGTTGTTAGACGCAATGTCTGTCAATTTAGCTTCATTGTGGGAGAGTCCATTTTGCAGAATGTATTTATCATTACTTACCATACATATTGAGGCCTAAGTAAATTCTTTCGCCCGTTTATTTGCAGAGTCTTTTGTACGTTGACACCCCTCAATGTTCCCAAAACCGCCTAACCATTTGATCAAGAAATAACAACCGCTCCCTCGCTTAAGCTGGCACAAAATAAGCTGGCAGATAACAGTCGGGTTGCCAGTTAGTTATACCCTGACAGTTTTGCCCAGTGCTTGCCCCATAGGCATTTTTCGGGTAATCCAGTATTTTTCTAGTACGATTGGGTGTCTATACTTTCCATATATACCAAATTTGACATACTCCTATTGGAAATAACCACCCGATAAATACTTTTCTGGGAAACTATCTTTAATATACATAAATTTACTAAATAACACCTTCCATAATCTAAATATGAAAAAGGGCTACTGATATATTGTCTCTTTAACAATACTGATATCAACACAATATCATAGAATTTCTATGAGAATAGTATTGTTACGGGTAGTAGAATTATTAGGGCTTTTATTTTTACAATAGTAGAATCAAAGTTATTTCTCCAAAAAAATCTAAAACTTTAAAGTTCACAGCAAAACATGCTTTTTAAAAAAAAAAAAAGAAAAAGAAAAAAAAATATTCAAAGAGTACTCACTGAATTAATTATAGGAATATTTAGACTTGGAGTGCAGCACATGAAGTTTAAACACTGCAAAAAGAGGGGGCAATATAAAATTATTATACTTTTACACAAAACTTAAAACAACCCTTTCATTTCTTCTGAATTATATATGCTATCTAAAATCTACGAATTTATTTCTTTTTCCGTTGGCATTACATATCATTGGTATAGGAACACAATACGGAATAAAATATGTGAGGTAAATAAAAAGAATAAATTGTACCCTGCACAACACAATATAATGGTAGGGTGCCCCACCATAAATAAATATGTCCAAATACCTTGACAATTACACCACAATATTTATATACTCCAAGCCTTAAATCAGTTTCACACATTTATAGTCACTAAATAAATGGTCATGTTGTACTTAATAAGCTATGACCACTTAAAAATCCAAAAATAATAGACTGAAGAATGGTGTCGACCATAACATCCAGGCACCTTTGAGTAAAAAATAGGTTCCGTGCCCTTGTTTTGAAATTAGTCTTGCTTAAACAGTCTGCTGACCAATCTACGACTGATTGACAGGCCAGGATAATTAAGACTACTTTTTTACAAAACATAACAGAAAGCTGGAACAAGAAATTGGTTTTAGAAACACGCACATTAGGCAACTCAACAATTGTTTTCAGAACCTTTTAAAAGTAAAATGAAACTATTGCTAGTATCATGTTCTTTCCTAACCCGAGTACTAAACCAAAAGATGCAACTCCTAATGGTATAGTTAATATTAAAGCAATTTAAAAAATAAAATGAAAGTAATTTCTAAAGCTGCAGTAATAACCAACAAGCTAAAAATTACTGCTTTTCAGAATCATCAACAATAGATTTTTTACGGCTGTAATAGTTGATAGATGTGTAAAGAATTTCACATGTGGTGGCTATTTATAGACTCATAGACTCTTGTGTTGGGTGTTGTCGAACTGCGTGATTAGCCAGAAATCACTTCGAGACAAGCCATTGAAGCACATTCACTCGGTTGAGTTCAACTTTCTGTAGGGCAAATTTTCGCTGCACGGGGCACCCTAACAATGGCCAATGAAAGCATATATTTAATATCCTGTAAACAAAGGTAATAATAACATGATGAAAATTTCTTAATACAGGTCTGAGGTTTACCAAAACATATAACATGCTTTTAAAGTAACTGCTAATATATATCGACAAATAAACATAGATCCATTTATACAGCAGTTCACTTAATCTAAATTCTCAATATAGGTATGTTTAAATATCAGTATCAATAACATGAGGTTGACAAGAAAAGTATATATATTAATCTAAAATACCAACCCTGTAAGCTAAACATGACACTGACATGTCTTCTAATGATGGCCTGTAAAAAATAAATTAACTTTTTCATCATTTCTATATCTTTCATATTAGAAAATGTTATTGCCACATATATTTAAATATAATGAAATAAAAAGAGTATTCATATTGTCCACCAATAATTTCGACAGATGCATACATGTTCATTGTTCATTCAGTAAATATGATCACTTCTCGTGCATATACAGACTTAAATTCAAACAACTCGTTCACCAAATAGGTGTTATGGGATATATATGAGCAAATACCACCTTATAAAATATGTCTTCATGTACATATTTTATCTTCAGCAGAAATAAGCTCATCTTGGTTTTCATTCTCTAAAAGTTATTCGGAGTTGACCTATTTGCATAAATTGGCTTTATATATCGACAAAGCTGTTTTAAAGATTGTGAAAAAAGTATATTTTTCAAACACATTAGTCAGGCAGTATAAGGACTGGTTTAATAGCTTTCTATGATTTTCTCATCCTATACAAAACATTCATTTGGCAGCCTGAATGTTTGTGTTTGCGAAACCAAAGAATATTCAATCCTTAAGCTTGAATAGTGTATAGTTTTCCAATGAATTACAAAGCAGAAGAAGTATGTTGACTGAGACCTTAGTGAATTAAATGAACTGGGGTTTTAACAGGGGTCGAAATAATGCTTGTCTACTTGCCGAAACCAAGTAACATTTTTAAATGACAAGTAGAAATAAAATCTACTTGTCGCCGACGACAACTAGAATAATGTCTACAACAATCCTAGCTAAAATGTCTCTGTCTAATTTATCCATTCCAATAAAGCTGGAAGAGGGGAATTTTTCATTTTAAAACAAATTAGATGGTATTTAACAACACACGACATAGCTGTCCGTTTGTCTCCTAGTAGCTTGGTGCCGAATATCTCCCCGATTAACAAGACTGAAACTTATATGGTCGTTTTAAGTTTGTTTTATACGTCTGCAAAAGGTTTCTTTGCATTCAAATAGTAACACTACTGATTCTGTGAAAGCCGTAATGTCATTGACCGACAATTCTTTCCGAAGAGAATTAAATATTTTGATAGTTGAATTCCATTTACTGTGGCTTCTTTTGGAATGTAATATACACACATGCCTAATTTCAAATTATATTATCACAATGGGTCGGAAATGTAAGAACAACGAATGAGTGGAATAGTGAAGATTCTCAAGTGAGAAAACTGTCTGTCATTTGTTTTATTACCTTCGCCAAAATGTGTTAAAGTGAACGCCAAGTCTGATTGTACATATATAAGCATCTCTTACAAATGAAATTGAAATACAATAAGTTATTTTTTTTAATTAAAAACAAAAATCAATGGTGACAACTTGAAATGACCAAGTGACAAGTAAAATTTTACAAACATTTCAACCCCTAGGTTTAACGTCCTACTTTTCTGCTACAACTGGGCTAATGAAGAAATGAAATGGGGTTTAATGTCCTACTGGGGCTAATGAAAACTTTAGGGACTATAGTATTGTCTCGAACCATCTGTGATAAAACTCCACAATGGCAGCAATCAAAAACTTCAACTAAATTCTTGGGAGATAATAAATGGCCATATCTCTAGACATATTGAGTGATGTGTACACTGTAGTATATATTGAGTGGACTTATCTCTGCAGGTACGGCTTATTTGATAATTGCCACATTAGTCTCAATTATGACTCATCAAGAAGGTTAGGCTACTTACCAATTGTCGAAATCTACATGACTATTAGTAGATTGGTATTTTGTTAAGTGTATAATATGTGGTAACAATCTGTGTACTGTCGATTCAGATTTTTTAAATGAAAATACTTCAAAAAACATTGTTAAATCCTAAAAAATAAAACAAATAAAATTAATTAGTCCTGAAACCTAGCTATATATATTACTAAAGGTATCTATATTTTTACTTTATCAATTCATTTTTGTTAATATTAGACGCCTTTGATGACTTAAACTGGTTTTATTTTGGTACAAATTCACGGTCAAATCCTTTTAGAGAGGCACCAAGACAGCAAACTCTAAATCAAACTAGATTACTGACAAAGATCTATCCATTGTTTATTTAAAGGCATTGTAGAGTTAGAAATATTTAGCTAGAGAAATAAGCCAACGGGCTGGTGTCTTCCACCCGAATCCCAAAATAAACAGATGACACTTTCAATGTGATCTTCTCATTAAACATCTAGCAATCAATTCGTTTATCACACTGCTTAACCTAAGCAGAAAATGCTCATTATTAGTCAAGGTATTGTTGTAATGTAAGTATACACCAAGTTTTATCCCCCACCCTTCATTAAAAGCAGTTATTGTGTTCTAAAGTACTGTCAAATCAAATTACTGATGTCTGCTTTGCTTCAGCAGAAAATGTGCATCATCAACTTGGTCAAAACATGAATGTAACAAACATCTACACCCAGTTTGAACACTACCTCAATTGTGTAAAAAAAAGATGTGACGGACAACTGGTTGGTCTACACAGAAAATGCTCATCATCTAATCAGTCAAGGTTTTCACCTAATGAACATCTACATCTAGTATAAAATAATTTTTGGCTCTGTATGTCATTTCATTTTTACTACAAGTTCAGCCAAATCACAGACACATTTGTGTATAAAATAAATTTATATATAATTTCACCTGAAGTAGATTTGTTAATAATTTTAACATTCTGTTACATTGAGATGGTGTCATTTCTTCCTCTTCATTATCTTCATCATCGTCACCACCCAAAGATTCTCTAATATCATCCTCCTTGAAATACAAAATTGGTGTATTCAAACATATTATCATACTCATTGTTCCTCTGGAAATGAATTTGGACTTCCTGACACTTAGATAGCTTCAATGTATATGCCTTGTCATTTAGAAGAAGCTTCTTGTTTCGATTTATTTACAGTGATGTTATTGTGCATTACATATCATATGTTTTGACTCCTTGAGCACAATAATACCTCTCTAAATCGGAAACAATAAAATATTCTAACAACTCAATCCTCTAAATTCAAAACCAGGATATAAACAGACTCAAGAAAATTCTAGATTTGTGCTAGAGTATATTTCAGACAAAAAATTCCTTACATTCATTTCCAAATATTATATTGACACATCGAGGCTATATTCTGTGGGGTACTGGAAATCAAATCAATATTTCTTGTAGCTTTAATCTTAATTGAATTTCTCTACCTGCACATCCTCTGCTTCTTCGGTCCTTTTTTTTCTTTTACTACGAGAATGAGAAGTACTTTTTTTTCTATTGCTTGCATTGTGTGCTGAACTAGCTTTTCTTTTCGTGGAACTAAGTTTGCCAAATAATTTCAACTCTTCAACACATTTTACAATAATTTCTGGATGAAAAAGCTTAAATGCACCACTCCCTGAAACAAAAAGAAAGAAGAAACAATGGGAAACAATCCAAGTATTTTCTTCCTAAAGAAGTGCAGTTTGATGAGACTTATTCAATACTGTGTGTAATATGCATGGTAGTTTCGGCTCTATAAACCTAACAAAATCCTTTAAAAATCTCACAGAAAATGCCCAGACATATGATTGGAAGTTTAATCAAGTCAACCATGAAATCAAATGGGGATAATCATCATACTTTACTGCATCAACAGGACTAATGAAGATGTTTACATGGGAAATTTCACGTGGACACTGCCATTTGTGCATACTCTTGATCAAATTGCAACTGCTGAGAGTCTTTTTACGTACACAGGACCTTCATTTTTCATACCATACAAAAAACTAGACACTATTCTGTGCCACTGACATGGTGAAATTACAAGATCAAATGCCCTTTATAGTGACAGGCTAAGAATGTGATTTTTTAAAACATGCCTTTTTAAATGGTTTAAAATAGAGTTACCATCAAAATAAATAGTAAGATAAGAATCATTGAAACTAGCTTTATGTTTATCTCACTTCTCTACTTAATGTTGGGTAAGTGAAGGCCATTAAGCCTAATTTATACTAAAACATCATAACATAAAGTCTCTTTAACAAGGTAAGAGGATATAAGAGGGGGTTCTTATTCCATTTTGAAACGAACGGGCCAGAATTGGGTCACATGAGGTCCAGTAGGAAATGGGTTAATTATAAGCTTACATTCCCTTTAATATAACAAGACTTCCACAAAAAGAATTCTTGGTAATTTGTTATGGAGAATGTCGTATTCTGATGTATGTGATTACGACAATTACTTGAATTTGGTACACCTTTTGAAAATTTTCCATATTTAATTCACGTACCAGCTTTCAAGTTCACATCAGTAATAATACCCCTGAATAAATTACTATCTTCGTTTATTCGATGAAATGTTCGTGTTTCATCAGTCGATGATCTAAAATATTAGCATTTTTCTACTATTGCCAGTATCAGAAAATGCTGCAGCTAAAATAAACTGATATGGCACCATGGCATTTCTTCATAACACAATTTGTAGTTTTTTGTCTTCACGTACCTAGTCACGTAATTTGTAAAAGTTTTTATTCATATATTATATGAAAAAAAACTTTTACAAGTTACGTGACTAGGTACGTGATAAATGACTGTTTCTCGGTGTATTCGGTGTTCTATCAGGGGATTATACTCAATGAAGATATAAATTTACCTAACAACTAGTCAGTGAATCCATCAATGTATGATCCAGTTATTATTTTAATACCTACCAGTACCTGGAATTCATATGGAACATGGAAGACGCTCGATTGGCAAACCATGCCGAGATCGTCTTCTTTCACCACGTGGGTTATTTTTACAAAAGCAGCTTACTGAACCTTTTATGAATAATCAGCAAGCTTGTTTTATCCAAATTACCGTTAAATGTGCTAATTAGGCTACTCAGATTGTGAACCACATGGCGGATTCTCACTAAGGTATGACTGTTGTTGTACATGTAGCCAACAAGCAAGTTGATTGACTTGTTAATTAACATGTAAATGTAATAATTAACCAGATGTAATTAAGCCGAAAGTAGATTCATTTATGATACCATAGTGGCCGGTTCATTGTTTTACCAATCGGCTAGACTAAACATCAATCAGCTAAAGCCAACAAAAAACGTCCGATTAAGAACACTGGTATAAGGGAACAATTTACATCACAAACCATGGTTTTTTTCATGATAAAAAGAGAGATAGAAATGGGATCTAATGTCCACTAGACAACAAAAATATCCAATTTCAATAATTCGCTTGAATATTGTGGCTGTAGCTGTGGGAGGAAACAGGAGGACCCGAAGAAAACTCTACTTGTCACACACAAGTGTGGGATCAAAACCATGTGACTTGACTCAATAACAGACCTTATGATCTAAAGCGGACACATTAGACCATTTGACTGCCCAATGCCCGTTTTTTCGTGATATACACACACCTGGTACTGTTAACAGTTTTATATAAAGAGATGCTGCTAGTACAGATGCTTCTTTCATGGGATAACTAGAAGTCAGCTAAAAAAGAAAAGAAAAGTTATCAGTAATGTATATATTCTACCAAACTTTGTCATCAAATATTCCCCACTAAGTTCTCCAAAAACATTTAACTTGTGAAAGTGAGTTTTTGTTTTGTTGTTTGTGGGGATGTTTGATATAGGAAACCAAACAGTAGAACTTCCTAATCTGGTACTCAGATAACCCTGTGTCACTTAAAATTGGCCGCATGACATGTTTTTATTTTAACAAGTCAACAGCCAGGCTAATGTCCCCAACCGAAATCCCGAAATAACTAGATGACACATTAATTAATCGCACATTTATTTTTTTTCAAAAGTATTGAGCAATCAAACTCATTATCAATTATACACTAAGTTTCATCACTCTCTATCGGATTGAATCAAAGTTATCTTGTCCCAAAACATCGACCAATTGTGTTCCAAAGTCTTGACCAATCAAATTGCTTATCAATCTGCTTACCCTCAGCAGAAAATGTTCATTATCGAAGTTAGTCAAGGTATTGATGTGATAAAACTATACACCAAGTGTCATCACTCTCCCTTAATCAGAACTAAAGTTATGGTGTCCCAAATCAACCAATCAAATTGCTTATCTCTGCTTACCCTAAGCAGAAAATTCTCATCTTCGAACTCTATCAAGGCATTTACCTAATAAACACCTACACCAAGTGTGAACATTCTAGCTCAATTAGGAGATTAATTTTTTTCCAAGTATCGACCAATCAAATTGCTAACGCTCTGCTTGCCCTGAGCAGAAAATGGTCATTATCGAACTTAGTCAAGGTATTGATGTAATGAAACTATACACCAAGTTTCATCACTCCCATTTAATTAGAGAGAGAGAGAGAGAGAAATGGGGTTTAACGTCCACTTGACACAAACTAGGTCATTTCGAGACTAACATATGGTTTAATTTTATTTCAATAATTCACTTGCGCGTAGGGGTCTTTAGCAGTGGGAGGAAACCGGAGGACCTGGAGAAAACCCACGAGGTTGGACAGGCTACACTTAAAGTCATCGTGTCCCAAAGCATCAACCAATCAAATTGCTTACCCTAAGCAGAAAATGCTCATCTTCGAACTCCATCACGGCATTGACTTAATAAACATCTACACTAGGTTTGAACATTCTGGCTCAGTTAGAGAGTTATTGTGTCCTAAAAATTGTGACGGACAGACTCATTTTAATAGTCCCCCAGCGGGGACAAATATTCAAAAATAAAAATGGTTTCATTAATCAAGGCATGTAAATGTTTTATCCCGGTTAATGAATCCAGAATTGTACACAACCCTAATAAATTTTACTGACAATCATGAATGACACTAGATAATCATACATTCCTACATGTACTAACAACATGACAAGATAAATGTAGTGCCTTGAAATGTGATGTTTATCAAAGTCATTTAGCCCAGTAGTGATCCTTTGATCAAATAAAGACCTCCGTCCGGCATCAATTATTTTGTAAGGATTATCTGAGAAACAGAATATTTTTTTTGTATGGCCTAACTTCCTAAGAACCACATACTCCTCGCAGTGTTTCATTTGATTAGACCTAATCCCGCTCAAACACTGCCATACACAGTGCAAATTTATGTCCCAAATTATGACTGGTTAACAGTCCAATCAACAACCAGTACATAACAACGTAACAAAATCAATCGTGATTAACCAGAGCTCTAAATATGTTACAGTAAAGTGTCTGGTGACAAACGCGGTCACATTAAGCCAGTGAATCCAAATAAATATAAAGAGAGAGGAATCCAAAACCATTTGAATAACATAAACTTAGATGGGATCCAAGTCATAATAAACTTGATACGGTGACCCCAGTAGTAGGAGTGGGCAGTGCTGCACGTAGAATCTTTTTATCATCTTTTGGACCACACAGAAATACATGTATAACATGTGCTTTTTTGATAAAATAAATAAATCATGGATTTTCTTCACAAAAATGGATAAATATTATCGAATATTGAAAGGTAGGCAGTAGTAATTGGTAAATGTTTACAAACTTTATATCAGAGATTTGAGTCAAAGAATATTCGTTCCAACAGCAAGTTTTAGCCAAATTTACCTATGCGAGTATCGATGTTTGTTCTCAATGCATGAAAGGGTAAAATTTTCCTTGAAATCAGCACTAAGAAACACTAGGATGTTTTTTTTTTTAAAAAGATCACCCCAGTTAAGTCATGAAAATTCCCCATATTTTACTCAGGAGACATTTGATTGGACGCTGAGAATGGACACGCTCTGTCAAAGACTCAAGTTTTTATTCTCAATACAGCAATGGCTAGAGAAGAATTTCTCAGACCATTGCTTCAGAAGGTGTTTAATGGTCCTATTTCTTTTATAATATTTATATTTCGAGCAATATGATTATTGACAAATTTGTCTGGCATGAGAGGATGAACAAATATCAAACCTTGCTTCCAGTTTCCAGAAGATAAACCATTAATACAACCAGTGATTTAAGAGAGATATCATTCTCAACAAGAATTGTCCACAGACCACCTGCAAAATTGTAATTTATACCTGTAAATGATTTTGTGTAACTATTTAGGCAAAAATATGAACCATATATATAATATCTAATATTCAATGCCATCGCTCAAAATATATATTAACCATACATTATGAAAAAGCTAAATCTACCTATTGCAGGTCTTTCTTTAAAGATACATTATGGGAGATAAGATAAAGAGATGGCAGTTCTCGCTATAATAGTTAAAAACTAGATAGTGTAACGGTAATTTGCTGAAAATTTCAGTCAAATTGATCCACTATGAACCGAGAACGAAGCGGGTGAAATTTTCGCATAGTCTCGGTCATCATTACTAAAATCATTAATATAAACAGCATAGTCTCGATTATCCACTGTTTTGATTAAATTATCAATGGCCGTTAACTCTTAAACGACCCAGAGGTTTGACGTCATAACGTCATAAAAACCCACGTCATAATGGTCAATAGTATTAAAATATAGATATTAATCATATCATTAATAAACAACTGTAGATAAACCCTTAATGTAAATGGATGAAATAATCTAAATTTAATGCCATTTTCATAAATATAATTTTATACAAAAAATTAATTTAGACATTTCATGCAAAATTCATGTATATAATGGTTATTTCTATTTTTTTTTTGTTCGGCTGTTGTGAACTAAAAATTATTCATCATGAATCTCTTTTAATTTAAGCTTATTTAAGTACCGTAATAGAAATTTGTTGATTAACTAAGCCTACTTCTATCATGTTCTAGGCCTAACGCAAAACTGTAAAAATCTACACTACAGATAAAATCTGAATCACTGTAATGGTAATCCGTCATTAGGAGAATGTTGCCAAATAGGTCTAGACATATCACCGTTTTATTATAATTTTTCCAGGAGAAACAGTAAGATTTTTAACTGTCAAAATGTCAAACAGGAAGTAAACAAATGAGATAAAGTCGTCTGTTCATAAGGGAAATAACTCTCATTACGCTAGGAACGTTGCATTCGGCTAACCGATTTTGTCGACAAAAGTCGCCGTGGGTACTTAACGGTAACGTTATAGGTGTCGACAAAAGTCGCCTTGGGTCAGTTAAGAGTTAAGCGGCATATAGGAATCTAATCCAGCCAACATCGAAGGCTAGCCTTGACATCGAGAGTTTATTATGGTCTGGATAAGTTAATTAATGTCTAATTGATAATTTAGAAAACATTTCAGGCCTAAAGAAAGACTTGTAATAAGCAGATTTTGCTCATGCATAATGCATGTTTAAGCGTGAAATGTTTAAATCTAAATTATTAATTAGACATTAATTAACTTATCCATACCATAATCAACTCTCGATGTCATTGCTAGAATGCGATATTTATTGGATTAGGATCAAATTTGTTGTTCAACTTTCATTCATGATTTAATCATGAAATGGATAATCGAGACTATGCTTTCTATCGTACCAACTTTAGTAATGATGATTGAGGCTAGGTCAAAAATTCAATCGCTAAATTCTTGGTTCAGAGTGGATTAATTTGACTGAAATTCACTTTACATTATCTAGTTTTTATCTATTATAGTGAGAACGTCCAGCTCTTTATCTACATTGTAATCTCGCATAATGTATCTTTAATATCTTACTTTATTAATGTTAAAAAACACAGTCTGCAAAGCAAAAATAACTGTGGGTCCACCTATTGTCTTTGCCAGAGAAATAAAATAGTCATCCATCTGTAAATATGAACATGCAAATTCACAATGAAGACATAGAAAAATACAATACCTTCTTTTTCCTGCTTTAAAACACTACAACATGCTTCAAGTTCTTTAACATTGTATCTGTTATTTTTGATAGCAGATAAAGTCTCAACTGGAATATCATTCAAATCTGTAAAATCTGCTTCCCAAACATTTTTAACCCATTCTAAAATATAAAACAACAAACGAACCATAAATAATAAAGCATACAAAACAAAAATAATGAAGCAATACCACAAATTTAACCATAAGAAAACAGGGAGCCAAAAAGACTAAGATATTTTTTTATTTCCATTTCAATGGGTAGGAGGGTCTATGTGTGCAATGATAATAAGAGGGAGGTGGGGATTCTGCCTGTACAGCTGCGTTTTCACTACCCCATGGCATAAGCAAGGTACCAAGCCCAGCTGTAAAAGGCATTTATTCTTGAATCAGTGTGATATTTGCATTGGACAGCAGGAGTAATAGTTTAGTTTACTGACTTAGTGACAGGGGATTGTCAAGCATGAGGCACAGATATGCTGAACATCGGATGCATCTTAATGTGTCCACACAAAGTTTGGTTAAGTCAGCTGTTGAATGTAAATTATTCCTTTTCACATAAAAGACATAAGCTTATCCATTAAAATGTGTTAAAACATTCTTTTAAGAACATCAGTTCTAAATTAAATCAACACTCAATATGGGGGGCACTTTAGTTTATTATTAAAACATCGATGAACTAATCTCACCCGCCGTGATATGCACTATGCACTAGTGCTTATGCACTATTTGATAAAACAACCAGCGGCTGCCAGGCAGGATAGGCCCACATTTTCGAGAGATGGATAGAGAACAAGCTTAAAAGAAAGTGATTTTTCCTACAATCAAGGGCCATAATTCAGGAAATTAAAATTCGATATGCGCGAACATCGAAAGGAACCGAGATCTTTGTGTTATAAACTTACATTTCAAGTTTCAACAAAATCGGATTAAATTGTGACCTCTATAGGGTCCACAGCCTTGATAACCATATTTTTACGCTATTTGAGAACGAAGGGCGGCCATTTTGTCTGTCAGTTTTGGGCCGATTTTCACGAAATTCGAACTCAGTCGTCCTTAGGGTGTAACAGTGATATAATAATACGTTTTTTTAAATCAGATAAAAATTATGACCTCTATAGGGTCCACAAGCTAAAAATGCGATTTTTCGTACAATCAGGGGCCATAATTCAGGAAGTTACGGTCCGATAGGCGCGAATATCGAAAGGAACCAAGATCTTTGGGTTATAAACTTACATTTCAAGTTTCAACCAAATCGGATTAAAATTGTGACCTCCATAGGGTCCACAACCTTGATATACCATATTTTTACGCTATTTGAGAACGAACGGCGGCCATTTTGTCTGTCAATTTTGGGCCGATTTTCACGAAATTCGAACTCAGTCGTCCTTAGGGTGTAATGGTTATATATTAACACGGCTTTTTAAATCGGATAAAAATTATGACCTCTATAGGGTCCACAAGCCAAAAAACGCGTTTTTGCGTACAATCAGGGGCCAGAATTCAGGAAATTACAATTCGATATGCGCGAATATCGAAAGGAACTGAGATCTTTGGGTTATAAACTTACATGTTAAGTTTCAACAAAATCGGATAAAAATTGTGACCTCTACAGTGTTCACAAGCCAAAAACGTGATTTTTCGTACAATCAGGGGCCATAATCCATGAAGTTACGGTCAGATAGATGCCAATATCGAAAGGAACTGAGATCTTAGGATGATAAACCTATATTTCAAGTTTCATTGAAATCGGATAAAAATTGTGACCTGTAGACTGTTCACAAACAATTGTGGACGGACGGACGTCCGGACAGGGGAGATGACAATATATGTCCACGTGAAAATGTGGGCGTATAAAAACTACCGATGGGTAAAACTGATTTATTCCATACATTTAACAACAACTTGTGACTGTGTGTGTGTACGACTATACACAACCCGACAGGACTCAGTGTCTTGGGTAGTTGTAAAAAAAAATCGGGTTGCGTCTTTACTTCACTTGCCTACGACGGTACCAATCCACACATGCCCGACTCTCACCGATTATGCTTCGTGAGTTACGCCACTTCCCTATAGCGAGTGATTCCAAAAGTAAACCAGAAGCATAAAAGTGACATTATATTTTGCCAAGATGCCGCCGAAGTTGACTGCTCGTAAATTGATCGTGTCGTGTGAGTGTCCACACAAACACGATGGGTTACGACTGCATCCGACTACGACTGAACATGCTCAGTCGGGCCGATAGGCCACGGCGCGACGGAAATCAATTGAATCGTGGGACTGTCCACACTGCACTGATTATCTGAGACAAGACGTTGCGTTGGGTAGAGTCTGGGCAAGTCGTGGCGGTGTGGGCCGGACTTTACTCAAAATTATCAACGACTCATTGGTCAATTTAAATCAATACTGATGTTGTTAAATTATCATGAAAAGATGGGCTTCTGATATCCAATTTAAGACAAAATGAAAATTTTAAAATTGGCACATGAATCATGTGCATGCTTACGAACGCCATTTGTAAAGAAGCAACTCGATGAACGAGGCTAAACATATTCCACTGGAGAATACTACCAGTGTAGACTGGAATAACGAGATGCCAAAGACTGTCATTCAATTTGGACTCTTCGTGTATATCGACAGAAATAACTAAATAGAAATTACATTAAAGACAGAAACGGCTCAATGTACATGTAAATTAGTTTATAATTTATATACATTCATATTACATTGTTACATGTATATGTGTTGCGACCCATTTGGGTCCATTTCTAGGTGCCAAAGAATAAAGATTTAGCTCCTTTACAAGAATGCCTGTGGATGAGTTAACTAGCCTAGAGGTCGCAGGTTCACTTCTGGTGCAGTAGGCTGAGAAATTTCCTCTGGATTTTCCATAGCTACAATAATGTACCTGCGTCCTGTCTTATTCACGGCTACAATTGATACACTATTTGAGGCTTTGCTCAAATAAAATTTTATTAGGTTCAGTTGCAAATGTATCATCACAGTTTGCATGGAAATAAGTAATTATGTTACAAATAGTGAGGAGTGGAACGCTGAAATTTTAACTTACCGAACAGTTTTTCTGTATTTTCGAATGCAGTGAAATCGCGTGATTCTGGTTCGGTGGCCATTTTAAAATGAACAGAAATTTCCCATAGCAGTTGGGTTTAATCAAACCACTGCATGCGGTAAGGTTTTACCTTTATTTCAAAGGGAATTGGTGTATGTTAAGCTAAGTGCAGTTTAATTTGGGTGTGTAATTGGAAATTTCAGGAAGGAAAGTCTGACATGGACAGCTGTCTAGTCGTTCAGATGGGACGTAAAACAGGTCATATTGTAACCTACACATTAGCGCGCACGTAAAATTGGAATTCTGTAGCAACTCTGAGTAAAATTTCCCTCATAGTGTATGGCGTATGCCGATCTTCATTTAACCTAGGTACGAGAACGTAGCTAAAAACATTGCGATCTGATGTACTACGATTGGGTGCCTTTAGTTCCAAGTGGCAAACTCATTTTCTTTATTAATGCATGTTACATCTTAATAATAAGATAATTTTATACTATTCTGATTAATTAAACTTACAGAGGCCAATGTAGTGGCACAACTATCGCCTAACTCCAAATATTTGCATTCAAATCAATGAAGCGTTGTTTTGTGTTTATCCGACATATAATGATATATATACCGTCAATCATACATCTCCCGTTTAAAAATGGGGTTCCTAGTAACGGTGTAACGCCTCGATTTTAAATACGATGAATAATACCCGTTTAGTTTCAGGTAGGGTTATTATAATTATATTTATAAATTATATGCTTAATAATTGAAGTTGGATGTGGCAGAAATATTATAAATAATCAATCATGGTTTTGATGAAAAATATTGTCAATTTTGCTTACTACTGACACCCGATGTGATGTGAGTTGGGCTTTGCTACGTGGAACGATACAGCACCATCCCTTATCTCGAAACATGGAGGGTTGAGATGGAGATGAGGTTTGTTATACATTTAAAATTACAATTTCATATTTTCTAAAAAAGTCAAAACATAATTATTTCTATGTCTAACTCACTATTATACGATCATAGGTTATCTTTCTCACACTTAAGAATCTTCACACCGGAAATAAAGTTACCTCCCAATTACCTCCCTTGTTTTCCTATTCCCCAACATGGAATAGCTATCTTCAAACGTTTGAATTTGAAGTTTAAAATTATATTTTTGCCAATTTCTCAACTGGCAATAGTGAATTATAGGATTAAAGGGACAATAACACTCTTGCTGGCTTGAAAGCTCCAGAAAATAAATAATATCTCTTTCTAAGTACTAGATGTTAAAGTGTCCTACCTGTTGTGTAAATTATCCATTACATCCTATTTTACTTGTCCAGAGGGTTCGAAAATATTTTTAAATCGAAGTTTCATTACGTTAGACGTTTCAAACCATTATGTTGAATTTTTCAAAATTTTTAAATAAGGTGTGTTAAGATGAAATTTGTATCATCAATTAATTGAAATATTCTAAAATAGTACAATTTGTTGACCAGAATAAAGATTGGGACATATTATTCAGTTATTTATAACAAGAGACGAAGAGTGGTATTGAGCCTTTAATAGGATTTTTCTTTAACAAGGTAGGACTGTTTATAGATACCATCTATTTTAGGGCTTTATTTTAAAAATATGAAATTGTAACTTTAGCCCAGTTAGAGCAGAATAGTACTAGTAGCCTGAGTACGGTAAGTAGGTGAGTTAGTGAGTAGAACGTCACTCGTCAGAGTTACTACTTACTACTGGCCATTTCTTTTCAAATCAATTAAAAAATAACACTTATCAGCATCAGCAACGCTCACCACAAACCTAAAACGGATTATTTACTTACCTTCGTTTAGAATGGAGATTGGCAATGCCGAAAAAGATAAAATTATTCGTTCTTGGCCCTTCATTTTATTTAATCTCGCCGCCAAATTCTGTCATCCAATGTGTTCTCTATCATCTCAAAACAAACTATTCGCAGCGCCCTCTGTCGACTTTGAGTCGTAAACCTGAATAGCCCATGCTACATAATTATTTCCTATCTGTCATCGCGAACGCAACGTTGATTAATCTAATATCACTCGGGATAGGTTAATAATACCTACACTTATTAAAGTAAAACAAATCTACGTACATGCTCCGTCTAGATTATTCGGTGCACCATCATAATCAATGTACAGGATGATATACTGTAGTGGTTTAACCGAAGTGTTGCGAATTAGGGTCTGGGTTATCCAGACGGTATCAGAAGCGCCGAATCAATAATATTCGCATACTGAACAGCTGTGCGGGTCATAGTTCATTATTGCTTGATTCCGAATTCGACTCGTAAATAAATAAACGGGATTAGCGAAGCAAGCATAGGCATTATCAATTTTTTTTCCAGATCCTGCCATTATTCTTGCTTACCAAAATGGGTTGCGCATGCTCATCAATTCTATTCAGATGATTGGGGTTGAAAATAATCAAGTCAAAAAGGGTACAATCACAGTGGGTGATCATAATATTTATCCAAAATAAATAGCAGTTGTAGCAGTGGTGATATACCTAGGGCGAGTATATGTCTTGATGATCAAGAAATAATGGTTTTGTGGTTCAGATGTAATGAAATTATCCCAGGAACATCTCTCGGAATTTTATTTATAGCTGTTATATTGGGAATATACTTCTTGCAACTCGAACTCTCAGGGTTTCCTGCCAAAGACAGAATTTGCAGGTGATAATCAGTTTTACTTGACAATAAAAATTCACCAAATATGGCCAGCATGTAGCTCCAAATTCTACTTCAAACTTGTATGATAACGATAATTAATATGTGCTGTGTCATTATTTATTATAAGTTATTAGGCTATATAATAATAATAATAATAACTTTATTTCAAAATGGTTGAAAATTAGGCCAATGGCCTTTCTTACATTTTGCCCTTATCAATGGGAACATATGTACATTAATAGATAGAGAAGAGATAGAAATTTATACATTAAAATGAGACAGAAAAGAAACAAAACAAGTTGACATGTACATGTATTTACAGATGTACATTAAAGATACATTATGGGAGATTTTAATAGAGAGTTGGCCATTCTTGCTATAACAGTTCAAAAATAGATGATGAAAGAAGAATATATTGAAAATTTCAGTCAAATTACTTTATTCTGAACAAAGTTATCACTATTGTAATTTTTGACTAGAAATGGGAGTCAATTCTCTCTTCACTGTCTCCGAGAATAGAAGATCGTTTGATTGACAGGCGTTAACTTCACCTACATAATCTCGATTATCAAGTAATGTTTTCAATGGCTGTGGTTTGAGACGGGTTGCAATTCAATTCGTATCACATTTATTTTTACTACAAATTAAAAATAAGACTTTTAATATATAGATAAGAATGGACCAAATCAATGAGGCATAATTATAGCCGACTTCTTGTTAGCCTGCGTGTACTCTACTGTAACTGGTAGGCCTGCATAACTCCAGAACAGTGATCCAATGGAGCTGCAATTCAACTGGGGTGATGTTGCTGCGATGTTTATCAATTTCTATATTTTTTCTGTAAACGCAAGTGACAAAAGAGTGTAGCCTATAATACCGACATCCAAACTCTCATTTTAACAATAACTAAACATAATATCAAGGCCGTATACATGTATATCGAACTTTCAATCAAATTGACTGACATGCGGACTCGCTCAACAGCGGTCTCGCTTCGTACAATCTATCATTTAGCCTCAATCTAAAATTATTTCCGAGAGTATGACGTCAACGTAACGGTTAATCTCCGCTTACGACGCCATTTAAAAATTTAATCAATCAACGAAATCCTGTTTAAATCCAAGCCGAATCCAAGCCATCCGTGTGTCTACAGAGTTGATTTTGTGCTTTTTGTGTAAATAAAGATCTAATTTATATGACATCTGAAGCCTAAATAAAGACTTGTAATAATCAGATTTAGCTCTTGCATAATGTATGTTTAAGTTGTGAGCACATAAAAGGTTCAATATGGCGTTAAAGGAGATTGACTGTGACAAATTCATAATTAATATATGCAACAATGTACATGTAATGTATATATAGATTGTATGATTATAAGGTTAATCAAATTGGGGAAAGACGGTAATTAATTTTCGTTAAGATATTTAATTAGTTGGGCGCGGAAGGCGTTGCCGGATTTCAAATGTTTGAGAAAACATGGTAATGTATTCCATAGGCGTGATCCACAGAATTTAATACTATTTTTGACTACACTAAGATTTGGTCTTAGTACAATCAGTCGTTTATTAATGTTGAGTAAGGGGTGGAATTATATAACATTATTATTGTGATTGACGCGCACTGAATGAATTAAATCTAAAATGATTTCTTCACTAAAAACATTAACTAAACTAAACAATTTGTCCTCACACAGTCTCAGTAAGAATTGTCCTTTTTTTGTTCAGATTTTATCAAAGAGGGTCACATTCTGACCTGGTCTGATAACAGCACCAAAATTCTTACAATTAAAATAAATCAGTTATACAGCTGGCATACATATTATACTGTGAAGGCAATAGCCAAGTACTTACTGACAGTCACATATTATGATATTGAGAAAATTAGTATACACAATGATCACCATTGTTACTCATTGATGGGGTTTGGGTGCAGTGTCTGGAACATACATTTTCAAGCACAGACCCGCAGGATCTGTGTGCGCCACTGCACTTTCGCCGATCTACCAGGTTTTAAGGGGAACTAGCCATGATAATATGATATCACAACAATAATGTTTCATTTTACCTACCTTTTAGCTTCTGCCGACATATACGTTGACCCGATTGACGCTATTTTCTTTGTTGACTATTTAGCTTCAAATAATAAGACACTAAAACGGACTCCGCCACACTGCGCTTCCTGCCTAACGCTGCAGTTGATAATAATAATAATAATAATTTTCGTATATTTTAATTTTTGCGCTAAGCCACCATTTTCTACAGACGACTATTTGGCGTTGACCAGTTGGATTGGCCTTTACATGTGAATATCGCCATGACCTTGACCCCAAACTTCCCATCGAGCTTGGGGCCTTTGTGTTTATGCGTGCTATGGCCCTCTTTCTTGCTGTATTATCGAGGTGAAAACAGAGACGTGCCCTTTAGAAAAGATAATTGGGTCAAAGTTGTGGGTCAAGGTCATGCTACAGATTACTGAACTCAAACTTTTCAAATTCAGTTTTTGGACATTTGACCTTGACTTACGACCTTCACTCCGCAACCATTTTTAAAGGCCATCAACTAGGCTTTAACCACCGACCTATATTCCGGAGTCCTGTCACACACTGTTTGGTCAGAAAACGGTCAACTAAATACAATCTACAATTTTAACTCTAATATACTAGAGGTTACTTGGTTACAATAAACAATAAATAATAATTTATATTTAAACTTAATAATATTTTATAGTTGTGAAGGGGTAGTATTTAAATGACGCCCATTCATTCATTTACTGAGTGGGCCTTTGATTGTAATGTTTATAGATGTATTATTATCTCTGTCATAGCTAGCTGACCATTGTGAAGTTACTTAGGTAATCCATCTTGGGTGTAAGTCTACCCCTTAATATTGGGTGAATGGCTGTATTAAATACTGCCAGGTCAAATTACTGTTTGAGGTAATAACAGAGACAATGCCCTTCAGAAAAGATAATTGGGTCAAAGTCATGGGCCAAGGTCATACTACAGAAAACTGAACTCAAACTTTTCAAATTCAGTTTCTGGAAATTTGACCTTGACTTACAACCTTTACTCCGTAACCATTTTTAAAAGCCATCCTCTTGGCTTGGAGTTGGACCACCCTTTTCCTGGGTCCTGTCACACACTTCATGGTCAGAAAATGGTCGGTGTTCAAAAGGAAGGCAATGGGTGTGGTCAATATGAGGGTCATGGTGACCTCCAGTCATCAACGCTATCCAACCGTGACCTCAACCCGGAGTCCAAACTTCGCATACAGCTCGACTCAGAGCCTTTGCGCTTTGATGTGTCATGGCTCTCTTTCTTGCTGTATCAAGGTTAATGTTCTGGGTCAAAGTCGTGGGTCAAGGTCTTGTTACAGAAAACTGAATTCAAACTTTTCAAATTCAGTTTTTGGACATTGACTAACGACCTTCACCATGTAACCATTTAAAAAAGCCATGTAACCATTTTAAAAGGCCATGTAACCATCATCGACCTTTTACCGGTGGTATTGCACTTTTGCACCACCCTTACTATGTCAGTTAGTAAATCAGAGACTGTATTTCTAGCATTAAATACATAGTTAAAGTCCTGTACATAGGTCAACCCCTTATCATGACCTTCCATCAATACGGCAATTCATTCTTCAGACTTCTTGCTAGTTTTATATAGATAATGCCCCCAAAATCTGACAGTCCGTCCATTAGTGCAAAAGTTCATTCTTCACACGTTGTGGTAGATAAGAGACCGCTATTTCCATCGTCCCTTAGTATGAAAGTTCGTTAATCCAACCTTCTCATATTTTTAGTATAATATACACAGTTAAAGATACATTATAGAAGATTCGATAACGAGTTGGCAGTTCTCACTATAATAGTTAAAAACTAGATAATGTAAAGGCAATTTAATGAAAATTTCATTCAAATTGATCCACTATGAACCGAGAACTAAGCGATTGAAATTTCCGCCCAGCCTTAATCATCATTACTAAAGTCAGGTTGATAAACGAGTTGGCAGTTCTCACTATAATAGTTAAAAACTAGATAACTAAAGTCAGTACGATAAACAGCATAGTCTTGATTATCCATTTAATTGTTAAATTGTGAAGGAAAGTTATGCAGTAAATCGGCTCATAATCCACTAAAGATCACAGGCTAGCGATGCCATCTAGAGTTGATTATGGTCTGGATAGGGTAATTAATGTTTAATTAATAATTTAGATAACATTTCAGGCCTAAATAGACATATTTAGCTCTTGCATAATGTATGCTTAACTTTCCATACAGCATTATCAAGAACCCTTGTACTTTGGTACAATATAGGCTTGTTACATGCATAATAAAATATAATTTCTTTTCACTAATCTGTTAAGTTTTACTTTTATTACTTTGTAAATAATTTATTTCCATATGTAATTGTCAGCGATATCACTTCAGTACCAGTGTTTCACACACACAACATAGCGATGCTTTGACAGGCTGAACTTTCGTACATCATCCAGAAAAGGAAGTTTTTGTAAATTAGTGTGACGTTATAAAAATAATATAAATTCCTCAACCCTTCTTAGAATATTAAGTAACCAATCATCTTTTCAGAAGGGCATCTTCTCTGCTTTCACAACGGACATCAACCTCTATAATACAAGAAATAGGGGCATAGCAAAAATTGAAATATACGAAAATCATAATTATTATTCTCAATCTGAATCTGTATGTCGCAGGGCCTGTTACAGCATGTACGCGACAACGGCGGAGTGAGTGCGTTAGGTTCTTGATAGAGCTGATTTAAAGCTCTCTTTTGATGGAGCGCGCACTATACTATCATGCAGGTGGTTCCAATCAATAATTGTCTTTGGAAAGAATGAGTGTCTATAAAGTTCAGTATTACATGCCACTGTTTTAAAACATTTGGAATTGTTTGTTACATGATTTTCTAATATATTTTTTACTACAAAGCCAGAATTCTGTTTGACTTTAATTTAGCGTTTGGTAGTCCCCCTTAACATCCCCTGAAAATGTCATGTCTCTACAACTGCAGGAACTGGTAGAAGTGCGAACTTGCAATAGCGCTGATCTGTGTGACACATGATCATGTGGGTCCTTCAGTTCAATTCTCCGGTTGTACATGACAAGGAGTAGGGTCGCCTGTCCAACCCCCGGGTCCTCCGGTTTCTTCCCACTGCTAAGGACCCATATGCACAAGCGAATTATTGAAATAAAACTGAACCATATGTGAATCCTGAAACAACCTAGTTTGTTTCGAGTGGATGTTAAACCCCATTTCTCTCTCTTCTGTCACTCATTGAATATCTCAATCATATTGTCATCACATTATCAATTCATAGGGTCTCTTCACAGATTTGCTTATGATATAGTGAAACACACTTATCCAGGGTGCTCCTCCATTGTCAATCCAGAATGTTTAAAATTGACGGCATTGCAATCCAGTGTTCCACACAGAATTGAGTTGTAAATGCTTCAGGGAATTGGTTGAGATAGTGTCATACATTTCGTATCAGTTTGTACATGGCTATAGATCTCAAAATTCTCGTGTTTAGTGGATTGAGCCTTTCAATTCTGGAATGTACAATTGAGCTCTATCACCTATGTTTCCTAGAATTTTATGAAGAAAAATTCCAGTGTCATTGATTAGTACATAATCTGCATAGAACCATGATGACAATGGTATCGATGACAATGCATAATTATGCTCATTTATCGTTTCTACCTACAAGCATCATGTCAATAATGACACTGAACCTACATGTATGTTGAATGATGGCTGTAGGCCCCTGTAGGGTCTATCTGTTGTTTCCAAAACATATTTTTTACTTTCTTCTAAGTTTACAAAAGAATACAAAATGACTGTGTTCTGTCTTGTTTTCTGCCTTAAGCAATAAGCTGTTGTCTGCATTGTCTGGAAAGTTGTTCTAAATTTATTTTGATACAGTAAAACATAAGAAAACCTGATAAATATTAATTTTAAAGGCATGCTGAACTGTGTCATAGTTTCCCAAATACGGCACATTTCATTTGGTGTGTTTAAATTGTTTATTTTTGTTTTGTTATTTTAGAATGGCATCTAATTACACAGAAAATTTAGAACAGTTTAAAGAAGAAAAGCATAAAGCGTTTGTTGTAGGGTATACAGGGGAAGTTGGAAAAGAGCTGTTAAAGCAGTTAGCAAGCTCTAATTTATATGAAAAGGTTGTATTAATTGGTAGAAGAGAAGTCCCCCCAGAGAAGATACATGGTGTTGAGTTTGTAAGCTTTCATTTATAACTACAAATACTGAAATTTAAAGGTTATGCCTATATTATGAATTTTAGGAATGTAAGCTTGTGTATAGCTTATCAAACAGATATTTCAACTGTTCTAATGCATGAGCTTTAGATAATAAGATCTGTCAAGTGACATGGCTTCGAATCGCCACATGTGCATGACAAGGATTAAGATGTTGATTTGTTTTGTTAAGTCTGCATTGAGTTTATTATTTTTATACACCCCCATTTTCGTATGGACGTATATTGTTGTCGCCCCATTTCGAACGTCCATCGGTGTGTCCATTCACCGTTCACAATTTGTTTGTGGACACTCTACACATCACAATTCTTATCCGATTTTGATGAAACTTGAAATATAGGTTTATCTTCAAAAGATCTTGTTCCCTTTTGATATTGGCATGTATCGGATCGAAACTTCATGGATTATTGCCCCTGATTGTACGAAAAATCACATTTTTAGCTTGTGGACACTCTAGAGGTCACAATTTTTATTCGATTTAGATAAAACTTAAATGTATGTATATTCGGTCCGTGGACGCTCTAGAGGCTAAAGTCAATATCTGATTGACTTTAAATTTATACACAGTGTTTAAGGTCTTGAGACGAAGAAGCCTATTGATTTTCAGCGATTTCCGATAATTACTGCCAGAGTTATGGCCCTTGATCACTTTGAAAAATCTTGTGGACGCTCTAGAGGCCAAAGTTAATATCCAATTGACTTTAAATTTATACACAGTGTTTAAGGTCATGAGACGAAGAAGCCTATTGATTTTCAGCGTTTTCCGATAATTACTGCCAGAGTTATGGCCCTTGATCACTTCAAAAAATCTTGTTGATGCTCTAAAGGCCAAAGTTAATATCCGATTGACTTTAAATTTATACACAATGTTTAAGGTCATGAGACGAAGAAACCTATTGATTTTCAACGATTTCCGATAATTACTGCCAGAGTTATGGCCCTTGATCACTTCAAAAAATCTTGTGGATGCTCTAGAGGCTAAAGTTAACATCCGATTGACATTAAATGTATACACAGTGTTTAAGGTCATAAGATGATGAAGCCTATTGGTTTTCAGCGATTTCTGATAATTACTGCCAGAGTTATGGCCCTTGATAACTTCAAAAAATCTTGTGGATGCTCTAGAAGCGAAAGTTAATATTCGATTGACTTTAAATTTATGCACAGTGTTTAAGGTCATGAGATGAAGAAGCCTATTGATTTTCAGCGATTTCCAATATTTGCTGCCAGAGTTATGGCCCTTGATCACATTGAAAAATCTTGTGGACGCTCTAGAGGCCAAAGTTAATATCCGATTAACTTTCAATTTATACACAGTGTTTAAGGTCATGAGACGAAGAAGCCTATTGATTTTCAGCGATTTCCAATAATTACTGCCAGAGTTATGGCCCTTGATCACTTCAAAAAATCTTGTGGATGCTCTAGAGGCTAAAGTTAATATCTGATTGAGTTTAAATTTATACACAGTGTTTGAGGTCATGAGACGAAGATTCCTATTGATTTTCAACGATTTCCGATAATTACTGCCAAAGTTATGACCCTTGATCACTTTGCAAAATCTTGTGATGCTCTAAACCAAACAAATTCTAATAGTTTTCTGATAATTACTTCGTGAGTTGTTGCTCTTAATCAGATTTTAGTGTATTATAAATGTTTCATTACCGAAAAAAGTAAAAATATGCGACAACCCTTGTTGACTGCCCGGACGATTTAGTTGCTGTGGGCGTATGTTTCGTTGCCTGGCAACCTATCTTTAAAAAACCCGTTCAAATATATCACTGTTACACCATAATGAGGATTGAGTTCGAATTTCGTTCGAAACAAAACTGCCAGACAAAATGGCCGCTCCATGCACTCAAATAGTGTTTAAAGTATGTAATATCAAGGTTGTTGACCTTTTAGAGGTCACAATTTGATCTGATTTTGATGAAATTTAAAACATGTGTTTATGTCCCAAAGATCTTGGTTCCTTTCGCTATTCGCGCATATTTGACCGTAACTTCCTGGATTATGGCCCCTGATTGTATGGAAAATCCCGATTTTAGTTTATGGACCTTCTATAGGTCACAATTTTTATCCAATTTTAAAAATTGTTTACATATATCACAGTTACACCTTGATGAGGATGATTGAAATTGAATTTCGTAAAAATCTTACCGAAGCTGTCTGACAAAATGGCTGCTCCTTGAACGCACTTAGTGTAAAAGTATGTACTACCAAGGTTGTGGACCCGCTAGAGATCACAATTTTTGTCTGATTTTGATAAAACTTAAAATATATGTTTATATCCCAGAGATTTCGATTCCTTTTGATATTTGCGCATATCGGACCACAGCTTTCTGGATTATGTCCCCTGATTGTACAAAAAAATGTTTGGTTTTTTTTAGCTTGTACTCTTATCCATCTCTTGCAAAATGTGGGCATATCTTGCCTGGCAACCACTGGTACAAAGTAGCATAGAAATATATACACTGTCCACTCCTTAACTTTTATTTATAAGCTTACCCTTTTTTTTGATATTTTTAAGGAGCAAAGAGTGGTAGATTTTGAAAAGCTAAATGAACATGCTGATGCATTCAGTGATCTTGATGTCGGATATTGTTGCCTAGGAACTACGAAAGGAAAAGCAGGAACTGTAATTATAGTTTTAAACAAGTTTTCTCGATTTGTATATTAAAATGGCATTAAATATTAGTCTAGGTCATTCTCCATGATGAAAAACTCAACCATAACCCTTTAACTGGGGTTTGGATGGTCTAGTGGTTTAACTCGTGCGCATGAAATCACAGGGTCTGTCATTGAGTCAGGTGGTGTGGTTTCAATACCCTGCTTGAACAACCTCACCTGTCCAACCTCGTAGGTTTTCTCGGGATCCTCTGGTTTCCTCCCACTACTACTACAGACCCTGCCTGTCCAACCTCGTGGTTTTTTTTTCAAGCTCCTCTGGTTTCCTCCCACTGCTAAAGACCCCTATGCCCAAGTGAATTATTGAAATGGAACAATATGTTAGGTCCAAAATGACCTAGTTTGTGTCAAGTGGACGTTAAACCTATTTCTCTTTCTCTTTAACTGGAAATAGTCATCAATGAAATAAGATATTCTCATCAAAAATCAATAATCTGTAATGTACAAGCACTATAAAGGCTAGAGAATCCTAGCTGAAACATCTCTCAGTAATTACATTCCAGAGAATTGTGTCCTGTATATTAATATTTCCAGTTTTAACTACAAAATGCCTTGAAAATAAATTATAAATATATATGCCTTTAACAGTGGTGTAGTGGTAATTCTAGTACATTTCAATTACAGACTACAAAAATGGCCTATTCATTAGTTAAAAGGACAAACGTAATATAAAATAAATTCTCATTGCCTTGGAAATAAGATAGTGACACCCACAGTTGCCCACATTCTACTACAACCCTGGCTTTTACTCCAGATATTTAGAAACACACAATTTCATTCCATTCCAAATTTGGAGATCTAATGGTTAAGCTTGATTAAACTGAAATTTTCTTATGTAATTTCTTCTGTCATTTAATTATTTTTATATTACAGGATGGATTTATAAAAGTTGATTTTGATTATGTGTTATCTGTGGGGCAAACAGCTAAAAGTACAGGTTGCAAACACTTTTCTTTGGTGTCATCGCAGGGAGCTAGTAAAGACAGTGCAATGTTGTATACAAGAATAAAGGTTCAAAATATATTTGTATACTCTTTATCAACAAAATTTGAAAATTAAAATGTTGTGAAACTAAAGCTCTTCTACCTTCACTGCTTAAAATTATGATCTTTGTCATATTTTAAGTACTTCACTAGTTCATTTGGCTCTATAATTTAAGCAGTCTGATTCCCATTATAACTAAATGAAAGTAGTCATGACAAATATTAAATTCATAATCAACTTGCACAAACTGTTACTTATTTTTTTATTTCACATGTTGCATGTTTAGAAGAACCAAGAACAGCATATCCTGCTATACTCAACCCTTAAAGCATATAAATGTTAGATTCATTGAGGGATCGAATTTTGCACACAACCTATAAACATGCCCAATCTATTTTATATTTTTCTAGACAGTGAAATTACAGTAGATTAAATTTTGATCTATTAAAGATAATTTGGGGATTTTATTTCCATGCAGGGCCAGATAGAAGAAGCCTTAAAAAATCTGCAGTTCAATAGATTATCTGTTTTTAGACCTGGGTAAAGTATCTTTAGTTTACAAATTCTATCAACTAACACATCAGTGGCATATGCTAGACAGGGTTTTATGAGAAACATGTATGGTAATTCCATTGCCAAAATTATATTGTGTAGCATTAATTCTAAGGTATTTCTAAGTTTAAAATGTTTCCCGAAAAATTTCCAAGGAGGCTAAAAGCTCCTGTTTCAATAGATATGTCAACTTCCAACTTAATCTGTGAAGTATCAAGATTGATGAATGTATCTGAAATGCATCTCGTTTATTATATTATAGGGTAATTATGTGTGAACGAGAAGAAAGTCGACCAGCAGAAGCAGTTGCCAGAACATTACTAAAACCAATTGCATTTTTCTTTCCAACAGCTATAACAACACCTGTCGGTTACGTAGCAACAGCCATGATCAACAATGCCTTGTCCAAAACTGATAAAACATATGAATTATATGAAAATAAGGCAATACACGAACTGGCAAAAATGGCTGAGGCTCCAAAAGGATGCAAATCAAAAAATTGAGGGTACATTGCATGCATTTCATTTAATTAATGGCAATTGCTGTGTTAAATTTTATAAATTTTGATCATATTTGAGTGTCTTATCATACCATTTTTGAGTAAAATTGGTTGAATTAATATGCATAATTATACTAAAAGATTCTAAAAGATTCTCAATGATTCTCTTTAGGATAGTAGTAGTAATTGCACAAGTTTGAAAATTCTGTAGTTTTAGTTTTTAGAGGTAAAATATTACTAATACCTTTTATACCGGTAGCTTGTATAACATATAGATGATATCAAGCCTGTGCAAGAAATTGAGAAATATGTAGACATAACTGCACACTGATCTGTAATATACAGTGACTGCCCAGAAACTATATATTATCATATTCAAGATCATCATTTAAAATTTGAAACACTTACCCACTTAGAGTAAGGCACTTAGCCTGAACATCTGCTGAATATCTTAAAAATCATCATAGGCTGTATAATTAGATATGAATTGCATCTCACCAATTTATAGCCAAATCTGTAATATGACTTCATTATGTAGAAATATGTGAATCTTTACTATTACTATAAGGTCAGAAAATTAATTAGATTCACATTTTGATTGTAAATTGATATTATTTACATTATGTACTTTAAAACTATGCATTGTTTTTACTTTTTTTTTATTGTTGTATTAATCTTGACTTGTGCTATATGTTTTAATGAACTATTCAAATTATCAGAATTGTACTTTAAAGATAATATTAGGAGTTTTCCTTTCTCCGATAGATCATTTCAAACAATTAACTTTTTTTTTTTTTTTGTTAAAATATTAGATATTGTTACAGGTGGACTTGTTATTCCTTCTTTTCCAAAACATTCCCATAAATGATAACTAAATATATTAATTCAAATTAAAAGGTAGTGAAAAGCCAGTGAAAATGTAATATTTAATGTGAAGACTGTGGTTATCATGAAAAAGATAGAATAATTAGTTTAGTTGTCTGAGACACATAAAGTTGGTGGTGTGAAATCAATAGTAATCTTTATGTTTCAGTAATGAAGAATGCTGGTAATAACATGGGCCATATTAATAATTATATAATCTATTATAAGGTCTATTATAAGGTCCTTTGTAAATAATAAGCCAACTTTTTAGATAAAAAATATTGTGACAATTCTTTAACCAAGGTGTTCAGGCAACTAATCTCAATAAATTTGCTAATATTTGTGAAAAAGTATTATTGTACTTTGTATTTTATTTATGTTTTACGGAATGCTTCAACATATTTATATTGTATTTATTTAACTGTTAATTTAATACTAGTAAAAATATTCTCTTTCCATACATTTTATAGTCAAGATTTTTTTCAGTATTTGGTGAATAATGTTAAGGAGTGGTTTGAACCCATAAATATACATAAAAGGAGTAGTATGGAACTTCAGGTGTTGCCTTCAATTTGAAAACTTAATCATCATATTGTTACTTAGTACCATAATCTAAAGCAATGTGGTTTAACATCCTACTTTTCTAAACCAACTGAGCTAATGAAGACGGAGACCTGCTATTTGGAGACATTGCTATGTTAAATTTATGTTAATAAACATAAATACTAAAATAGGTCTATCTTTTTTTTAGATTTATAACAAATAATGCATAAGCCGTTTTGGTTTATTGTCATTGTACGGTACATAATAGTACTCCAATAGTAGCCAAACATATATTATGTTAGAACTAAATTGATACATGTGTATTCAGTGGAAGAAATAGGACACAGGTACAGTATCCGACAATCGATTCAATCGATCGTATCGATCGTGCGTTTCAATTAAGAATCCACTGAGTTGATTGATTCAACAGATGACGTGCGATCGTTGTCGATCGTACGTTTCAATTGAGAATCCACTGAGTTGATTGATTCGACAGATGACGTTACTATCAAGTCGTCCGTTTTTTTAAAATCTATTAAGTTGATTGAATCGACATGTGTTATTGAATCAATCGATTGTCGGATCCTGTACCTTAATGAGAAATAGTCCCCGAATTATTAAAAATTAATATCATTTCGAACGATTTTTTTTATCTGACCTATGATCTAAGGGAGATAAGAGGGGTTTTTGGTTTTTTAAAGTTACCTCCCTTCCCAAAAGTCCAGATTTTGTTCATGCACCGATCTCATAAAAAGAGATTGGAAAATAAGGAATCTAGAATCAGATACACCATTCATAGTCTGGAAGAAATCAAGTGAATACTCCGTAGAGCAAGTATTTAAGTGGGTGGTGAATTGCATACGTCGTAATGTGTTAATTTGTCATAGCCGTTAAATCTCAAAAGGGTTGATTGGTAAGTCCCGAATAACCAGAGTTATTCGTTCGTTCGTTTCTGGAGTTTTACGTCCACTTCCACTAAGGAGATATTGTAGACAAGCCAGAGATATCTATTTTTAGACTATTTAAACAACATCACTTGGTGTTCTAGACAAAAATTGTCAACAAATCGCACGTGTCACTTCCTGGTGTGTAGGTTATATTTTTTTTTAAAAAAATGGGTAAGGTAAGATAAAAAAAAATAATAAACTCGACTTACACAGTAAAGAGACAGTTAACAATAATTTGTGTACTACTACTAGTGAGCACCTCTTTTGCTACTGAAGGTAAGTTAAAAATCGAAAATTTGTCTTCATATTTCATATTGATTGACACTGAATCCTGTCAATAATTGTTTACGTCTGTCTCCCTCAAGATAGTGGTATAGTGTCAGTCATAATATACTTTTGTACAGCGATTTTCAGCATTCGGTCAAATTGGACAATATATACGAATACGCCAATCTACCGAAATAACCATTATTTGAACCCGTGTATTTATTCATATCACAATAATTTATATCGATTTCTCAAATAACCATTATTTGAACCCGTATTCATTCATTATCACAATAATTTATATCGATTTCTTTTATAATTTACCCTTCTATAATGGCAAATTGTCATTTTTAACATAAAATCGTAATGTTTTTTTAATTAACACTTATATTTTTTTTTTTTAAACAATAATTTTATTCATTAAATCTGAATTTGGATTGGGGAACAGGCTATGCCTATGTATAACCCTAGTCTCTGATTTAGATACATGTACACATACATGTACATACCGTTACATACATAATTACATAAATATAGAGCATATATGAAACATAATGGATAATATAGAGACTTAGATGATTGTACAGTATTCAGGGCTTGAAAGAATTGTTTTATGGAGATTTAAATCTTTTTAATAAGAGAATAAATTGTTGGACTTCTTGGAAAATAAGTGTGTTTATCTCGGGACTAAATTTTGATGATTGTTTTATGATTATGTTGAAGCTTATGGATTGTCTGCTTTCTTGCATCTGAATATAAGTGGCATACGAGTAAATAGTGTTCGGTATCTTCGAATTTGTGACTGCAGAGGCAAGCAGAGCTATCATAAACGTGTCTGAGGAATTTATGGCCTTGTAGATTTGAGCAGCATAATCTTAGTTTACAGTGGATTATTTGTAATTTTCTTTTCCCTAGATAGTAATATCATGGCACCATGGTATCTAATTTGTTTAGTGAATTTCCAAAGATAGCAAGGGATTGAGGGTTTCTAATTTCAACATTCATTTTGTTCCATTCTCGTATACTGGAAGGGATGGAATCGGAGAAAATTTTGGTTCCGCATCTGGTTTTATTTAGTTTATCTTTGTTTCTAGGGGTATAATTGAGTAGAGGAAAAACTTGGGTCCTGTACTCGAAATTAGAGTACATTGTACATCAATTATGTAGGAATAACCGAAATATTAACGATACTTATTCTCATATTTTAAAGTAGCTAAGTCCATAACTCAATATCATCCAAAATCTTCGACATTGAAAAAACGATTTGTTTTGCAATTTAAATCAGCAGTGGTGTTGTGGTCTTACCTGTAAAAGATGGGCTTCTAATATCCAATATTAAAGACAAAATAAACATTTTACCATTGGTACACGAATCGTGTACCATAATGCGTTTCAGCACCTTTTGTAACAAGGTGCTCAAAGAATGAGGCTAGACATTCCACAAGTCATGTCAAACGGTGATGCCATATTCTTATTTGGAGAGCATGCGCAATATATATTATCGTTGTTGACTGGAATAACCAGGCGCTAGAAACTGTCTTTCGGTTGAGACTTCTGGCGTATTTCGCCGAACATAACTGATGACAATTCACAGTAAAACGGAAACGATTGAATGTAAAACAGTTTATATAAATTCATATTATATTATTATATGTGTTGCGACCCATTTGTGCCAATTTCTAGGCCCAAAATATTAGCGATTTAGCTACTTTAAACACCATTAACATTGAACAGCTATCGGCGGATGGTGTTTGCATTGCCGGTTATTACTAACAGTATACAGTACACGGACGCTAATTATGTACATATTTCAAACTTACCTAAAACATTAGAAATATTTTCATATTTTAAACATATTTCAAGACAAATATGAATGGACATGAAAGGGAACAGTATTGTATTTAATTTTGTTGATAATATAGTTTTTGGCATAGCATCACATGGTTGACGTGTTGGTTCTCAGGCATTTGTTTCTTCAACTTAAGACTTTGATGTCGACACAGGAAAAGCCTAGGTGTGCTTGACATTGTGCATTAGACGCACCCCTTCTAGAAAATAAAATATTTGATAAAAAAAAACAGTGCGCCTAATATCCACCGATGAATACGGTAGGCCATAGTGCCACAGAATTTCCCTCATCACACACTTCATTATGGTAGACCAAACAGCCCTTTATTCAGGGTTCTTAATTCTTAGTTCTTAATTCATTGTCCTTAATTCTTCATTTGTTGTCGAATTTCGACATTTGTACAATAAAATTAACATTTGTATCTTAAAATCAATATTTGTTTTACAAATCGGACATTTGTCATATCAGATTTGCAAAATGTATTTTTGTTTAATTTAATTGTATTTTAATATAAAGATAAAATTTATTTTAGTAAATCAAAAGAAATAATCTACATTTACATTTCATCATAGACATACAACGAAATACAAATCTCAAACATCAAATTTCCAATTTAAATGTAGGCTAATTTTTTGATTTTCTAAAATAAATGTTATCTTTATATTAAAATACAATTAAACATACATTACGCAAGAGCAAAATCTGCCTATTGCAGGTCATTCTTTGGGCCTGAAATTTTATCTAAATTATTAATTAGACATTAATTAACTTATCCAGACCATATTCAACTCTTGATGTCATCACTAGCCTGTGATGTTTATTGGATTAGTTTCCGATTTGCTGTTTGACTTCCATTCATGATTTAATCATGAAATGGATAATCAAGACTATGTTTTTATCATATTGACTTTAGTAATGATGATTGAGGCTAGGCCGATTAGACCGAAAATTCAATATCTAAAATCTCAGTTCAAAGTGGATCAATTTGACTGAAATTTTCAGCAAATTCCCTTTAAATTATCTAGTTTTTAACAATTATAGTGAGAACTGCCAGCTCTTTATCTAATCTCCCATAATGTATCTTTAACTTTAAGTTAAACAAAAATACATTTTACTTTTACAAATCTGATATGACAAATGTCTGATTTGTTAAACAAATATTGATTTTAACTTAATAAAAGTCAGTGCTATTCTGTCACATGCTACCAAATAATATATGAAACTACAATTATTCCAAAATAAATCCACAATTAATTTTCTCTAAAAAAACACATTATTGACCACAGTAACCATCGACCTTCCTTTCATCTGATATCCCAACACATTAATAAGCAGGAATATTCATGATTTAACAAAAGGTGATGAAATAGGATTGTAACCCATCTCTCCTCTATATATGGTGGTGTAATCGGCACAGGTGAGTTCAATAGAGGAAATGTTGATCTAAATCATATTTCTTTTATGTAAATCCAAACGGTATAATCCCTTTATTAAACCTTGACATTTTTGTTAATTTCCCGTCTTTAAGATGAATTTTAAGTCTCTAACGCAATATCATCAAAAATCTTCGACATTGAAAACACGAATTATTTGTCAATTCAAATCAACATTGGTCTTGTGATCTTACAGGGAAAAGATGGGCTTCTGATATCCAATATTCAAGACAAAATAAACATTTTACCATTGGTACACGAATCGTGTACCATAATGCGTTTCAGCGCCATTTGGAACAAGGGACTCAAAGAATGAGGCTAGACATATCCCACAAGTCATGTCAAATGATGACACTATATTCTTATCTGGAGAGCACGCACAATAAATATCATCGGTGTAGACTGGAATAACCAGACGCTAAAGATTGCCATTCAATTGAGACTTCTGGCGTATTTCGCTAAACATAACTGATTAGAAATTACAGTAAAAAAAGAAACGGTTGAATGTAAATCAGTTTATATATATTATTATATGCGTTGCGACCGATTTGTGTCAATTTCTAGGTCCCAAATATTAGCGATTTAGCTCCTTTAACATATTATAATTGACTTAAAAAATGTTGGACCAACAAAGTGCATCTAAACAGTATTAACTCAATACTTTCAGATTGAAATAATTTTTGAAATCTTTTTCTGTACAAGCCACTTAATCTTTTGCTTAATCTTTTGTTCACAATACATTCTAATAACAATGCAGCTTACAATCTATGTTATATAAGGTAGTACACAATTAACAAATCTGTACCTATCAATAAACCTAATTGCTTATTGATAAACCTACTCCAAACACATGAAAAATTCCCAGTAATTTCCACAGGAATTTAGCATACGATTATTTACTTGTTATATTGACTTATGTGGGTTTTATGGGCCAACTCTCACTTCCATGATAACTGTGTTTGCCTAGCAAGGATCAACATTTTTGTCTCAGTATAGTTTGGTGTGTCTGACTGAATCGGGTTGACATATACTACATGCAGCTCTGTTGTCCCTAATCAATGATACGTTACAGTGAGTGGATAATAAAAATAACCTGTTATAAGCTTACAGTTTTCATTTTGACGTGAGTCGCAGTGTGTCTGTATTTGAATAACTTGCTTGAGTATGTACATAAATATATTGGAAGAGGTACAGGTAGTAAATATATATTGTTTAAAGATATCTTTATTAACATTAATATTTACGATTCTTCTTCATTGCAGATTTCTTTTAAAAAAATGGACGCTGAATCTCTGAGACAATCGCTGGCAAAGAATGGACAAGAACATTTGTTACAGTTTTGGGATAAATTATCTGACGCAGAAAAAAGTAGTCTACAAAAGCAGATTTCATCAATAGAGGTTGAAAGTGTTTTATCCTCATTTCATGATGTTATGAAAGATGTTGATCATGCACAGAAAAAGATTGATGACAAACTTAAACCTGTCTCTACTGATGTATTTGGCAGCTTTGTTAAATCATCACAAGATAAACTTAAATCATTTGAAGAAAAGGGTAAATAAATATTTTTGTAATTGAATTTTAACAGTAAGGATTCTTATTTTACAGCATGCAATCATCTAAAGTTTTGACCCACCAAATGTTTTTATTCAAAAAGAAATATATTCATTTGGAAGTATACATGTTAGCTCTAGTGTGTAGATTTAATGTAGAGACATTTGAAATTAGGAGGGGTTGTATCTTTCCTGTTAATTGACATGTTGATTAACAGAGTAGTGTAAGTAAAATACACTTAGTAAAGGTGTGGAGACATCAGGTACAAGATATTTATCTTTAGTAGGACGTCACAGTTGGCTAGAATTGCTAAAGAATAACATATTTGATAGACATTAATATGGGCTCATCTAAACAGGATTGTTCAAGTAGGACACCATACTTTATGATGTACTAGTAACTCGCCCATACATGTACAATGCAGTAATTTTTTCCAATCTTGATTTGTTTACCTAAATAGCATTGACAGCTTTCATCTGCCATCAGCTATGTATCATAAAATTTTAAGAAGTTATGTTATAATATATGGCCATAAGGTACTTTCTATGTATAGATTATTGCTCAAGCTGAAATTTAAGATATTCACTAAATCCTTTCATGTGTTTATTACAGTGGATATGACTTTTGACACATAGATATAAACCTCAAAAAACCTTTTGTTGTGGTCCAGCCAACCATAAATTTTAAAAGAATATAAAAAAAGACATGCTCCATAATACATACCTGACCATTATAATGATATTTTTCATGTAAGACATTTGTAAATAATGTAAGATAATTTTCCATTAGAGTCACTGGTAAGTGAGATAAAATGATTTACATTGTTTTGAAATCCTAATATTATAGCAATAGAATACAGAAGACCTCTAAAGTTTCATACATGTTCATTCATTTGATTTGGTATTTGTTGTTCATTATTTGCAATGTCTGTATAGTTTGTGTCTTGTCAGCAGGTTTGTTTTGTGGTTTTGTTTGCATGTAGTACAGTCCTCCTGCACAGAGGCGTAGCCATGAAATATATATTGGGGGGTCCGCAACCCTAACCAATTTTTTTATAACCCCTAAAAAATATAAACAAACACCATGTGGCCATGCTGTCTACTAAGACACCGCATGCAAATGCATTGGTTTAGGCGGTTATGTTTTTGGGTACCTACATGCGATTCACTCTGATAAGTAGCAGAAAAAAATTAACAAAATATTACTGACAGGCTAACTAAACACAATTTTATGGAACACAGGTACTTTCCACTTCACACATGTTTTGAGGATGATGATTGATGATGATTATCTCTTGTGTTTTATTTTAGCAGTTTAAACCATATTGGGATATGTACACGTTTTATACAGATAGAATCTTAACTAATCCTAATAATTGTTGTAAATAAATAGGAGTTTGGGCCTACTATGTAAATTTTGGGGGGGTCCAAGTATATTCAGAACCCCCCAGAAAAACAATTGTGGGGGTCAACCCCCGCCCCTCCATGTGTGACGCCCATGCTCCTGCACTTCCTAATAAATACTAGGATAAAATCATTGATGTTCTTTTTAATAATAGGGAGATTTGGCTAAATGGCAAAAAGGCAGAATGCATCTGTAGTTGATGTGTCTGTCACTGCCATTGCACTCTTTAGTTTCATCTAGGATTAAATGGTTCAAGGAGTAATCTGTCTGATGATGGATGCTCTCACAAGCAAAAGAATTCATTTGATGTTTGCTACCCTTCCTTTTTATACACCCATATTTTCATGTGGACATCCATCTTTTCACATATTGTTTGTGTACACTCTAGAGATTACAACTTTTATTTGATTTTAAAAAACATTCATATATCACTGCTACACCATAATTGCAATAGAGTTCAAATCCCATAAAAATTGGCCTAAGACTGTTTGACAAAATGGCCACTCCCCTTTACACATATAATGAGCATGTAATACCAAGGTTGTGGACCCTTTAGAGGTCACAATTTTTATCCAATTTTGATGAAACTTAAAATATATGTTTTTATCCCAAACATCTTAGTTCCTTTCACTATTGGTGGGGATGGCCAAATGGTCAGCGCATGCACATTGTTTCATAAGGTCTGTCATTGAGTCAATTGGTGTGGTTTCGATTTCCCGGTTGTACGTGATTGTACGTCCAATCTCGTGGGTTTTCTCTGGGTCTCCCGTTTTCCTTCCACCGCTAAAGACCCCTACGCACATGCGAATTATTGGAACCATATGTTAGTTTTGAACTAGTTTGTGTCGATTGGACGTTAAACCCCATTTCTCACTCTCATTTCACTAATGATGCATATCTGACCGTAACATCTGGATTATGGCCCCCGATTGTACGAAAAATCACCTTTTCTTAGCTTGTTCTCTATCAATCTCTTGCATAATGTGGGTGTCTCTTGCATTGCAAACATGATAACACTTGTTTGCATATCAATATCGCTGAGCCTAGCCCCTTGAGGGACCCCCTGGTGTGAAAATTTTGAAAAAACTAAATCGTGCTTTCTAAACTACAAAAACTCCCAGAGACTGCAAACTGTCAATCAAGAAATGATTTCAATAAGTTAACAAGAACGATGTAAATTAAAATAAAAAAGAACCCCCAAACTATGTGAGAAAATTAACCGCTTTAGGAGCCCCGAGTATTCCATACTCCATGGTTCTCCCTGGTATATACTGTAATATAATTAATTTTATTGTTCATATTTAAAAAATCATCTGTTTTTAGGGTTAACACAGATTGGGCAGAATAAAGTTGGCGTTTTGTTACTAGCAGGCGGACAAGGAACACGACTTGGTGTCAATTATCCGAAAGGAATGGTAAATGTCAGCTTACCCTCTGAAAAAACATTGTTCCAGCTACAAGCTGAACGTATTTTAAAAGTTCAACAACTTGCGAAAAAATTGACTGGTCAGAAATGTGTGATACCATGGTAGGTAAACATGACACGACATGTTGTGTCAACTTTCACTCTTCAACTTGAGCCATAAACAATCATTATTTAGCTTTTAATTCTAACTGTTCAAAAACATATTCTGCAGCTTTCAATGAAACTATTTGTCTTGAAATTTTTTAAACCGTTTATGTGAATTATTCATGTTTTGTGATTTGTCTGCAATTTCACCCTTGGTAGAAGCGAACGTTAAACCTACGGACAGAGAAACAAGTTTTATGATTAAATCAAATAATAGCACTTAGTTTAAAACATTAACGCAGAGTTATTACTTATTAATATGAAAATTGAATGCAGAAATCAAATTTAGATTATTGTCATTTCCATTGATATGACCAAATTATCTCAGAAATATACTTAAAACCGATGAAATGATTATTTATAAGTGAATGTTTCATATAATTAGATAATTCTACTCTATTTGACTGTAACTTCGTTTGATCCAGTAGCTACACAAATCTGGTACTATTTTTAAGGGAGTGTTGCCCTTCCCTCTCCACTTTACTCATTTCAAAAAATTAATATCCTTAAGAATGCTCTGTTACATTTATGGTTATTTTTTTTACGATTTTCAGGTATATAATGACTAGTGAGCATACAAAGGGACCAACTGAAGAATTTTTCAAAAAACATAATTATTTTGGATTAGATAAAAATGATCTTACAATATTTGAACAGAGTCGATTACCGTGTATACGGTTTGATGGTAAAATTATTTTAGAAGCACCATCTAAGATAGCTATGGCACCAGGTGAGTTTAGATTGTAAAGTGAAAATTTAACTAGAATCAAACAACAATTTGAACTGTATTTAATGTAGTTACAAGGACAGGAAAAGACTGTAAAGAAAAGCCAGCTGTGGGTTATAATTAATTGATTAATGTCAGTAACAATATTATTACATGTATGCTACATAAGCTCTCCAGGGAGCATGTACTTCCAAATCAATTTACATTGGTATATCAAAGAATTTAACCTTAAAACAAAATAAAGTTATAGTTTTTATATGTAAAAAAACCCCAGCAGATTTATAAATTGAGATACATGATATATTATTGGGAAAAAAATACCTAGCCAATCCGCGATACACGGGACTTTTATTTGATAATGATATGATAAAAGTATATCTATTAGGAAGAAAAAGTCATTTTGCATAATTAATTGACTGGTACAAAAATTGTGAACCTATACTCCATAGAATTTGTTTTTATCTTGATAAGATAAAAGTATATCAATTAGGAAGTAAAAGTAATTTTATCTTTTTACTCTGACATTGTTACTTAGAAATAGGTATACAGATTATAAAATAGATTTGTTTACATGCACAATTCTGAGAATTTCAGTTTTCAAATACCCGGTAATTTATTCTTGGTATTTTTATTTTGTTTTAGATGGAAATGGTGGTTTATACAGAGCTTTGCGTAATCACCAAATACTGGAGGATATGTCTACTAGAGGCATAGAATATGTACATGTATATTGTGTTGATAACATCCTAGTTAAAATGGCTGATCCTATTTTTATAGGGTTTTGTATAGATAAGGGTGCTAGATGTGGAGCAAAGGTAAAAATATTAATTTACATAGGATCAACTTCTAGAAATATTTAGTGCCCATCCCCCCCTGTTCAAGTGTTAAAATTAAAAAATGCGTTGATGACATCATTAACTGTTAGTTGTGTAAATTCCAATTTACATTTACAATGGTAGTTCTGAAATGAAATGAAATGGGGTTTAACGTCCTACTGTTCTGCTCCTATACTGGGGTAATGAAGACTGGCATACGCCATACAGTGTGCTGAGGGAAATTTTGCCCTGGCAGCGGCACTATCGCCTACTCTTATATCGACTTCCAGCTGCCAAGGGATCTTTTACGTGCATTCCAATGTATACATGGGACCTCGATTTTTCGTCTCATCCAAAGGACTAGACAGCTGTCCTTGTCAGGCCCTCCGTCCTGCCCTCCATCCTGCATCACTGACAAGGGGGAAACCACGTCGGAAAATCCAGATGAACTTTCTCGGCCAATGCAGGGATCAAACACCCGACCTCCAGGCTAGTGAGCCAGCGTCTTAACCACCTAGCCACCGTGGCTCCCCAATGGTAGTTCTGTTTCCATCTGTGATGAGATCATTAATTTAGTGTGCCATTTGAATAGAGGCAACTAGAAAGTTTTTAAGAGTTGATTCTAGGTGCTGTCATCTTTATCTATATATTTTTAGAATATAGAGAGAGATGGGCCATCTCTTTTTAAGGTAATTCGTGCTTGTGATGGCAAGAATATCAATTTTCATGCAGTGGAAATGATTAGTTTTGAAGCATTAGTCTGCTTTTCTGTTTAAAAAAGACACTGTAAAGACCGGTCAAATTTGTCATTATTCGTTCTAAGAAGGAAAAAGAGTAAATTCACTTGAAAAATTGAAGTCCCAAATGGCCTATAATAGTGATTGTAATATTGGCATTCAATTTCTGAGATAATATTTGAGAAGATTATATCTTAGTTTAAGCTGGTAACTAGAAGTTATGTAAATAATGTAATTCTATTCAATTTATCTACATTAACATAGATAAAAATATGCTTGTTCACATAGAGCTTGGAATATATGTGTTTTAATATATGGTACATCAAACTGTAATTCAATATAGTTTCCCGTAATCTTAGTTCATTGTCATTTGAAATGTACATGTATACACTTACTGTATATATCATCTTATGACGTATGTGGTGATTGTCAAATCAATCGTCATTGGATGTCAAAAGAATGTAGATGTAAACATGCGAATGCAGATTTTCTCTTAAATCAATGAATAAACAAACAATTGCCAACAGTGTAAACAAACATCTTATATTTGATTAGGTATTTTTATGGTGTCTCTCAGGTATATCTCCTTTGGACAACAATCTATATAATTATGTCATAAATTTAAACTGATTTGTTAATACATGCAATGTGATATCAGTAAAATTATTTATTTAGGTATCTGGGTAATAAACTTTAAAGGGACTATCCCGATTTGAACAATGTCTCAAAAATAAAAGTCCGAGTTCGTATGAAATTTAAGCGCCAAAATATAGAGGAATGGTGTATTCACCCTGTTTCAAAATTTCAGCTCAAAATATTGAGTTGTTTGGATGTGAATGTCAAAAATGCTTATCTGGACACATAACCCTTTTAAGATTTCTGGTCAATTTTTTCGTTGGGTGACCTGATAATCTATCGCCGTTCCTTTAGAGGTCTATACAGTGAATGACCCATGTGCCTTACTGGATAACGGAAGGTAAATGTCACCTACACATTGTTTTTATAAAATAAAAGTCTGGTTTTATCCAGACACCGCATAATACAGCTTGGGACACCGGTCTCCATTTCCAGATGAAGACTGACGGGTGTAAGTTGTTTGAAAACATATCACAAATATTGAATTAGTTGCTCGGCCCTTAGGTACGGGATATTAAGGAGCTTCAACACAAAGTTAAGCAGTTTTATTCTCCAAAATATTATCGGGATTGGCCCTTTAAGAGTACACCTAATAACATCAGTATTTATCTAATATTATATGTCAACTGTCTTGTATATCTAGTCTAAATATTAGTGATACTATAGAAGCCTACACCAATTCGAATTTTCGTTCTTCGTGAAAACAGTTTATCTTCTTACTTTTTGCGTGAAAAAAAAATTTAAAAACAGAGTATTTGTTGACTCTTCTAAAAAATGTTTTGTTCCACATTTTTAAGTTTTGAGATTATAAACAAAAAACAATAGTTCACAAGATGATGTTATTTTGTTTTACTGTTATAGAGGCGAACTGATTCGATGCAATTGTATGCTTCTGGATATGCCAACCATTTATGTTTGCTGTGCATGTTTATTTGAAAGTACATGCAACTACTTGCTACTGGAATCTTAGAGGGCTTATGTTGACTGTGATCAAAGGAACCACATGACGACCATGTGATCAGTACATAATGGCGACACTATCGTCTCTGGTTACCAATAAATTTCTTAAAAATTGGTTCTGCTATTGCATGCATGGTATTAACCTTCATTTGAGAACAAATAATGAAGCCCAATAGACACTTTAAGATCAGATCGCAAGGGAGACATAAGCCCTTCTTAAAAGACAAAGTTATTTAATTACACCATTTTTTTGGACAAATTATCTAATATTTTGTATATAATCACACCATTTTTTCTGAAAAATTACCTAATATTTTTTATATAATTTGTATATTTCAGTCAGTAGTAAAAGAATCCCCTACTGAATCAGTAGGTGTAGTATGTAAAGTAGATGGTATATATCAAGTTGTAGAATACAGTGAGATTAGTTTACAAACGGCACAACTACGAGATTCAGATGGCAATTTAGTATTTAATGCTGGAAATATATGTAATCATTTCTTCACATTAGACTTTTTAAAGGAAGTGTCCAGGTAATAATCATGTTATATTTCTTATTAAGACATAACAAGCTGGTAAATATGAAACAGTGAATATTTCTTCGTGATATCTTGAAGTTGTTCCTTAGGACATTAGATAAATACTAAACATTTATATAAATATATACTCTTCAAAAAAAGTAGGGGATATTGAATTGCAAATTCCTATGCAGGTTGCGATATGATAAATAGTCATGGACATTTGACATGCTTTGAGAGTATGTTCACAAATGAAGAAATTATCAACCCCAACAGAACCACTGAGCTGCACATGCGACACGCAATAGCGCCATACACGTGGGAGGGGTTCATTGTCAAATCTGACACTTAGTGGAAGAGTTGATGAAAACTGCCGCGTGCTGGTTTATCTATCCATGTTTGCTTTCATATCAGTTCTTACATAAGATTTACTGTTTAGCGTATCTTTGCTTTAGTGTGTTACGTTTAATTTGATTGGGAGACGTGTTCGTTGACGTCAACGTCAAGCGACAACACTGCAAGAATTGGCCGTGGCACTGCAAGAGAAGTGGGTCAGATTGCCCCAAATCATAATTGGACGGTTGATTAGGAGCATACCACGACGAATTGCTGAATGTCTGAGGATTGGTGGAGCGATTACCCATTATTAAGACACAAATCAAAAACGTCCATTTTCACTTTTGACGGTTTATCTCTTTGCGAGTGGAATGGGGCCGTCAGATAAGTCGCCCATATGAACTGTTTATGTTCATGAGTAGGCAATTGGCCTGTTAATAATAACATACACTGGTTACCTCTAATAAAAACAGCAGTGCATTTCTGCAGTTTTGTATTGTTTCTGAATATCCCCTACTTTTTTTGAAGAGTATATAAGGATGACCACAGCGACATTTAGCATCTTATGCCCCAAAAATTGAATGGTTCATGTATTCATGTTTTCAGAACATCCGATTCAAACCATTAAGTTGACCATCAAAGAATACTTTTTATTTTTGGGATATTTTATCTTATTGACAGCATTGCACAAGAAAAAAATCTTAAGTACCATATAGCCAAGAAAAAAATCCCCTTCGTTACTGAAGATGGCCAAACTAGCAAACCAGAGACACCAAATGGCATTAAAATGGAAAAATTTGTTTTTGATGTTTTCCAGTTCTGTAGGTAAATATATCCTTAAATGAATTGTGTAAATAATTCTGTTTTTGGGTAAACCTGTAACATGTATGTGCCTTAAATAAAAAGGGCAATATTTTTAAGAATAAATCCCTGTCAGCATGTGTAAAAAATAAAATTGAATAAAACTAAAACACTATTTAAAAATAAATCTTGCAATGCTGGTTTATTGACCTAATTCCAACCAATGTCACGTGTTATCGGGAATCTGAAAGCATTGAAGATCTTGACGGAAAAATATATTAGTTATTAATATTTGTTTCTCGGGATATCCGGTGTTCTATCAGGGATTATTCAATGAATATTTAAATTTAACTAACAACGGGTCAGTGAAACCATAAAATGCATTATCCAATTATTATTTTCATATCTACCTAGAATTCGTACGGATCGAGAGTCGAAGACGGGGCGCGAAGCACGAGATTCACAATCCATGCGGAGCGAGATGTCTTCCTTCGCCACGTGGTTTATTATTACAAAGGAAACTTAGTGGACCTGTTATGAATAACCAGCAGGCTTGTTGGGGTTATTTTTGCCGAATTATCAAAATTACCGTTAAATGTGCTAATTACTCGGATTATGAAACGGATGGCGGATTCTCACTAAGGTATGCTGTTATTGTAGCCGACAAGCAAGTTGATTGTCGATATGATATTACCAGTATATTTTTCCTGATTATTTTCTTTGAGGGGAGTCAAATTAGACATTGAGGAGAGCTATAAAAAGCGCACCTTGACTGACATCCAGGCGCGTCCAGGAGAGCGAGAGCGATCACGCTCCTTTTACGTGAAGGCCTGGTATAGCAATAGAATTCCATCTATCAAGGGTTCTTTTATGTGCAAGCCAACTTATTTATTGGAACATAGTTTTTTTTTCTATCCCATCCAAACAACTAAGCAATGTCCTTGACAAGAGTTGAGCCACAGATACAGCTCCCACATTTTAGTTAGGGTTTTGAAAAATATAGATATATTATATTACTGTAAGGATGATTTGTAATCCTGTATTATTTATGAATTAGATTTTGTTTGTGTGTTTATTTTTTATATTTAATGTGATCGAGATTTTGCTGTGTGGGAAGTCTTAAGAGAAGAAGAGTTTTCTCCCTTGAAGAATTCTGATAAAGAAAGCAAGGATACACCAACAACCTGTCGTCAGGCTATATTTAAACTCCATCAACGATATGTAGAAAAGGCTGGCGGAAAGTTTATTAATAGTGATGGGTAATGTTAGTTATGTGTATAGATTCAACTTTGAATAGGACACTCACAATAAAAATCAAAGACTGATTGCAAATAATAAAGCTGTATTCTATGAAAAGTTAGTAATAATTGGATGTGATGTTATGAATTGATATTATAAGTTACACAGTATCATTACATTCTACATAGCTCATGGCAAACTTCCATCAAAATCATGATTATATAGGATGGCTTGATTTAAAAAAACTTTAGCTAATGCCCTGAGGAGTGGTCGATTGGTGAACCTTTCAACAAGCACAGTGTATTATATTTATATAGGATAACTAAATTATAAACTTGCAGCGAAACTGAAAGAAATGTTTTAGAAGGATTGCCGTTCTTTATGTTGATTTGTGTACAAAGCTTTTATTGGATTCAACCCTCTCTGGTGATTTACTTAAAAATCTCCAGAGGACTGGTCGTTCACAGATAACATAAAAGTATTACTGTGTATATGAATGTTTTTTCATCAAGACTTAATAGAATTTATAACTTTTAATTATTTTACAGCAAAACAGATTTAGTTGTGTGTGAAATTTCACCTCTTGTGTCTTATGCTGGAGAGGTAAGTAAATACAAACTTTACAATCTGTTATTAGCACATCAAAGGCCACGTCAATTTCATATTTATACGCCCACATTTTCATGTGGACGTATATTGTCGTCGCCCCTGTCCGTCCTCCACAATTGTTTGTGAACAGTCTACAGGTTACAATTTTTATCCGATTTCAATGAAACTTGAAATATAGATTTATCACCGTAAGATCTCGGTTCCTTTCAATATTGGCATCTATCAGACCTTAATTTCATGGATTATGGCCCCTGATTGTACGAAAAAATCACGCTTTTGGCTTGTGAACACTGTAGAGGTCACAATTTTTATCCGATTTTGTTGAAACTTGAAATGTAAGTTTACAACCCAAAGATCTCGGTTCCTGTCGATATTCGCGCATATCGGACAATAACTGCCTGAATTATGGCCACTGATTGTACGTAAAAATGCGTTTTTTGGCTTGTGGACCCTATAGAGGTCATAATTTTTATCCGATTTAAAAAACTGTGTTAATATATCACCGTTACACCCTAAGAACGGCCGAGTTCGAATTTCGTGAAAATCGGCCCAAAACTGACAGACAAAATGGCCGCCCTTCGTTCTCAAATAGCGTAAAAATATGGTATATCAAGGTTGTGGACCCTATAGAGGTCACAATTTTTATCCGATTTTGTTGAAACTTGAAATGTAAGTTTATAACACAAAGATCTCGGTTCCTTTCGATATACGCGCATATCGGACCGTAACTTCATGAATTATGGCCCCTTTTTGTATGACAAATCGCGTTTTTAGCTTGTGGACCCTATAGAGGTCATAATTTTTATCCGATTTAAAAAAACGTTTTATTATATCATCGTTAAACCCTAAGGACGGTTGAGTTCGAATTTCGTGAAAATCAGCCCAAAACTAACAGACAAAATGGCCGCCATTCGTTCTCAAATAGCGTAAAAATATGATATATCAAGATGGTGGACCCTATAGAGGTCACAATTTTTATCCGATTTTGTAGAAACTTGAAATGTAAGTTTATAACCCAAACATATCGGTTCCTTTCGATATTCGCGCATGTCGCACCGTAACTTCCTGAATTATGGCCCCTGATTGTACGGAAAATCATGTTTTTAGCTTGTGGAACCTATAGAGGTCATAATTATTATCCGATTTGAAAAATCATATTATTATATCACCGTTACACCCTAAGGACGACTGAGTTCGAATTTCGTGAAAATAGGCCAAAAACTGACAGATAAAATGGCTGCCCTTCGTTCTCAAATAGTGTAAAAATATGGTATATCAAGGTTGTGAACCCTATAAAGGTTACAATTTTTATCCGATTTTGTTGAAACTTGAAATGTAAGTTTATAACCCAAAGATCTTGGTCCCTTTCGATATTCGCGCATATCGGACCGTAACTTACTGAATTATGGCCCCTGATTGTACGAAAAATCGCGTTTTTAGCTTGTGGACCCTATAGAGGTCATAATTTTTATCCGATTTCAAAAAACGTGTTAATATATCACCGTTACACCCTAAGGACGACTGAGCTTGAATTTCGTGAAAATCGGCCCAAAACTGACAGACAAAATGGCCGCCCCTCGTTCTCAAATTGCGTAAAAATATGGTATATCAAGGTTGTGGACCCTATAGAGGTCACAATTTTTATCCAATTTTGTTGAAACTTGAAATGTAAGTTTATAACTCAAAGATCTTGGTTCCTTTTGATATTTGCGCATATCGAATTGTAATTTCCTGAATTATGGCCCTTGATTGTAGGAAAAATCACTTTCGTTTTAGCTTGTTTTCTATCCATCTCTCGAAAATGTGGGCGTATCCTGCCTGGCAGCCGCTGGTTTGTTCTTCAGGGTCTTAAAAAAAAAAAAATCATGTGAAAGATGTTTTTGGTTTAAAATTTTAAACTTTGGAACTAAAAGCTTGTGAACAGCACAACCGGGTGGGTTGAGACATACCAATAGATCAGTCATTGCCCTTTACTTAGTTTTTATCTTCTATTAATCATGGATGATTTGGTAGGAAAGCTACCTGAGAAATCCTAATATTGTTTATAAAGTTCCTAAAATCTTCAGGACTAACAAATCACAATTTGGATTGTACTCTAAAACCATAACCTTTATTTATCAAAAAATTGTAACTATTTTATTTTTTTCCAGGGTTTAAATGATCTGGTTGCCAATAAAACATTTGTTCCACCAGTAGATATAGAAATGGGAGCCAATGGTGTATTAATCAAAGATGGAGCCCAATAAGCATCACGGTCATTCATTTATCACAGTATCTCAGTATTCAGCTTTATTTGTTGTCTCATCACATATATCATCATTTCAAGAGTTGATTTATTTTTGTTACGAAAATTCATTTGAAACACTATGCAAACATAAAACCATTACTGGTATGAATGTAATGTAGGAAAATATTAACTATTTTGTTTAACCCGTAGAAGACAACGGATTGCTGTCTGAAGAAAATGACGCCATACCATGATTTGATATTATTAACAATCTGCTCGGGAGCATGCTAGTCAATTAATGACCTGTTGTAAATCAAACTGGTCTCGTTTACTGTTAACTGTAGCAATGCCAAAAAACGTTATTTTTTGTTTTATTTTATACGTTGGAGCAAAAATAAGTCCAGGCAGTGCTGGATTAAGGCTTTGATGGCCCTAAGGCACATTTTGATAGGTGGCTTGAAAATATTTTGGGTTCACCAATAAAAGGAAGAAAGTTTAATTTAGCAACAGAAAATTTATTACAAAAAATTTTAGAACCATTTTTAGTTTTTTGACAGTACTGTAATTACTATAATACCAGTAGCTAGATTACAACTTTTTTTACTTTATTTTTTTTGTGTGGCCTGGATTTTTGATTGGCCCTGAGGTATGTACCTTATTTGCCTGATGGTTAATCCTGCACTGCTGTGAGGTCAGGGTTCAAAGGGGTTAATGGTATTCCAACATTTATTTTTGTATCTTTGTTGTCAAAGCTTCCCTTTTTTCACATTATGCATGTTAATCAGAAAGAATGAGCTTATACTTGTAAATAAAACATATTTGAGTGTTACAGAAATATTTGACAACCATCTTAAATATTTATTTTATAATTTAAATTGTTGTGAACCTTTATTAGAATCAGGGCATTATGTGAAACATCCGGTTGTGAAAATATTATTGTCCAGATGAGTAATATGTACATGGCAACAACAGCAGATGACCCTCTGAAACCTAAGAATAATACTACCACTGATGAATTGTTCAGATTTACCTAACATAATTTTAGCTATCTCTGATACTTTGGTATAGCTAAACTGAATTTAAGATTGTTAAAAGTAAACAAAGCTATTTAAAAAATATAAAACTGAGGCAAATACTACCACAAGCAATGTGCACTATCAACTTAACATAACCATTTCCACAAACAATACTGAATGCAGCTCAAGTGTATTTAACTTTATACTATAAATAAATTAAATTAATAATTAATACTGTATAACATAAAAACATACCACATTATATATAAATTAGCTTATTAAAACAACTAATAAATGGCACACCCACCTAGTCATTATTTCCAGCTATTTAAATTATTGAGTTTGTTAAAACTTTATTTTTATTAAATTTGTCAAAGTTTATTACATCATTATTCATTGCTCAATATGATTGTGCCATGAAAATTGTTAATTTTATGTTATTGGTATATTAATTAAGAGGGAGAACTGATTGGTAAATTACTATTCCTGGGGTACCAGATAATTAATTTGTGTACATATTTCGATATTCTTGTACTAGAAGATCATTTTTACGACAAGTATTTTAAAGATTATAGTCTGTCATTATAATCTATATAGAATGTATCTGTTGACTATACATACTGCTGATGACAAAGGTACTCATCATCATGTCTTTGTAAAATAAATTAAATTAGTGACAAAATTTAGTAAACATAAGAACTACAGCAGACATTAGACACCTAACCTCCCTATATCAGAATAAGGGCTGTAGTAAAAGAGTATGGTGAGGAATATATTTATAGCTCTATAATCTTAGCTTAGGTTTGCATCTGATGTAATAGTTACATACTACAGAAGAATGCAAACTTATAATTAAAACACTAATTAAAATAATTTAATTTCACTAACTTGTATCATTACCTGTATAGCCATATAATTATATACTCCACTTTAAACTATGAGATACTGTTTATTACCTATATAACTGTGTATCATATAGTTTTATTTATTATAAGAATGGACACAATGTTAAAGATTTATTATATATTCATTGTTTGTTTTGATGCTTTTATTATTGTTTTTAACGCAATATTTTACTTTTACTATTTTTATGGGAGTTGGGAACAAGCCTTACAATGTAACAATTTGATTTTACGATCAAGATACTAAATAAATGGATTTGTTTATAGGAACTGAAATAATATTACCAAAGAAAATAAGTATAAAATCCAGATAAGTAATCACAAAGCATGATTTAAAGGGGCATTATTACTCTTCACTGTGAAGAAGATAAATCTGATACTTTTTAAAAATATATTACAGATAACCTTACAGATAAAATTCCTAGCAATGATTTACTTAGATCACAAATTACTATTTTATCTACTGAAAAAACTTCTAAAGCGATTATGCCTTTTATATAAAGCCTACTAGTATGTTCATTGTACCATACTGATGTCGTAAACTTACAACTTACCAGAGATAAATTAATTATGGTACTTTTGAATGGTGTTAGAAACACTGTCATTAATATTTAAATTCTTATTCTATGAATAATTTGATTTAGCAATATTTTGACATTTTTGTGTCTACTAGTATATTGGAGGCTCATTATTATGTTTGTTCTTATGCATTCAGTAAATTGGATAGACATATGTTTTGGACAGATATTCTACAGTTAATAAACAAACTCTTAGTTCTACAAAAATTATGACTAACTTTTAATTTTATTAAGCTTGTTGGGGTGTGCATATTTAAGGTATTATATAACAGCTATTTATTACAATTTATCAAAAAGGTCAATAAAAGGATGAAAATAATACCTAGTTTTTATTTTTACGTTCTGCATGAATGATTTTATATATGTCCTTCACTAACAAATTGAGAGATGGGGGGGGGGGGGGGTTAATCCCATCAATTCAACAATTACTTTTGCAACAACACTCATTTTCAGGAATCCAAGAGGGTGCCACAGTGGGTTCCCTCCCAGTGTTGGCCAAGAAAGTTCAGGGTTTTCCGGCATGATCACCCCTTGTCAGTAATCCAGGACTATTCAGGCACAATTTCCCTCATCATAGTCCACTGTATGACATATGCCTGTTTTCATTAGTCCAGAATCATATACCAGTCACTCATAACATCAAGCCTTAACACACTTGTTAAAACATTCAAGGTTTGTTATTAATTTTATTTACATATGTACGACATTATATTACAAAAAAAAACATGGTGTATTAAACAAATGTTAAAACAATGCTATGGTAAATAGAAAAGTCTTCAATACTTATTTCAGTGTTTAAAATATTTCATATTATCCAGAGATCATAATGAAGTATCAAATACATAGTGTCTTAAAATCCCATAAAAAAGAAAATGTGTAATTAATGTCAGTTTCAAATGAATTTCATCTAATTCATATGCCAGTTACTCATAATATCAAGCCTTAACTTACACATAGTCCAGAAAGTCTGTGCATAGATGTCAAAATTGGTGTCTTTTCTTCTATTGAAGTAAATCCATTTATGCATAGGTCACATATCTTTACCGTTTTCTTAGTTTGGAGCTAATATTTTAAGAATTTAAGACAAGATTTGAAATTAAATAGAAAATTTAAATTTGCACATTTTATCCTAATTTTTTGTGGTTATGGATTTAATGAAAACTGCAACAATTTTTAGTCCACTTATACAAAATTTCCTTCATAAACTATTTTTGATTCAGAAACCACGCTGTTTATGGCCTCTGTTTTCAAAAATTAGAGGGCAATACTGATTGAACACAGTGGTATAAAGTTTACAAACAGTAACATTCTGGTCAATAACGCTTGTAAAAGTCAATCAGTGCGCTGATATAACCATGTGCAAAAAACTACACATACCCAAATCATCTATTTTAATTCTTGATTAAGTTATATTTATAGCAGGGCTTTCATGAGTTAACAGGTTAAATCTGTTAACGAATGAAGCGTGCTATAAATGACTTGTAACATTGACACCTGCTCAACATGCTTGTTGTTATTGCACAGAAAACCCACCCCACTTCTCTATATGATTTCTACTAAAACTAGTGTAAACCAGCAAAAGAGTGCAATAACATTGAACATGTCTAGTTATTGCACGGTTAAGCTCCACCTAATCTACTAGAGGGAAAACAATCTGCTTATTCAACAAAAAGAACAAAGGAAGATTTCCCGTCCATGTTACAATTACAAATATACAGCTCTTAACATCTTCAAGAACACATTGTTTTTCATCATATCACAAATTTTAAATAAACTAAGAATACCCCCTGATAGTAAAGTCATATTATTTCATTGTTTAAATTCAAGTACGTCCAACACAACATTTTACATAAACAGGCTTTTCTGCAAAATTTACCAGAAAATTTCAAACTGTCATGTCATAACTAAAACAATGAATTCAAATATTGACAAATATTAAATAATTTAACAAGCAAAATGTCTTTTAAAGCATTGTTTGAATATAAAGCAATTAAAAATCATGTGCAACATGAACATATGAGATGAAGGCCATTCAAAAAAAAATATTCTAGTTCTTGGATAATCCTTACCAAAAATCTGATGTGGGAGGGAGGTTTTTATTTGTGTGTTTTTATTTTGTTAAAGGATCACTACTATGCTATACATCACATTTCAAGGCACTGCATTTATCTACATGTAATTCTTGTTAGTAGGAATGTATGACTACCGGTATCCAGTATAATTTATGATTGTCAGTAAAATTTATCATGGTTGTGTACTTGATAAACGAGTCATGGCCACATTTCTAGATTCATTCAAATTTATTTTATGGGCTACTTCTTGTAATTGGGGTAAAATATTTAGTGTGGTTATTAATGAGATTTTTTTAAAACGGGTCATGATGCTATTTTGAAGTGATACGTGATTATCTGAGAACCAGAATATTTTTTTATATGGTCTAATGTCAAAGTGATATAAATTAAAGTAGCATACAAAACGATTTCAGAAATCTTATTCACAATAAACTATATATTCTTACAAGTTCTATTTTTTGAGCACAAAACTACATTATTTTGTCTTGTTAGTACCCTATATAATAATTATAAATGTATCTTTGTAGAAAAAGGTTATTGGTGTAGGGAAGTTTGAAACAATGATATTATTAATATATATCATTTCAGATTAGGAAAGTCAAGCATTCTTACTAAAGATAATAATACAAATAACGCCCTAATATCTGTGTGTTTTAGTAAAAGAACCCTTATACACTGATTCATCCGATTGCACATTTGGAAAATATCAGTTGTCAATAAATTAGGTTTTTAAAAAGGATCTCTCTCCATGTATATAAACCAAATTCTTTGATAAAATACATGCATTTTTTAGTTCTTATGTACTAAAACACATTATTTGAACAATGTTGGAAAAATTAAATCTTTATATATAACAGAGAAAGTTTGTTGAACTTGTCATTTTAAAATAACTTCCTAATATTACCAGTTTCTACAAGAAATTTGATGATGCTATATATTTTGTATTTGATGCAGTATTTAATCATGAAATTGACAATCATTACTGACCATTTTCTCTGACATGTCCCAGTATATCCTTGGGAGAAAACTCTTATTTTAGAATTCATTATAATCCAGCATATCTTTGATATTAAAATTGAAGATAGATGGAATATGTAGAGGATTTCATAATTATAATAGATATAATAAACTCACAAACACAATAAAAGGTGGCACCAAAGAAGTAAACATGTATTAAAGGAGAAGGTACATGTCTTTCTTTATTCTAAAACTACATAGATAAAAGTGACAGCTACTTGAATCAACTTTGAAAAACTTTATAAAAGCTTTTGTTCAAATGCCACACTAAAGTAATAATTGCTTTAGTGGTGTCACTATCTGAACCAGGACAGTCAATGGAAAGGGTCAAAACACAACTAACAGTTAATTTTGACACAAAAAATAAACAAATTTGATTGGTTTGCTATAAAAACATTGACAGATTTAAGCTTGAAAGATCTGGTACAAATATTATTTGATAATGTCACCAACCTAAGGGTAGCATTTTAACAGGGGGCATCTTGAATTTTTTTTAAATGATTACATGTTATCATTATCTATTGTTAGATTATAGAAACAGATGGAGCTTCTTTAGTAAAGATAAAACATAGACTTTTAACTCAGCCTTGATCCAAATATGATTATGTTTTATTTTTTTCCACTTGTTTTTTGAGCAGAAATTGATACTGCATTTAAAGGAAAAAAAGAGCAAATATTTTGGTTGATGCCACAGTAAATTTACACATCACAATTCAGTTTTAAGTATCATCTAATTCCCCTGTATGGTTGTCATTTTTTATATTTCTCCACTAATAACACACACAAAGTCATTCTCTGAGAGTTCAAACTATGTTTAAGTTTGTGGCAACTTCACATCAAATAACTCACTACTTCATTTCCTTGATTGAACAACATTTCATCTAAATTATAATGATTTATAATCTAGTGCCAACCCTTCCACAGCATTACAATTCCACTCACTAATACACCAGCTCCTAAAATAACAGCTACTTGTTTTGTAGGTGTTCCAAAATATTCCACTATAGCCTCCTACAAAAACAAACAAACATTTTTTTAAATTGTAATATCTGGTACTAACCTGTGTGACAGTCAACCTGACTACAGTACCGTACATAACAAAACTTGCACCATTCTAAAGAATTTAGAGTTTGGCTTCGTATTGTCTTGTTATCACGTGCTCAGTGCTTACTTCATATGGTTTTTCTAGCTGGCTAGTTATTCTGTATGTTACAAACATTGATGTACCAGAAGATAAATAATCAGACAGGGTTGGGTTTAAGTAGATCAATCAAGTATTGTGAAGAAGGGTTATTTAGGCATGTGTATACTAATAATAGCGGTAACTTGAAACTGTGAAATATATAAATAATATACAGTACTTACCCACCCACCTCTACCAATAATCCAACCAGCTACATGATCTCTTATAAAATCTACTACTAAATTTATCATAGCTCTTATCAATGGTATTCTATCTAAAGCCTGAAATATAAAACAATATTCACAGATAAAACATACCAATAACTGGAATATCAAATCTATCAGCCTTTTAACAAGCCAACAGTGAGACTGATGTCCCCTGACGAAATCCCAAAATAAATAGATGACACATATTGATTAATTGCACATTTATCTATTTCAAAAGTCTTGAGTAAACAAATTGATTATCTATATTTAGTCTAGGCAGGGGCAGATCCAGGAATTTTTGCAAGAGGGGTTTGCCCGGTACCTGAAACAATGTATCTTTGGGGGAGGGGGTTGAAAATTTTGGAGAAATACATGGTCTCTATCGTCATTTTGGCGTATATACATGTACATACACACTGAGCTTTTTAAAGAGAGTAATCCAACATCCTGTTTGACATCAATTTTTATTATGAATCAATATGATGACATTGTGATTCAATTTTATTGATGCAAAGCATTAATTGTAATATCACATATGCCTATATATCATTATCTTTGAATGCCCATCCCATCCCACCATCTGACGATAAAGGATACAGCACACTCTTGTGAGAAAGTGTTGTTTACAAATTTGTTCTGTAGTCGAGCAGGGGGGAGGAGGATGGGGGGGGGGGGGGGCTGAAAATATATTATTTTGATTTGTTAGAACCAAGATTTGATTAATAACAGATAACTTGTTATATATTTTGACCCACAATGAGCAATTATTTAAAGAGTTACCAATTCACAACTGAAACTAGAATATAATTTAACTAAAAATAAATATGAAATGAGATTACCTTTAGACATATTTTATAAGCAAAATAAAATAAAGCAACAATTCTTCCCCAATTGACCACACCATCTTTGAATATTTCACTAGCTACATTTAAAAATGTTTTATGTTCAGCTTCTGGTGGAACTCTTGCAATTAAACTAAATAATATATAAGCTTGTATAAATTTGAAGAATAACAATACATGTACTATGTTCAACCAATTTTATACTTTTGTAACATCTAGACACACTAATACATATTTTCCAATTCAATGAAAAGGAATTTGTTGCTAGATGGATAGTACTTGTAGCTGGAGTTATTTCACTTTATTTTATCATGTAACATGCCCTTGTATACTGTTTTACACAATTAGATTTAATTATTTTCAATAATCATTCAAAAAGTGTCCCTAAGAAGTGAGAGAGAGAGAGAGAAATGGGGTTTAACGTCCACTCGACACAAACTAGGTTATTTCGGGACTAACATTTGGTTTAATTTTATTTACATAATTCGCTTGCGCGTAGGGGTCTTTAGCAGTGGGAGGAAACCGGAGGACCCGGAGAAAACCCACGAGGTTGGACAGGCGACCCTACTCCTTGCCACGTACAACCGGGGATTCGAAACCACGCCAGTCGACTCAATGATAGACTTTATAATACCAGAAATATTTAAAATTTCATTGTTTAAGCAGAAAAAAGAGATATGAGCTGATCAGTAATATTTGCAAATATATATGGTAGTATTTCTTTATCATTTACAAAAAATGTTTTCCTTACTTCAACATTCTTTCATCTTTATCAAGTTCATCTCCAATACATCGCAGTGCTCTACCTACTTCTCTTGCATGATCCATTGGTGGACCTGAAAAGTAACAGTGTCTTAAAAATTACCATGATGAGTGAGTAACGAAATAAAGTAATGGCTAGACTACTTTAAGACTTTCAAAAACATGGTCATTTCTTGTTAACTTCTCAGCCAGTAAAATGATTTGTATCTATAGATGAACATGTGAATATATTAAAACTAAGGCAGTGTCCCAGTTTCTACGAGTTCTAATCTCAATTATCTTGTCCTTTTGCTTGATCACTGGAAGTAGCAGATTCATTAATGTGATTATTTGGAATGTCACTACCAATTCTCGAATTAAAAGAACAAGATTATTGCAAGTCACAAAGCCAGTAAATTTACCCACATTTATTTTCAAAAATTCTAATTGCGGTAAACTGTAGTTAATAATATTTGCCTTCGTATTCATTCTGATTTATAAATGTTGATAATAAACATTAATAATGTCTGCCTTTGTAAGCTTATTCATTCTGATTTATAAATGTTAATAATAATTATTAAATTGTAACAATCAAGGCGTATATTTGGTAGAGGAGGTCCAGACGGGTCAATGCTAGATTTGAATCTGTAACTGAACTTACCAACAGGAGTTCCTGGTTCAATCAAATCACTCAAACTTGGTGAATCTTGAATCATGTCCTGTTCCATTCGTTCTTTTATAAATTTATTAAGCAAGAGTCTTGCTTGATTACTCACATCATCTCGACTTAGTGCTTTATTAACTTCCATGTTTTGATTGTTCCAATCTGCAAAAAAAATCATAGACTATATAATATCATAATTTGTACAATAAAAAAATCTCCCCTCTACTCTGTCAATTTCCAAAAGCTCAATCTAGTTTACTTTTATTATTATAAGAGAACTTGCAAAATTACTGGGCTATTATACTAGGATCCAGGTTTGTCATATTGTCTTTATCAATAGTCTTAACCAGTGCTCACTCTGGGTTTCATATTTTTTCCGCCAATTTCTCATTTTAATTTTAATTTATTAGCCATATATTTTTTCTGCCAAAAAAAAAAGAGAAAAAGTATCTATTATATTTTTTCAGTATATATAGAGGATATTTGTCGTTTTAGAGGGAATAACATATTTTATTTCATCGAGAAGCAAGAAAACTTATATTTTCACGAATGCGTAGCATGAGTGAAAATATAAACGTTTTCTTGCTTAGAGATGAAATAAAATATGTTATTCACGACAAAACGACAAATGTTCTATTTATTTTATGATTTTACAATCATTTTAGGTAAAAACAACATGGACTACTGCTAGCCAGTGGAATAACACTTTTATTTCACTGATAAAACGCGGTATTCCACTACTGATCATAAAATAAAATTAGATACAAGATACATACGATATTATAATTTACAAAATTCCTCTCTGCTTTGCAGAAGCCCATTTTTTGAAAGCTATTTCAACATCTGGGGTAACCATTGCTTAGTAACATTAAATTACACATTGTATTTGTTTCAATGAATATCTGTATTTGTTTTTTTTATAGTATTTTGTCAACTAAACCCAATTGCACAGTCTGCAGTTAACATTGGAATTTTCAACATATTCTATTTACGTTATCTATATTTTAACAATTATAGTGAGAACTGCCAATTCTTTATCTGATCTTCCATAATGCTCCTTTAACATTTTATGTTTTTTTCGAAATTTTTCTCTGTCACAAACTTTTGTGGTATCCTAAAATGCAGACCTATTGTAGAAGCTAATATTGCTTCAACATTCAAGGATGTAATATTATTAGATGGACGAGAGCTGATCATGTCAGTATCATCTGTAGACTTGGAGCATTTTGGTGGTGACATACTAAATAAAATCTGACTTTCTTCTATCGGGCATCGACTAAGACTGTTCAGTTTTTCGCTATGACCCATGGCATGTGATTTGATGATAACTGACTTTCGACAACCCAAAGAATATATACGCATTTATAAACTGGAACAACAAACCTGGCTTCATTTATTAACGATAAGGGCAACAGGAGTAAGAAAAAGATAAAACAGTCGTCATAATCCAATAATCTCAAACAAATCAAGCGAGTATTATTCACAGTGTCCGCCATTTTGAATATATAGAAACCGTCAAAAAAGTCACTGAAGTTTTGTAATTGAAGACAAAAAATTAAATGTTTTGTCTCTTAATTAGTTTATTACTACTCTTACTGTAAATAGTAATCAACACTAATCCGAGAATGATTAATAGACAAAAGATATCTCTATTATTGGTACCCAATTGATTGATAACTGACTCAGCCAAGGGCAATAGACTGTAACGTGTATGCACAGCGTGGAAATCAAAGCTTTGTGGCAAGAAAAAGTTATCGCCAAAAATTTCGCCAGATTGAATATTTTATCGCCAAAATTATATTTTTATCGCAATTGCCGGAAATGGCGATCGACAGAGTGAGCGCTGGTCTTAACTGTCCCAAATATTCAAAGAAGTAGTGAAAATGGTCATAATAGAAGCAGCTTTGTATAGCATGCTTTCACAAAAAAGGGATGTGGCACCCACTTACCATGACATATTCAAAACTTTGGTTTATATTTTGTACATACATGTACTCTCTTAAAGTATATACATGTATATTTCATCCATTTTTCATCCACTTTTTATATACTTTTTAATGCATTTTTTATAACTTATGTGTGGGAGAACGGGGATGGGTCGGACACTTTTGGGGGTTTTCACATTTGTGCAATTACTAATGTCGAATTGAAAAAATTTCTTTCACAGTTTAGTGGTTTTTATTGAAAAAAAATCCTTTACCAATAAAGTTAATAAAGTAGTGATAGACCAGGGCATATTCTCAACATAACTGGACAGAAATAAATGTAGGTATTCAAAAATACAATTAACTGATAATTTTATTTTCTTGCCAATGCACCAATCCATAATTTACATCGAAAATGCTAAGGAATGTTTATCCCAGCAAATGACAGACCAAGTTCGTAGTAATTACTCATGCCCTTGTTGCTACTGGTCAATGGTTTTGGAAGAATTGACCTAATCTGATTTAATGGAAGTAAAGCAGTAGCCAGTATCCGTAATTACAGGAAACCTAAATGATTCCGTAACTGCCAGTCATCATTCTTTTTTTAATCAAAATGTCTCTTGGAAAGATGGGTTGCCAGGCAACGAAACATACATCCACAGCAGCTAAGTCGTCTGGGGTGTCAACACGGGTTGTCACATATTTTTTTCTTTTGTCAGAAATGAAAACATTTACCACACACTAAAATCTGATTACAAGTAACAACCCATTTGGCCTCTAGTTCTGCCCTATTCTAACCTTTAGCATACAAAACATTTAATATCAATTGCAATAATCATCAGAAATCATTGAAAATTGATAGGCTTCTCTGTCTCATGACCTTAAACACTGTATAAATTAAAATAATAAATAAAGTCAATCGGATATTAACTTTAGCGTTTAAAGCATCCACAAGAATTTTCAAAGTGATTAAGCGCCATAACTCTGGCAGTAATTATTGGAAATCATTGAAAATCAATAGGTTTCTTTGTCTCATGACCTTAAACACTGTGTATAAATTTAAAGTCAATAAGATATTAACTTTAGCATCTAGAGCACCCACAAGATATTTTAATGTGATAAAGGGCCATAACTCTGGCATTAATTATCGGAAATCAATGAAAATACATAGGCTTCTTCGTCTCATGACCTTAATTAAACACAGTGTATAAATTTAAAATCAATCGGATATTAACTTTAGCCTACAGAGCGTCCACAAGATTTTTCAAAGTGCTCAAGGGCCATAACTCTGGCAGTAATTATCGAAAATCAGTGAAAATAAATAGGATTTTTCATCTTATGACATCAAACACTGTCTATAAATTTAAAGTCAATCTAATAATTAGCCTCCAGAGAGTTCAAAAGATTTTTTTAGAGTGACCATGGGACATAACTCAGGCAGTAATTATCAGAAATAGTTGAAAATCAATAGACTTCTTTGTCTCATGTGTATAAATCTAAAGTCAATTGGATATCACGATAACTTTAGCCTCTAGAGTGTACAAAAGCAATTGGGGACGCTGGACCGACGGACAGTGGGCAACGACAATATACGACCACATTTCAATGTGGGCGTATAAAAACATAACGGTTTGATCCAGACGCTTGTGGGGTAATTCCAACCAAGTGTCCGGATGCACCCCAAACCCATAATTCTGATGTAAGCAGCTATTATGTTTATTTACAATGAACATATGGTAAAGTTTCAGTCTATTTCTATTAATTTGTGGACGAAGAAATATGTGACAGCATAACCCAAAAAGAAACTCTTTAAACACTGAATTAATTTAACCTTTTAACATTACAAAATTTTTACATCAAAAGATAGAAGAAAGCTTATCTGCCAGTGCAACTACATAAAATTTGAATGTTTATCTCTGCCATGAGTTTTGAATGTTATAAGATGTGATCATTAGTATTTAATTTTAATTAACCAATCAGAAAACTATGGAGGGTGTGTCTGGACCTTCCCACCATCCGAACCATCCCCTAATAAAAATCCGATTTGATCGTAGAAGGTACATATGTAGGCTACATAATTCAAAAGTTATATATTCCATTACAATGTAGGCATACTGGTATCCCTTTTAAAAATCAACATTCCAGCATATAGCCTATATTATTAGGCGATTCATAACAGCTGAATAAAAATTTGGTACATTCTTCATTGAGATATAAAAAAAAAATATTTTACTTTAGATCTACTTCTCATATGAGGATTAATTTACAAATTGATCAAAATCGAAATGACTGTGAATATAGAACACATTATATAAGTATCTCTATCAGACATTTCTGACTTTGGGCCATTTGTGCGCCATAAATGACTAGCTATTTTGGCCAAAAATGTTTAGGATAGGAATTAGTATTAGTAATAAATAGTATGATGATTGGGTCGTTTTGTTTGACACCCTCCTTCTTCATTTGACATTTCAGTTTCAGTGTCAGTTGTCCAACAACAAAAAAAGGTCCTTTTCTTTTACCGTCTGCATATGCTGGACGTATTTTTTCTTGAACTTGAGAAGGCATGTTCTAACTCAGTTGGTTAATCTGATACTCTTCATTTGAATTTTTATATCAAGAATCAAAATATAATTCCTTGAAAATTCTAAAAATAAGCCGAACTCGATTCCCCTGTTGTGCGCAGAAATCGAGCCTGTATTTCTGCACGAACCGGAAGAAGACATGTTAACGATAAACTGCTACCATTGTATGGTGTGATCGTGTACATGTAGATCATGTGAATAATTTGGGACAGATGCTATATAAAGCAAGTACACCTCGGTGGCAGCGGACGTAAAATACAACTAACACTAACTAACTAATTAGGATTTACATCTGCGATATCACCTCGGTGGAAGCGGATGTTAAATAATGCTATTTCACACACACATTTACATGGCTTGTCTGCGATATCACTTCGGTAGAAGCGGACGTTAAATAACGCTATTTCTCACACATTTAATCATTTATATGGTGTGTGAAAAATTGTCTGTGGACAAACATTAAAGTAGCTAAGTCTCTTACTCAGTATCATCCAAAATCTTCGACATTGAAAACACTAATTATTTGTCAATTTAAATCAACATATTGATGTTGTGATCTTACCAGGAAAAGATGGGCTTCTGATTAAGTGATATCCAATATTTAAGACAAAATAAACATTTTACCATTGGTACACGAATCGTGTACCTTAATGCATTTCAGGCCCATTCTAACAAGGGACTCGAAGAACGAGGCTAGACATTCAACAAGTCATGTGAAACGGTGACGGTGTATTCATATCGGCAGAGTATGCGCAATAAATACTATGTAGACTAGAATAACCAGGCGTTAGAAATTTTCATTCGATTGAGACTTCTGACATATTTCGCTGAACGTAACTGATTTGAAATTAGAGTAAAAATGGAAACGATTCAATGTAAATCAGTTTATATATATTCCTATTACATTATTATATGCGTTACGACCCATTTGTGTCAATTTCTAGGTCCAACATATTAGCGATTTAGCTCCTTTAATTGTCGTAGTAATTGTTGTCACTCCCGTCTATCCGACGCCCACCATTGCTTGTAGATATTATTCTCCACAGACTTAAAATTTATTCTGTGTTCAAGGTCATTTTCAACGATTTCCGATAATTACCAGGGTTAAGACCAGTTTTAATAAAACTTGTAGCAGCCTAGCAGGGTCTATTGCCCTCTGATGGTCCGTGGTCTACAATTTGTCTGAGAACAGAGGGTAGCTAGGTTGATTTTTAAATAAGACTGCACTGCAGTAAGTGTAAGCCTAAAACTAAAGACCCATTTGAACTTCAAATTATTGAGCTAGTCTAACTGTCATCTTCAATAGAAGGCTTGATCTCGCTTTAACTACATACATCTTATCAAGGCCTTCACGTAATACCCTGCATATTGCAGCACTAATTTCGATTGGGTATACAAGCCCAACTTGTGAGCCTATCAGTTTCCTCGATCATCGCGAATACCAAGTCTCACGCTTTCAAGCTAAAATGTCTACCTGTGATAATCGAGTTGCACAGTTCAAGGTTCATTCAATGTCAAGGTTTCCGTGGAGGTCGCGATGTCACAACCTCTGATTGGACGTTACTGCTCACGTGTCTGTAGAGAACATAGCTATAAGTTCGGGAATTGTGAAGTAAACAAGCAACGGCCAGATGTTGTGAAACTCGCAGTCGTTGCTTCAGGAACATGTCTAACTGTATAGTCAGATCTTTATTTATTTGGGGGAGCTACAGTACGTGCCTCAGTGAGTAAGACATTGGGCTGCTATCTGAGTGATGGGTTCAATCCTGTGTTGACCAAGAAATGACATCGGGATTTCCAGTGTGGTTCCCCCATGTCAGTGATGCAAGACAAGAGGCCTGGCAAGGGACAACGTATAGTTGTTCGAATGGGACGAAAACCCAAGGTCCCCTGTACACATCAGCATACATGTAAAAATAAAACATGACAGTTGAAATTTCATATAAGAGTTACAAAGAGTAGGTTGTAGTGCCACTATCCAGGCAAAATTTCCCTCAATGCACACTGTATGGCATATGCCCAGTCAGTGGAGGACAGTAGACCGTTAATCCTTATTTAATTTATTTATTTGAACTCACACATCCAATAAATGACTTAATTAACCAAAATTAACAAATTCTGATATTTTAAATATTGTTTCAGATATCTAGATGTTTTTACAGTCGTCTTAAACCAGACAAAAGAGAAGGTACGTATAATAAGTTAAATACTGGCCTGTTCTGTTTTTCACGCTACAAAAGTACAACAAAGGTTGTCATCTGTTTGAACTGAAATGGAATGGAATATTATATGGTATTATGTGTTCCTGAAAGTTCTTTTTTTATGTTATAATATGAGAAGGATAAAGTGGCTCTTTATTATTTTTTTTTTATAAAATTCCTTTCTCTACTATAGGAAGATGGGCATTGCTCAGATGTCTCATCTTAGGTGGCTAACCTGAATCCCAAACAACCAAGCAATTGTTGCAGGGTATGGGGGTCTCACGCTCCCAGAGAAAATTTTGAAAGTTGAACCGCCGAACAAAGGTGAAGGGTCATTAGATGATTAGGTCACCAAATAAAAGGTGAAAAGTCAAACAAAATTCACAGTGAAACCGGAAGTAAACAAAATTGAAATTAAAAAATCAGCTCCCTAAAAATTGTCTCTGAAAATACAAGATAATATCTGGGGATAATACCTTCATATGTCATTTTTGGTCCATTTTTAAAATGGAGAGAACTATATTATGTTCGGAAGGTTGGATGGCCGAATGGTTAGCATGTGCGCCCTGTAGGGGAGAGCGGGGATGGTTCGGACGGTGGGATGGTCCGGACACCCCCTATAGCTTTAATCTTTACAATGCTATCCGTTTTCTGATTGGTTATTATAATACTAAAGATCTCATCTTGTAACATGGAAAACACATGGCAGAGATAAACATTCAAATATAGATGCAGATAAGCTTTTTTCTATTTTTGACAAAGTTGATGTAAAAAATTTCTAAAGGTAATGGTTAAATTAATTGATGTTTAACAAGTTTCTTTTAGGAGTAGGCTGTCACCTCTTTCTTCCTTTGCTAATTAATAGAAATACATTGACAATTTATCAGTTTTTCATTGTAAATAAACATAATGGCAGATATATCAGAATTGTGGGTTTAGGGTACATCCGGACACTGTTCGGAATTACCCCAGAAGTGTTCTGATCAAACCGTTCAGTATTTCCAAGAGTCAGATTTGATAAAAAAAAGAATGATGACTGGCAGTTGCGGGATATAATAGGTTTACAAAAATTATGGATACTGCTTTACTTCCATTAAATCAAATTCTGTCAATTCTTCCGAAACCCTTATCCATTAGCAACAAGGGGATGAGTTATTACTACAAATTTGGTCCGTCATTTGCGGGAATAAACATTCATTATCTTTTTCGATGTAAATTTCGGATTGATGTCCTACCTAGAGAATAGCAAGAAGCTTTAAAGCTTTAGAATTATCAGTTAATTCCTTTTTGAATACGTTCATTTATTTTCGTCCAGCTATGTTAAAAATATGCCTCAGTTAGATGACATTCAGTTTTAAATTTATCACTACTGTATCACTGACTGAATATAGTCAATAAGGTAAAGTCTATTTTCCATTCTTAAGTTCGGAGACAAGTGCATTAGTAGTTGCACAAATGGGAAAAAACCCAAAAGTGTCCGAACCATCCCCGCTCTCCCCTATCATAAGGTCTGTCATTGAGTCAACTTGGGTGGTTTTGATTCCCCGGTTGTAGGTGACAAGGAGTAGGGTCGCCTGTCCAACCTTGTGGGTTTTCTCTGGGTCCTCCAGTTTCCTCTCACTGCTAAAGACCCCTATGCGCATGCAAATTATTGAAATTTGTTCCGGAGGGGGGGGTCACAGTGGCTAAGTGGGTAAGACGCTGGCTCGCTAGTCTGGAGGTCGAGTGTTCTATCCCTGCATTGGCCGAGAAAGTTCGTCCGTTTTCCGGCATGGTTTCCCCTTGTCAGTGATGCAGGACGGAGGGCCAATCTGATTAAAACACAGATCCAATTTCGTTTCGTTTTTATAGTTCAAAATTTCGATTTTACTTGTCTTTACTACACTTGGATCTGGAAGCGTTGTTATTTAACTCGTGTTCTGCTTGAAATGAGGGGTCAGCCAATCAAATGGTCTGTCGAATCGAGCGTTTGACCTTTTTTGCGAGGAACTGTGTGGGTAGACATTAGCAGCAATAGAAATCAAAACAAAGCAAAAGTAGATCAAAAATACATGGCAGTCGCTAATTGGTTAATCAAATGACTGACGTAATCGGGTCAAATGTCGCTTGTTTGGTACCTGACGTCATAGAACGTGAACTCCCACTATAACTTGTTAGATCTACATGTAGTGTAGGCCATCGAAAGTATAAAAAACAAAACGAAATATAGATCTATATTTTAATTAGATTGGACGGAGGGCCTGACAAGGACAGCTGCCTAGTCGTTCGGATGGGACAAAAAACCTAGGTCCCATGTACACATTGGCGTGCACGTAAAAGATCCCTTGACAGTTGGAATTTGATATAAAAGTAGGCCGTAGTGCCGCTGTCTCGGCAAAATGTCCCTCATAGCACACTGTATGGCGTATGCCTGTCTTCATTAGCCCAGTCGGAACAGAACAGTAGCTGTTAGGCTGTTAAACCCCATTTCATTTATGTTCAGGAAAAATCGGAAGGCCTCGGTAGTTTCCGGAAGCGGTCACAAAATTTTTGAATATGCCGTTTTGAAGGCATCAATGTGTTCCTTATTCCTACCAAGTTTCAATTTGATACCTTAATTACTATTCTAATGGAGATATGTCATCTTGAATGGGATTTGTCCAAAGAATAGAAAAATGAAAACCCGACGAAGATCCATTGAGAAATAACCGAGATAGGCAATCTGATTTTTTTTATTATCCCATCCGTAAAACACTTCCTGTTTGTCAAAAATAACCCAATTTATATTTAATAAATAGTTCCACGGAGGCCAACCACATCTACGTTGGCAGAATGTTGGCACCATGTACAGTTTTGGCTGCAAACTCTGACTAAATTCTACAAAAAAAATAAAATAATAAAAACACTTACGAAAACAATAAGTAATTATGAATGAAATAATATGTATTTTGATAACATCATACCCCCCATCCCCACAGATTCCTGTGACTTCGTGGATACTGCCTCCCTGACATAAAATAATATTTATTTGAAAAATAAAATTAATGATACATGGAGACACAAGTTAAAAATTTATATATTATTATTTTTTTAGGTACTAATATTATACAAAAAATGTCCATCAAGCGAATGGTATATGTTTACGATGGAAAAGGTGCAGAGAATAATTCTAAAAGACTTTTGATATACGCTCTCCAGCAATCTCTAGATAAAGAATATGATGTGTGTACTATTTCACCTGACCAAATAAAAGAAGGTAATTATTCAAATGATGATCATAAATTCACTGTCACACAATGAATATTTAGCTGTTTTTCTTCCTTTAACAGCTTGCATATTAAATGTTTTATCACAAATAGCATAATTACCTCATATAAATGAATATTTCAAGATTGAACCAATTACTTACTTCTGATAATATTATAACTGCCAACAATTTTTACAGGATCATGGAAGGATAAAGCTGCAGCAATAGCATTTGGAGGAGGATATGATTTAGGATTTATTAGTGATTTAGGATCTCAAGGAATAAACAATATTAAGGTGTATGTCCAAGAAGGTGGTAAATATTTAGGAATTTGTGCTGGTGCATATTTTGGATGTAAAAGAATTGAATTTGATAGATGTGGTCCACTTGAAGTCTGTGGTGATCGAGATTTGGGTTTTTTTCCAGGTAATTACACATCTAATCTATACAATATTTCTATAAGTACATAATACTACATTTCAAACATGTAGTGTGCTGTTAGAACAATAATGATACCAGGATTTAAGATGTACATGTAAAAGGGCAACAAAGGGGTAAATCAGATGTTTGGAGAGTAAGGTGATATTTTTCTCCTGGTGAACTTTCAAGGGGAATAAATTTATGGAGGGATGGGTGTGGCCCATTTCATTTTCATTTTTAGTTTTAAGCTATGGTACATAATATTATGTTTTATCTGTTTTAGGTTTATGTAAAGGTCCAGTGTATCCAGGCTTTAAATATAATACATTTGAAGGTTCTTTAGCTGTTCCCATTGAACTTCAACAATCTTCAATAACAAAACGATCATTAGATGTTTATTTCCATGGAGGTGGCTATTTTGAAACAAACAGTATTGACTATAGTGTACTAGATTCAGTACAAATCAGCCTTAATACAAAATTGAAACGTGAATCATTGAAGAGACGGAAAAAGCTTTTGAATACATCACAGAAATCTTCTCAACAGATTGTACGTTTAAAACAGAAAGCCTGTCATAAACTTTTGTCGCGAAAAGTACAAATTTTAGCTAATTACAGTGAAATAGAGAATAAACCACCTGCAATAGTGACATGTTATTTTGGGAAAGGGGTAGCTATTTTGTCTGGTGTACATGTTGAGTATTCATCTAAACTACTAGATGACAAGGATCCCTTCTTAAAGAATGTTATAGAAAAATTACAGCCATGTGAAGATGCACGCTCAACATATTTTATGTCACTGTTGGAAAAATTAGGTCTAAATATTAGGTTATCTTAATTTATTTACCGGTATTATTAAAAATGTTCAAATATTACATTATGCTACTTTAATTATTTTGATGCTACATGTATATCTTATAATGCTATGGCAATATTACAGCCAGATGGAGACAACCACTTTTCATAATTGGGGGGTTGGATGGCCGAAAGGTTATCACATGCGCGCTGTATCATAAGTCAACTGGCGTGGTTTCGATTCCTCAGTTGTACATGACAAGGAGTAGGGTCGTCTGTCCAACCTCATGGGGTTTTTCCGAGTCCTCTGGTTTCCTCCCACTGCTAAAGACTCCTATGCGCAAGCAAATTATTGAAATAAAATTGAACTAGATGTTATTCCCGAAATGACCTAGTTTGTGTCGAGTGGACATTAAACCCCATTTCTCTCTCTTTCTCTTTTCATACTTTTTTTCATATTTTCAGTCTCTGTCAGAAAAATTAGGTTTGGTATTATTTATTTCTTGGTTTGTTCGGGTTTTTTTTGATGATTTTATATTGTTATAAAAAAATATAGCTATGTGGACATGACCACTTTAGATTCTCATAAAATTGGATTTTAAGATATATTTGGCCTCCTATTTACACCTACATAACTATCGCTTTATAGTTACTTTTCCAAAGTACAGTACATAGAAAACTGTATTTGTAGCTGAATACAAAGTTCATGCTCCTATATTTACATAACCAAATTGCTTAAAGACTATACAAACTATGGAGAAAACTGTATTTGTTGCCGAAAACAAAGTTGTTACTCTTATTTACATAAACATTGTTTAGATATATACTATATCTTAGCTGTGGAGAAAACTGTATTTGTTAATTTACATTAACATAACAATTGTTTAGTGTTTAGATACTATATCTGAACTACAGGGAAAACTGTATTTGATTTTACCATCTTACGATTGAGAAATCCTATTCAGATATAAATATACAGGTGTCACTTAGTGAAATAAGTATATAACTATCTCTTGCCAGATTTGTGAATGCTGTTTCTTATTATTTTATTGCAAGTTTCCTAATCACTTTCAGTCTATGACCTCTCAAGGGACCACATCTTTAAACATGCATTATGCAAGAGCTAAGTGTGCCTATTGCAAATCTTTCTTTAGGCCTGAAATGTTATCTAAATTATTAATTAGACATTATTTAACTTATCCAGATCATAATCAGATCTCGATGCCATTGTTACCCTGTGATATTTAGTGGATTTGAATACATTTTATTGATGGATAATTTAACATAAAAATAGATAATCGAGACTTGGTTTATCATCACACCAAAGTTAGCAAAGACGTTCAGGGCTAGCCAAAAATTGAATCACTAATATCTTGGTTCAAACTGAAATTTTCAGCATATTCTGTTTTCATTATCTATTTTTTAACTATTATAGCGAGAGCTGTCAGCTCTTTATATAATCTTACCTAATGCCCCTTTAGATATTATGTTTTATTCCTTTACTTATTGTGATGATTTGAAGATGTCATATGTTAGATAATCATGTTTATACAAATTTTGGTGATGACTACCTGTGCATTTATTTGTTATATATTTGTTATAAGTGTTATGTAAGTGTTATGTAAAGAAAAACCAGAAAATGAATTGTATTTAGGTGTTTTAAAGTATATTAATATAAAATATCTGAATTTATCACAAATTTGTTGACATGACCTGTTAATATTTAGGACCAAATGAGCAAAAATAATTTTAAATGGTGAACCTCTTCCATGGACCTTATAATGGTGTATTATTACAAACAAATGGTACACTTATAAGAGTGTATTGAAATTTCCATGCCTCTTCTATGAAACATATCGAATGACAATTTTTACCATTACACTCTTAAACATATTTTTTTTGTTTATTTATATTTGTTATGTGGAAATAATATTATTTATAGAATAAAAAATTGTATATGCAAGCAACAATAGTTTTCACTGATACAAATTTTGTATTTCTGTTTGTTTGGTTTTTTTTCATATGGTACGAAACACTGATCGAGGACCCATGTTTAAATTGGGGTGCACGTAAAAGATCACTTGGCAGTTGGAATTTGATTCAAGAGTAGGCCATAACTGCCGCTGCCTGGGCAAAATTCCCTCATAGCACACTGTATGGCATATGTCTGTCGTTATTAGCCCAGTAGGAGCAGAACATTAGGACCTTAAACCCCATTTCATTTCATTCATAATAATGAGATAATGTTTATGGTAATCGTGAATGATGGGATTCTTCCTGTTTTTGAAAATGCAGAAACTACTTCACTAATCAAGTACGCCTTGTTAGGGGAGATAACTACCATAAGTGTCATGGTTGCCTTTCTCAATGTCAATCAGCATGGTTTAGTTTAGTGAACATAAAATGAATGTCTCGCATTGTTACAAACTTATGAAAGTACAGAACAAGTACTCAAGTTTTTTCAGAAAAATTAGCGTACTTACAAAACATATAGCTGTGTCAAACAGATATTATAGCTATATCCATACCCGACTTCTTGGTGAACAATATCAATTTCGTCGATGTTCTAATATAAAAAAGCGCTTGTTATTAATTTCTCGTTATCAGCAATTTTTTAAATGTTTTCTTTTAAGAACAACCTTTAGAAACTATTCCACGAAAGATAGATCTAAAATAGATTCTGAAAATGACGTTGACAATCCTAAGTTAAACTACATTTTTGTACAGTCATCAAAAGATAGATGGGAGGATGTTCCTAATGGAATAATGATTGATTTGGCTTATACAGACTCTTGTCCAGAAGAAAAATACATAGCTAAAAATAAGGGCAAAATTCCTATTATTTTGGCTCTTCATGACTCCCCAGGATCTCACTATGATTTACTACCTCTGTTAAAACCTTTCATGAAGACTGGGTGTCGAGTAATAGCTCCAAATTTTCCAGGTAGGTCATAATCCGAAGAGAAACTTTATAAATAAAACGATTATGTAACTGATGTCTCGTTTTGTTTCTATATAGTTAAGACATTCAATAAAATTGTAAGTATTGAAATATAAAGGTCATACAAATTACATCTTTCCTGTGAAATCCATTACCCTTAGAAAAACATGTATAGGCCCTACTGAGCTTATTGAACAAATTACTACAGACATATAAATCCAATCATAATGCAAAATGGCACATCAGTCTTTGAAGGGATATTGTTATTGCCATAGAGACCTTGTATTCGCTCTATAGATAATAGTTTATATATTTCTATTGCAAACTTGCTTGTAGGCTATTCACCCCTTGTCATTAAAACAATGTAACATTATTATTACAGGGTCTCGAAACGAGTCAGGCACACCAAATGTGGAACCCTTTAAGAAAAGTTAATTTCAGACCCTATTCAAATTGTGCGGGTACAGCTATTTTGACAGAACTGTCAAAGTTCGCAGGACAAAAGATTAAGGTTCATTTGGCGCATGTGCAGTAATCCATACTGAGAACAGTTCTCAAACCAGATAGCGTTTCCACTAAGAAAATTTAACCGTGCCGTGCCTGGCATCGTGTCGAGATCACCTCACGTCAGTGGGCCAAATTGGCACGGTACTCAGTACAGCACGCTTATGTTTGACTCGTTTATACTACAGAAAAATTAACTGTGTCATGTCTGGCACGCTTAGAATTTGTAATGTAAATGGGGTTAAGGTTTCATTGCCTATGTTATTATAATGTTAGACCATTTTCTAATAAGTCATGCTCATGTTTAAGTGAGCAAATTTCCAGTACTATACAGATCAAATTGACACATGACCAGTGTCGCTTGTTTCGAATAGCTTCTATACAAAAGACAGAACATGTTTGATCAGAATAGTATACATTGTACAATACAGTAGATAACAGATATTTCCTTTTCTTTAAGGATTTGGTATTACAGGTGCTGTTGACAAAGGAGCTGATAATATTTTCAGTCATACTACCGATGAAAAAGCTGAATTAGTAATGGGACTCTTAGACAATTTAGACATCAACAGGTACAAGTCAAATAATTCTTTTTTGAAAATAATTCCTAAATATAAATAATGAATATACTGATTATGTTTTAACTGATTTAGTATAAATAGCTATTTAGCTCCTAAAAGTCGCAATGTATCAACTTCTATCTACATCTTTCTTCATGGCTTTAAACAATATTTATTTGTTTCAGTATTGACCTATTGATTGCTAGTGGAGCTGGTACATATCCAGCTTTACGATTATCAACTGAAGTAGATATAAATGTCAAATCTCTTGCTTTTATCAACCCTTGGCCACATTCAATATTCAGGTAATATATTAATAGTTTAGCACAGAAATCTAAATATAAATATGCCTCTTTCATTTACAATTCTTAAAACAAAATGCCTCAAAAACTTCTTGCACTAATGTAAAACCTTTTTATACGCCCACATTTTCATTTGAACGTATATTGTTATTACCTCTGTCCATCCGGAAATCTGCTCACAATTTTTATCCGATTTTTGACGAAACTTGAAACATAGGTTGATATCCCAAAGATCTAGGAGCCTTTCAATATTGGCATGTATCAGGCCGTAACTTCATGGATTATGGCACCTGATTTTACGAAAAACGTTGTTGTTTTTTTGTAGCTTGTTCTGTGTTCAACTCTTGCAAAATGTGGGCGTATCTTGCATGGCAACCACTTGTTATCCAATTTTGATGAAACTAAAACATTTGTTCCAATTTATACACCTGTAATGACATACAGTAGCAGACACCCTTACATCTCATTATGCCTTGTATACCAATTTAAAGTCTTCACAACTTATTTACAGGGGTATAGCTGATGTACTTAATCAAAGTCATACTGTAACATCATTATGGGATCGTCCATTTTATCACGTTATTGCAAGAATATTTGTATGGTTAACTAAAAATAGACTAAATGTTAAAGTCAGAAGTGTTAATGAAGCTATAAAGTATTTATATACTGTTCATGGTATTTCTTTTAATGAGGTAAGCTTATGAAAATAATAGGAATGTTATCAAGTAAAGATGAGTTGATGTCACCAAAAGTAATATTATGCTTGCCTTTCAATAAAGTATGCAACACTTACTTGAGAAACTACGCTGGCTCACTAGCCTGGAGGTCAGGTGTTCGATCCCTGCATTGACCGAGAATGTTCATCTCGATTTTCCGGCGTGGTTTCCCCTTGTCAGTGATGCAGGACGGAGGGCCTGACAAGGACAGCTGTCTAGTCGTTCGGATGGGATGAAAAACCGATGTCCTGTGTACACATTGGCGTGCACGTAAAAGATCCCTTGGCAGTTGGAATTCGATATAAGAGTAGGCCGTAGCGCCGCTGCCCGGGCAAAATTTCCCTCATAGCACACTGTATGACGTATGCCCGTCTTCTTTAGCCCAGGTTAGGAGCAGAACAGTAGGACGTTAAACCCCATTTCATTTCATTTCATTTCACTTGAGAAACTTCCATTGTTTTCCTTGACCTAAATTGTCCTATAGATGTAAGATTTTAATTATATTTTCTAAATAAAAAATAATTTTCAAAAATATAAATAACAGTTTTAAAAAATTTTACCACATGAAGACCACACTTGTCAGAGATTTTCTTGGTGACACACAATATGAATTTTAATGTAATATTACAGATGCTGATAGTACCTCTTAATTCTTAATATACTACTTGTATTTTGTGGTAGCTGATGACACAAACAGAATGCAAGGTTTTCAATAAAACTGTATTTTTAAACAGATAGGTGGATTACTGGTTACATTAAGACAGAAGAATATACCAAGAACTATTTTCTATGCTGAGAATTCAAGTTTTGTTGAACCTGAGATTTTGAAGGCATATCTTGACCTTCTTGGAATTGACATTGAAGATAGAATAGAGATTGATTCTACAGGGAAAATAATTAATAAAGGTATTTTAAGAATTATCCCAAAAACCAATACATCGATATATTACAGTATGGTGTCTTTCACATTATAAAATAGGTGTATCAATATTTTCACGCTTCTTCCATTGTCCCCCGCCTTTTGAAGAAAGCAGGGTACTTATAAAATGGGTTTGTCAGTCTGTCTGTCCGTCACACTTTTTGAGACACAATAACTCTCTTTCTAATTGAGCTAGAATGTTCATTTTCTTTCACATAGACTTTTTTGGGTGTCTTTATTTCTGATCTGATCAAACATACTATCTTTCTAATTGGGCTAGAATGTTCATTTTATTTCAAATAGACTGTTTTTTTGGGTGTCTTTATTTCTGTTCTGATCAAACATACTATTTACCATTTAATTCTTGTAAACAATAGAACAACAAGAATTGTGTAAAATATTGGTCATTTTACACATTTCATCACGATTCTGGCCAACCGTTGATCTGCATATTTTGAGTTTTTACCACCAAAATGTATAACTTAGTGCTCTGTATTTTGAGGCTAATTTGCATCTATGACAAATTACTAGGTTTTCTAATACGCACATGGTCAATTACTAGATTTTCTAAGTCAGTTTAAGGTAGTTTCAGGTAATATATAAATCTTTATTGTCACCAGTCTTTCGAAGAAAGCAGGGGACTATTAAAATGGGTTCGTCTGTATGTCTGTCAGTCTATCTGTCCGTCACACTTTTGCAGGCACATTTATTTATTTCAGAATTTCTGCTGGGAAGATCAAGATCACTGTTGGCTTGTGTTCTAGCTGATCTAAAATTCAAACATTTAGAATGCTCTTTCATTATTAAAAATAACTATTTGTAGCCACATACAGTATTCTAGAAAACATTTACCTTGCGTGAAACAAATGCTGGACTAACCTCTTTCATACATACTACTTGAAAGTGCCTCCAATAACCAATAAACAAAAATTCAGTTTGTGGGATGTTTCTGGGGTTGGGTACAATATGTCTAAATTATTTTGAGTATTAGGATTATGTATTAAAACAATATTTTAATGTATTTCAATATTGATATCCAGGGGGGTTGGATGGCTGAATGGTTAGCACGTGCGCGCTGTATCATAAAATCTGTCATTGAGTCAACTGGCGTAGTTTCGAAAAACCCAGTTGTAAGTGGCAAGAAGTAGGGTCGCCTGTTCGAACTCGTGGGTTTTCTCCGGTCCTCAAGTTTCCTCCCTCTGCTAAAGACCCCTACGCGCAAGCGAATTGTTGAAATAAAATTGATCCATGGGGACGTTAAACCCCATTTCTCCCTGTCTTTCTCGATATCCAGCTTCCCCAATCCAACATGCAATCAAAACCAAAACATTTAAAATATTCAAGATATGTTGTGTAAATGTTTTGAATAAACCATATCCAGTTAATGTCCTCTATATTTTATAAGATAGCTATCGATTATTATTATATTTTTTTTGCAACCATAATCAAACAGTATCTTGTTAGTTTGTAGTTTTTATGTCAATATTGGACTAATTTTCTTTATCTTTTATTATATAGATGGTTTGAAAACCATTTAAAACAAACCACTACTTTTAATTAAGAAAGTTCACGGTACATCTTGACCTATATGTAATCAATCATTCTTGTATCTCCAACCACAGTTTCAAGAGTTTCGTTTTTAACCTCAGTGCTTCAGGACTTATTTAAAAGGTTGTGTGCCATTGTTTCTTCATGTCAAACATAGTTTTAAATAATATTAAAATAATATTGTTTTTTTTTTTTACAGGATCCAACAATTTAGTTAATAGTGTTTCCATACAAACAGAAAATAATGAAATTATATCACAGTATTCTGGGATTATTAATGGTATTCTTAACAACTTTATGCATCATGTGTCCAAACGATGATAGTACTGCGATTTAGAATTAAGTTACATTTATAAAAGGAAAACATAAAATGCAACAAATTTGCATTTACAATGGTGCTTTATTTTGACTGTGTGTACATACAATGCCTGAAAAAGGCTCATGAACAACTGTAGTTGTGCTTTAGTGCTTCTATCTATGAAAAAAATTGAGAAAATAAATTACCCTTAAAAATATTTAATCTGATTTTGTCCTGTTATCATCCGAAATATCTTCTTTGTCTCACCAATGCAAACATACATAATATTAAATCCAAAGCATTTTTGGGCAATAAAAGGTGGTTATTAAGAGTTTTGGGACAGGCAGATTGAACTTGAAAATGACACTGTTCCCCTTGTATGCCAATATGTTAAATAGATAGATTTACTTTGCACAAACATATACAACATATGGTACAAAATTGTTTTTATAACTAATTTGGGTGTCCTTTTGATATTGGGGCCCCTGGCTGCAGACCAGATAGCCCCCCCCCCCCAATAATTTGGCCCTGGAGCCAGGGGTTATTACTACACATGAGTGAAATATATTGAGTTTGAGTGCCCAACTTTTCTGAACCAACAAGGCTACTGAAGACAGGATTATGCCATGCAGTGTATTGTGAGGGGGTGGGGTGAGTTGGATGGCCGAATAGTTAGCATGTTAGCATGTGCGCGCTGTATCATAAGGTCTGTCATTGAATCAACTGGCATGGTTTCGATTTCCCGGTTGTACATGACAAGGAGTAGGGTTGCCTGTCCAAGCTTGACAGAACAGGGGGTTGAATGGCCGAATGGTTAGTGCGCACGCTGTGTCATAAGGTCTGTCATCGAGTCAGCTGGCGTGGTTTCGATTCCCTGGCTGTACATGACAAGGAGTAGGGTCGCCTGTCCAACCTTGTGGGTTTTCTCTGGTTTCCTCCCACTGCTAAAGACCCCTACGCGCAAGCAGATTATTGAAACAAAATTGAACCATATGTTAGTGTCAAAATGACCTAGTTTGTGTCGAGTGGACGTTAAAACCCATTTCTCTCTGTCTCCTTGACAGAACACATCCCTCTGTGCAAAAACAAACATGACAAAGTAATAACAAGACTTTGAACAGCTTGGCATATTTTTAAAAATAAGCCAGGGAAATTTTTTTTTTTATGGCTCTGTTGTTATAACCAATTACCATTCTTATTGTCTTGTGCATGTACTTTAAGTAGGAAGTTAAACCCCATTTTATTTCATTTGCATGTGCTTTAGATCATAAGGTCTGTAAACAATACAAGTGTTGTGGTTTTGATCAAGAAGTAAGGGCTCCTTTTGAATCTCAGGGAAATAAACCTAATGCAGGCAGGCAAATTAATGAAACACAGATCATGTGTTAAGTCCCAATATGAATTACATGGTGTTTATTAGAAGTTAAACCCCATTCCTCCCCCTTTCCAGCCTCTGTCTAGGTAACCACTGGCATATGACTTCTGTATAGGGCAAAGAATTGTAGTCAGTGCCTATGGCTGTCATTCTGTGTGTCTGTGTTGTCAACCAATTTGGATAAAATCGCAGGGTTTATTTATTAAAAGACAAAGATGTTCTTTATTTAATTGCCGTGATTATTGACATTTATTGCTCTTGCCTCAAATATACTGTTCAAATTTTTATTGAATTAGAAGGCAACTTGCAGGGGTTTGTTGTGAAGTTTATACTAACTATTGTAAATTGATAGGCTTATTAGTTAAACAAAAAATATCAATTTTAAATAGATCAGGTGTTACAGTTTTCTGAACAATGCAATATAAATTTGTGGTTAGAGTATTCGCAAATCTGCTAAGTGATCTCTGGTAATAACTCTGATGAAATTTATCATCAGAAATGTCTTCTTTGTCTCACTATTTCAATAACATACATAAAGTTAATAGCAAAGTGTTGTCAGCTAATGAAGGGTGTCTGTTACAGTTTTGGTCCAGGGGCAATAACTAAACATTAATGAAATGATAAGAGGTTTAATGTCCTACACCATCTGGGCTAACAAAGACAGGCATACACCATGCAGTGCTCAGACAGCAGCAATATGGCCTTCTCTTATCTCGAAATTCCATCTGTCAAGGGTTCTTTTGCATGTACGCCAATGTGTACACAGGGCCTTATTTTTTATGTTCCATTCGAAATACAAGATGGAACCAGGACTTTTCCAGAGAAGTGACCTTTTCTAAATATGAGCAAATTAGTGAAATTCTTTCAGTTTTACAGCTACACATACAAAATATATAAAAACAATAAAATATTATCAACTTTATTCCTTTTTTATTATTAAGAGACATAAATAATTATCATGTAGGCATATATAGCTAGAGTTATGTACAAAAGTAGCTCAAAGCCTTGTAATTTTACTCTTGTTTGAACTAAAAAAGGACATGGAAGTGTCTTAGGGGGATGGGGCAGAATGAAAAGAGAAAGGACGGAGTTATCATTTCAATTATCATTTAGTAGACTCACATTAGAACCATTTCACTATTATACAAAACATGACAAATTCATATTACTTTTTATGTCTGTAACATTCCTCATTAGTATCACAAACATTGAGACAGGTTCATCAAAATAAATTACAGTGTGATTTGAGATTTCACCTCTTGGGTTGATTCTCCATTAACTAGAAAATACAAAAAAAATGAACAAAATTTTCGCTTCTTGAAAATATATTATAATAATTGAACATATTAGAAATCAAATGATAAAAGATCAAAGTTGTAGTAGTATCAACTTGTAGTATCTTGTTTACATCTGTTTGTCTTATGTGTAGTTTATCTAGTCATGGTTATTACTTGACTGTATTCACTGAAAATATAAAACACAGGCAAATATTACAAATATAATATAATAAAGGATAGTCATTTTATACTATTTCCAGGTTTCAAGGGTATAAACATTATGATTGGAGAATACTTTATTTATTGCATAAAGCTGCAACTTAGACTATATTGGTCAAAAAATGATAAAATCAACACATGCTAATTCGTAATTGAAGTCCCTTTATGTTCACTTACTTCACTTTAACCAGGTAGCATAACTGGGATGCCTGATACTAGCTAGTATTTGATTTACACTAAAAGTAGTTGGTTGTTGAAAACCGAGATTGTCATCCCTGTACCTTTAACAATATGTGGCAGCAAGGGAGTAGGTGCTGTTGACAGCTGATGACAGAGTCATCTTCTTGTTTCAGACAGAAGAAGAAATCATCCCTATCAGCCTCAGATAATATCTTATATAGGATTTTTGGATTAATTGTTTTAATCTTAATAACTATTCAAAACATTATTGAGTCTTGATTTATTCTATATTTAAATAAGAAAAATTATTATTGGCCTTTGCACAGTCCTTGTGCACATCATGGAATAAAACATGAAATGAAATGGGACAAAAAAACCACAGAAAGCTGTTATTTACATAGTTCATACTGTTCATTTTAATGATGTTTTCAAGTCAGAAAAAAAGTTTGAATTAAAACATTATTTACCTCTACAGATTTCAATAATTCTTTAACATCTACATCCCCAGAAGAAGATTCACTGATGGCAACATTGAGCGAAAATGTCCAGCTAGCTGTGCCCTTGTCTGATTTAGCAGTAACTGTATATAAACCAGTATCTGTTGACAAAGCAGCCGGGATCTCGAAACTAAATTTGTTGTCTTCTTCGGTAAATCTGAATCTTCCAGTGTCTTCTAATGTTCTGTCTCCTTGACTCCAGCTCACTGAAAATATGGCAGATGTGTTTTTATTTTAAGCTTAAAGGACAATATTGGTGCCAGTCATTATCACACATTGTGATAGAGCTGGTTAAACACATTCCAAATATAATTTTAACACAGAGATCATTGCTTCGATAGCTGAGTAATACAGGTTTCCCGAATCGGAAGTGACGAACGCCAAAGGAAAACAAGAGTCATACCTCTATATAACTGATTGATGTGACAAGTGATAACAGATACACGGCCGAATTTAAGTGAAATCAGTTTTATCACTTATTCTAACATCTATTTTATCACTTCAAATTTTTACACAGAGAGAAGATTAATAAGATAGATGAATTGATAGTTTAAACAAAAACTAGATTAGTTGAATAATAAATTTATCCCATAATTTCAAAATCATATCATTTAATCTTTCTTTACCTGTAACTGGCTCAGCCGAGGTTACGGAACATGAAAATTTAACAGAGCTTCCTTCATCAATATTAGAGGACTGGGGATACGTTGCAAAACTTGGTCCAGTAACTTCTTCATCTGGAACTGAAATATAGAAGAAATAACCGTAGAAGTTAATCAATAACATTTATTTATATATATACTTATAATGCTGATAACTGGAGCACAAGATTTTAAATTTCACTCGCTGTGTTGAAAGTATTTAAATTTACGACAACCTGAATCTCAGTATCGGGTGAAAAAGTAACCCAGGAGTTTCCAGCGTGGTTTCCCTTTGTCAGTGGTACAGGATGCAGGGCTTGGCAAAGAACAGGGTCTAGTTCTTTGGAGGGGATGTGAAACCCAGGTCTTGTATACACATAGACCTGCACAAACAAAATTTTCCTCATAGAACATGAAATGGTATTAGCCAAGTTGGTACAGATAAGTAGAACATTAAACAAACTCCATTTCATGATCATATGTTAGTGTCAAAATGTTCTGATAACAGACACCTAGGGAGCCACAGTGGCTAAGTGGGTTAGACCCTGGCTGGCTAGCCTGGAGGTGTTGACCAATAAGTTCGTGATTTTCCGGTGTGGTTTCCCCTTGTCAGTGGTGTAAGATGGAGGGTCTGACACGGACAGCTGGCTAGTAGTTCAGATGAGATAGAAAACCAAGGTCCCATGTACATATTGGTGTGCACATAAAAGACCCCTTGGCAGTTGGAATTCGATATAAGAGTAGGCCGTAGCGCTGCTGTCCGGGCAAAATTTCCCTCATAGCACACTGTATGGCGCATACCCGTCTTCATTAGCCCAGTCAGAGCAGAACAGTAGGACATTAAACCCCATTTCATTTTCATCAGACACCAAACTCTATTCTTTCCTATTCCTTTTTTGACATACAAATGAGGGCCATAATTCAGGCAATTACAATTCGATATGCGCAAATATCGAAAGGAACTGAGATCTTTGTGTTATAAACTTACATTTTAAGTTTCAACAAAATCGGATAAAAATTGTGACCTCAGTCGTCCTTAGGGTGTAACGGTGATATAATAATACGTTTTAAATCGGATAAAAGTTATGACCTGTATACGGTCCACAAGCTAAAAACGCGATTTTTCGTACAATCAGGGCCCATAATTCAGGAAGTTACGGTCCGATATGCGCGAATATCAAAAGGAACCAAGATCTTTGGGTTATAAACTTACATTTCAAGTTTCAACAAAATCGGATAAAAATTGTGACCTCTATTGGGTCCACAACCTTGATATACCATATTCTTACGCTATTTGAGAACGAACGGCGGCCATTTTATCTGTCAATTTTGGGCCGATTTTCACGAAATACAAACTCATTCGTCCTTAGGGAGTAACATTGATATAATAATACGTTTTTTTAAATCGGATAAAAATTATGACCTCTATAGGGTCCACAAGCTAAAAACGCGATTTTTCGTACAATCAGGGGGCATAATTCAGGAAGTTACGGTCCGATATGCGCGAATATCGAAAGGAACCGAGATCTTTGGGTTATAAACTTACATTTCAAGTTTCAACAAAATCGGATAAAAATTGTGACCTCTATAGGGTCCACAAGCTAAAAATGTGATTTTTCGTACAAACAGGGGCCATAATCCATGAAGTTTCGATCCGATACATGCCAATATCGAAAGCAGTCGAGATCTTTTGGAGATAAACCTATATTTCAAGTTTCGTCAAAATCGGATAAGAATTGTGACCTGTAGAGTGTCCACAAACAAATTGTGGACGGACGGACGTCCGGACGGACAGGGGCGACGGCATAATATGTCCACATGAAAATGTGGGCGTATAAAAATGAAAAATATTCTAATATATTTACCAACAACTTGAATTGTACAAGCACTAGAAACACTGCCAACAGCTGTATTAGCTGTAACTTTATAAATGCCACTATCTTCAGGGAAAACTTCAGCTATAACAAGTTTATAAGTATCTCCAGCGTTTTCATATCTAAAGTCATCTGTATTTTTTATTTCTTTACCATTGCGTGACCACACAACATCGGGTTTACCTAAAAACAAGAAACAATTTGAAATGAAAATAGTGTAACCAATAGATTCTAATACTTGAAACCAACAATAGATGTTTTGTGAGTGAATAACCCCATACTACATTAGAAATGAGAGAAAAACGTACTGCCCTGAGAAAATCCACCAGATTATGTAGGCAACTGTACTACTTATCAGTACAAGCCTGAAATCAGCTCCATGTCAACTGGCTTTATATTGTACAATAAGGCCTTTGGACCACATAGTCAGTCACCTTACCTGCCATGTCTTGTCAAGAGAATTTATAAACAGATGTTTTAATATTGAAATTTCAAAACAAAATGTCCTGGCAGTGAATACCCAAACAAAACTTTTTGCTGTCTTTTTTTATAGGTTAACAATAATAATGAAATAAAAAATTTCTTCTCCATTGAGTGAAAACCCGCAAAAGATATGCTTTAAAAATAAATAATGAATTTACCAGATATAGAGCACTTTAACGTTACTGAATCACCATCTTTAATAATTTGACCTTGTACATGTTCTGTTATTCGTGGACATTCTGTGCTAGTACTGGAAGGAGTTGTGGATTGGATTTCTTTGGGGGTGGGGGTGGGTTTTTCTGAAACTAAAAGATTGGTAAATATACATAATATATTCGTAAGTAATTCACTAATGGTAAACAATTTTCAACTATTTCAATTATCACTGTTAATCCACTAATGGTAAACAACTTTCAGCAGTTTCAATTATCACTGTTAATTAAAGGGGCATTATGAGATATTAGATAAAGAGCTGACAGTTCTCGCTATAATAGTTTGAAAAAAGATAACATAAAGAGAATATGATCAAAATTTCTGTCAAATTGCTCCAGTCTGAACTGAGATATTAGCAACTGAATTTTAGGCCTGGCCTCGATCATCATTACTAAAATCAGGACAATAAAAAAACAAAGTCTCGATTATCCCTTTTGATGTTAAACCATCCATCACACAATGTATTCAAATCCAGTAAATATCGCAGGCTAGCGATGACATCCAGAGTTGATTATGGTCTGGATAAGTTAATTAAAGTCTAATTAATAGTTTATATAACACTTCAGGCCTAAAGATAGATCTGCAATAGACAGATTTAGCTCTTGCATAATGTATGTTTTAACTAATGGTAAACAACTTTCAGCTGTATTAATTATCAGTTAGCACTACTGGTACAGAGAAGAAGATTTGCATTACACAAGCATTAGATTAAAACTCTTCTTTTTTTTACATCTTTTCTGAGAATATGCACCATGTGGTGTCTAGCCTGTGCACCAGGATTGCTTTTCTGTCCCCTTTTTGTATCTTGCATTGTCTATTGTGGTTACTTTTACATACCTGTAACAACAACATTTGCTTTAGTAGAAGCAACACCAGCAGGGTTAGATGCTTTACAAACATAATCGCCTTCATCGTCAATAACAACATCAGCTATTTCTAACGTAGATACTCCATTACTAGTTGTTATAGATACAACATCGTCGGATTTCAACATCTATAATAAACAGAATATCATCTATAAATACAATATAACTTCTATAATAAACAGAATATTATCTATAAATACAATACAAATCCTATAATAAACAGAATAAATCATAGATATTTACCATATAATGTCATCGTGATACTGATGTTACAGCCAAATGACAGAATGTGTTATTGTAGATCCATTATTATATATACAAGAGTTTGACATTAAAAGTGGGGTTCGGTATGTCCTGATTTGTGTCGTGAGGAGGTTAAACCCCATTTGTCTTTCTCTTGAATATATAAGAGCAATATTAACACCCAGCATACTGGTGTATTAACATATTCCTTTAATAATTCCATATAAACAAATTTTCTAAAGGTGTGGAGTTGGTGTGGTCAAGAGGGCTGACACATGCACTGTAGTTAATAAGGCATTTTACTTCATTGCAAGTCACATGTTTGATCCCAGGAGTAAAGTTGCATGCCTAATCCTGTGGATTTTCTCTGGGTTTTCTTCCTCTTTTAAAGATTCCAGCCCACAATCAGATCATTAAAATAAATCATACCATGTGTTAGTACCAAAACTTTCAAACACTATCTCCTTCTCTGTTTCTTCTGGCAATAAATTTTATTATCACTATTTGTAAATGATGTACACAAGGACTTCAATATAATGCTTTTGTTGAATGCCCAATGGTAATATGTTTTAATGAACGCATTATACACACTATACTCTTAGTGTTGTAATAGTGATATTTAACAGAATCAACACACCTTCATCAGGTATTTCAATATTCAAATTATCTTACCTGTCCATTTAAGAACCATTCCAAGCATGGTTCTGGTTTACCGGAGGCAGAACATTGTAATCGTAATTTACCACCCTCTCTGACCGTCTGTGGAGACAAATTTTCTAAAAACTGGGGGGCCTGTGCTTCTTCTGTTTAAAGGAAAGAAGAAATATTGTGAACAAAAAGGTGATATTTCACAGCTACAGACATAGAAAATCAAACTATGTTTTATCTGTGATGTTTTAACCTGTAGGTATATAAATCTATTTTATACTTATTAAAAGATTACCATAAGTTGAGACAAAATCTTTAATATTACCGCTTTGCTTTCAATCACATATCAGGGTTACATTTTCAGCTTTTGTTTTAAATTTGTTTAAATATTAATGAACTATATTATTATACTTGATTATGTAACAAAAAAATTAAGACAGTAATTGGATATTAACTGAAAAATATCAAAAGACATTGGGAATTTTTATGACATACTCTGACAATTTGTCAACCAGATTAGGTACACATATACAAGAAATTTAATAAAGGTTTTTGTTTGTGTAAAATTAACAGATAAAATAGGATGGAAAATATTGTGCTTCAAGGTGGATTTCTTTTTAAAGGTACTCAACTGCAAATACATAATTAGCTGAGAATGGTAAAAATTTCATTAAATTAAAAACACAGCAGACAACAAGTAGTCTCTTTGATATATTGGTTAATAGGCATTGTTAGTAAGTTGACCAAAACACACGAATATCTGATAATAGAAATATATAAAATCATTGCTAATATCATCTTCCATAAAATCAAAATGTACCATTTCATGAAGTAACGAATATAGTTCTAATTTTTTTATAAAAGGATTTTTATGTTATTATCAAGTATATAAAGATCCAAGAGAAAGCTTTTAGCAGAATAAAATGTCTGAACTGTGGAGACTTATTTCCCACGTGAAGATACAAGCTGGCAAAAGAAATACTGAATAATATGAATTTGTTAGTAAGTTTTACATAATATATATAAAATAAAATAATTCATCAGATATTTTAATGATTAGATTTAAGAGGTAAAGATTAGATATGTTCAATTATATTTTGTTAATTTGCTTCTGAATGGATGAGATTGTGAAGGAATAAAGCATGAAGCGCATTAAGAAGTAGTGTTTGCTTATTTTTGTATGGTAGCCATGTTATGAATGTCAACTTACCCGAAACCTTTCTCTCTGTTTCTATGGCACCTTAACAAATGATTAGTTTTATGTAATATGATAATGAAAATAAAAATATGAAAAGAACATTAGCAGTATATGCTAATATGAAACTTAGTGTAGATTTTAGTGTATTGAATTTTTGTGATAAGCCTACAACAAAATTAGTCCTCTGATGAAACAACAAAATAAGAAAAAAGGTCTACTGTGTAAAATCTGTGTATTATTGATGTATGTTTGTATAATTCGTGTACTCTTGTATGTTTCAGTACAAAATAATTACTCAGTTTAAACTGTTTAATTATAGATATGACAATTAGATCAATTTTGTCAAATTCCTCCATTGCTGGCATTGGACACCTCGCACATTAGTGCTTTACTTTCTGCGATGACACAACATTTTACACAGTACTGGATACTATTATTTACAACATCTATTTTACTAGCTATTTAAATTACAACATCTATCATATAAATAAAACAGCAATACCTAATATACATAATATAACTCTAACTAAACTACAGAAAATCAACTTTCAACAAAAACTGTGATTAAAGGAGCCATCCCACCAGATATATTATAGTGAATAAAACTGATTGATTCTAATTGAAAGATTCTTAAAGCCAGTAGCCTACAGCTTCTGGAATTCTGGTCCAAACCATTGTCCAGCCAGTCATAAATAGTGGTGGGTGTCGTACAGGGGACAGGGTATACCTACTCTTTCTAGAACACTGGACACAACAACTTTACATTTGCTGTGCTGCACTTTTGCATTAGAAACATTTATCCTAGCCCCATGCTACTATCTGAAGCTATGTGATAATAATTCGGAGAATACAAATGGTCAGTTTTTTGTGTGTTTGGTGACAAATTTTCACAGATAACGGTAGAAGTGTCTAGATAACCATGTTAATAATCTTGCCATACTACATGGTAGTTGATTTTATCAGGTCACACATTGCACATATTCAACAGACCATAATTCTTTATCTGAAGAATGTACCTTAGTTATACAATCTGGGGGTCATTTCTAAATGGCTTAATAAAATTTTTTTTTTTAATTTTTTTTTTCATTTTGACATTTGGTTTGTTTACTTAAATCCACTTGTGAAATATGGGATTGCTCCTTTAATATATTACATCTAATTATTCCTATCAGGATCTATGACTTTGTTTTACTCAACAACAAACTGTTAAAAATTTTTACTTTTTCTCTCTGTACGTGAGGATGAAGATGTTTCCTCGGTACGACTGGTTCGACTTTTACGAGTTGAAGACGAGGTGGAAGTGGACGTGGACGTGGAAGTTTCTTCGAAGGAATAATCTTCAAAGTTGTGTCCAGATTTGGTACGACGTACTGATCTAGAGTATGTTGAGCGAGAAGATGAAGAATCTTCATCTTTTTTCTTATATGTTCTATCTGTAATACAATAATAAATAATAATTCATACAAACTTAATTAAAATTATTTTGATACATGATGGCTTTAAAGAGGCATTAACTATCTCGCCATGTAAATAAATGTAATACCTGTCGGTCGCCAAATATATGAAAGTGGCGATTAAAATTTGATTTTGGCAATAACGTTTTAGGCTACCAGCAATTCTTTTGAAGAACTGGTGGGAAAAAATCTTAAAATTCTAATCGTATATATTCTAGATTGATTATTCCTCAAGTGTCAATCACAATCACATAGCAGCATACTATAAATTTATCAACTTGCTGATAATCCGGATCATGTCAACAAGAAACACTAACCAATTGTCTTGGATTAATGATTGTTTGATTGATAATTGCCAGTGATATATATAAAGCCTATCTCAAGTCATTATTTGCTCTTTATAATTAATTCAAGCGTAATTTTTTTATGTTTCGTTTCGGCCCATGGTGTTAGCATGGTTGTTTATAGCTAACCGTATGCGGAATAGCGCTAGCTGAAATGGCTGCCATCTTTATTGCACAAAAAATGTCGACATCATCAGCTGCAGACTTCAATATTGATACAGGGAAAAGCCTGGATTTGCTTAATGCTATGTATTAGGTACACCCCTTCTATAAATAAACATATCTGGTAAAAAAAGTTCGCTTAATACACCGAAAAATATGGTAAATGGAAATAATCAAAATGGCTGACAATTCTATTCAAACAGAAATAAATATTTGGATAGTTGAATTCAGTTTACCATGACTTCATATGGCATGTAAAATATACAAGCATGTCTAATCGGATATTATTTTTTTCAAATTATATTATCACCATTGGTAGAAAACGCTATCTGATTAAAATACAGATCTATATTTCGTTTCATTTTTTTATAATTTCGATGGCCTCTACTACATGAAGATCTGACCAGTTGTAGCGATAGGTTCCTTCAGAGGTCATACGAGCAGCTTTTGACCCTATGACGTCAGACATTTGATTGGCCAATCAGCATTGATGTTTCTGGTGGATTACCCACAGTTCTGTGCACCACACAGCAAAAGCTTGCTGTAACATTGGCTGTTTCATTGGCTAAAAACTCACATCATCCAGAACACATCAATGATAACAACTCTTCCAGATTCTAGTTATGGTAAAGACAAGTAAAATGAAATTTTGAACTATAAAAAACGAAACAAAATAGGATCTGTGTTTTAATCAGACTGTCGGAAACATAAGAACAATTCTGGAGTGAGAAAATGGTCTGCCATTTGTTTCATTACGGCAGCCAAAATGCTCTAAAGTAAACGACGAGTTTGATTGTAAGCATCTCTTACACAATTGAAATTGAAATTTGTATCCTTCTATCAGGGATTCAGATTTTGATACCGTTTTGCAGTACCTTAAAATATCAATATAAGGCCTATTGTACATGAAAAAAAATAAATTTATAGAAAATTGGCAATCTCAGGATGAGATATGATGTGTAAATACTGAAAATATATTGTGCAAGACTAAAGTCACCAAAAATATAATATAATCTGAAATCATCTCAAAACTGTGCTTAGGTATTATGTAAGTCACAAATGGTTCAATACAATCCAATTCAAATATGTAAATACATGTTGAAATTACAGCAACTGAGGTTATTTGACATACGATACAACAATTTCTTGTCACGCTGTATCCAGAAACCCATGTCCAAACCCTTTTCCTGTTTAGCTGGCTGTCATGCATAAGTTATAGTATGCAAGCTCTCATTCCAGAACATCTGATACCATCTTTCATTTATCTGAGAAGTTTGCATAGTAAACAAGCTGTCATTGTAGTTTGGTATTGTATACATATAATATGATTACCTTCAACATCAACTCTACATTTAGTTTCTTCTTCACCCAGATCATTTATAGCAATACATGTATAATTTCCTGTATCTGTTACTTTAGCCATTGTTACTTCTAATGAGCAAATACCAGATGAATATTCTATATTATAATGATCATTATTAGTTAGTTCACGGCCATCTTTATACCAAGTTATCTAAAATAAAAAGTTTCGTATTTTCAAGTTTCATATTTTCAAGTTTTATTATTTTTAAGTTTCATTTTCGAGATCCATGTTTCATTGGTTTGTTAAAACACAACTACTGAAATAAACATAAGTATAACTACCGTGCCAATACTTCTATGAAATTGTTTTGATATTTAAAATTCCAAACAAGGGCTTTAATTAGCTAAATATCATAACAAGTATCTGGCAGGAGCTATGTGTACTTAATCATTCCAAAATACCCAATACTACTTGATCATTTTATGTTCACATTCTCTGCATTTTCCCAGCATCTCAAAGACTGCTCATATTTCATGTTAAATTTGAAGTTCAGAATACAATTAATGCTGTTACCTTTGGAACTGGATATGCTTTAACACAAGAGATAAGTTTAAATTCTGAACCAGCTTGAATAAGACGGGGACGGAGACCGAATGTCCAGTTTGGTGGTTCATCTTCAATTGGTTTTTCTATTACTTTTTCTTCCGATACTCTCTTCCTGTAAATATAGAAACAATAGGTTCATTTTTAGCTTGATTCAAAAATAGAATATTAACTATCAATAATGTTGAACTTTTGCCAGCCTGACAATTTTACATGTATTACAGTTCAAATTTGAAATCTACTTTAGAAATATGACTGTTTCTTCCATTTGTTTCCTGCATATATAAGAAATAAAACCTACAAAATGGATTGCATCTATTGCTTTTTCAAGAAATTTATGTGTGATTACAGTTAAAAATATGAATTTTCTATAATTCAAACTGACATTCTATTAGATTAATTTGATAACATATACGTTCTACATACTTTCGTGGTGTGTTTTCTCTACTGGCTATTTTTGGTAAATCAGGAAGGGCTGAATAAAAAACAACACAAAGCAATTGAGGTGCAATGAAACAAAGTCATAAGACATGGTTACACTAGTTTCCAAGTCAAAGTTGGTTATTAGCAGGGCTTCCACTTCAAAAATTTGACTTTCTGTCATTTTTAATAACACATAGAAACATTGCAAATTAAATTCATATTCCATGTTCTTATTTATGCCATGGTATAGTGAATTCATGTGTCTATACCATTTTGTCAATATGGTGTACACAAAATATTTATATATTGGACTAAGAAATGAAATATAAGTACCGTTATAATAACTATTTATTAATGGAATATTTCTTTTTAGCTATTCAAATAGCTTTTATTATCGAAATTTCTACTTTGATTAAAGAAGAATAAAGCACTGAAACGGCAGTAAAAAGACAATAATACTGAATTGTATTGAATATACAATAAAATATTCTTTACCATCGATAACAAGTTTGGCTGTATTTTCTTTTCTACCAAAAGAGTTTTCAGCTCTAACCATGACCTCGCCTCGATCTGATGTGGTTACTCTACTCATCTTTAATTCATATTCATTACCGTGATATTTCTGCATATATTTGTAACTCTGATTCAATAAACTGTTTTCTAAATACCTGAAAATATATTAATTACATATAATATTATCTGATATCCTGAAGAGGTATTAAGACTTTGCAAACCATCATAAATTAGTAAAAAATAATTTTTGATTTGAAGTGAATTGACCAAATGGTTATAGTAGGATTTTTCCACTTACATTTAAAGCAAAATTGGAGACAGATATACAAGTTACATTATAAGTTAAATCCAATCTGCCTCTCCATACAGCTGAGATATGTAACAAGATTCACAGTGAGTTGTAAACTATATTGACTTTTAAGGTGTTAATATTGGTCAGGTTGTTTTAAATATCATTTTATTCACAATTAATTACACTTTAAATTGATTTATAATGTTTGTAATTATGTTTTTTCCTGAAATCATACACAACAAAACAATGCTGTTTCTTCTTAGAAACTCAACATCTGTGAATACCATAAAGTCATTTAACAGACTTATCACTCGATATCTTGAGAAATCATTTGAAAAAGTATTATCTATAACGAAGCTTACAATTTCAACTATTATTTAGTGGTAAATATATTACAACTAATTATTAATACTTTATAATTCTTACCAGGTGACAATAGGAGGTGAAGCAGCAATAATTTTACAATCAAATTTAGCAACTTGACCTTCTGTGACATGTACATTCCTGGGTTTGCGAACAAACCTCGGTACAGCCTCCTTTCGATCTATAATAGTAAACATAAATTAATTAATATAAACATATCTGATGACTATACATTAAAGGAATATTTTCTCCTCTATATCATTGTTATGCATTCATTATCAGTCTACCATTACACAAGAGAAATTATATGAAGCAAACAGTTTTAAAAGATCAACTTACCAAAGGAGCTTTCGTAAATCTGGTATTCTTTTGGTCTGTGCTTCCTGAGAGAACTGAAGTTGGCAATTCTACCAATAGCTGGCATGGGATGAGGCCAATCAGCCTGTAATGAAAACATTATATTTTTGTATAATATTATATTTGTACTTGTAGTCTTGGAATATAAATACTTGCACATATGATTACCTTGAAAGATAAATGTTTGAATTGTCTTAAATGATCAAAGTATGAGTTATTATTATCTTAAATGATAAAAAATTAAGTTATGATTATATTGAATGATAAAAGTATGAGTTCTTGTTATGTTAAATTATAAAAGGTTAAGTTATGATTATATTCAGTAATAAAAGTATAAGTTATATATGATTATCTTGAATGATAAAAGTTTATCTGATTGTCTTCAGCAATAAATCTTAGAGGTATGATTAGCTTTAATGACAAGTTTGAAGTATGATCATCTTTAATGATAAAAGTTTAATCTGATTATCTTCAACGATTATTCTTAGATGCATGATATTTGAGGTATTATTATTCTCCATGATAAAATCTGAAGTATTATTATATTTAAAATCATGGTTAAAATTTAAGAATACTTACGTATTTTTCCTTTATTTTTTGTCGGATCTTGTCATATCGGCTAGATGGTATTCTGTGTGTTCTGTCACTAAGATCACCCTGTAAATACAATAATAAGAGTTAGTTTTAAAATATAACACCAAACATAATATTCTAGATTTTCAGTTCATAGAAAATTAAAGAGGAATCAACATCACAAGGATCTTATAATCGCCACAAATGTAACTTGTAAGATACAAAATCCAATTTCATCTACTTAAAACAGAATAATAATTTTTTTTATAAATGATAGAATATCTTACCTTCAACCATGGGTGTTCCAAACATTCGTGTACAGTCATTCTCTTTCTGTAAATAAAAACCAATAAATAATTATTTTCAAAATAAATTCAGTAAAACCAAAATGCCAATTTCTAAAAACGTAGAATTAGAAAACACCGGACACAAATTTGTAATTAGACCTGAATAAAGTTATTATTATTAGGTAAGACTTACACTGGAGCTTTCTGAAGAAGAGCTTTGATAAATTCTTTGCCTTCAGCAGATACACTAGAGAAGGCATCGTCATCAAATTCCCAATCTGCACGTTTAACATTCTGTAAAGTTTCTAAATCATCTTCTCCGGCAAATGGTGATAAACCACTAAGTCTGAAACATTAAATAAAAATATTATAATCAAATGAAGTCAGGCAAAATATAAAGATAGGCTGCAATGAAACATACACCCACAGCAGGTAAGTCATCCGAGCAGTCAACAAGGGGCGTCAGATATTGACCTCTAGTTGTCCAATGCTAACACTTTGATCTCTAAATTTTTCAAAGTGATCAGGGGCCATAACTCTGGCAATAATTATTGGAAAGTGTTGAAAATCAGAAGGCTTCTGCGCCTCATGACTATAACCAATGTGTCCAATGTGTATTGGTTTCAAGTCAATCGGATAGTGGACATCAGCCCGACCAACTGAGGCAATGATAATATAAGATAACATTTTAAAGTGGTCATATAAAAATGGTCACCAATATACACACATAATGGCGGACAAAAGTATGTGATAAATTAAAGCCAGGAAATATACCTTTTGGTTAGACTTTAATCTATTTAATCAAATTAATAAAATATCATACAACTTACAAGACATAAGCTAAAACACCAACAGCCCACATATCTGTGTAAAAACCAACTGGTTCTCGTTCAGCTATTTCTGGGGCAGCAAATTCAGCAGTAGCTGTTGTCACCTTAACAATTTCATCTGGATTTAATTTAGTAGCCAAGCCAAAATCAATAATCTTTACATTTGTTCCCTTTTTGGTGTCACACATCACATTTTCAGGCTATAATAAAGAGTAATTCAGGTAATAAAATAAATAATGATAATACATTACAGGCACAAACACTTACTTCTAATGGATAAACTCTCACAGATCACAAGTTTTGTTGAGGAGCCACAGTGACTCAGCGAGTAAGGTGCTAACTCACTAACCTTGAGGTTCCAAGTTTGAACCACATTGGCACAGACAGATGATTGGGATTTTTCAGCATGGTTTCACATAGTCAGTGGAGCAGGACAGAGTGCCTAGCAAGGAACGGTGTCTAGTCATTCAAATGGTACAAAAATAGGGGATCCTGTATACACCTTTGTGTGCACGTAAAAAAAAAGCCCTTGAAAATTTCCCTTATGGCACACTGCACAGTGTATGCACGCCGTCATAAGCCAAGTTGGTCAAGAAAAGTAGGATGTTAAACCCCATTTCATTTCATTTCATGTCTTGCTAACTCTCATATTTTTAGCGTCTGTTTACTGAAGATTAACCCTTTCAACACACACCCCTCTAATTGATTATATTTGTTTACCTTGATGTCTAAATGAACTATACTGTTTTCATGCATATGTTTTAAACCTTCACAGACTTGTCGCATGTAGTGAATAACTTCAGCCTCTGACATTTTATAATCTTCAGCAGCTATTCTATCAAATAATTCACCACCAGACAAACTAGAATATACAAATAAACATGTATGTATTCATAAAACTTTTCAAAGATGCATCAACTTTCTTACCATAAAATAAATTTTTATATGATACAAAATATTTCACACCACAAAAACTAACTGTACTTACAATTCTAGAATAAGAACCATCTCATATTTATCATCGAAGGCATCGTGTAGATTAATCAACTTAGGATGATGTAGTTGATTCATTACACTAATCTCATTCTTCACTGTTAGTTTATCACAGGGGTAGGGAGAATTAATAAATTTAGCTACAAATGTTCGACCAGTAGCCTTTTCAATACAACGATGTACAACACCAAAAGCACCACTAAAAAAAAGAAAAAATATAGATAAGAAAATGTGAAATTGTTCTGTTTTAGTTGCACAGAGAAGTATTTGTAAAGTTAGATCATTCCATAATACAGTTGTTTTGGGTTGGTTTTTTTTAATTAATTAAAGAACCATTAAGTAAGAGCTACATCTGCTTATTGCAGGTCTTTTTTCTGACTTCAAATGTTATATAATTATTATTTAAACATTTATTAATATAACAAGTCAATAATCAATTCTCTGGGCCATCGCATAGCTCCAATTTTAAGAAGATTAGAGCATTGCGGCCATTTAAGAGATTAACAATAAAATAGATAATCGCGACTTAGTCTCCACTCATAACTTCGCACAGAATAATGGCATTTGACTGAAATTTTCAATAAATTCATTTTTCATTATCTATTTTTGAATTATTTTATCAAGAACGGTCACCTCTTTATCTAATATTGCATCTTTAATGGTATTAACTACAAAAATTTCATTCGTTTAACCATGTTGATCAAACATGTACATTGGCAAAAGTCACTCTATTACAACATGACACATATGTAGTGAAGCAACGCTCTGTTACACGCACCTATCTTCATTTCAGAGTACGGTACTATCTGACTGACCATGCCATGTAGTTATAATTAGTTCACAGTAGTCTAGGCTATGCAGTGACAACACCATTGTTCTTACAGACCACTGGGTAAAGATATAGCACTAATAGATATACTGAGCACTGACTGGATGGAGAGGAGGGAGGATGGTGGTGATTACCATCATGGTGTATATAAAACCTGACAGAATGCTATTACATGTAGACGTTGGACTGTATATCATTATATTTACCTGCCAAGTTCTTCTAGAATATCATAATAATCATAAACACTGCCTGTTTTAACATCTACTGGTTGTGGTACATGTTTCTTCCATATATCTTCATCTACAAAATAAAATATGTTATTTTAAAATCACACAATATGAGGTTTTTATCCCATGGTGCTAGAACCATACAAGGTCTCACTGTTGTAGACAGTTTGTTGTCGCAATCAACCCATCATGACCACAACTTGATGAAGCTCGCTGGAAACCACAGAGTTGCTCTAGACAGGAGTTAAAATTGTTTTTTTTTAAACATTTAAAGAAAAATTAAAATAAAAACTTACAGAATTTATCATAGTCATTAATCTTAGGACCATCATATTTGCCTCGAACACGTCTGCCAAACTCATCTGAAAAATAAAAATAAATCTTTATTCTCACAGTTCCATGTTTCAATTTCAGTAAAACATCTATTATCTATACTGGTTAGTAGGATTTGACCATGATGTAAAGACCATAGACATAAGAAGGGTTTTCAATGTTGGCCCCTGACTGTTGAATCACACCAGTTCCTCAGTCAAGGTTATGCAGTGATAACAAAACTAGCTGTCTGAAAGATTATTGAAAAAACTAGTGCAGAAAATGGCATTGGTTATTATGTTTGAGATGTAATTTTGAGAAATATAATGCACATTGAAACTGCGATTGTATCTATACAAAGCTGTGTCGTCATCAAAGCTGTGTCCTCATTAAATAAATATTTGTAAAACTATTTCATAGTTACCTTCCATCTGTCGCTTCTTTTTGACATCATCTGGTTCGTCTGTTTTAATAGTTCCAGTAGCTTCACATGGTTCACTTTTACCATAGAAATTCTCAGCCGAAACACGGAACTCGTATTCTTTATTAGGTGATAAACCAGTTACATTGTGGAAACAGAATCTACAAGGAGTCAACAAAACCATGTACTCAATTATATTAATGAGATTTTAGTTCAATTCTGATTCTTGAAATAAACCAAATAAACTTCAATTCAAAACAAAACTTCCAAAATTGGTTATATATTATTATATTATTATTAGCAATGAAATATCCATGCTTTATTTATACACAATGGTTTAACATCTGCTTTTTTTTAAATAACAAAATCATTTCAAATATTTTGCAAGGCTTTAAGAATTCAAAGCTTTAGATTTGTGTTGATCTTCAAGTTAATCAGACTCTGAGATTCTTGCAAATTTTTAGTCCTACACCTGGTTTAAATATAGAGTCATCATAAGCATTAAGATAAGGATGTGATATAATAATATTAGTATACACTTACCTTGTAGAAGCACATCTGATCCATGAGTTGGATGGAAGTTCTCTCTTCTCTACAGTATATGCAGTAATAAAACTACCTCCATCGTTTAATGGTGCCTTCCATGATAATACAACAGAGTCATCTCGTATATTCTCCACAATTGGGAATCTTGGTGGATCAGGACGATCTGAAGAATACATTCCATTATATCAAGAAACAATTGAAATTTAATTCAAATATCACGATTCATACTACAATTGAAATCGTGGAGTAATCGTGGTCTTATCATTTACTGAGGTCAAAAGTAGCAATCGTTTTATCATATTTAAACATATCCGAATGTATCTGCACATACCAAATCGTGGACTCAATAGGGACAATCCAATCAAAATGCATCGCACAGTAGTTGAAACCTAGCATGACAGGTGTTGTGCATGGGTAAAGGTATGCTTACCCTTTGCAGAACACAATACACGGCTGTCCTAGCAAAATTTCACTCACAGTATACCACATGCCCGTCTTCATTAGTTTGGCTGGTGCAGAAAGATAGGATGATTTATACCCCATTTTATTTCATCATAACAAATATGCTTTGTACCAAAACTTTACATGTGAAAATAATTTATCACTGGTCATCAATCATCAAAAACTTCTTACCGTTAACTTGTATTTTAATAACAGCTGAGTCGCTACCCAGGTCATTTTCTAATTGTAATCTGTATGGACCGTCATCATCTTTGTTTACCTCTTTAATAGTAAGAAGGGCATGTCTTTCTGTGACCTCATAGTTGTAACGAGAACCTCTCAATTCTTCACCATCACGAATCCATTTAACGGTTGGTTTAGGATTACCAGTGAAGGGAATCTTGATTGTGATATTTTCACCTTTCTCAAATGTACAGACGTCTTTAAATCTGGGTGGTACATTAATCTTTGGTGGTGCTGTAAACATAAACAAACTAAATTTAAAGTCTGGTCTATTTTTTTTAATTTCATGATTATTCTTATTGCCAATCATGCAATATAGATGAATGAAACAATCAATTTTCTGGAATCAAGATGGCTAATAGAGAAACATCACTAACTTGTCATTTGGTGCAAATTCACAGAGTCAATTGCTGTTTTTATTGTGACACTGCTGACTGGGATTAAATTTGGAATTCTGTCAACAATTCTGTCATTCTTTGTGTACATTGCATTTTTCTATTCAAACATTATATTTGTCTATTTATCTTTTTATACATTATATTTGTCTATTTATACATTATATTTGTCTATTTATACATTACATTTTTTTCTCTTTGGAATCATGCTACTTCCAGTCCTAATGTCCCACTATTTATATACTTACATCTAATAGATAAATCAGCTCTGCTTGTTCTTGAACCACCTTTATTAGAAATACGACATGAATATTCATCAGCATCTTCACCATAAATATCATGAATAACAAGTATTTGTTTATCACCTTCCGAGATAACCTCAAATTTATCATTCTCATAAATTTCACGAGAACCCTTGAACCTGGAAATAAATAAATAAAATACATGTCAAAAGGTTATCAATTTTAACAAGGATAATTTGTCACAGAGAATATCAAACTGAAAGTGGTAGCCGCAGTAGCTCAGTGAGTAGTACGGTTTCTCTCTGTCAGCTGTGCAGACTGAATGTCTGGCACTGAACAGTGACTAGTCTTCAGATAGGATGAAAAAACATGGTCCTGTCTACACATCGGCATGCACCTTTGACAGCATGAATTCGAAATAAGAGTAGGTTGTTGGCAAGATTTTCCTCATAGCATACTGCACAGCATATGCCTGTCTTCGTCCGTGCAGAAATGTAGAATGTTAAACCCCATTTCATTTTCTACTGAAAGTATACCCTTGATGAAGGTCTGTTATGTCGATCATTATAATACTGGTAGAACAATACTGATTTTCATCCAATGTGACCATAAAGACATCTATTTTTTTAGTTATATTTTGACACAATATTGTCTTTTCTGTAATATTCAATACATACTTTCTTACAAATGTTGATTCGTCATTTTCACGAAACTATAATAAGATATAAAAGAATAAATGACAGGTAATTACCATTGTATGTCAGGTCTGGGAGTTCCAGATACCTCACATTCAAATCTAGCTGCTTTACCCTCCACAGCTTGACATGCTCGTAAACCAGATGTAAATTCAGGTATAACAGCAGCTGAAATACAAACAAACAAGATTATTCAATTTCTTCTCATTGAAAACAAATGTCACATTTTGAATGCACTTATAGTTTTTTTTAATAAAGAGTTTTGTTTTTGGTTACCCTTTAATTGGTTGGAATATCACTTTTATTGGTTTCTTGACAAAATCATTTATATATTTTACCTTTTGGATCCTTGATTTTGACTGTGTTGGAGGCCATGGATGGTTTACTTAATCCTGCTTCATTCTGAGCAAATACTCTGAATTCATACTTTCTATCTTCTATCAAATTAGGTATATTATACATGTTGGTGATACAAGGCTGAATATTACATTTGGACCAGTTATCGGTACCACTTTCTCTCTTCTCTATCCAATAGCCAGTAATACGTCCACCACCATCAGATGCTGGTTTAGGCCAGGTCAAGCTAACAAAGTCACCTCCTACTTCTGTAACTTCGGGTACACCTGGAGCATCGGGAGCATCTGGAAATACAAATATCATAACATTTTACTTCCGTGTTGACCGTTTATGACCAATTATCTGCAAAAACCAATACCCTCCCAGAACACAATTATGAGCAAATACCAATTTTGTAAACGCTGGTCGGCTGATCTCTATCTATCAGTTTTTAATGCACATGCATTTACTATCGTATGTTGTAACTTTCCTGTATATCTTTTTATTTGCTTTTATATCTATAGGGTTTCGAATCCCCGGTTGTACGTGACAAGGAGTAGGGTCGCCTGTCCAACCTCGTGGGTTTTCTCCGGGTCCTCCGGTTTCCTCCCACTGCTAAAGACCCCTACGCGCAAGCGAATTATTGAAATAAAATTAAACCATATGTTAGTCGCGAAATGACCTAGTTTGTGTTGAGTGGACGTTAAACCCCATTTCTCTCTCTCTCTATATATATATATATATATATATATATATCTATAGTGTAAAGCGCACTGGAGTACAGTATTGTGGAAGTGACTCTATACAAATGCATAATAATAATAATGATGATATGAAGAGATTTTCCATTAAAAACAAGATACATATGATAAATATTGACGAAAACCAAACACACTCACCAAAAGGCATCTTGGCAATGATGGCTGATTCAGCTTCCAATGGTTCAGAGTTGCCGTGGGTATTGACAGCAGACACACGGAACAAGTACTGAGAATTTTCATATAGTCCTTGAATATCCATGGCTGTGTCCTGTAAGACATCAAATTTTATGTTATAAAAAATGTCCATACATAATTTTAAAAAATGTCCATACATAATGACAAATTATTATAATATTTATACCTTGCATAAAGAAGCGACAGTAACCCAGTAAGGTTTACCCACTTCCTGTCTCTCTACACAATAACCTTGTATCTTAGCTCCACCATCTTCCCTTGGTGGTTTCCATGCCAACCTACAGGCATTCTTTGTAATATCAGAAACATGTAGAGGACCGCCTGGTTTTCCTGGTGGACCTGATAATAAAAAATTACATTGTTAGCAATGGTAGATAGATTATAAATTCTGTACATTTTAAAAATTTACCCTCTTTCTGTCTAAATGGTAGGCTTTCAATGAACTGTATAAATTCAGCATTCCAACACTTTAATGTTTTATTTGTTTATAATAATAATAATAACAATAAATACTTTATTTCATAAGGGTTGAATATTAGGTCAATGATCTTTCTTACATTTTGCTCTTTAAACAATAAGAACATAATGTATACATCAATAAGATGGAAAATGAGACAGAATTTTGTATGTTTCAACATCATATATATTACACATATACATTTATGGCACAAAACATGCAATACCGCTTTGAAAAAATGATTTACAATGATCAAAAAAAAAAAAAAAAAAAGAACCAACAAACGATGCATAATTATAAACAATGTATAGACTGTACGAAGATAAATGTTAATCGAATAAGGTGAAAGATGGAATTAATTTTTATTTAAATATCTAATTAGCTAGGCTTGAATGTCATTATTTGGATACTTACTGACAACCTTGAGTTTAAATGGACAAGAAGCTGTACCACTATCATTACTGATTTCAACTCGATAATTACCAGTATCATCACCTTCAGTATCTATAACAGTTAAAAATATGAAATTAAATGAAATGAAATGGGGTTTAACGTCCTACTGTTCTGCTCCGAACTGGGCTAATGAAGACGGGATATGCCATACAGTGTGCTATGAGGGGAAATTTTGCCCGGACAGCGGTACTAAGGCCTACTCTTATACCGAATTCCAACTGTCAAGGGATCTTTTACGTGCACGCCAATGTGTACATGGGACCTCGGTTTTTCGTCTCATCCGAATGACTAGACAGTTGTCCTTGTCAGGCCCTCCATCCTGCATCAATGACAAGGGGGAACCATGCCGGGAAATCTGAATGAACTTTCTCGGCCAATGCAGGGATCGAACACCCGACCTCCAGGCTAGCGAGCCAGTGTCTTACCCACTTAGCCAGCGAGATCCCCCAGTTAAAATTATAAAAACTTTACACCTCACAAGCACATTAAAACTGTACACAAGTCAGTCACCTTCAGTACATTAAGATAATATATATATCATTTAGGACAGTATTAACAAAGACTTACCTTTCAATACCAAGGTAACATAATCATCGAACGGTGACATCTTGAATCTATCACTTTCGGGCAGTTCTTTACCATTCTTATAGACCTTGATATTAAATGGTCCAGTACCACTGTATGGTATCTTTATCTTAAACTGATCACCAGCTTCACATTGTTGATCTCTAATATCTTTATCAACACGTGGTGGAGCTGAAATCATAAGATTCAATTAAAATTACTTTATTTAGACAATTTTTTGGGCCCATAAACAAATAATATTGGATTAACATCAAAGTGATATTTTGATTATTGGTGCATTAGACTACACAAGATGTGAGAATAGAATATATATCAAGTATACTATACCTTGTACATCAAAGTTACAATGACAAGATGTGGTTCCTAGTGGATTAGTTAATACACATTTAATCTCTCCTTTATCTGTATCATATATATCACTAATAACCAAAGAAGCTCTATCATCATCTTGCTTCATTCTATATCTACCAGAACTTCCAATATTAATACCATTCTTATACCTATAATCAAAATATATCATAATATTAATATCAATATCAATGGATGTAATAACTTGGCAAAACAGAAAGAAAATACAGATAAGTTAATACATACCACTGTATAGTTGGTGGTGGTTTACCATCAAATTCAACATTAAATGTTGCTTCCCCACCAATAGGACCTTTAGTATTCTGTAATTTCTTGGTGAAATCGGGCTCAGTGCCAACTACAAAATTAAGTAAAAAGGTTTATATTCTTTGAGGTAAAAAGGTTTGTAAGCAGTCATATTATATTCAAATCTTCAGACAATGATGTATAGTTGTAATGACAGTAGATATATTAATATTGAATCTATGATGATCATTAGCAATAATACCCACCGATCTTCTCTTTAATTTTAATAGGAGCACATGGTAAACTGGGTTCACTGCTGCCAGCAGTATTTAGAGCCACTACTCGGAACTCATATTCTGAATTTTCTGGTAGATTTGTTACAGTAAAGTTGCTATCAGTAATAGGGAACTCATTAGCTCGGAACCATTTATCACTACCCTTCTCTTTCTTCTCAATATTATAACCTTTAATTAATAATAACATTTCCTTTATTAATTTTTCACCTTCAGAAAAAAGGTACTGAAACAGACTTCTTATTTTTTTAAAAATTGCCATCAGCACATTACACATGTGGGTGACAGTTCAGACATAAAAATTTAAGTATCAAAATATTTATTTTTATTGTGTCTTTATTTATTAAATTCATAAATAACTGATTTCATTGGTGTTCTGAGCTAGATCTACCATTCATCAGCAAGAAAAAATGTACTGAAACCATGGAACATTTATTAATATTAATTACTGTATTTTATGCAGAAATTTCCATCTGAATCCCTTCCACCCAATCTCACATATTCTAAATATTATTGTAAATTAATAAATGTAATTTATAGATTTTGAAAAAAAAAAAATTTACCTTTAAGTTTGGTTCCACCATCTGATCTTGGTGGATCCCATTTAAGGTCAACATAAGTTCTACCTGTACCAACAGGTGCTGGTACACCAGGTGTTGATGGTTTACCTATATTAAAAGTAATACAAATATATAAGTTGACATTCTACTAGGAAACGTAGTATAACATTTCCTCCACAGAATCTGGAGAACCACAATGATTTAGATGTCTTTGATAAGTTATTAATGCTGTGAACAACAATCAAATTACTGTCATATTCTGTTCTAATCTGATGTATTTATACATAAAAAGGTATATAACTGTATAAGTAAAACTTACTGAATTTGGCTTTAAGAAGAACTGGTCCAGTGGACATACAAGGTTCACTGAATCCAGCAGCATTCTTAGCTTTAACTCTAAACTCATATTCTTTATCTTTACTTAATCCATCAACTAAAATAAAGAGCAAAATCTGTATCCATTTTTCTTATTAATATAAAAACCAATGCAATACAAAAATTAATGAATCAAGTCAAAATAATATTTTCAAAATACATTTATTAAAACAATCGGTTAACAGGCAGCTAGGCAGTCAGAGCAACCTATTTAGTTTGTTAGAATCTAGTAACTTTAGTTGTGTCCACAAGATTTTTCAGAGACTGAGAGCAGTAACTCTGCAAATAATAATTGGAAATGACTCACGAGCAGTAGGCTGCTTTACTATGTATAAATGGCAAATATATTGGATGATAACTTTAGCCATTAGCTACTACATATTGTTCTCAAGATTTCAAAGTGATCAAAGGTCATAAGTCTGCAAGTAATTATCAGAAATGGTTGAAAATCAAAAGGATTTTTGTATATAATTACATGTATCAGATATTGTTAAAAATCAACTGACTTCTTCATCTAATGAATATAAATACTCTGTATAAATTGCTAACTTTAGTGCCTTCAGCCAACGAAAGGGTCAGCTAATAAAATTCTTTTATACTCGGAGTCATAATATGATAATTAATCTGTCTGCATTTATCATCATATTTGAATTTACTAACCAGTAGTAGTAGTTTCAGACATGGGAAATTCGTTGTATGTCTTCCACCTAGATGATGTAGGATCTTTATATTCAATAACGTATCCCTGAATCTTTTTACCACCATCATTTTTAGGTCTCTTCCAGGTTAAAACTACACCAGTTTCATCAACATCAATAATCTCCTGATCAGATGGTGGATCAGGACAGCCTGTAAAATAATAAAGTAAAGCCTGATTATAAATATCCTTTTCATCCTGTTGTTATTGGGGTGATGCTCTTTGAAAAAAAAGCCTAAGGCTCCATCAATTCATGTACAATTGACATGAAACTAGGCATGATTGTTCATTGGGCAATTGTGCATTGACTGACAGACTTGGACTTTTGAAATGATGTCACAATTCTAAAATGGCTGCGATGGGGTCCTTTATGGTTCCTGTTACGTAGTGTGCTTATTCTTGTTTTTAACTTCCCTCAAAACTCATAATAAATTTACTTCCTTAAAATGATGTCACAATTCCAAAATGGCTGTGATGTCGTACACGGTTCCTGGTACGTAGTATGCTTATACTTGTTTTTAACTTCCCTCAAATCTCATAATAAATTTACTTCCTTAAAATCTCCCATTGTAAATAAAGACAGAAATTTTTTTTCCACATTCACTTACGACAATTAGGTCATTTTGGACTAATATCTGATAAATCTTTATTTCAATGATTCACTTGCACAGTTTTTTTTACAGTAGGCAGACGATATCTGAGAAAGAGATGAAAGCCCAAGACTGTAATCTTTGTCTTATACAATCGATGAATTGAAACCAAAACAGATGACAGACCAATGAAGCATTTCAACCATTTGGACATTAAGACTGCATGTCATTTTGTTGTATTATGGCTTTTTGGTTCACTACCTTTTCATTTCTTGGATATATCTAATCAAGGTTAGAAAGAGATTTTTTTTAATGTAAAATATAAAGGAAGTAATAAGAGAACTTACGGAAGGGATGTTGAGCTATAGTAGCAGTTGTAGTCTCTAATGGTTCACTCACACCATGTTCATTCTCAGCAAATACACGGAATTGATATTCATGACCTTCCTGTAGTCCCATCACCTCATAGGTTGTACCACGGATGAATTTGCTGCAGTTTTCCCATCTACCTGTTTTAAGATCTTGTCTCTCTACACGGTAGTTACTGACGGGATTACTGTGGGCATCCTGATATAAAAATTATACAGAAAATACAATTAAGATTCTTTTCTCATATTTAAGTGAATATTGTCTGGAAAAACACTGAACAATAACATTGGAAATCTTACCTTTGGTGGGTTCCACGATAAGAAGCAAGAATCGGGTGTAACTTTACTGACATCAATAGGTCCTTCTGGTTTACTTGGAGCATCTGAAAGAAAATTAAAAATCATCTTAATAACATATCATGTATACTGAACTTTCCAATAACAAATATCAACATCCATTTATATTCAAAATAAATAACCATGTCGTATTGTCATATATAGCCCCTATTACTTGCTTGGGATTCTACTTTTACAAAGTAGTTCAATAATTTATTAGTTAAATGTGGTCTGAAGCTTTCTTAAAACCATTATGCTAAATTGAGACTTTTACACTGATAATAAAAGGGCTTAGTACTATAGGATTCTGGGATTCGGTGAACTTAAAGATGGATGCTTGTTTTTGATGGACTGCTGATAACTACAGAAATCCAAGACAATCCAACAGAATTACACCCAAATGTAACCGTATGTCCTTGTTATTCATCTACATATGTAAAAGGTAATAATTCTACAGTAGAGTAAAATTGAAATAAATATACCCATTACCTACCTACAACGACAACATTGACATTTACAGAATCCATGCCCTTCTCATTTTGTAATAGTAAGTTATATTTTCCATGGTCACCTCTCTCAGCGGCTTTACATTGAAGAAGAATTTCATCTGGTTTATTGGTGAACTTAATTCTGTCAGATTCACGAACAGAAACACCACCCTAAAATATACAGTTATACATTTACAATATACAGTTATACATTTACAATATACATTTATACATTTACAATATACAGTTATACATTTACAATATACAGTTACACATCTACAATATACAGTTATACAATTACAATATATATTTACAATTCACAGTTATAAATATTTAACTGTAAACTTTGTATGAAAGTAAATGTCAACTTTAAATAACCATAACTTATGTTAGGATTGAGAGATTTGAATAATTTTGGAAATGATGGTACACCAACATCAAAGGATGTCACATCCATATTCTGATATAGAATAATGAGGCATGAAAACAAAAAAGTATTCCAACTCATTGTTCAAAACTGCATCAATACTCATTACTTATAAACAATTTCACATTATCATTATCTTTATTCCACTTTCTAAAATATACTAGAACCTACCAATCCCCATGTAACTGTAGGAATAGGGTTGCCCTTGTATGGAACAGAGATTTTGAATGGATCACCAACTTTAACAATGATGTCACGTCCACTCATTAAATCTTTATTAATCTTTGGAGCCACTGAAAATGAAAAGAATTAACTGATACTGGTAGGTGGACATGAATAAACATTCTTATATGTATATCGACAAACTTTCACTTTAAATTTATCCACCAATATTGAATTTGTTTAATGCCGCAAAGTTCACACACGTTTAAATCAGAATTGATCTAACCAAATTGAAATTGGGTATCAAAAATTCTGTCTGTATCAGCCAAACTAAAACTGGAAATACAACTTACTTGGTGGAGGTTGGGCCTTGATGGCATCAGAGCAGGAACTATAGTCTCCTGGGCCTGCTGCATTAACAGCACACACTCGAAATTCATATTCTTTCCCCTCTTGTAGACCCTTTACAGTGAACTCATTATCAGGTATATCCATTAGATTTGCCCTAATCATAGAAAACATTAGCATTTTTCATGACAATTATTCAGAAAAACATCTATGTTAAATTTCATCAAATTTAATGATTCTCTATTTAAATAAGTTAACAGAATATGATTTACTTTAAATCTAAAACATAATTACACAAAAAAACATATGTAATGATATTATATCCATAAATTTAAATATATAAACAGTTTTCTGTTAATCAAAAACAATTGGAGGTGTCTTACTTAGTCCAATTATTAGAACCCTTCTCTCTCTTTTCCACCATATAACCTAATATAGGAGAACCACCATCATTACGTGGAGGATTCCAGGTTAATGTTATAGAATCTTCTGTGGTGGAAACACATTTTGGTGTGGAAGGAGTACCTGGTGGATCTGAAAATGTATAAAATTAATAAAGATCAATTCTACAGAAATAAGAATTTCTATATACATGTAGATGATGTCTATAAACTTTATGGTGTAAGGATATCCCCAGTCTCTTGAGTTGAAGTAGCCACATAAACAACCGTTATGCTAACTTCTATAATAAATGTTACTGTACTATGAAACGAATTAGTGACATTACCCAGTTATTTGTATTGTAACACATCATGTATATCCATGTTAAATGCCATTTCATTTCATCATGTCTGCTAGCTAATCAGCGATTGGATTATAAATACTGGCTCATAAATTTTAGGGTTCACTTAAGACAGTTAAATTGACTCCTGTCCTTGGAAAATGGGATACTACTGGTAGATTATGTAGATTCCGCAAATGTATGATTCAAAATCGTAAAAGGCATAAATTATATCTTACCATAAGGTAGTTTAGCAAGAATTGCTTCATCTGTTTCAAGTGGTTCACTGACACCATGTGTATTTTCAGCACAAATTCTGAAATCATATTTTGTGCCTGGCTCCAAGTTACGAACACTACATGATGGAGTGTTAATAAAACTGCTGACTTTCTGCCATCGTCCGCTACCAGCCTTTCTTTTCTCAACAATGTAGTTAGAAATCTTTTCACCACCATCATCTTCTGGTGGATTCCAGTTCAAGGTCAAAGAGTCACCTTCCATATCAGTAGCTGTGATGGGTCCTTTTGGTGCAGAAGGCTTGTCTATTTTGAAAACAAATATTTTACATTAATTTGAGTTATTGAAAATATACAGAATGATATAAAGAAAGGAAAGGAAAAACACAATGACAAATGATGTCACAGTCAACATGGCTGCCATAAAGGGAGAGAAATGGGGTTTAACATCCACTCGACACAAACTAGGTCATTTCAGGACCAACACATGGTTCGATAGTATTTCTTTAACAGTGGGAGGAAACTGGAGGACCCAGAGAAAACCCATGAGGATGGACAGGTGACCCTACTCCTACGTACAACCAGGGAATCGAAACCACGCCAGTTGACTCAAAGACAGACCTTATGATAAAACGTGCACGCACTAACCATTCGGGTGTCCACCCCCCTGGCTGCCGTGAAATAGGTCAGCAAGACATCCGATATTACTAAATATCATTCCCACCCAAAAATGAGTTAATAGTGCAGTGAGGTATCTTAGGTCAATATAAGAATTAAGAAATGTTAGTTTCCAATAAGACTAATAGAACCATCTGTCCAAATGTTGAATTTGTGCGGTATATGCCATAATATCAAATTATATATTTTTCTTACCAAGAACAGTTACTCTACAGTAACCAGATTCTGAACCAGATGGATTGGTAAGGGTGAGTTTGTATTTACCACTATCACCACGTACAGATTTAGCAACAGCAAGTAAAGCCATATCATCAGAAACCTAAAAAAAAATCACACAAAATATTTAACTAAATGTCCTCTTTTCACTATTTTTTTGATGATTTACTTTACAACAGAAAAAGTTCCAATCTGTAGTTGCATTTATCACATGGGCCATATTGCAATGAAATGAAATGGGGTTTAAATGTTCTGCTCCTAAACTGGGCTAATGAAGACGGGCATACGCCATACAGTGTGCTATGAGGGAAATTTTGCCAGGGCAGCGGCGCTACAGCCTACTCTTATATCGAATTCCAACTGCCAAGGGATCTTTTACGTGCACGCCAATATGTACACAGGACCTCGTTTTTTCGGCCCTCCATCCTGCATCACTGACAATCTGGATGAACTTTCTCGGGCAATGCAGGGATCGAACGACCGACCTCCAGGCTAGCGAGCTAGCGTCTTACCCACTTAGCCACGTGATCCCCCGGGCCATATTGCACCTGGACAGTAGAATGTATGTGATAATAACAGACCATATAGTTTTATGAAGGACAAGACTGATTAAATTCTTACTGTGTTAGATACACGAGGTGAATCTTCCACATCTTTTTCTTCAACTTCCCAAGCTCCTCTAGGTTTAGGTGTAGCAGTAAATGGAACACGGATCTGGAACGGCTGACCTGCTTTAACAGTGATACCTCGAACACCAGACATATCCAATTTGGGTTTTTCTGAAGTATAATTAGAATTCAGTAAGAAGGATTTCTTTAATTTTGATTGAAATTTGTTAATCACATATCATTACAAAATCTGATTATCAAATATCATCATTATAAAATCCGATTATCAAATATCATCCTTACAAAAACTGATTATCAAATATCATCATTACTAAATCTGTTAATTAAATATCACCTTTACATATTTCTTAATCAAAAATAATTACAACTTTCTTAATCAAATACCATTACAAAATTTCGTAATCCAATATCATTACAAAATTTCTTAACTAAATATCATCACAAAATTTGATATCAAATATTATCATTTTACATACGTGGTTGATCTTCAGCTTTGATGGTTTTTGTTGGTCTACTGGGATCACCAGGGCCAATAGCATTCACACCTCGAACACGGAACTCATATTCTTCACCCTCGATAAGATTTGGAACAGTAGCATTGAGTGTATTGGCTGATACAGCAGCTGCTTCCATCCAATCTTCTCCCTTCTTCTTTTTCTCAATAACATAACCAGTAATCTTTGATCCTCCATCATTGGATGGTTTGCTCCAGGAGAGGTCAACGCTATTTTTGGTGATTTTGTCAACATTTGGTGTTCCTGGGGAACCAACAGCAACTGTAATAAAGAAGCAGACGTGTTAGGATTAGATATATTGGTATTTGTAAACTCGTTTCTATGTAGTTAGAAATTCAATTTAAAGATATATTCCTTTGAAAATCAAGACAATAATTACAAGATTATTCTGGCGGTGGGCTTATTACATAGCGATCAGCTTAGACAGAAGAAATTTATATTCAACATATCTTTGTAAATACTGAACATGACTGAACCATTTTTGGACTGCTATTCCTACTAGAGATTCACCTTTCACAATATTGTAGTTTGCAAGTGATTCCTATTGCACTAAAATAATTCAATGAGACATAAAGAAATAACTAATGTTGTTTTCTCGAAACTCCTCCCCCTACCTCACCCACAAAAAACATTAGGTACTTACAGATAGGATCACGGACTGTATGTGATGGTGTGGTTTTACTGGGTTTACCCACCCCTCCATCATTGATAGCCATCACACGGAACTCAACATCTGAACCTTCCTGTAGGTTTGGTACATTAAAGGTGGTATCTTTACAAGGATAGATATTAACCTTCTGCCAATCTCTACCATCAACTCTCTTATCAATCTGATAACCTGTATAATAGTTCGTAAAATTAAAGCACATGTCAGGAAATGTATCAGCAACACTAGGTGAATTTATTTTTTACATCAATAAGGAACAATGGGGAATTGCATGCGCTATGAGCACAATTAATGGATTTAACACTTTATAAATGGACATATTATTAGTATTATTATAATACCCCCCTATATCATAAACACCTCATTGATTTCCAAATTGTAAAGGCACACATCAAACTTTAACAGTCATATGGAATTGTCATATATTGGTATATTGAATATCATTGTGGTCTGAAACCTGATACAAAAGTGGATATAAGTTGTCTCCCTTAAACTGTTGGTCTTGGCCTTATTGAGAATGGTTGTTTTTTCCTTTCACCCACGTGACAGTGTAAAATCCCGGGATCCAAGACAGTGCATCATTTTTTGTATAAACTATGTGTTCCTATTATACACATTACCTTTAATAGGATTACCACCATCAGAAACTGGTTCCTTCCATACCAAATTACAGGAATATTTATCATATTTATCTATAGCTAAATCTCTTGGAGCATCAGGTGTATCTGAAATATACAAAGAAACTAATATATATGTCAGACCTATGTTATTGTCATATTAGGAAATAATCCAGAACTACAATCTAGTGTTGCAGTTAGTTTTAAGTAGTGATGGGTCTCATTAACTAGGCAGAGTAGGCCTATATACTTTTTAATGAGCACCTAATACCACTTCTTATTTATTTAAGTTAACAAAGTTAACCCGTTATTTCATATTTGAAAATATTTATCAATCAATAAATGCAATTATATAATTGAGGATGCTGAAATTCCAACAACACTTACCAAATGGATTCTTGGCAGTCATCTTTGTTCCTACCAGTGGTTCACCAACGCCGTAAATATTTTCAGCTTTGACACGGAAGGTATATTGTTTACCATCTTTAAGACCTTTAACATTGTGTGAGGTTCCAGAAACAACACCAGGAACTTTCTCCCAGACATTCGAACCTTCTTCTTGTTTCTCAACAACGTAACCTAAAATATATTAACATTGTGCATTGTATATGTAAAATGTGTCAGAAAACTCTTTCATTATTAATTTTAAGAAGATGTCTACTTCTCTTCAATTTATTAATGATGATAACACATGCAGTTGTTTCCTTTTATCCAAAATTTATGTCCGTTCCCAGCTAGAGTGATAATGCAGACAAGTTTCTCTGAGGCGACTAGCCAGATAGGCCAGTCTGAAATGTGAGGCCAGTCAAGCATAGGGTCTAGGGTGAAAATGGATCAGTGATTAAGAAATTTTACTGCCTCCATTTTCTTAGATAAAGGCGCAATCATGCATTTTGAAATACAGTACCAAAAACACCCTTCAATTCGATGGGTACTTTTAATATGTATGCTCAAAACTATTTTTCACCTCACCAAAAGAAATTTGATCCTTTATATAACAGATTATGATCCCACTATTGTTCAATTTAGTAAACCCTCCCAAGAAAAATGGCATCTATTATCCTATTCGGAAATAGACCATGCCGTGCACCCTCCAAAAAAGCCAATCAAATCATTTAGCAGGCTGATATGAAAGTAGAAATGTTACGATACAAATAATTGGGCTTTACATGACTGATCCCGACTGAGAGAGAAATGATATGTCACGTTGGATAATTTTTGAACCATTTTAAATTGAAATAGATTCATACTTAAACTTTTGCAACGACAGGTATACGATTTCATAAGATTTAGCCCCGAAGGGTCCCCATATTCTTTATATTTATATCAATTAAAATGCTGTTTTACCTGTGATGTCACCACCACCATTGTCTGCTGGTTCCTGCCATGACAGTTTACATGTTTCAGCCGTAATATCACTGACATTTAATGGTCCTTCTGGAGCAGCAGGCTTATCTGTTATAAAAACAAACAGTATAAAATTGGAAATCTATATAATTCTCGGTAGCTGTCCTAGATTTCTCTGATAAAGCTATTACATTTAGTTTCATTCTTCTGTGAATAAAATGATATCACAGTGAAATTATTTGAATCCATATGGATTCACTCTTTAAGAATTTCATAATAAGATTTAGTCCCCAAGGGTCTCCACCCTCTTTGTATATAATAGCGTAAAATACTAGCTGATCGAAAGACCAAACAATTTTGTACAAATATTTAATAAACAGATTTAGGGAGAATTTACAGACAAGTACCTAAATAAATAGTCTACTTACCGAGGACAACAACATTGATATCAGCTGTTTCTTCACCCATAGCATTAGATACTTTGACTGTGTATTTACCAGTATCACTTCTCAGTGATCTAGGGATGTGGAATTTTGCATCTTTCTCATCATTGGCTGTCTGAGCCTGTTCAAAAAAAATATGGGGTACATAAACTTGATATTAAACTGATTTCATTTATTATTATCATTATACTTTAACTCAAGAGCCAATTTTTGCTGAATCCTGGGTTTAACCAGTATTTACTAGGTTTGATCAGTATTTACTGGCTTGAAACAGTTTTTACTAGGTTTAATTAAACAGTATTTACTAGGCTTATACAGTATTTACTATGTTGAACAGTAGGCTTACTTAAACTGTGTTTAAATATAATTTACTGAGTTTAAACATTATTTACTGGGGTTTAAACTGTATTTACTAGGTTTAAACATTATTTCAAACCAAAAGTAATTTATATAGTCCTATTACTTACTCTGCCAGGTGTAAGTGGTTTACCATTCTGTAACCACTCTACAGTTGGAGCAGGAGCACCAGTTATACCTAGTTTAATATCTAATGGTTCACCAGCTCGAACTCGGATCTCTTTAGCACCAAACAAACTTGATAAATCTAACTTAGGAGCCTCTGTAATATGAAATATAAATTATCATTGTGTTACCAAAGATATTTTTGGACCGGGAACTGGATCCCAAGTGCAATTCATCTTGTTGTTCTTCTCCGTCAATTCAACTACAATCGACATCAAACTTGGCATATCGGTTTCCTGTACAATTGCACATTGATTGACAGACTTCCATTTTGGATTGACATCACAATTCCAAGATGGTGGCGATGACATCATGCTCGGTTCCTTGTATTTGTTTTAACAAAGACAGATACATTGTTTATAAAATATAGATTAGACATAATATATAGTTTATCAATTACATGTTCATCTGTTCCTGGTCTTTATGAAAATAATTTGTAACCAATTACCTTTAAGTGGTTTAGCAATGATAGGTTTAGAGGAAAGACTAGGTTCTGATGGACCAGCTTCATTAATAGCTGTAACTCGGTACTCATATTCTTTCTCTGCTTGTACTTTATCATCAGTATAAGTTGTATCCTGAAATAAAATATGATAAAATAATATCTTAGATGGCCGTAGCATTCTTGTCTATGTTATACCTATCAACTATGAAATTTTGGACTTTGTTTTATTATGAAACAAATATGTGTATGAAAATGTGTAGGGAAATGAATGGGATTGGCATTTAAAGCATTCATTTCTTGCATTCTATAATCTCTTATTTTATCCAACCATCAAAGCTGAGGATTAAAATAAACAAATAAGATATATCAACTGACCTCAACAGGAACTTTTGTAATTTTACTCCATCGGCCTGTTTTAGGATCTTTTCGTTCTACTTCATAGCCTGTCACAGGTGAACCACCATCGTTCTCTGGAGGTTCCCATGCCAAGGTGATGTGATCTCGGGCTTGTTCTGTAGCATATGGTACTCCTGGTGGCATTGGCTCATCTAGTATTAATAAATATATTTATAATAAATTTTAGTTTCATATATAAACTATAATTATGAAAGTAAAACAACATACAATCAAATTCCTTTATAGATGATTGTCTGAAAATTTCCCAATTTTAGGTGAACCTACTAGGATTCTAATAACAACAACCTGAAAGAGTCTCCTGAAACATTTGGATATAAGGAAGCTGGCTTAAATATTGATATATACCACTATAAAATAACAGTAGAAAACTATTAACAATAGTATGTAAGATGTCATGTTACATAACCAGTGATTATAAATTATCTTACCAAATGGCTTTTTAGCTAAGATGGGATCAGTTAATTCTAATGCTTCACTGTCGCCATTAGGAGATTCAGCAATAACACGGAACTTGTATTCATGACCTTCCTGTAGTTTAGGTACAACACATTTATTGCCTTGTACTGTTGCCACTTTCTCCCATTTTCCTTTCGACATATCAAACTTCTCAACACGGTAACCACTGTAATCGGTAGAACATATAAATATTGTAAATAATGTAAAAAATATTATCGTCAAAAATATAGGTGGTAATAATAAAATTTCTCAAATCAAAGGAGGGTGGGTGGTCGAGCAGATCATGAGGTCTGTCATTGAGTCAAGTGGCGTGGTTTCGATCCCATGCTTGTATGTGACAAGCTATAGTCACCTGCCCAAACCTTGTGGGTTTTCTCGACGTCCTAATTAATGTTCTAAAGAAATGAGATTTACTATATATTTTCCATGAATGTTTTGTGCTTATGCCATTTCAGATTCTGAGAACCATAACTAATAAAGCACTAGTAAATATAGGCTGTATTTAGGCTGGTTCAACAAGAGTGTGTGCTTGAATAGTAGGTGGTTAATACCTGAGGGTATATAAAGTGGTTTAAATACAGAAAAGCACTTTCAAACATAAGAGAGAGGGAGGAGATAGAAATGGGCTTAACCATCACTCGACACAAACTAGGTCATTTCGGGACTAACATATGGTTTAATTTTATTTCAATAATTCACTTGAGCAAAGGGATTCTTTAGCAGTGGGAGGAAACCAGAGGACCCAGAGAAAATCCACAGGGTTGGACAGGTGACCCTACTCCTTGTCGCATTCAAGCGGGGTATCGAAACCACACAACTTGACTCAATGACACACCTTGTGATTTCACGCGCATGCATTAAACCACTAGACCATCTAACCCTCCTTCAAACATAAGAAATACATATTAAAGAAACATGTATGTTCCAATGCAGACTGTGTGTTATGACAAATATAATTATGTGAAGCATCTTACTTGATTCCTGCACCTCCATCGTCCTTTGGAGGCTTCCAGGTGACTGTTGCACTGTCCTTACTGATGTCTTTAACTCCCAATGGTCCTTCAGGTCTATTAGGCGGTCCTGTTTTAACAAACATATACCATGACAATTAATTAGTTTAACACTGGTATTTATGAAGAACATTTTATACAAATGTTACGTTAATCAATTTTAGTTCTACCTTAGGCCCCATGCAGACTTATGATGGTTTCTTCAAATCTATACCAAAAATAGGTACAAACTCATGTTCTACATAAAGCAACATGCAAGTTTGAGGGTCGATTTCTTAACGTTTTTCTATATACGCATATAACAATACACTAAAGGAAAGGGATACTTCTGTCATTTTCAGGCTATTAATCATGACTTTTTTGCTTTTGTCATGACAACAGTGTCTCTGTTTACTTGTATTCGAACTATCATGGATTATTTTACTAATGTATATAATGTTTTTCGACTTACTAACACCTTACAACCCCTGGCCCTAAGACGAAAACTGGGCTTCCGAAGCCTGGGGTTCCTCTCGGCCTGTGCATGGATTCCAAGAGTTCAGTCTACTGCTGTCCCAGAAGGAAGCATGTTTTGATTGGCTGTATTGTCAACAATGATACGAGGAATCATCTGAGTATGTACATCAGACATGTAGAAAATGATCATATAGTAAACGTCAAAGGTAATTCTGTCAAAAAAAAGTATACATTTCACTTACCAAGAACAACCACATTAATGACAGCTGAATCTTTACCATGTTTATTTTCAATGGTAATAATATATTCACCAGTATCTTTACGTACAGCTTTATCGTTATTCAAAACAGATGATAAAGGACCAGATTTAATGGTCAAACCGTCTCTAGGTTCAATAGGCTCTGATTCCTTTTTCTACAATATAACACAGGCATAAATATTAAAGTAACATATAAATACATCTAAATTATGTTCTTAAATTCTGATGTTAAAGATATTGTCCAGTTAAAAGACAAGCAAACGCTCACAGACAACAACTTATGAATTTTCACATATTCATCCAATAAGCTGTATGGAGCTTGAAGATAAGATATTTAAATGAATTTTCTGACAGTTGAGAATGGGGTTCATTGCAAGTAATAAGTATACTATATCTTAAACCAATAATTTTAAAGGAGTATCTTTGGTACAAATATTTTTAACATTTCGAAAAGAACATGTCAATAACTGGAGCAAGAAAAATACTTTTATTGATGACAATATTAATGAAATAAACAGCACATATATCTTTCTGTAGATAATGTAAACAAATACAGCATCACTATAAAAAGTGAGCAGAGAAATAGACAGAATGTACATAAATGATGACAAAAAAACATAGATACATATATTATTCATTTACTTGAATTGAATGAAGTACATAATAATATTCTTCTTTTAATGGTTTGCATTTTTAAAATTCAAAATTGAAAGAAAAATAAGATTCCAATTACTGAATTAGTTTGTTTTGCGACTGTTATGAAATCTACACATGCAAATTGTTATTATATTAAAACTACATCTAATATTTAATAAACAAATATTTATGATTTATTTGTATAGAACAAAATGACCTGAAATGACTTCTGCTAATATTAAAATAATGCTAGGTTAAAATGTCAGAGGTCAGCAACCTAATGAACACTGAAAACTAGTCTAGTTCTAAATGACAGAAAAAATTGGTATGAGAAAAATTAAAAAGAGGAAAAGAATAATGATATGTAAACTTTTATTTTTCCAAACTGAAAATTCAATAAATTGCCAACCACTGGTCTAATAATGATGATGATCTACATATCTGCTCACTAATGTACTTATAGGTAATTCTAAATGTTACAACTGAACTAACTGAACATACTGAAAATTAAGTTCGAGGGAAGGAAAATCTTACTCTTGATTTTCAACTAAAAGTGCAAATATTTGTATGATGATGTTAATGTATGTATAAAAACTTGAACACACATTGGCCCAAAAGACCAAAAACAAACAGTTTAAATATTAATTAATTTCACTCATTATATCTGTGAATGATATTCAGATTGGTTTGGAAGGTTCAATGTTTTGGACTTGAAAGTCTGTTTTCATTTTTCAAAATTCAGACTCCATTTTTGTTTAGGATAATTTCCCTTTTCGGATTATTGGAAATAACTATCCATGTTTGTAATGATAATTTTATTGAAAGTAGTATCAGTATTATTTTTTTATTAAAGCATTTATTAATAATAGCTTATTGTTTAGCTTTTTAATTAATAACTCATATTAAAATATTGATCAACATGTATATTAACATATATTATTAAACATACAAAAACACAGAGACAAACAGAACATATAGTATTACATTGTGTTATATATTACAATAATAGCGTTAGACATATTAATTACTTACTAGATTTCCCTCCTATAAATTTTACAGGTAATTTATTAGTCAACATATAAAATAAACTTTCACATTTATATTCTTTTTCTGTCTGAATGACTTTATTTTTTAGCAAGATTATTAATAAAATTTAAATCTGAACTTTTCCATCAGAAGACAAAATATAGAAATACATAAAGAAAGATTGTTCAGGTCTTCATTCAGAGGAATTCAAGTAAAATGTCAATAATTAATATTGGCTTTTAAACGACTGATAAGTTCTATATTTCCAGATCAAAATAATTGTTTTTCATACATTTTTAGCACAGTTTTTTCATTGTTATTAATTAACTGAGATACCGTTATAACATAACTACACAACGATTTCAGCACATTCTCAGTTCTAGAAAACATCTCAAATATTGAGAATTACAGACACAATCTCATTTTTTGAGATAAATAGAAAAGATGTCATGTTTACAAATGGTCTCATTTCTTGAGATTTATGAACAAGAACATCTTTTTAAAATATATAAACAAGATTTTATCTGAGATATATTGACATAATCTCATTTCTTGAGATGTATACACAATATCACACTTCTTAATACCTATATGTACAGACAAGATCTAATTTCTTTACATATATAGACAAGATTTGATTTACTGAGATATATATACATACAAAATCTCATTTCTTGAGACATATAGATGAAATTTAATTTCTTGAGTTATATGGACAAGATCTCATTTCTTGAGACATATGGACAAGACTTGATTTACTGAGATGTATATACAAGATCTCAGTTCTTGAGATATATGGACAAGATCTCTTTAGACGTGGACAAAATCTCATTCCTTGAGATTTTTAGACAAGTTCTCTTTTTCTTGAGATATACAGACAAAATCTTATTTTCTTGAGATTTCTAGACAAGATCCCATTATAATATGGACAAGATCTCTTGTTTACAAACAATCTCATTCACTGAGATATAGACAACAATACTGAGATCAATGTAAAAACAGAAATGAAATGAAATGAAATGAAATGGGGTTTAACGTCCTACTGTTCTGCTCCTAACCTGGGCTAATGAAGACGGGCATACGCCATACAGTGTGCTATGAGGGAAATTTTGCCCGGGCAGCGGCACTACGGCCTACTCTTATATCGAATTCCAATGTAAAAACAGTGTAGGATCATTACAGATAGACATCTCGGTACAAAACACATTACATGTAACATGATGTGAATAGGGTGTGGTATGTAGTACCAATACACTAAACAACAACAACAACAATAAACAAATACTTACATCATCCTGTAACAAACAATCAACAATATTAAAAAACATTTTTTATTGATATACACAAACAAATATACTTACCACAAACAAACAAATTGATAGACAGTTCTACATTTACATAATCAAGATACAAAGTTACGGCTGGCAATAACACACATAACTCTTGCTGTGTTTTGTTTGATAAACCTACACTCAACACTTATTTTCTTTTTCAACAAATGCTATGATGTATATAGACACTGTTGTTGCTTAAAATCATTTTATCTTTAAATATTATTTATGGCTCTAGCTGATGTTTTTTTTTAAAAAAAAAGGAATCCATCGCTTATGAAAGAAGATGTCACATGACATACAGTGTACTATGTGTGACCCATGACAGCAAAAGGAATCGTTGTTTACGACAATAGTATATACACAAAAATGGCGAAATAGGCTAAATATATAAAAAGAAATAGTTTGCTTTACTTGTCAAATCTAAACTTTTACCTTACATGTTATATCATTAAAACCTTTCGTGTTATATCATTAAAAAGATATTTTAGCCTATCTTAATATTTTTGTTCATATCGTAAATGACTCACTGATTCATTTTGCTATCACGGTCATATACACTTCATGAAAACAAAATATTTCTATATCATTAGATAGAATACAGAGAATATTATACCTTGGCCTAATTACTATATTCTAAACATTTCTATATTCTAAACATTTCTATATCAAAATATTAGTGTCACACAGAAACATTTACTTACAATAGCCTTAAGTTCCCATTTAACAGATGGTAATGGTTCACCAACAAAATCAACTGGTAGATTTAATTTCTGTCCAACCTTAATCTTAATGTTCTGAGGAAGTGTTCGCTCATCAATTCTTGGTTTAACTGTATATATAAAACAAACATTTATAAAGAAATAATTCAAGGCACGGTTCAACAATGGTAGTTATTGGTCATATTAATGTAGCAGGGATTTAAATTTAACAGTAGGAAGATGGACATGGGTAAGTAAGAGGATACATATATATTTTTCTATGTTTCTAACCTTTTCTAGATTTGGTAACAATTGGACCAGAACATTCACTGAATGGTGATAAACCAGCTTTGTTTTTAGCAGCAACACGGAATTCATATTCTTTTCCTTCAACCAAACCATCTACTGTACCCTTCTCTTGTGTTCCTGGTACTTCTACTCCCTAAAAATAATAAACAAAAGATGAACAAATGTTAGTTATCTCCCCTGACACATTTCTTAATGGGGGTGCTCGATGGTCTGTCCGGAAAGTCCCAAATTGTGAAAAGATCCTGTACCTATAAATAATGAATGTATGTGCAATGATAAAATATTTATTGTGAAAAGATTCTATACTATTCAAGAAAAAATCTAAAATATTTCATTTTTGCATAATCAACTAAAACGTTGAATTATCTACCTTTATATTACTAACATCATTATTTTGGAATAGATGCAACTTTTGCATTTCAAGACAATAGCTCACCTTTTTCCAGTCACCTTTGCCCTTTTCTCTATACTCAATCTGATAAGCCTGAATGGGGGCACCACCATCATCCTTAGGTGGATCCCAACCAACTTCAACATAGTCTTTATCGTAATCCAGAATGGATGGCACACCGGGTGCATCCGATGGATCTAAATATTAAATAATAAGATACATAAAAAAAATCAATACTAAGATACAAAAAAAACCCTAATCAATATTAAGATCTTTACATAACTTTTAAAAATCATCAATGAACTTAAATAAGTATAATTTGTATCGATTTGTGAAACTTTATCACTGTTTCCTTACCCCAGGGATCTTTAGCCAAGATTTCACCATCAGTTTCTAATGGTTCACCAACACCAAACTCGTTTACAGCAGAAACACGGAAGGCATACTTATGACCTGTGGTAAGATCACTAACATCTACTTCTAAATCTTCAGCATCTGTTTCACAAACTTTCTCCCATTTACCAGTAGCTGTGTCTTGTTTTTCTACCACGTAGCCAGTAATGGGTGAACCACCATCGTTTGTTGGTTTATCCCACATTAATGCACATCTTTCAGCAAAGATATCCATAACATCTAATGGACCCTTGGGTCGACCAGGTTTATCTGAAATTAACCAACACAATTTTAGAACATTTGAAATGATTAAATATTACTAAAAATTCATGCAAAGTCTTTATGTTGGTGCAGAAAATTAGGACTTTAACCCTCATTTCATGTCATTTCATTTCTTAATAAACTATAAATTCATGAAAAATCATTTAGAAATATGAAACCTATTCATAAAATTGATTTCCAAATCTGTTATTTTTATCTCAAATCAAGAGAACCTACCAACAACAACAACTTTGATAGGAACTTTGTCTGTGCCAGCTTCATTCTTCAAAGTGAGTTCATAGGTACCACTATCTGTACATTCAGCAAAAGGAATAACCAGTTTAGCATTCCTTGGTGTAGTCTGCATATCAATGTCAGCAGGACTGATGTCAGTACCATCTTTCTTCCATGTGGCATCAGGTTGTGGAGCACCTTAAACACATATCAAGTTGAAATTTACAGTCTACTCTCAATATATTAAACTTTCAATCATATGTAATTTATCTAATTTCAAATATATCTAATATAGAAAATGTTAATCTTCAGGCTTTCGATCATATGGATCTAATTTCAACAATAGCTAATATACAGTTAAACCTATGGTGTTCATTCATATGTAATTTCAAATATATCTAATATACACGTTAAACTTCAAGTAATTTATCTAATTTTAAAATTTAGATGAATTTGTGTTAAACAATGTGAAATTTTTAAATTCTTTATACAAAGAGGCAACTTCAAATGCAATATGCTACTGTAAGTACAGCAACTACCTTACCAATAAATGGTATGTCGATATCAATTCTTTCACCTTTCTTCACTTTGATTTCCTTTGGTATATCACCTAATGAAATCTTGGGTGGTTTGGGCACTAAATAAAAAGAGAATATTTCAAACATAGTTATAGTTATGATGCGGATAATTTACACTGAACGTTACTTCTACCTGTCATTTATTTTGTGATTAGAATCATTCAATTCCAATCCATAACACTGATATTTTGGGTCCTTCATATAATCAAATATGGTATCCTAATGTTTGCAATAAATTGTCTCTTTGGTTTTCTTTTCATTTTTTCCACCACTACAAATTTAACATTAAAGTAACAATGCATCATTTACATTTTTTGCTAAAATATCAAATTTATCACGATTTAAACCATTCTAATATGTACTCAAATATATTTTTTAACATTCCATCAAAATACCCAGTACCAACACTAGACAATGTTCTGGCTTAGATTCAATCAGATTTAAAACAGGCCTATCAATAAATTTTCACAAACAAAATGGCGCCAGGCTTTTTAATAAAAATAATAATATTCCTCTATTCATACAGTGCGGTAATGCTAAAACAAAAGTTTCTAGTGTGCTTTTTTAAGTTTTGATCTATTGAACTATGGAAAACACCTCTGTAAACAGGAAAGGTTTTAGTTTAGCTTTAAATGCATATTAAGGAGTTTCAGTTAATGTGTCTTATGTGGTAAGATCTGATCGGTTGTAGTAAAAGGTCGTGTCACAGGTCGTTCAAATGGCTTTTGACCCTATGACAACAGACATTGATTAATCAACCCCCGTTGATGTTTCTAGTCGTTTACCCAGTTCCATGCATCACACGCCAAGAAGTCACCGTAACAGATGGTTTCATTGGCTAATCCCTCACGCCATCCAGAACGCAGGTTATATAACAACTCTTCCAGATCCTAGTATAGTGAAGACAAGTAAAATGAAATTTTAAACTATAAAGATAGGTTGCCAGGCAACGAAACATACGCCCACAGCAGCTAACTCGTCCGGGCAGTCAACAAGAGTTGTCACATATTTTTACTTTTTTCGGTAATGAAACATTTATAATACATTAAAATCTGATTAAGAGTAACAACTCATTAATTAATTATCAGAAAACCATTAGAATTTGTTTGGTTTTTATAAAGTTTTGCCCCATGCTAACGTTTAGTATAGGACACTTTTAACATCATGGATTTAGCTGTTCAAGTCATAAAAATTTATTGAAAATCAATATACTTGTTTGTCTCAAGACCTTACACTCTGTGTATGAATCTGAAGTCAATCGGATGATAACTTTAGCTTCTAGAGGGTCACAAGGTTTTTAAAAGTGATCAAGGGCCATAACTTTGGCAGTAATTATCGGAAATCGTTGAAAATCAATACGATTCTTCGTCTAATGACCCTTAACACTGTGTATAAATTTAAAGTCAATCGGATATTAACTTTGGCCTCTAGAGCGTCCACAAGATATTTTGAAGTGATCAAGGGCCATAACTCTGGCAGTAATTATCAGAAATCGCTGAAAATCAATAGGTTTCTTCGTCTCATGACCTTAAACACTGTGTATAAATTTAAAGTCAATCAGATATTAACTTTGGCCTCTAGAGCATCCACAAGATTTTTTGAATTGATCAAGGGCCGTAACTCTGGCAGTAATTATCGGAAATCGCTGAAAATCAATAGGCTTCTTCGTCTCATCACCTTAAACACAGTGTATAAATTTAAAGTCAATCGGATATTAACTTTGGCCTCTAGAGCGTCCACAAGATATTTTGAAGTGATCAAGGGCCATAACTCTGGCAGTAATTATCAAAAATCGCTGAAAATCAATAGACTTCTTCGTCTCATGACCTTAAACACTGTGTATAAATTTAAAGTCAATCGGATATTAACTTTAGCCTCTAGAGCGTCCACAAGACGGACGGACGGGGGCGACGACAATATACGACCACATTTCAATGTGGGCGTATAAAAAATGAAACGAAATAGGATCTTTGTTTTAATCAGATTGGAGGGTCATTCTACCCCCACCTTTAGAGTATTTACCTTTCAGAAATTAGTAAAATCATTAAGTGATGTACTTACGTTCTAATACAGTGACTTTACATTTGGTGGGTCTTTCACCAATTCTTAACATATAGTCACCCTGATCTTCAAACTTAGCATTCTTTATAGTCAATTTATATGATTCTCCCTTCTGGCTCACTTCATGTCTGTAATATTAATGTATGCAGCATACTTTATACTTAGCAATTAAAATTTAATTGTACCATACTCTACAGGAAATAACAATGGAAAAAAAATTAATACTCTGACAATCTAAAGACAAGAAGTGTGGGGGGTTCTTTTTCTTTATCATGTGGGGACCTCATATTGTTGTGTTTAGTGTCCTTTAAATCTGTAGTACACCATTGTCTTAGTAAAGGGCCCATCGTCTTAGATGTGACATAAAAATTTTACCTTGCACCTGGTTCAAATGGTTTGCCATCTTTAAACCATTTATGTGGATCTTTATGTGTATTGATAGCTTTACATTCCAATACACAGTTACTATTTTCCTTTACTTGAACATCAGCTAATTTCTTCATAAACCTAATATCAGCTGAAATAGGTTTTAAAAATGGTGTTTAACATTCACACAAACTAATTCATTTTCGGGGTAAAATATGTTTCTTATTTCAATAATACATGACAAACCATTAAGAATAGTGATTATATTTCAATATATATAAACAAAAGCTAGGAAAATTGTATGAGACATGTTGTCTCTCGACATCCTCGTAAATAGTAGTCCTTAAATTACTTTTTTAAAAACCTAATAAATGTACAACAGGACAGATATATTTTAAATGTCAAAACTATATTCTAATTTAATATAAAGACTGCTGTTATTATGTAATCAAGCATGTCTACCAGTAGGAATAAAAAGACATACATGTAGACTTTTTTAAAAACCTAATAAATGTACAACAGGACAGATATATTTTAAATGTCAAAACTATATTCTATTTTAATATAAAGACTGCTGTTATTATGTAATTAAGCATGTCTACCAGTAGGTATAAAAAGACATACATGTAGACTAAGTTTGCTTGCACGTGAAACACGGCACATTTATTATTATTATATTTGTCCATGAGATATAAAGATGGTGGTGTGAAAACAAATGTAAACCTAAAATGACCATAACTTCACTAAGAATAAAATTGATGAATAAAAAACTCACGTCCAACAAAGAGATCAGCAGCTGTTTCTTGACTCAACATTTTACAACTGTATTTACCATCATCTTTAATATTACAGTTCTTAATAATTAGACGGCGTTTCAGATTCTCTTTAGCAAACTCATACTTTCCACCAGATTTAAGTTCCTGACATAAATAATACAATCATATATTTGTGTTGATCTTTTAGTAATAACATGTCAGTAATAATATAAATTCTGACAAAAATTTAGTTCTTCATGCATAAATTAGTCATATTTCTCATACATGTTTGTTAAGTATTCCCATATTAAGTGTTATTAACAATTAATATTATTATTAACATTTACATCTTAAAATCATTTTTCTATATATACATGCTTTTAGATTATTTCATTAAATTCAACAAAACATGTAGTTAGACATTCCACATCATTTTCAATTGAATATCAAAATCAAATACTATAATAGGTTCATTATTATTAAACAATTATAGAATATGCAAACAAAAATGATCACAATAATTCAAGAATTCACACAAAAGATGCAAAATCTTAGTCAATTTATTTGTAGTTAAAACAACTATGATTGTACTGTATGGACCTGGAACTGAGCATGGCGCCACCGTTGTCATTTTGAAATTGTGACATCATATCAAAAATCTAAGTTTGTCGATCGCTGCGCAAATGTCCAAGGGACAAATTTCATGTCAATCATATATATGAATTGGCAGAGACTTAGGCTTTTTTTCAAAGAGCGTCGTCCCTGAGAAGAACAGAGAGAAATGTAGCATTTGGGTTCTGATCCAAACAAACAATAGTTTAAAATAACCATTCCAGCTAGTTATTATCTAATGATTTACCATATACATTTTATTTATCTTACTATTTTTCCTCAACTTCATGCTGAAAAGGGTAGAGCAAACATCAGTTTATCATACACACACACCAAACCAAACTTGTACTGTAATTACATGCAGAATAAAAAGGGTTAATAGAATAAAAGGATATCATCCTACTAAACTTCAGACAAACCATACAGGGAAAAATCATAAGACCATTTTGTCAAGTAGCTGTCTGATTTTCTAGATGATCCATGTGTCCCCTTTTGATCTTGCACTTTTTCCCCAATAGAGTGAAGCATATGAACATAATTAAAAATATATAGCAGGGATGTCACTCACTTTTTATGTAACAGGAAATTTTGCTAAAGTAAGGGGCAGCAGGCCCGAATCTGCGAGCTATCCAGGCACCGGTAGCATGAAGACCGTGTTTTTTTTTCAGGAATTAGGCCTACAATAAAGCTTGTTGTACAATTTCTATTGTAGATTGTTTAATACCCATATGTTAGGGGGTTGACTTTAATAAATAACCTATAGCGTCTTCCACATGAAAAAAATTATTAATTTTTCAAACCATTATTATTTTTCTGCTTTTTTAATAAAGCAGTCTAAATTTCCCTGTTTTCGCTTCCATGTGTTGTTCTCGGTGGCAGCCATTTTGACAGTTTTGATTATCATGACATCAAAAATGAAGACTATAACATACATCTAAAAGAGTCCTAATATTAATCGTGTATATGGTTTACCGTTATTATAAGATTTGCCGACTCCATATAATTATGCCCAAGGTGTGCTTGCAGTTTAAGAATTAAATATTACGCAAAATTATTTTATTAAAATCAAATTACTGATTTTTTCTAGCTGAAAAGTAGCAAGAAATTGGCCTAATTTAAATGGCGAAATTTGCCTGTTTCCGGCCTCTAATGACATCCCTGTATATAGATGACGAAAATTAATTATTCTCAATCCACATTTTTTTTTATTTTAAGATATTTCTCTAAGTTCATATGACACTGTTACAAGTACATATTCCTACTGGCAAGATTAAATGCAAACCATGCAGATAAAAAATTCAAAATCCTGTTAACAATTATTGTCTGTAATTGATTAATTATGGATTAAGATTTTGAATCTAATAGTCAAAATCGGACATTTTTTGTCTAAAACAACATGCATATATTTGTCTGAATCAAAAACACAACCATTGCAGTATGTAAATCTACAAAAAAGTGTGACAAGGTTGGAAAAAGTCTGGAATGCTAAAATGGTTGCCTATCATCAAAAATCTCTACAAAATAACTGACAACCTGGGTTGTACCTGTTCATGGAGATTGACTTCCACAATTTGACCTGATTCTGTCTGTAAATGTCACCCAAATTTAATTTTAAAATACAAATAATTATCATGAATTAAAGGAAGATCCAAATTATTATTAGTCTTTTCTCAGTCCTTATTCTTCTTAGCAATATTCAACAAAATAAAGTATTTTTATTTGCTATAATTACATGTGGACCAGACATACATACCATGTCAAATAAACAAGCTAACATTAAAGCTGATGCCCACTGACTTAATCCCAAAATAAATAGACAACACTCATCAATTACTTGCACATTTTCGGGGAGCCACAGTGGTTCAGTGAGAAAGACATTGGCTTGCTAGCCTAGAAGATGTCTTCTGTTCGATCCCTGCATTGGCCGAGAATGTTCATCAGGATTTTCAGTGTGGTTCCCCTTTGTCAGTGGTGTGGGAAAGAGGGCCCTGGCAAGAGACAATGGATAGTCGTTCGCATGGACTGCTTAACCTATCAAACTTAGTCTTGGTATATCATCACTCTCATCTATTATAATTTTGTGAAGTTATAGTGAAGTAATTAAACTAAATAAATTAATAATAATCAATTTTATTGTTCTTATCTTAACTCTAGAAATAACTAAGATCAGAGAAAAGCTTTTTTACCTTGTCATCACGATACCATGTGACTTCTGCTTCTGGGTCACTGACATCACATTCAAAAATGGCCTTTTCTCTTTCTACAGCCTCAACATCTTCTAGTTTCTTCATGAACTCCCATTCAGGATCTGATGGAAATTAACAGAATAAGTTGTTTTTTCAATGAAGTCACAATAACTGAGTAAACAGCAAAATAATGGGCAACAAACCATACGTTGATAGAATCTAACCAACAGTGATAGTAATAATACCTTGCAAATGAATACGCACATTTTAAATACAGTCCACAAATTTATAAATTTATCTAAAAGACTCCAATAACAATCATAAAATACTAGCTGAATTTATTACTTTTTCGTTTAATATACATCTGACGGCCCCAAAACATCATACGAAGCAAGCGTACATATTATGAAATGGTAAGGCACTGTAAGTGACACAAACTATTAAATTAAATGCATTCATGATTAATATTAAATAGAAAATACCGTACTGTTAAATGTATTTTGTATGTGAAGTGTACATATTACAATTGTATTTGTAGTATATTTATTAAATAACTAGACGAATTAATATAAGCCTTTGGCTTGTTTTTCAATCCTTACCTTTTGACAGTGTATGTATACAATATATATCTTATTTGAATAAAATATTGTTTAAATCAATCAAATAATATCCTCCAAGAGACTCCCATTTCGCAAAGCACATGTGGGACATATGTTCACAAAAATCGAAATCTTTACCAAAATTATGTGTGCATATAAGCCTAGACAAATCAAATGAAACTCACTCTACTGCAATTCAGTGAATTCGAAACAGTCCATACCTCTGTGAGATGAAGTAAAGCGATCTCATAAAACCATCCATATCTTACCTTTAACAACAACATTAGACTTGGTTTCTGATACTCCACATTTACACGAATAATCACCAGCATCTTCAGGCAAGCAATCTATAATTCTTAAAATACAACGATTTTCACGACGTTGAATTTCATACTTTCCAGGTGTGTACTGAAAAAAACAAAAGTTTGAAAATTAAAATCATTTCCTTCATAAAAGTTGACAAATATTTGAGCAACAACATCTTTAACAAATAAGATAATAAAAAACAATAAATAATCTTCCTATTCCTAAGATGCATTATGTAAGAGCTAAATCTGCTTACTTCAGGCCTTTTTTCAGGCTTCAAAAGCTATATGAAATATTTAGTCACACGGCCGAGATATTGAATGGATTAGAACACCTGACCATTTAATAATTTAACATGAAATGGATAATCAAAACTTTGGTTATTATCACACTAATGGTACTTGACAATCGAAACTATTTAGGTCAAAACTTCAAACACTCATAACTTCGCTCAGAATAAAGTAATTTGTCTGAAATTTTCAATATATTCATTTTTCATTATCTACATGTATTTTTTAACTATTGTAGCAAGAATGCCCAGCTCTTTATCTAAATCTTACACACCAGTAATGCATCTTTAAATGTTATTGACTAGTTTAGATAAAAACTTCCACATGCGTAAATGCAAGTACTTGTATAGAATTTTTGAAAGAAACTCTTTATTTTAACCCTCATACTGCAAAATATAAATAGCAATTCAAAACAGTATTCAGAAGTTATGTTATCACTGGCTTTATTATTCATTGTAAGGGCATAATATTTATTGCTTTTGTTAAAGAGCGGTTGGTTATTTATTTCTTTATAATCCTCCATTCACATATTGTACAGTGAACAGATTGTATAGGAATAAATCCTATATCCCTAACCTAGTTTGTTTACACTGGCAACCACCTTGACAATAGCCTACTCGATACATCATAAAATATATCATGAAAAGTTGACATTTTATTTTCTTGTGTCTTATCACAAAAACTAGAAATTATTGCGAAGATTAAGTCTGAATAATGTAGCTTAGTTTATTACAAAAACTAGTGTTTCAAATAGTTGGTCATGTTTCGACAATTTAGAGAAAACACCTTGGTATCTCAACCTAAACCAGAAGTCCAAACAGTAAGTAGTCATTTTTACCTTTTGTACAACATAGCATATATTAATGTTTAATATATGTGTGAAATAGCTTTATTCAACATGCATTTCCACCAAGGTGATATCGCAGACAATGTATAATATAACTATAAATATGACAAATGTTTAATATAACTAACATTCACATTATAAATATATAAAATCTAATCACAATTTTGGTTTGTGTTTATCTTGAGCTCCTCTTTACATATTAGATGACAATAATGTAAATAGTGTTAAATATTAACACTATAGAGACAATGACTGATTGACTGGACAAACTTTAATGCCTTTGAATGACTGCTTCCATAGTAGTAATATCATAGAGAGCTATTTCCAAGTTTATTTGTAGTCTTTCTAATTGATTTTATACACCTTTTACATAAAACAAACAATGTGTGTCTGTTTGCATGTAATTTGGCATCCATACTGCATCTGTTTTAATTCTTCATGAGAGTCATAATTACCATTCAGTGTATTAGAGCTTTGTGTATGATCAACCTGTTTATGCTTATTAACATGTGTGTGTGTATAATTAACATATGTGTGTGTATAATTAACATATATGTGTATGATAAACATATGTGTATTTGACCTTTGTGTATAATCAAACGATCTATGTGTATTAGAGTTTTGTATATAATGTGTATTAGAGTATTGGATATAAAGTGTATTAGAGCTTTGTGTATAATCAACGTAAGTATATAAGAGCTTTGTGTATAATCAACGTAAGTATGTTAGAGCTTTGTATATAATCAACCTAAGTTAATCATATAGCTGAGTATATGATCAATTTAGCGGTATGTATTAGAGCTAAGTAATAATTAATCTATGTATGTTCTTGCATATAAACTTGGTGTGATAAATCCAGTAACTAAAATAAACTTTCGTATTAGAGATGCCATTATGCCTTTGAATTTCCAAAGACATTTATCAGAGAAATAAGAATACTTTTTTTTATTCTTAAAATATTTGCTTTTTTTTTTAGACCCATGATGACCTTGTCAAAATACACAAAGATGACCACAGCAGTGATGAAGAATTTGCATATGCAGATGTGGATTTACAAAATTTGGTGGGAAAACAAATTATCATGTGGTCACACAAAATGCCAGAAACCCTTGCTCTCTATACTCCACTGGCTGGCGATAATTTACTGAGAATGGCTACTTTTGCTATATCTAGTCTCCAATATGATAGACATAATGAAAAACTTATGGTGCTTAAACCAAAACGGAAAAGACCAGTCAACATTTTGGATATTTATCGTGTGAAACATGGTTCGTGTATTTTTATTGTGCCAAAGTGCGACCCAACAATAACGCTAGAAGCCAAACAACTGAATGCCAAATTCGATCTGGTTCTCAGTGTAGCCACAACTGTCGGAGAACTCAAACAATTTTTACACAATCAGAAAGGCTACCCGACAGATAGAATAGAACTTCTTTATAAAGATACACCATTAGTTAATACTAGACATTTGTTTGAATATAAGATAGGTCATAAATCACGCTTGTTTGTAATGTTACATCTTTACTATGATATATTAGTTCACATTGAATGTTTCTGGGGTCAGACGTACCATATTTACGTTGATCCATGTATGACAAGTACGAACATTATATATACCGCTTTAAAAAGAACGGTAGGTCCTGACATTAAAAATGTTATGGCCCTGTTTGAGCTATATTTACCCAAACACACTTTAGTGGTATATCATAAAAAGAATCCATTGAAATGGCATGAATGTTTAGGAATGTACCAGATCAAAGATGGCAGTACCCTTACTCTAACAACAGTCGGAATGTTCAACAAATTAGCGTTACAGACAATTCCTGTTACTATGGATGATGGTGTGACCAATACAGTATCTGTATCTCAGTTTGACTGCTGGTCTACAGTGGCACTGAAAATTCATGGAATAACGAGATTGCCGATGAACCTTATACGCTTGTATAAATCTAGAAAGGAAATTGATTTTTCAGAAACAGTTGGAGGTATGTGGAACAGCGGTATTGGACCCCACATCATGGCCTCCATATCGCAAGCCCAGATTGATCCGGATACACTTTATGGGTTGGAACTTAATATTATCCTTGGTACTGGTATATCAGAATACATCAGATGTGCTGCTAACAGAAAAATCAAAACTGTCAAAAAAAGACTACAAGAAATGGGTGTACCAAATGCTTCTGTATATGATATATATGCAGATGGCACAAAACTTCCAAACGATGGAAAAATAGCAGATGTAATGGATGATACTAGGATACCATTAAGTTTAAAATTAAAGAGTTACCCAATTTTTATCCATTCTCCAAAAACAATTATTTACAAAATGTTTGCCCATGCCCATGAAAGTTTGGCGACTTTTAAAGTTCGAATTCAGATGAAAACTGGCTTGTCAATCAAACATTATGATTTACTGATATCTGGCGAACTGATAACTGCAGGTGATGATACCCCTGTCTTCGATACAAACATTGCCATTAAAACATCCATATTTCTCATTCCGAAGGAAAAATGTAATACTTTTATTGTGATAGCTAACGATTGGCTGATCAAACTCAAAATACCCACAAATCCCATCTATAAACAAATAAAGGACATCCTGTGGAAAGAAGCGCAGATTCCTGACGGCAGTCTCTATTCTATAACAACTTTCTTACTCTGGTTTTATCAAAAAACGGATAAAAGAAAAGAACAAAATTCAAAGTCTAGGAAAATGTACAATCCTCTTGCAATTGAGGGTCCACAAGCTACAATGAGGCAGCCTGAATACCAAGATTATCAAGTGAAAGAACTACGACAAGATAAACATAATAAGTCATTAATTGTAGTCCATGGTGGCAAGAACCCACCCAAAAGTACATTTCCTTATAAACCTGGTGTTATTGACATGGATACAGCTGCTTTACTTTCACTTCGACAATAGTTTGTGTCAGATAAATTGGATTATATATGTGACTGAGAATATTTTTGGGTTTTTTTTAAGGAAGATTAGATTATAAATGACAATACAATGTGTATCTTTCTTACTCATGAACTAATTATAAGGTAATTATTCAAAACATGTTTCAAATCAATATTCTTTATTTCATGTTTTAATTAATGATTTATTTGGTTTAAAAAATATTTTATTTCTATTATATCATGATTATTTACAATACTGATATTGTGGATCTGAAAACAAGCCATAGCTTATATAAATTATTTAATGTATGTCTTTCATTGCTATTTTATAATCAGAAGATCGCCAAATTAAAATAAATACAATATAGAAATAGGTTATAGCAGGGTTCTTGTATGTATACAAAATTTACACTGTCCATCTACAATTAGCTTCGCATTAGAATAGAGTCAACAGAGTTGAACAGACATTAAGTATACTTCGAGAAATTGAGAAGTTCTCCTACCATTTCATGAAATTAAAACTGTTTATTTAGTCTTTGTGTGTAGCAAAGATGTAAAACTGATTAGAACCGCATTAAAAAATAATATACTAATTTTTGCAATCTGATTAAAATACAGATCTATATTTTGTTACGTTTTTTTTATACTTTCGATGACCTCCACAACATGAAAATCTGACTGTTTGTAGTGGGAGGTTGTGTCAGAGGTCAATCGAGCGGCTTTTACGTCCGACAACTCAAAATTGTTTTAATATAAAACTGTAAGATATTTACCTCCAACAATTCGTTTCCTTTATACCATTTGACACGAGCTCTAGTATCAGACACAAAACACTCCAACATACAAACTTTATTCCTAACACAATCATGTACTTCAGGTAGTTTCTGGGTGAAGTAATATTCTGGTTCCTTGGCTACAAAAGAAAAGCATTTGTTAAAGAATCAGTTTTACATACAATTATTATCTAGAAAAGATTACATCTATAACACATGACACAATAATATGGGATACAACTTAAATCTGCTTAGAATCTTGACAGAGAGAATGACATGCTTTAGATATTTGTGTTGATTGGCAATAGTGTACAACAGTCAACAGATTCTGCCACATCAAACCAAATTTCTTTTGACTAAGCTCTTGCATGACCTTGGTTTTTCGTCCCATCCGAACGACTAGACAGCTGTCCTTGTCAGGCCCTTCGTCCTGCATCACTGACAAGGGGGAACCACGCCAGAAAATCTGGATGGACTTTCTCGGCCAATGCAGAGATCGAACACCCGACCTTCAGGCTAGCGCTCTTGCATGAGCCATTCCAGCTTACTCTGAAGTTACTCTGAAGAAATTATTAATTTAGCCTGTTTCATAAATATGTATCTCATGACTGGACCGAACAGAGTTAAGTGTTTCTAAATATTAATATTTTACAATTAAAGTATCTGACACTCAGATTTCATCAATATAACTACTGGTCCATAGCCTTAATATCTATCTTTTGATTGTGTGACATCACTCATTTAGAGAAACTGAGCAATAATAAAGATCAAAAAACTGTTAGAAGGTTAGTACACTTAATCCCCTTAGCTGATGACCAGACCTTAATACCCAACCATCATCATCCATAACATATTAGCTTTGAAAAGAACATAAATTTCTTATACTTAATTCAATGGAATATAATTACTTATTCTTTTAGTGGCATTAAGCGATCGGGGAACACATTAACAGAACACAGTTTTTATGGGATACAATCACTAGTTTATTCTAAAAGCACGACGTTTTTGTGCTTGATAACGATAAGAGGATACTTGTCGAAACGTCGTGCTTTTAGAATAAACTAGTTATTGTATCCCATAAAAACTGTGTTCTGTTAATATAATTACTGTTTATTATTGAGTGAAATTTCAGCTATAATTCTATAGTCATTATCAAACAAACATAAAATATAAAATATGATATGCACGTTACTAATCACCTGCTCTATGCACGTTACTAATCACCGGCTCCATCTTTTTGTATTTTCCCTAGAATCTGGGAGGAATTATTGAAATAAAAATATACCATGTTAGTCCTGCAATTACTTACAATGTAGTTTGTTCCTTGCAGACATTAAACCCCATTTCTCTCTATATTCTCATCCAATCTACTTAATACAAACCTTGTATTAAAATAGGACTTGAAATATAAATGTTGATTTATTAAGACCGTAAGACTCTGGTTAGTGTGGGCATTATTTACCTTCAACATAAAGCCAAGCTGATGTAGAGACCTTGTTGCATTGGCAAGTGTATTTTCCACCATCTTCTAGTTTGACGCTATTGATAGTAAGGATAACTTTGTTATCTTCAAGTTCAAAATGATGCTTGTGACTGTGGAAAATCTCCATTTTATTTTTGAACCATTTTACTTTGGGATTTCCCTTGCAGAAGACACACTCCATTTTGATCTTTTTAGTGCCTTCCAAAGTCTTCTGATCTTCAAGATCTTCCAAAAATGTTTCCACTTCCTATTTTTTTGTGGGAAAAAATTTATTATTAATACAGTAGTAAATAAAAGAAGAGGAAAAGAATTGACAAAGAATTAGCTCTGTTTTAAATTTAACCTATCAATCGAATTGATCTTTAAGACATCATCCAAATTTATTAGTTCTAGTCCTTTTAAATCGTGTACCAGTATTGGTATCAATATTTACACTTTTTTTTCTCAGATATCAAATATCTTAATCAAATTAATCTGTAATCTTACTGTCATAATAATAAAGGCTGTTACGTATGAATACAGAATACAAGATACATATATAAAAAATATCTTTACATAAAAACATATAAAAATACATTTTCATAAAATCAAATCCTATTAAATGGTTGGAAAAGTGATATGGTACAAAAATCATAGATCAGTGTAATAAATTTGCCAAAGGAAACAACATGCATGGCAAAAAGTAAAATGTCAATAGCTTTAAAAAATTAACCATGCTAAATACTAAAGCCTCTTTGAACCAGTATAAACAAACCATTTCAAGAGACATTATGTGAGAGCCTTCTGGCTTTGAATGTTATATAAATCATTATTTAGACATTTATTTGCATGACAAGCCTATAATCAACTCTCTAGGTCGTTGAATGGCTTGGATATTGAGTGGATTAGGCCAAAATTTTCCAAAAATTCATCTCTTTATTCACAGAGATTACTGATAAATGCATTCACAGCCTTCTATTCTTATATAATAAAAGTCTTATTTGGATTAAAAGAAATACAAATTTAATTGAAATTTACTTGCTTCAGCTGTCTGAATCCTTATGAAACAACCCATTCATATATTCACTAAGAATAAACTAATTTGTATGAAATTTTATAGGAAGAAAGATCAGCTCATTCTCTAAACCTCGCATAATGCCTCACTAATTGTATTTATTTAAAATCTAAAACATTCTAAAACCCCATTAATTTCATTTCATTTTTTCTATCCACCACTTGACAGGAGCCATTGTCCAGATTTTAAGTAAACAGATTCACTCTGAGAAGCTAAGTTAGAATAGGTCAATTTGAATAATTTTCTAACCTCAACTTTGGATATTGAACTCAATATTCAACTTTTATTCTGGCATATTGTAGCTTTAATAATCTCAAAATATATAAAATAAGGAAGTGTGGCTCTATGTGCTGGACCAGATGAAATTTACCATAACATATTTACTCCTACTTATTTTTACATAATATACTAAAGATAACCACCATTTTTCCCGGAGTAATAAACTGTAACATGCAACAAGCACAATAATAAAAGCATATTTTCTACCATAAATAAGTGGAAATTAATGATTTATATAGAAAAGTGGCGGTGGGGACTACAAAACACTTACCACTGGTGAATTTATTGAACATTATCTGTTAGGGATTATTATATAAATTATAATGATTTGTTTTGGATTTTATGTTAAGAGAAAAAGCTATTATGATCGCCTAGAGCTTAACCAAACTTGATGAAATTCAAATTTTTTGAACTAGTGTGATAATAAAGATGGAGACATTCCAGAGACATTACAACATTTTATAATTTCCAAAGTATTGATATGTTTGCATAAGCTCCAGACAAAGTGAGAAAGAAAAGAGACATACATGGAAAGTTTGTGTGCAAAATGAATTTAAAAAGACAATAGGTGTATTGTTATGTTTTTGTTATGTTACCATAGTTACTACTAAGCCAGGTTACATTCCATTAGAAACTTGTAGCCAGGTAAGACAAGTAGACATCTAACGCTATTATTATTATTTATTATTAATACATTTTTGGTTAGAAATTTAAACAAAGGTTGTTTAGGTAATTGATTTTTTTTTTATATTAAGCAGTTTTTGTTAGCATGAATCGTTAAAAGGGTTGTTTAGAATTTATTCTCTACCTCCTTCTTTTTCTTAGCTTTTTGAAGCGTGGGCCAATCAGGAATACAATCTGCTAAAGAAGTTCTGCGCTGTTGCATTGAAGAACGTCGTTGCTGCTGTTCAAGAGCTTCTAACTGATCAGCATTCAGAGCTTTGACGTCTGTTGGCTCAATGGAGGCTCTACGTTGCTCTATCTTCTTTTCCTTATTGCATTAATTAAATTCAGAATTAAAATAATGATACATATCTAAATGTTTGCATTGAACGCATCTGCCTTAAAAACCATTTGCTAAAAGTATTAATTTGTTAGTATTATAATAGTAATACATGTAGTTGTTTGTGCAGTGTGTCCTATTATGTATGTACAACCTGTGTCCTATGTCTGTTTTTTTCTAAGGCCTTACATTATGAAAATATCTCTAAGTTAGATATCTATGTAAAACACAAAACCAAAAAAAAACTAGCTAATCTTCACACCTCTGAAATAAATCATGTCAACTATTTCAATAAATAACAAATGTGTCATACACCACACTGCAAAAGGCAATAATCTACCATATTTCCTTTCAACAAAAGATAAGATGACATCATTCCATTAAAAAAAAACATTTTGGAGTAAAAGATCCATGTTCCTTTTTTTTTCCAATTTCCTCCTGAGCTTCACCTAAATTTAACTGTAATACTCTTGGTATGAATACATAGAGTAGACCTTTTATTGTTATGTGATCAGAATGATAATTTTGTCCAGGCTTCATCTTATCTCTTGTAATAAAGAAACTGTGCTACAGTATATATTGGAAATATAATATATAACTTATTTCAGAAAAGCTGTATGCAATATGCACAACCCTAACAATTTCAGCAAGACATGCCTTTTGCAGAGTTGCTGAAGCCTCCAATTCTGCCTTGGTACTATCTCGTGAGGCCCGTTTATATTCTCCACGAGTCACTTCTGTACGTCCAATCTTAAGATTAAAAATTGAAGTCGTAAATTAATAAATAAACATAAAATACTGAACACATTGACCCTAGTCTCTAATTGTCCTAGTCTGGGGAGTTTTTTTTAGTTCCACTGTAGATAAATACTGGTACGTCCTAGTAATCTTATGACAAGATAATGATTAGAAAAATGAAAAATATAACAAACTGTTTTATAAATGCTGAGAATATATGCTCTCACATCATTACATAAGCTTAAGTAAGTCCAATTACATTCAGAATGTGAATATAAAGTTCAGTTAGTCACTGAATGTGAAATATATGATTCAGTTGCTTAGACAATGTGAATATAGAGTTTTGTATCCAGATACTTATACAAATTCCATATTCAGTTCTGTGTCCAGATATTTATACAAATTCCATTTTCTGTTGCTTACAGAATGTGAGTTAAAAGTTCTGTATTCAGTTGCTTGCTGAATGTTAATATTAAGTTCTGCATTCAGTTGCTTACAGAATGTGAATTAAAAGGTCTGTATTCAGTTGCTTACAAAATGTAAATATAAAGTTCAGTATTCAGTTACTTACAGAACACAAAAATAAAGTTCAGTTGCTTACAAAATGTGAATATAAAGTTCAACTGCTTACATAATGTGGTCATAAAGTTCAGCTGCTTACATAATGTGAATATATAGTTCAGTTAATTACAGAATGTGGATACAAAATTCAGCAACTCACAGAGAGAGAGAGAGAGAAATGGGGTTAAACGTCCACTCGACACAAACTAGGTCATTTCGGGACTAACATATGGTTTAATTTCATTTCAATAATTCGCTTGCGCGTAGGGGTCTTTAGCAGTGGGATGAAACCGGAAAAACCCACGAGGTTGGACAGGCGACCCTACTCCTTGTCACGTACAACCGGGGATTCGAAACCACGCCAGTCGACTCAATGACAGACTTTATGATACAGCGCGCGCCAGCAACCCCCAGCAACTCACAGCAGGTGAATTAATTATGGATGTGTTGTCAAGATTCCTCCCAATTTATTAGGGTGGTCATCATATTTTTAAGCAAGAGTTAATTAATGTTATAGTATTTAGTGATCAGGAAACACATTAACAGAACACAGTTTTTATGAGAAACAATCACTAGTTAATCATTTTACCATGTATATTTTATAAGAAAATCATGTAATAGATATGTATCTCTTAAAAAACAGAGAATAGAATACCTTTTCTTCTTCACTGTCACTTCCTTCAGGAACTTTCTTCAAGTTCTTTTTCATCACTTCAATTTGAGACAAACGACGACCTTTTTTGTCAACTAGAAGGTAAAAAGATAAAAAAACAGATATTTTACTCTAATTAAACAGATTCATTAGGTTTATTTTTTTTTTAAATGATGATTTCCAGCCTGATAGTAATGAATGTAACATTAGAAAACGCGTAAATTTTGTGTATTTCCATTGAATTGAAGTGGAACAATACTAGAAAACTACGTTTTGAGGGGCCAAATACGTTGATCATATGAGTTTAGTTGGAAGTTACAGTTTGACAGGAGAAAAAAAAAACCAAAGTAGATATGAGAAACCCAACTGTCATGTACTGGTAATACACAGTTTACAACTCTAATGTTACAAGGCAGACTTACCTAGGAACATGAATTGACAAACATAGATAGACCGATTGACAAAGAAATAATACAGAGATAAACAAACAGAATGACTTAATAAATGACAAGATGAAAAACATTATATAACAAATAAATTATACAAACAATTTATAAAATAAATATTCTGCATTAAAGAAACATTTTCCACACACAATTATATAAAACATAAACTTTCTTTCTTCTTTTACTTAACAAAAAATTGTGTAGAATAATTTGAAACAACCTGCCTATTTTTATAAATTATGTAATTATGTTAATTACATTATGTATCTAGCTACAAGGTGTCTTAAGGATTAGGCTACTGATTACTGGTAACACTACTGCTGTAGTCAGCCTATTGCTCACTATAGAACTTGTATTATTAGAAGCATGTATTAACTTCTATAAGATGAACTTATATTAATTCCTGATTCTACGGTACAATATGACAACATGAAATATACACAAATGTACATGTATTACATTAAACATAAATAACTTAATATATGTTACTGATATAAAGTATTAAAAGAAATTGTTACTGTCATAAGAGAAAATCATTATTAATTGTTACTGAATGACAAAAGAGATCAACATTTTTTGCAGTTTATTTATTTGTGAAGCTCTGAAATCTAAATACAAATACTCGTACATGTAGTACATTCCGGTAGTTCTTTAAAACACCATTATGAATTTTAGAGTTGTTCCCCATTGTTCACTGCTTTGTTTAATGCCACAGCACAAACACCCCTTTAAAGATTAACCATAGGGAATGTAAAATCTCTGTAAGTCAACATATAAAAATGTTCGAAATATCGAGTTAGGTTGAATAAATTTTGTGTGAAAACTAGCACATTAATCTTTTGTCATTCTAATAGGAAGATAGGTGAGAATATTGATTGATCAGTGGAGAGTTTTCAGTCATGCCATTTCCAGCCATCCAAAATAGCTAGCAGTAGAATGTTATATAACACATAGAGAGAAGCTGAAAGAAATTTATCTAAAGAAAGAAATATTAATGTTGAGATTTATAAGGCCAATGAAATGCTATATTATAAATCTAAACGCACATTAACACATAAACAATTTACACAAAAACAAACAGACAAAGAAAGACGTAAACAATTAGGATCTACTCTTTAGTGATTATTACAACATTAGATATTAATAATAGATCAAAGAATATTTACATTGATAGTGTATGCATGTTAGTTTCTAGCTGAAAATTTTAGGTATTTCTGCATCAAACTTGAAAGATTCATCTTTCTTTGAAATGTATCTTTTGTTGGTGTTAATTATTCAACCCATTAACAAAGTTTTAGACACTGTCAGTATGAGAAAGAGTTGATTTGTTTTGAAAAATAAACAGAATTTAGGATTCAAATGCAAAATTCTTGCCATTTTACCAGCTAGAAGTTAGTATTCCTACACTATTAATTTTGTGTTCTAAAGAAACCTAGATTAAATGAAGGCCTATTTACTACTACTGTACTATCTTTCATTTTTGTTTCTAGAGAGAAAATTATCCTAGTGAGCAGAGTACAATGATTGGCAAATCCTAGGCTAAATGTAGAAGTTTCATTCTGCTAAGTACACTGAGCGCTCACCTCAATTTATCCTCTAACATCTGCCGAGTTCCACATAAGACCACACAGAATGGACTAGAAGTACATGTAAAATAGGTTTCCGATCTGCGTTATGTACAACTGTAGTGAAAGTGTTATTATTGCATATCAATTATACAGTTTATGTTGTAATTAAATAAAAGAAAATATAACTGAATTATGTAAGAACTTAAGTTTTAATTAAATAAATTTGACGGGGGATTAAAATTAAACACTTATTTTTATCAAAATGTCCATGCTTTGCTCTACACTGTTTAACCTTTATCACAAGAAATAAGTTCTTTGAAAGCAGTCTGTTAATAATTGTTACTACCAGCTTTCCAATCATGCAAGTACGTGAAAATCCATATCGATTTTTGTAAAAAAATTTGTGAAAAAGACAGGAAGCTGACGATACGTTAATAGTTACTAAAGAGAAGATCCTAACTCAGACTGACATTAAATGAAGTTTTAACACATATAACAACAAACAGATAATAAAAACTATACAAATGGACCAACAAGTCCATTACAAAGGTTTATAATACCTTCTTCTGAAATGAGAAAAGACAAAACATACAAATGATATCAATTTTGACAATGAAACAGAAAAACATAGGTTGCCAGGCAAACAAAACATACACCCATTAGCAGCAACTTTACCCAAAAAGTTATGAGCTAAACAATTCATAAAATGTTTTAAAAAGAATGGATTATAATTAAAGCCTCAGAAAGATCGGATCATAATTGAAGCCTCTACGATGCTATCAAGATCATGTAATAATGGGAGATAACTCTGAAAGTGAAAGTTATCATCGCAAAATGTTTGAAAATCAAATGGTTTCTTCCCTTCAATAGGATAGACAAACAATATAACATTTCACAAAGATCAGATCATAATTGAAGCCTATACGTTGCTTACAAGATTGTGTAACAAAGGGGGATAACACCGGAAAATATTATCACAAAATTTTTGAAAATATATAGGGTTTCTTTGCTTCAAAAAGGATAGACAAAAAATATAAAATTTCAAAAAGATCAGATCAGAATTGAAGCAACTATCAACATTTCATAACAAAGTGGAACAATAAAATAGACAGCCCAAATCAACTCCAGAAAGATATATGGAATATTGTGGCCTCTAGTATACTAATAAGGAATCTGAATGACAGATCGACAGATGTAGACTTCATAATAAAGGAGCATAGCAAAGGTAAGTTATCAACAAAAATTAATGAATATCAATGATGGTCTTAATTTCAATAAGATAGACAAAAAATCAAAAAAATCAGAAAGACTGGATCATGATTGGAGCCTTTAAGATGCTGACAAGATTTTGTAACTGAAATCGCAGGCTTCATCATTTTAATAAGATAGACAACCCATATCAACTTGTAGCCTCTATTGTGCTAACAAGATATATAACATAACTGATGGATGTGGTCGTAAAAAAACCTGTTTATATCATAATACATCATGTTTACAGTGTATACAAATTTAAATTTCAACAAGAAGACAACAACAACAAATAAATAATATGTAATTTCCGTGTAGGTCTGTAAATATTTTGTCACAAGACAACCACACGGGCAATATAATCACTGCCCTGTTTTCCCTCAACTTTAGCATGCATGTAAATGAGTAAAGTGTTGAACCCCCAAAATAAAAGCTACAAAAATAATTTATGCAATAATTGATCAATAAAAATATGACAGTAGAATGAATGTGAGTAGAAATGACCATTAAAACAACTCTTACCTGGTTTTAAACTTCCCCAGTCAACCTCTTCATCATCCTGTCCTTTTTTACCTTGTTCTCTATAATATATAAAACATTTGTCAGTCACATACATTTCCGTATTTCGTGGTATCTCTTATTTTATCAATTTTTAGCTGGATGTTCTGAATAAAATTGGTCTAATGTGTGTGCTTCATTAGGTATGTCAATGTGCTAAGGGGCGTAGTTTCAATCCCAATCTTATATGTGACATCGAGTAGGTTATCTGTCCAACCTTGTGGGTTTTCTCCAGGTCCTCCAGTTTCCTCCCATTGCTAAAGACTTCCACGCGGAAGCGAATTAGTCCCCAAATTACCTAGTTTGTAACGAGCGGATATTAAATATAGGGGTTTAATATAGGCTATGCCTGATCCCCAATCCCTATTCAGATACAAATCTGAATAAAAATATTGCTTAAAAAAAAATTCTCTCTTTCTCTTGATAAAGAAATTAGTATTAATCCATAAATTATCTCTTTTAAGATTATTGGATAACACAACTTACCTGTGTTTAAGAAGATTTCTGAAATCCAGACTTGAATCTTTTTGATCTGTTTAAAGAAAGTGGTATTATTTATTAATGTTTAACTTAAGGTTTCTTATCTATGAAGTCACCTGATAAAAGACAGACATTTCATGTATTTCATGTGGTGACCTGCATCAATTCTTGATAAATCTGGCATAGGTACTGTTATTACTATATAATTTATTGATGCCAACATAGGCATAAGAGGACAGTGGCGGAAAAAGTTTTACAAGAATGTGTTAAAAATGAAATATTTTGGGAATATTGCACAGATCTATCATACAAGTTTTAACGGACCAGCCTCTCTAAGGTGAAATCAGCCAATAGCAATAAATTGAATATTCTAGGCTCTTAAACTCTTATCTTCTCAAATATACTGGCCCCAAATAAGAGAATCTACCCACCTTTAATAAAAACACTGAATGTAGCTGTGTCAGTGGTATGACCATCTTGTTCAAGAATAACTGAATATTTAGCTTCATCAGTTTGTCGACTTTTCTTAATTTCAAGATCAGCTCCACTTTTAGAGACACTGATAGCTGTTCGACTGTCATCACGAATTTCACGACCAGCTCGTTGGAATTTGACAGTAGGCATGCCACTTCCCTGACAGTCAATTCCAATAGATACTCTGACAGGGTCACCTGTTTAAAAAAAAATTAATAATTACTATTACGGATAATAGCAAGTATCAAGAGATACATTTCATAATAAAGTTTTTAAAACAATTATGCAAGATTTAGAGAAAGAGGTGGCTGGTCTTGCTATAATAGTTCAAAATAGTTAAAAAAAATAGATAAAGAAAAAAAAAAGAATATATTCAAAAATTGAAGTCAAATTACATTATTCAGAGCGAAGGTATGATTGTTTAAAGTTTTGACAAGAATAGCAATAAACTGTCTTTGACGATTGTTGATTTACAGTTATCTGAATCTGTACGTCGCAGTGCCTGTTACAGCATATATTATATTCTTGATTGTTATATTCTTGAATTTCAAGCACCATTGCCATGATAATAAATTAAAGTCTTGACTTTCAGTCAAGAGTCCTATTATCTAGAGAGTTCATTATGGGTTTGTCATGTCAATAAATGTCTAAATAATCTATAATATAACATTTAAACTAAACCCACAAAACGCTCAGCAATATGCAAGTTTAGTTCTTTCATAAGGGCTCTTTAATACAGATAGAAGAATAAAATTATATACCACCAAATAAAACATCATAAACCCATCTCTGGCCATTGTTACTGGTGAATTTAAGATACATACCTTCAACGACCACAACATTATCTGGTTTGGAAGTAAAGATTGCTCCTGACCCTGCTTTAGGTGCAGGTTTATTAGATTTATCATCAGTAGAACCCTGAAATTGACCAAATGAATTGAATAAAAATAACAAATTATTTGTTAAATTTTCTAAAAAATTGATATACCTATAAGTATTTTTAATCCAAAATTTTCAGTTGTGCATCTGTTTAATTCATTACATTCAACTTTCACTTAAAAAGTGCATAATGATAAATGTATGGTTCTGATCTGAAAACAAAATGATAATAGACATTTCTGACTTACGCCACCAACTTGAAGCTTAACCCGTGTCATGATAAATTATAAAATATCCAAAAATAATCCTTTTAATATCCACAAAAATAGTTTAATCCTGTAGCAAAACGAATCCAGGCAAATTAAAAACCATCACAACACTATAATGCGCAAAATTCTAATTCCCAAAATTACTCCTTCAATTATAATGATAATTCCTTAATCTTGTTGTAATTTTACTCATATTCTTTACACAAAATCACACCACATTTGACATTATTCCATTTCTAATTTAAATCCCATGTTAACTAATCAGACAGGCTTTACACTGACACTACTCTCTTCTTCAGCGGCTATTTCCGAAATGATGATTAACTACTGAAATAGCTTTATAACTGACACAGCCAAACAACCCAAAATGGCAAGAAGAAACCGTTTAAAAAAAGGCTTTACTCTTTGACATCTCTCAAATTTATCAATGAGAAAACAAGACCTTGACATCTGAGAACCAAAAACAAAAGGTAACAAAATTAAATCTGCCTGCTTCAAACGTCATCCTTAAAGCAATCTGTAAAACCAGAAGGCAACCACAAGGGCGTGTTGATTGAAACGGTACATCCTAAAATTTTGTAACAATAACAAAGCCAGTTGAAGATTGATGGATAAACCAATTTGCCCAATCTATTTATGAATAATGTAAGAAATAGCCCAAAGTTTGTAGTTCAGTCACTATATAAGTAAAAAGTCAGGCTGTAATGTAACCAGGTATATTCCTATTAACACCAGAAATCTGAGAAACCAAAAAAAATAAAGTAATGTTTTGGTTATTTTTGTTGAACGCCTTAAAGAAAACAACATATCAATCTAAAAAAGTAACATAACTTAACCATGATTAGTTTTCTTTTCACTTTTAAACTTCAAAATTTATATTTATACATATACCTTATAATTTATTATAGCCAACCTTATAATTTGTTATAGCCACTCTGACACTAACGATAACTAATATTCTGCAAATCTACCTAATTCTTAGAATTTCTCACAATCCTTAAGAACTATATTTAAATCTTGACATTTTTCCAGTCTGCATCAAAATTTCTAAAAAGACCACACCATTATGTTCAAATAGAAAGACTAATCTCTTGAGATAAATTGCATGTAACTAAATTCTATGTAGGTTAATCAATTGAGTTGTTTTTGTTATTTACTACAGTGAGACAGTTAAAGGAGAATTCCCAGATTTCATAGACACTGCAAATCAACATAAGCTATAAAGTATGTATGTCAAAAAACAAAATGTGATGCCTCTTTCCTTGTCTGAAAGTTCCAGCTCAAAAGATTGAACCTATCGGAAACATTTGATAGATTTGCACAACAGGGTTCCATAGCTCCAGTATAACATCGGCAAGTATATAGGCATGGTTATCGAGACACTTACAGTCTGGTATTTGGGGATGTATAGCTGAGCCCACAGGGAAACTAAAAGTTTGATTTTTTTTGAATAAAGGTTTGTACATATCCTTCAAGATAAACAGTTTTAGTCACTCAAATATATCTGGGATTGCTCCTTTAAATGTGAATACAAAAAGAAGTAAATCGACTTACCGGTGCCGGTCCTATTTACAAAAGAAAATCAAAAGGAAAAAATTATTAAAGTATCTATTTTCTTGAAGCAAAGTTAATGAACAGCTAATATCAATTAAATCTGTGTTTTGTAACTAATATTAGTTACATTGAAATTTTATTATTAAACTTATATGAAAATTAAATTAAATTTATATGAAAATTACATTTACATGTATATGAAAATTACGTTAATATACTGAGCGCCATGGAAAACGCATCACTTTTTTTCCCAAATATTTTATTACTAGGTGGTTTTGTATATATAATATTATGCAATACTATGAACTATTGTTTCACACAATGCTCCCAAACGCAAAAAATATCGGCCCGTGTGCACAAAAAAAAATTGCACGAGATGCACATGAAAAACCCAATATTCACGTGCAGCATTGTGTGTGAGCCCTTTAAAAGCATGTTTTCAACTTAATGTGCAGTACATGAACTGTGAAACGTCAATCTGTCGTAATTTGTTGTTGGACGTGTGAAGGAATCGAGCTATAGATGTCGAGAATTACTGAAAATCAACAGAATGAAGCCATGGGAATGTCAAGGGCTGGCATGTCTACACGTGCTATTGCCAGACACTTCAATTGTCATCAGTCCACTATTGTAAGGTTGGTGGAACGTGGATCAACACGTGACCGCCAACATCCTGGTCCACAACGCTTTACAACCCAGGCTCAAGACCGCTACATCCGGGTCACTCATCTGCATGACAGATTCCGCCCAGCGACTCAAACAGGTGCAGCAGTCGTCGGAAGACAAGGAATAGTAAGTGCCAACACCGTAAGACGTCGTCTAAGAGAAGTAGGACTTCGTGCCCGACGACCTTATGTTAGAGTTATCCTCAGGGATCATCACCGTCAGCGGCATTTGATATGGGCTCAAGGACACCAGACATGGAGAAGAGTAGACTGGCAAAGTGTGCTCTTCGGTGATGAGAGTCGCTTTTATCTTTATCACGCTGATGGCGGTCAACGTGTGTGGAGACGTCTTGGGGAATGTCTTGCAGACTGCTGCGTCTTCAAAAACGAATTGATGGGGTGGGGGAAGTGTAATGGTGTGGGGAGGCTTCACATTTCATCCCCGGACCGCCCTACACATTTGCAGGGGTCGCGTTAATGCTGTAGCCTACCATGATGATGTCTTGCAACCAATTGTTGTTCCGATGTTTCGAGCGCACCCACAACTTCAGCACTTCCAACAGGATAATGCACGTCCGCATACCGCCCGTTTTAGTATGGACTACCTGGCTGCTAACAACATCAATGTCTTGGACTGGCCAGCCATGTCTCCGATAGAACATGTCTGGGATGAGATTGGACGCCGTCTGTATCGGAGACCACAGATGCACACCATTGCTGCTTTAGAAGTTGCTCTTGTCCAAGAATGGAACAATGTGCCCCAGGCCTTCTTTCAAACATTGGTAAATTCCATGCGACGTCGCTCCACAGCGTGCGTAAGAGCCCGTGGAGGACACACGCGCTACTGACATCTGTGTCGTACTTTTGGTTTTGACCCCTCTGACTTTGTACCGTTGATTACAGATTAAACATCCATAAATGTACAAATGTGTTGTTATTGATGTGTTCCCATTTGAATATTGTTCACAATAAGAAGTAAATAAATAAGATATGTTTACAGGATCATTTTGTTATACGAAAAACTAAGTGATGCGTTTTCCATGGCGCTCAGTATATCATATTAAAATTGAATATTTAAAAATTAAAAACCAAAATGATGTTTTTAGTATGTGACTGATATTTTCTTCTCCTCAGAAATTTACATATCAATAAACATTGAAGAATGATTCACCTGTTAAATATATCTAAGAAGATGTCTAATACAAATTCAAAATCATCACAATTCTAAATGTAGCGCCAAGTCATTCAATGATTTCTGAAGCATTGCTATATATAGGCAGAATATGTAGTTTCCTAACCATTTCAAAAAGAACTATGTACTAACGCCCTAAGTAACTCATAGGTCTCTAACAACAGGATTCTTGATACTTCTGGTAATATGACTATCAGTGACTAAAAAAGCTTTAACCAGAAGTTGCCCCATCAACCAAGGCTACAAACCTTTTTGGGCTTTCAGAATTAAAATACAATATATTTACCTTATGATTAGGGCTGTACATACCGTGGATGTGAAAGGGTATGATCGTCCAGGTGTTTAAGAACCCATGTCAAGTCAATAAAAATTACATTATTTGTTACTACTAACCTTCTAAACTGGAAATAGCTGTACACATAATGACCTTATAACACAGACACAGACAACTACATAAATACAATCCTATCAAATATCTAACAGCAAGCTCTAATACAGAAGTGGAAATTAACTCCCATGTTGAGTAGAAAGGAATCAACACCTATGTTGAGTAGAATGGAATCAACTCCCATGTTGAGTAGAAGGAAATTAACTCCATGTTGAGCAGCAGGGAATCAACTCCATGTTGAGCAGAAGGGAATCAACTCCATGTTGAGCAGAAGGGATGAACTCCATGTTGAGTAGAAGGAAAAACATGATTATGAATGCTAAAATCTATCATCCTAAACCCTGACTTGCAAAGACACATTTAGAGAGGCAAACCCTTTAAGGTTATTGATCTTAAGCACTTTACTTATGAATCTTAATTAGGCCAATTTTCTATTTACTTACCTATAATTCAAAATAAATAACTACTTATTTTATGATACTTTGTTAGATGTGTTACAGGGACAGATAGTGATTATCTAACCTACCTCCATTCACCTCCCCTCCATCATCACCTTCATCTTCTTCTTCTTCGTCATCTTATTTAACAATTGATAATAATATAACCAAACATGCAAAACAACATAACTAAACTAATCTAATTATCTGTATAGAAATAGCTTGTATAAAAAAAAACATTGGTATATTTCATTACGATTACAAAATACAGAACAACTTTGAGATTTCTTTATAAATCTCAGAACAAATACAATAGAAAAAAAAAAACGAACAATAAAATTTTACAGTTATTATGTATAAGACTTAATAACAATTTAATCATTTAAACTGAATTGTTTCACTTTATTGCATAAAGAGTTATAAATAAAAAGCATTTTTTTAAAATTTAAAGCCATGTTGTTAATTTGATTATAATTTATCAGTTATGATTAATTAAGTGTTTGCGTATATTTAAAGCAGTTGTAATACATTTTATTTTGGGTTACGTTATTAACATACATTTGTGATTATGTTACGTTACGTTATTAATATACACTTGTGATTATGTTAATTTTTTAAAACCTTAAATTTGATATCTACTTTACAAAAATTTAACATGATTATTTTTGGTTGTGATGTGTAGTAAAATAAAAATAAAATGTAATAAAATAAAAATAAAATAAAAGTGGATCTACTAATTTTTTCAAAATAAAAATAACTAAAAAAAATAATCTGAAATTAACAAATTTAAACAAAATATTTTACAATATATTTTTTAAAGATAGTAGGTGAATAAATTTTGTGAACATAAATATTATCTAGATTAGTTTTGTTTGATCAACATTTGGATCCAGTATATTAGATACAACATCCAGTTTGATTTAAAAGTGATTAGAACAACTACTTGATTATTGTTTATTATTTGTCGTCTGGTAATTATAGAGAACAGAGTTATGTACCATTAACATGAAAATAAAACACTGATAACTGTTTTTTTGGTTTTTTTTAAAATAACAAAAACCTGTACACACTACTACTGGAAACTAAACTACTGTGAGAGACATTAGTTAAACCATTTCTATAACATTTACATGCAGGGCAACTTTGGTCAATATTAAGAACTGAAAACGAGCTGTCAATGCTGCAGTCCAAGAAGTCTATACAGTGGCGTGCAGAGAGGGGGACAGAGTTGGCGGTAGCTTTGGGCATCAATTTCAGGAGGGTATCCAATCAAAGAGTGAAATTTTTGAAGTTATTATTGTTAATTCTGTTCTACAAGCTGCCCTACGGAATTTGAATAACAAGTCTTTTTCATCTGTCTTTATAGATTTCAGATGTCTTTATTTCTCCTATTTCTTAGTACTAGGCCCTATACTTGAGTCCTGGGGTGGCGGGGTGGGGAATACTATCAAGCACTTGGCCTCAAGCATCACAAACTTTCAGAAAGCCACTGATTCAATAACTGATAATGCAGGATCATGATTACGATCGATGGTCAACCATTCATAGTGTTGTTCATTAAATAGTCTTATTATTTCATAGTGGCCAATAGCATTTCTACAGCCCTTTTCATAAACTTCAACATATACAAATATTCACCAAAGTCAATAGAAATGGTAACTGAGCGGACAACTTACCTCCTTCTAAAATTGTTGTAGGCTTCTTTTTATAACCCCTTTGTTTGGGTTTTGATTTATCACTTTTATCTTGTTCTTTTTCCCCATTAACTTTTTTATCTTTTGAAGGCTTTTTAGCACTGTCCTTATCATTCGTAGGTTTACCTTTTTTATCAGTATCATCATCGACCACAATGCTAGGTGGTGCAGCTTTATCTGCAGCAGCCTTCTTATCTGCTGCAGCCTTCTTATCTGCAGCAGCTTTATCTGCTGCAGCCTTCTTATCTGCAGCAGCCTTATCTGCTGCAGCCTTCTTATCTGCAGCAGCCTTATCTGCTGCAGCCTTCTTATCTGCTGCAGCCTTATCGGCTGCAGCCTTCTTATCTGCAGCAGCCTTCTTGTCAGCTTCTAATAGATGGATTCAAAAAAAAAATACAAGCACTAAATCAAAAAGCCAATCATTAATCAAATCAACTATTTCTAAATTTCTAAATTTCTAAACTGAAAACTTCAAATTCATCAAATTCAAATGTCACTCAAAATTCAAACCAAATTCAGCTAAAAAGAGGCAAGATCATTGTTTATTATTATGACATGTCATGGTCATCTTTAAAGGGATGACTATTAAATGTTATAAACTTATAGAGCAAATATTTTAAATGTGTAAAAATTGTATGCACTTGAAGACTTTTTGATTTAATACATCAGAAACAGATTACACAGTACATGAGACAAGACATATTAACCCAAAGGAGCCAATATAGTACTACCCAAAACATTCTAAATTTTTACAAACCAAATGTTTATTAGAAATATGTAATGCTTGAAACCTATATACATTACACAATCTAGCTAGTGATAATGTATATTATAAGTGTGCAATACTTGAAACCTATATACATTACACAAACTAGCTAGTGATAATGTGTATTAAAAGTGTGTAATGCTTGAAACTTATATACATTACACAAACTAGCTAGTGATAATGTGTACTCATTAAAGTCTTTGACTTGTTCTTAATAATTCATCAGGCTACTGTATAATTTGTTCTATATGAAGATGGCAAGACAATGGGGTATAGCTTTTTAAAAGGGCAGTTTAATTTAAATTATATTTAGAATTGTTTATAAATGTGCCATAAGATTTAATATGCTTTACAAAACAGCGGATACTATTTTGACATTAGCACATCGTTAACACAACAAGAAGACCTTCTTTAAAATATTTAAAAATAATTTTCAAATAATTAAAGAAAATACATAAATAATGTAAAATTTAATATAAACTCAAAATATTAGACCCCTTGGTTGAATTGTTATTTGTTGCTACTATAATGTTTTTTCTTGCCTAAATGCATCCAAAGTTTGACAAGATACACCTTTTGTGTTTCGCAGATTAGGAAGCTACTAATAAAGGTCATAATGATCTTTAAATTAACTTTTAATTTACATATTTTATACCACCTGCTGGGAATAAGAATAATCAGTCTATAGAGTCCAGTCAATTTGATTGATTTGATTGTAGTGTGAATAAACATAGGCTAGATCTTGCTCAGCTGCTGTCATGTGTGTTGCCACACAACCACCTCCTTCGATATTAATGCATTCGAAAAATCGAAACAAGCTTTTGCAAGCAAGATAAGTGAGCAATAATATATCCGATAATTTCAATCAGATTGGTTTGGAATTGGTATATAACATATATAATCAAAATGGCTTCATGCACATACCACATTTATGTGATAAATTTATGTACTCTTTAAAGACCTTGGACTGACCCTTAAAAAAATTCAATGCATTCAGCAAATAAAGCATTTTCTATATCTAGTTTCAAAAATATATTTGTACATTCTCAAAAATTTTGCTTTAATTCATACTCTATCTAAGATTATATAATAATATAATAAAAGAAAATGTTTTTAAATAAAATGAATCAAACTCAAGCATTTTACTATACTACAGCAAAAATTAGCCTGGTCTGTACCGGTAATTACATATTCTCCAAGCTCAACCAAACTGAGCTTACATCTCTAGAAAGTCCAAAAACTTGCCCTTAGAACAGGAGTGCTGTATATTAAGATCAGACTTTCAAACAGCAGATGTCTACTTTACACAAAAAACACAACCTAAAAGATGCATACTAACGAACCATTACCTTCCTGAAATTAAAGAAGAAAAACATTAATAAGATTATATAACTGACCCCAGTGTTAAATAAACAGATATCTGTGTTTATAGCTAATACTATTCCTTATACCATTATTATTATAAATGAAATAAATGATAATGTCTGATCAATATAGTACTAAGTTTATTTTGAGACAAATAAGAGGAACCACTGAGGATGGAACTTTATAAGTCACAGTTTAAATTGTACTGGTCCCAAGTTCACAAAGCATTCTCAGACTTAAGTTAAGAATTTACTCCAAATTGTTCGCCTAATTTTAACTAAAATATGACCCTTTTGTAGAAGGGTTAAATTTATAAATGTTTTGTTATATATATGTAAATAAAGTTTATGTAATATATGGTGTATGTGTTTATATCTGCTTGGTGTCTTGGAATCTAGCCAAGTTGTGGTGTCCAGTGTGTTGTGTTGTAATTGTGTTCACTGAATTGTTTTAATGTATCAAATACATCAATAAGAAACTATGTGCAAAGTTTTGTGTTTCTGGATCAAAGACATTTCTCATAAACAGTGATTGAAAGTTGAGTAAATTCTTAACTTAAGTCTGAGAATGCTTTGTGAACTCGAGGCCAGATTTACAGAACAACCCTTATGGAATCATTGGGTTGCAGAGGTTTGAGGATGCCTGGGGCCAACTCCCTGATTGCATGCCCCCAAGACTCAAACATAAGGCATAGTCTGAGAGACAGACAATGTGAGACATTTTATTAGGCAAAATCAGATTACTGTCTGAACCATCGTAAATTTTAAATGGATTTCTTCGATCATGAACAAACTACTTAACTGCTGTTAAATACGATCCACAGCATAACTAAATATCCCAACGAGTAAAAAAGTTCTCTCTTGAAAAATTGAAATCTAACAAATTTTAAATTCGAGAATACCAAAATGGAAGCTGATTACGTATAAAGGGGTGACAGCATACTACATCGAAACGGTTTCAGGTACTTTTAAAATTCAAGTTTAGCATAAGAATAAGCTATTAGAAGTCTGGCTCGGTATTGAGTTTGAGCGTTCACACACAAAACTGTCCGTATTCCTTTACTTTGTTACTGTCTTTTACATTCTAGTAAAATCTCTGCAAAGTTTATAGCTTTCCCGTTGGAAATATTTTGTTTTAATTATTTGATTAGAGACTCGGATGGGAGAATTTTCACATGCAGCACAAAAACAGTGACAAATCTTTTATCATGAGAATTATAGAAACTTCAACCTAATTTCTTTTAATACTCTTTGCAGGTGGGTTTGAGAAATTATAATATCTTTTTCTTTAAGTAAAGGACACAGTCCTCTGGTTGAGAACTTCGTTCGTTCGTTTCTGGTGTTTTACGTCCACTTCCACCTAAGGTGATATCGTAGACAATGGTTGAGAACTGGATAAAATTGCCTTTTATTTGAAATGGCTTGCACTTTGTTTTGATTGCAACACATGGATCTGTCAAAGTTAAACCATCGCAGGAACAACTTCATTGGTTTCGCTCAACACGTGATGAAAGCCATGTTGTCTTCCACCCAGCCGAAATTACAGCTAAATAGTCAAATTTTTCAAGACAGAACTTTTTTATTTGTTGGAACATTTAATTGTGCATTGGGTTTTATTTGACGGAAGTTGATTTGAAACACACAGGTAAGTTTATAATAACCACAGTTAAGTAGTTTGTTCATAATCGAAGAAATCCATTAAAAATTTAACGACGATTCAAACAGTAAGTAGGCCATGATTTACAAGAAAGTTAACAGCGACAATTTTAATTCCACTCTGATTGGAAGCAACCCCCCCCCCCTTCAAAACACACACACCACTGAAATGGATGTCCGGGGCCATCATTCCCTCATCCCCAGTCCCTTCATGCCACTGTATACAATCTGCGGGTCTGTACATAAATTTCATAACACAGAAGAACACTGACAAGATAATGTTCAAAATCTGAGGATTCCAATGCCTAACGTTTTTAGATGTTTCTTTTTAAGTTTTTAAGTATGTGAAAATGGATTTAAGAAAATGTTTAAATATTTATATAGTGTAGATCATGGTACTGGATGTCATGTCATACATGTAACTCAGTTTTGACCATGTTATTAAACTGATGTACTTATCCACAGAAATTAAATCTAAAAAGCAGACATCTTACTTTTTTCTGGGCTTCCACCTTCTTCTTTTCCTCCTCAGCTTTCTTTTTATCTTCTTCCTCTTTCTTCTTCTTGTCAGCTTCGGCTTTCTTCTTCTTTTCCTCTTCTTCCTTCTTTTGTTTATCTTTATTATCATCTGATAAATAATATATTTAATAGTATCATGAGAAATAAGACATATAGAGGTTTTTAAAGATGCATTATGTAAGATTTAGATGAAGAGCTGGCTATAATAGTTCAAAAATAGATAATGAAAAATGAATATATTGAAAATTTTAGTCAAATTACTTTATGAATTATTAAATATTTAAGGCAGAGTTAGGTCTTACATAATCAATCTTTAAGTACATTATACATAACAAAATATAACTAGACAGTAATTCAAGTATAAGACATTTGCTATAAATAAGGATGGGCATTGTGCATGAGAAAGGATATGAATACTCTTTCTGGAACACTTGACATTACTTTGGCATTATTAATAATTTGATTTACTGTTGTATACAAAATGATTAATGATACAATGACGTATGACAGTACTGAAACACCTGATACCACTTCTTATTTGGGGAGTTTTATATGCAAAAATCACAGGCATCATCTTTTCTTACCTTTGACTTGCAGGCTAGCCATAGACATGCCAGTTCCAAATTTATTTTTAACCTCCACGGTATATTCACCACCATCACCTGCACCCACTTTTGGAATGTTCAGACGACAAGTACCCTTTTCATAACTTTGTTTGAATGAAGCAGAATTTGCAAGCGGTTTCTTGTCCTTCAACCATTTGACTTCAATAGGTTCTGTTCCCTTAACCTTGGCAACAAATTCTACAGCTTCACCCGTATTGGCATTCTGCAACAATACAAATTCATTTACCACATCTGAATGAAGCACTCTATATTTTAACTCATGAAAGATTCCGAAACTGGAAATTCTTCAGATTACGACCAGCATGCTAATCTGACTTTTATACAAATTCCAAATGCATTCGCATTTTTAATAGTTGCTGACACAACAAAACCTAGAATAACTATATTTCAACCTTTTTGAATGAATACACACAGGTCCTTGACCAGAATATATCATTTATGATTAATGAGAAAACATTTTAATAGTCTATTGTGTAAGTATCACATGGTTATTAAAAAAAGAGAGCGACCGTGTACCTTTGGCATGAGTTTGTCAGTAAATACGGGAGCATCGCCTTTTGGTTTTAATGCTGAAAGTAAACATAAATAAACATTTAACTATGTTGTCCAATCCAGTAAGGATCCAAGAGGTCCATTGTCAGGGGACATGAAAAGATGAATTAAATATCGGGTTGGGTGGGGGTGGAGGAGGAGTTTCCAAAAATTTCAGAACATTGAATGGAAAATGATTTGGGAGTTATGGTATGATGCTAAAACGACTCCTAAATAGAATAGCACCTAGCATAACATCTAATCTTAGTTAATCTGTTATCTATCAATGATTGATGATTATTGTCAATGAAATCCAAAGTATTTGCACGCCAAAATTACATCATATTCAAATTTGGGACAAAAGCAACAATTGGTCTGTAAGGACAGAGAATGTGCTCTACTACAGAAATGAAATGTAATGTAAAGGTTTTTTTACGTCCTACTTTTTTGCACCAATCATTCTATTATAGACACTGTATTCAACTACAGACAAATGATTTTGTGTTTGAAAGACTATAACTAACTGAATGTTAGGTTTGAGAGGGATTCTTTCAGATTCAAAGATTATGTATCGTTGGACAAGTGAATTCCTTTTGTAAATATTGTTTAACTTACCCGATACATTGACAGCTGCTGTACAGGAAGCTTCACCACCAGCTGTTTTAGCCACCATTTTATATGTACCAGAATCTTTATCATTATACTGGAACATTTAATACAGATTGATAAATACTCTATGTACATGATGACTGTTTGAAATCATTACAATTAAAACATTGTACCTTTTAGTCCATGCCCGACAGTAACCAAAATCACCACTTAACACACCTACATTTGCATATAAAAAAGTTACACTACAAGACTAAAACGGATAACATGTAGTGCAAGCAGTTTCACCTCTGGGTGTAGAGATTGATGTGATAATTGTCTATAAAGGAGAAATCTCAGTTTATACTGAGATAATTTATATATGCAGATCAAATGTGAATAAACGACCTATTCAATTTGTTTGAGCTGACAAAGTCCCTTACACATAGAATTAGCCAGTGAGGCAATTTTGGTATTTATCCTGTAACAGCATAGTATTATTTCCTTTTTAAACCATTAAAAATTATATAAACAATTACGAGCTTGCTATGGGCCAGGAACCGAACATAACGATATCACCGCCATCTTGGAATTGTGACGTCCTGTCAAAAATGGAAGTCTGTCAATTGATGAGCAATGATACAAGGAACAAGTACGCCAAATTTCATGTTGAATTGATGGAGCCTTAGGTTTTTTCTTTCCGAGAGCGTCACCCCAAAGAACAAGAAGAACAACATGATTAGATGAGTAGAACTTGGATCTAAGTTCCTGGTCCAAATATCTAAAAGTAAAGCTGACAATTTGAAATATAATAAAGATACTCACATTACCAATTTTAAGTGAAGAATAGAAGAGACCACCTTCTTCTTTGACATCAGTCTTGAAGCGGCCTGTAGCAGGAACTGGTGCGTTACCAAACATCCATTTAATATCAGGCTTAGTTGGTGATTTAATGGCTTGATCAATCATTATGACCTTACCATCTTCTTCCAGACGGATGTTAGGTGGACCTTCCAATTTGGGGGCTTCTACTTTTGGTCTAATAACACAAAGAATTTATTACTTAAAAATATATTCTAAGCTGAAAACACCAAAAAAGTTAAGGGATTTGTTGATAGACCTTTGTGTAACCATTCACTTGTGAGATCAAAGCGTAACAGTTAGCATAATGTTTTATGAGGGTCTTCATGACACAGTAAATGCTTAATATACAGAATTTCTTTCATAACTTTGCATGTAATAGTGTGGAATTTTAGTGTTTTAATTATATGAACGAGACAACCAGCGTGAATATTATCTAATCATCTCCTAGGATGAATTTTCCTAACAAACCAACTTCCTGGGTCATATTGGGATCATTTTAGCTTAGATCTTTAATGTGGTAGGATCATTCTAGCTGAGATCTTTAATGTAGAAGGTTTTCAGGCATTTAGAAAATTCTATATTTTGGAATTTTAAAAACAATTCAAACTGTAAACAGGAATCTGGCTACGAGGATTATTTGAAAGGGTGTGTGTGTGTGTGTGTTACAATGGATTTATTCAATGTCTGCTTCCACCTGGGGTGATATCACAGTAAATAAATTCTGTTAAAAACTTATTTTTTCAGAAGTTAAGAAAGATGTTAGCACCATGGGTAACATCGCAGTCAAGTATGAATGGTGGAACAGATTCTTATTTTATATGAATTCAAAGACTTACTTTCCCAAGTTAAGAGAGATATTAGCACTGCTTTCACCACTTGCATTCTTAGCTGTTACTTTATACTGTCCACCATCTTCTGCTGTGAAATTCTACAAAAACCAATAAAAATATTTTCAGAAAGGTATCAAGAAACATATAATATCCAGTTTATAATAGCTCAAGTAGAGATCAAGACTTGAAATTACACCAACAAAAAAAGTTTTCTCATCCAAACTTTAGTAATCAAAATTCAAACATTCTCAAGATTACAACAAAAATAAGTTTTCTAGTCAAATTTTTAATATTCAAAAGTCCATTTTTTTTTTAAAATAAACTTTCTAGAAGAAAAGCAACTAACCTGAATTTCTAATATGATGACGTAAGTTCCATTTTTTTCTGTGACAGTTGATGATATTCTTCCACCTAATTTCAATGAACTAGTTCCTTTAAACCATTCTAGATCAGGTTTTGGTTTGGCCTTACACACACATTCAATGGATAGTTTCTTGCCACTGGGATCTTGGATAACTTTGGGTTTTTCAGTGAACTGTGGAGCTTCTCCGTCTCCTTTAGGTTTGTCACCACCTGAAAATAAATCGTATTTTTTAATTAATTATCGGGGTTTTTTTTTGATTACCTATTACGCCTCAAATTTAACTTCATTTTTCAGTGCTATTAGTGGATGTGACGACTGTTAGCACCATATATGTATGACTGACAGTTGACAAACAGACGGTAAGGGATGTTTTTGCATTTCCAGTCAACCCCAATTCAAACAAAAATTTGAAGCACACGTTCCTGTTGTTGTGTGCATTTGGGAGACATTTCATGTCGGAATGTTGACTGTATATCTAAGCTGGACCTTATTATTTTAGAAAATGAAACAGTCATCAGGTAACTTTTTCAATTTCACATGTGTTTTCTGTTCTTGAAAACTTTATGATTTAACAAATAAGATTAACTAGAAATGGAATGGAAAAGAATGGTAGTTCAACTTCCTACTTGTTATTGGGGAATATTTAATATTTAATTTAATGTTTATTCCAACACCTTACTTTAGACAATAGACACTATTCTGACAAAATAAAACCCTTTTACACTTAACTTTAGTAAGATTTGTACTTACATAAAGTCCAGATACATCAACGGATTTGAATTGGATTGTAATTAAAAATGGCACCCTGTTTTAAAATTAGAAACTTAAAATTGTGAAATATCACTTGGAACAAAGACAATATTGCCAATAACCATCTGCTGTTGCCATCTTAATTATAGCAGATGCAGCCAATGAATGTAAAAACAAAAACAAGAAAATAATTACCAGAAAAGTTAAGTGTGATGTTAGCATTAGATTCACCAAAATCATTGGCAGCGGTGCATTTATATGAACCACCATCTTCACCTTTTGGATCCTGTAGAAAAAAATTGCAGTTGTAGAAATAAAACTTTAAATCTTTCAAATTGAATAATACAATATGGCTATTTCTAACACCATCTTTTCTGGCAAGAACTGAATTTAAATTTTAACTTTGTTTGCTGTTCAAAAAATCGTTCAAATCCAATATGGTTGTTTTTAAGAATATCTTTTCTGGCAACACTTGAATTGAAGGTCATGTTAATATAAATCTGGTATCTCCACATTTTTCTTCTTTAAAATAAAATAATTATTAACCTTGATTTTAAGAACTGCGTTATATGTATCAGGTCCACTGGCACTTCTGTCAAGAGTGATGGCAATACGTCCACCAGCACCAATCTCCTTGTCCTCATGGTACCATCGGATCTGCGGAGTGGGTTTAGCTTCCAGGCTACAGGTCATTAACAACTGTGTTTTTTCTTGTTTGATCACAGGTTTCGATGTGAAATGGGGGGCCTTGCCTTCAGGCAATCTGTAATATTAATATCTATGTTGTACAATACATGAAACTATTTTGACCAAATGGATAAAATTCCTTGATTCGTTTGTCCTCACTTATTAAAGATCGTTATTAGAATGGCCCAATTAAATAATAAAATTCTAGACATTAATTTTTTTCATCTTTGTCCATACATAACGTGATGCAGAGTTATATGATGATGTCCTGACTTAGCTGATAGACCTAAAATATAGGTAAATGCCATGGAAAATAGGTTAGCTCTCTGTTTATCATGCCATGGAAAATAGGTTAGATCTCTGTTTATTTACAAATGTACTGTACATTGAGAATTTAAGTCACCTACTCTTCCAAAAAAAAAAGACATGGCCCTGTTTTATCAAAATGTCAAACTGATATCATTTATAGCATACTTACATGGGTTTTTTAGCATCTGCAAAATAAATAACAATAACAAATTTAATACATGTAACTTAGTCTATTAATACATATAAATTATTAAAATATTATTATACTGTATATAAACTTATGTTAAACTAACATAATAAAAAAAGACATGAGATAAACTACTGATAAAGCAATACCTGTTTGTCTGAAAAAAGCTGTGACATGTATCATTTTTGAGAAAAATAAATTATTATAAAATTCAGTAAACATAATTTGTTAATTTGTTATGTTGAAATTGTTAAATTAATAAAATTCCTTGTAGATTAGTAAAAAAAAACTCTCTACAAATTCTAAAAAAATTTAAACACAGCAAAGAATTATAATACTAATAAACAATAGTCTTTTGATATTCAGTGATATATTATCGATAGGAAGCTATGCTCTGTTTCATGTATGTAACACCACATCACCCACCTTCAAAATTAAGAGTTATGGTTGCAGTTGCTTCACCATGCGTATTTTTAGCTATTGCTTTATATTCACCGCCATCTTTAACTGTTACGCTATTAATTTCTAATATCACAGAGTGGGTTGCGCCTTCTGTGCGTTCTGTCATGTTGATGCGAGATGATTTAAATATAGTTTTATTTTGGAACATCCATTTTACGGTGGGTTTAGGTTCTGCTGATAGTTTGCATTCTATAAAAATCTTTTCACCCGCCTGTCTTATTTGTGGTTTCTGAATAAAGACGGGTTGTGTGACTGTACCTGTGGATTCGGCACCTGTAAGTTAGTGTAAGGTTAAAAACTGAAAGTAGGTAGTCAATGGTTGGTCACCTCCCTTTTGATCACCATGACAACCTGAGATCATTAATATAATCAAACACACTTATTAATAATAATACTTCTAAATATATATTAATAAAACACACTTGAAATCGTGTAACACTCGTTACTATGGAAAAAGTGCATAATAGTAAATCAGGAAATGTTGCATATTAGTACAATATTTGTACATTATAAGCCAAAATTCTATCCGCTTTTTTGCAGATTTTTTGTTTCAAAAATGAAATACAATAAGTAAGCTTATGATAAAATATTATTCATAAGATGCAATTTCTAATCATTAATGATTAGAGTTTAACATGAGAGATATGGTGGTCTGAATCCACAAAAACATTACCAAGTTACTATCCAGTTTCAAGTCGTGTGTTATTAATATAAAAGAATTTAACATTAGTTTATTAAAATTCTATACGCTTTCACAGCTTCTAAAATCAAGCTTTAAGTGCTTAACATTTTGTAAAAATATTATAAATTCAAAAAAGTAACAAAAATTTCACACACATTTTCAAATTTAATTTTAAAACAGTTTGTAAAAGCTTCATTTTGCCCCCTAAAAACACCATTATCATATATTAGTTGAGCAGAGAACTTGCCAAAAATTTCCAGCCATTGTATATGCACAAATCAATTTGTAATTATGAATATGCATTAAGAGAGCTTCAATTCAGTTAGCAGCCTCATAAAAGTCAGAAGAGACGTCAAATGAAAGAGAGCATCCATTTAGAATTTTAGAAAAGTCATCAACAGAAAAGTCCCAAAATCCAAATGAAATTTAGAATTATATAGTACCCTGACCTTCATCCCCACCTTGTTCTAATTCAGTCTCAAATTCCTGATCTAAAAGCAAACAGTTCTCACATTGACACCAAGATTGACAAATAAACTGTTCAAATAAAGACATATTGAACGAAATGGGTAAGATTAATGACATGGCTGATGATGAAAACAAAAGATGCCCAAGGACCTTGTAGGGCCTACATTGGTAAGAATGTAAATGACAACACAAGAAATTGAAAATGTGAATTTTGTTTATGACTGAAGGCTGGAAGGGATGACATTAGATGATATGGTTCATGATAACAAATGATACGATTTAAAACAATAAATATGGTTCATGATAATAAATGATATGGTTAATGATAATAAATGGCATGGTTCATGATTTCAGGAATGATACGGTTCAGAATAATAAATGACATGGTTCAGGTATAATAAAAATGATATGGTTCAGGATAATAAATTATATGTTTTAAGGTAATAAATTGTATGGTTCAGAAAATAGAATCGAAAGGGTTCGGAATAAAATTGTGTATTACCCATTTCCTTACAGATATCCTTGCCTCAATTTATTTATGTATGTTCTGTCACCATATGAAGTTTTTAGAAATCAGGAATAAACTAGGACTGGATTCTCCAAAAGGAGTTTAATTTATATACCCATTTACATTTCAAACCAATTTCCATCAAAAAATATTTTTCACAAGGGTATATCTAGATGTCCCTCAAGGTCTTACTGTAAATTAATTGAACAATCCTTTTTTTTTCAGTTGAAGTATAATATATCACTATTTAAACTTATTTTCCAAAGCTTACATAAACAATAAAAACTATATGATTAGACATTTAAAGCTACAATATTGAAAGCTATATACAATATTGAAAGCTACATTGAAATAACACATACTAAAATACACATACCCGGTACATGAAAACATCATATTTAATAGTAAAACAAATTGTTAATTAATTCAAACTGAGTAAAAAGCTTACTGTCAAAGTTAAGTCTGATTGTTGCATTGCTTTCACCAAGATCATTTTTAGCTGTAACCTTATAATTTCCAGCATCTTGTGCGTTAACATCATTAATTTCTAAACTTAAGAAATATTTTTTTGGTTCCTTACAGTCAGCTTTGATCTTGAATCGTCCTGTAAGTAGACAAGTTTGGGGGTTTTTAAAATTCATAATAAAATATGTCAAAAATCATTATTTTAACAACAAATTTTTTATGAAATGAAATGGCGTTTGTGACTTGTGTCCTACTTTTATACATCAACTGGGCTAATGAAAATAGGAAATTGCCCATGCAGTGTGCTATCAGGGATATTTTGCCAAGACAGCAGTGCTACTGCCTAGTCTTTTTCTGATTCTAACTGTTAAGAGTTATTTTACACAAGACCTTGGTTTCTTGTTTTATCCGAATGACTAGACAGGCACTCTGTCTTGGACCAGTGACAAAAAGAAACCACAGAACAGGTCTCTCATATGTAGCTGCAGTAGTTAGTTATCACTTTGTTGAATAAGTGTAATTAGGCTAACATAAATATAATAATAATTTATTTTATCATACCTCCTGCTGTTATAGGTGTGGCATCTCTAAACCATGTAATATTAGGGGCGGGATCTGCTGCTAGTTGACATTCAAAAAATAATTTCTTGCCATTGTTTTCTTGTCTGGTCATTGGTTTTGTAATAAAATTTGGTGCCACACCATTTTGTCTAAAATAAAAAAACAAATATTATTTTAAAGATGATGTTGGAACTTGAATGCACTTTCTCGGCCATTTGAATGATCAAATGTCAAATGAGCACAGCAAACAACCTGTGTAGCAGTGAATACTGAAACCAATAAAATTCACCATATCATTATTCTCTGTTGTTTCGAAATTCAAACTGATTTCTCTTCCATTTATAATTCTCTTTTATTTTACAGGCATTTACATGACACGATATAACTGAACTACTAAAGTCACGTTGCTGTACGACAGTCGATAGCTCTGCCATGTTGTGAGTGTTTGACCTGACCTCTATACAATATAGGTCAGTCCATGCGAAGATGCCAAGGATTGTGCATCCTCCCGAGGATGAGGATTGCAAGCAGCTGTGGTTCTCCATCCTTCGACCCCTTACCATTATCCACCTGAACAAGGGCACGGTCAGTATCCTACTTTCTTTCATTACATTTTTCTAAAACCCATAAACCTCTTTCCTCGTGAAATATTGATTTTATATATTCGGGGCTCATAAGTTTCCGATATAAACGAAATCGATTCTGTTGTTTTATCTGGGTTTTCTTTATTGAAGGTGGGGATGGGGATTTGTGGTGGGGGTGGCGGGAGTTAAAGAAGGAAGAAAACTTACTGTTTTTGTTGACCAGCTGGAATTGAAGAAAAAGAAAGTTAATCATATATTATATAAAAATTTAATAGAACATATAATATGTATCACACTATTTATGGATAACAATAACTATGTATATAATATGTATATTGGTTTCCCTGTCCCGACCTAAATATTGAGCATTTTATTAGGCCTTATCTATATATGACTAAATATCCAATCAAACGTTGAATATTTCTTTTCTATGATATATATTATTGTGGCCCTGTATATCAACTTAATAAAACTTAGTAACTTGTTGCAAAATGTTGTCTGGGATAAATCTAACATCATTTTTAATAAATCCCACAGAATTTTTTTTAAAAATTAGTTATGAACTAAGCCTTAAAAGTAAAAATATAAAATGAAAAATAACTCGGAGCAAAATGCCTTGTAAATATACGATTCGTAAATTGCAAAATTTGATTGGGTTATTTCTTGACAATGAATACTATCATAGTTTTCAAAATCAAAATACATTTAGTTGTATGTATTCACAGTCCAAAATGTAAACAAGAAAACTTCGAAAAAAGTATTTGAAATCTACGATCTGAAAATTTGGAAATTTGATAATGTTCTTTCGTATGTAACAGTGACAGATCCTATTTCGTTTCGATTTTTATAGTTCAATAAAATAGTCTGTTACGGCGAGTTTTTGGCGTGAGGTGCACGGAACTGTGGGTAACCCACTAGAAATACCAATGCTGATTGGTTAATCAAATGTCTGACGCCATAGGATCAAAAGCCGCTCGTATGACCGATGACGTGACCTCGGTTAGATCTATTTGACAAGGCCAACTTCAAGTTTGGTCAAAGGTCGCAATTAAGGTCAGTGCTTTTGTGGAGACTTAACCCTCTCTCCCAAATTCTTAACCCTAACCTATAATCTCGCCAATAATCACATCTCAGCGACCTTGGCAAAAATTGAGCTGACCTTAATAAATAGATTTAGCCCGCGACATCCCACGACAACCGGTCAGATCTTCGGAGGTCGCTACATCGGAGACGGTCCTGCACTTATGACGTCAACAGTATAAATCTAATGTAGTGCATATATTTTTAATAAACCTAGGAAATATCACGAACCAAATTTTCATTATCCTAGGCCAGTGCTTATGCGGAGACTTACCCCCTCCCCCTCCCCCAAATTCTTAAACATAACCCACAATCCACATATGATGGCATATGTGAGAAAATGTGCAGGACCGTCTCCGTTCTCCCAAATCTTCATGAAGTGTAGGCCATCGAATGTATAAAAAAACCGAAAAGAAGTATAGATCTGTATTTTAATCAGATTGGTAACACTGACCAATCTCACCGAGTTTTAAAAAAAATATGCCCAAAAATATGCCTTGTATGTGTTCCAAAGATTGCATGAGTTTGAATGTAAACAGGGGGGCAACTTCATGGTACACCATCAAAAGTATTCTTAACTTTGAGGTGGTTCCTCCTCATGTCCCTGTATGAACAACGCTACTGAGTTCTAATGAATTCGATTAAGAACTTTAACGTCAAAATGTGGTAGTAAAGGTAGCTCAGAAAAACGCTTTCAAAAATTATGATCTGAAATTTTAAAATTCGGTAGGGTTATAGCTCTTATACCACGATGAGCTATCATGTTTCAAAGATTTCATAAATTTGAACGTAAATGGGTATGTGTGTTGGTGGTGGGAAAGGTTAGGGACATTAAATTTCCACAACCCAAGTGAACAATACCACCATCGTCATTGGATTTTCGAACAAAATCCAATTTTTCACCCAATTTGATTATTCAGAATTTAGTTAAGAAACAATATCAGAATCTCAAAACTAGATAATCAAATTGGATTCAATCAGATTATAAAGAAGGCAGTCGAAAGATTTCAACGAAAAAAAATTCAATTTATTTGTAAATAATACTGAACGGAAATGAACCATTTTTGGACTGACATTCCTTATAGAGATTCAACTTTCACTGTAGTGTAGATTGCTAGAGAATGGAGATCCCTTAACTGACGATCATATACTTTAAAACATTCCATCGAGAACCTTGTTCTGTATATTCTGTATAATACCACTTTCAAAAGCTTTAGAAATCAAATATGTCTGGAAATATAATTTGCCAAACCCGTTGAAAATTCTATAGGGTTTTCCTTACAGACTTCCATGGCTAATGAACATATTCTACATTCCCAGAATGACACTCATCCATTTATCTTGTATTCTCTTAATATACAACTAACGTTTATTTCTCTGGATAATGCGTCTTATGTTTTGGTTCTCACAAAGGATTCGTCACATTCGACACCTCTCAAAAAAACGCGTGAAAGGTCTTACCTGGAACTCCTAAACCTACCCCACATCCCCGAATGATTCTTTTTCCACTGTCAGAACTACAAAACTATTCTGAATGTACACAAATTTGTGTTTCAAGGGTCTGTGATATTTTTAAATTCACACTTACCGCTAAAATTTAGGTTTATGGAAGCAGAAACTTCTCCTAGCCTGTTCTTAGCAACTACTTTATATGTTCCAGCATCGTTTTGAGTCACATTTACAATTTCCATGATAACATTATATGTTTGGCCTCCACCGGCTGGATCAACCCGCATTTTAATACGATTAGATCCTGATATAGCGTTTGTACCTTGAAACCACTGAATATCTGGTTTCGGGGAGGCCTCAAGGGTACACTGAAAGACGAGTCGTTGTCCATTGTCCTCTTGTTTCAACGACGGTTTCTGTGTAAAGCGCGGTGCAACGTCGTCACCTACCCCCATGATGTTAATCTACCTGAAAAACACAATAATAAAATACTTGAAGACTTCTTATCAACCAGAAAGGACATATAAGATGTTAGAAATTCTGAGCAAAAGTCGGCTAATAAAATTTATGATTTTACTTTCAAGGTTCATGCTTTTGATGTAATCAGATATGACAGCCCGTTCTTGAAATTCTACTTTAAAGCGTATAATAAACAGTTTACAGAAGATGTAGGCCCGATTGGCATTCTCTATATTGTGTGTAAAGGTATGCGCACAATCTTAATTGACATAAAAATAATGTTGAAAGATACTGAACAGGGTCAGAAGGTTTAAATTATATATAAACTGTTTCTAAAATAAAGAATTTAAATATCTGGTAATCCCCCAACCCTGCTTCTATTTAGTATTCCGAGGTTCCTTTTCAATGTCACTGCAAAAATCTTACAGGCTGAAAACAAAAGTTATGTTTTTAGCAGGATTTATTTCTTCTTTAGCAACATTTTATTGGCCATGGAATGTTAAATATTTGCTTCCTTAGTAAACTTCCAAAAGGACGCCGAAGGCACCAAATATGAGTTGTCAGATGGATATAGGGCTTGAGCAATTTTTAGAAGAAAAATGTCCTTAAAACTGCAAACATTTCGCGCTCTATACCTCAAAGGTAGCTTGCATGTACTGATATAGCTGGCGATAATACGAAATTTTTGCAATTGTGAACCCAATTGTTTGAACTCCAAAATTCTGAACAAGGAGTCCAGACGATTCTAACAGCAAACGGGTTCAAAATTGTAAAAATTTCGTGAACTTATAAATACACTACTAAATATCATTTAGGAAACTTTGCTGTAATAAGTGTGTAGAAAGGCAAAATATAAATGAATTAGAATTTAAGCAATTTTAAGAGCAAATTTCGCTCAAAACTGCAAAATTCCATTAACCCCAAAAGGGTGCTTTTATAATTTTACAGCAAAATTTCAAAATTTTTTCGAGTGCTCACAACGCTCCTCTCGGTGGCTTACTGGCGACCTTCTGAACTACGATCACTGTATGGCGTATGCCCGTCTTCATTAGCCCAGGTTAGGAGCAGAACAGTAGGACGTTAAACCCCATTTCATTTCATTTCATTTCCCCGCCACCTTTGCCGCGACCGCCCCACCACGCCATTGCGAGCCTAGCCGCATTGACCCAAAATACGACTACAACGGTTCAGATTTCAATTACTTGACCCTACTGCATCGTTCATTAGATGTGATGATTTTAAAGTCGCTCATTAGATGTGACGATTTTAAGGTCTGAACTAATTTTTCGCCTAGGATATTTCATTGATATTAGCAAGAAGAACGTTTTGTGCCTTCAGGATTACAAATGTAAGGACTAGAACATATTCCTTAAGCAATAGCCCGAGAAATGGCTCTGGTCTAACCAACGAAACACTGCTGGGAATATGTGAATGGAATAGAGATTGGGACTTCCCTTTTAGAGGTATTCAGCAGTAGTATTATTTAGTGTAATTTTAGTAATACAGTGTTGTGGTTAAACCGATTTAAGTTGTATATTATATTTTATTCACTCCTAATCACCACCAAAATTATTTTGAACAAATCCCATTTTCAGACTAGTCACGCAGACTGAATAATAATGGTCAATATGAGCACCTTAACTTTTCAACACCAATGAGCAGAATTTTCGTCAAAAGTCGACATTTTAAAATTAGGTAAACTTGACCGCCAATTCGATGCTTGCATGAATAAATTCTATAGCTAACGCCATTTTATCATCAGTGTTTCGTTTGATTGGACCTAATCCCGCTCAAACACTGCCATACTCAGTGCAAATTTGTGTCCCAAATTATGACTGGTTAACAGTCCGATCAACAACCAGTACATTGCGACGTGACAAGATCAATCAGGATTAACCAGAGCTCTAAATATGTTATCGTAAAGTGTCTGGTGACAAACGCAGCTACATTATGTCAGAACGCGCTAAATGTAATACGCTCAATTAGCTAGAACATAACAGAATATTGCAGAGAAACTAATTATGTGATAAACGAGGCTATCCAAAATAGCTACAATATAAACATTTATCTCCGCACACTTGGAATTTTTTTATCATCTCTTGGACCACACAGCAGATCAAATAGAAGAACTGTCATGTTACGTATTGTGTTTCAACTAGATAGAAATATGACGTGTGCTTTTGTGATAAGTAAATAATTCATGGATCTTCTTCACAAAAATGGATAAATTTTTACGAATATTTATAGGTAGGCAGTAATAATTGGTACACGTTTATAGAATTTATATCGGCGATTTGAGTCAAAGGATTTTCGTTCCAATAGCGAGTTTCAGCCAATTTACCTATGCGAGTATCGATGTTTTTTCCCGATGCATCCAAGGGTAAATTTTTTCTTTAAATCAGCACTACCAAACTCTAGGATAACTCACCCGGTTAAGTCATGAAAATTCCCCATATTTTACTCAGGAGAGATTCCTTCAAAAACTCAAGTTTTCAGTCTCAATACAGCAATGGCTAGAGAGGGAGTTCTCGAGTCATTGCTTCAAGAATATGCCATATCATTTGCTTCACTGTTTGTGTTGGTCATTTGGGTTCATTGGTTTCATAACAACTTTACATACAAGTCAGATAAACTACACATTTACATTTACATGGTTTAGTTAAGAGATAAGAAAAGCAATAAGTTTATAGATGAGAGTGGTATGCATGCAATTATTTGAACTGTTTTGACCCGCTATATATTGTATATAAGTGGGAGGCAGAAACACGACACCGCCCGCAGTTTGCCATGTATATAAGCGCAGATATCTTAGGAGAAAGGTAAATCACCCATTCGGTAATTGCTAAACGGAACAACATACCACTAGCTAAACCAAACTAACTATATATAGGCTGTTGATGCGGGTGATGATTATTATGGCCCTGGTGTTCTTGGCACCGAAATCATCATAAATAATAAATCATTCATATTTTACTAGTGCTGTTTTATATTAGAAAATTTCGATCGTGCTTGCACCCGGTTAATGTTATTAAGATAAAAAATATTCTTAATTCCATTGGAAATTCCAACTGATTACATTGGTAAACGAGCCAAAGGAAGTAGAAATGAGTCAAAATTTTTGTCATTGCCACTACCTTGGCGTAAGTCTCCACAACATTGGGCGGATATTATTATTTAACTACAGAATGTTATTTTGGCCCAAACACAAAATTTCTTGTGGCAATATACATGGCTGTATGCGTAAATTGTGATGGATTTGTGTTTGGTATAATATTTAATCCAAATAATCAATATGTTCGTAAAAACAGCAACGATCAATGTAATGGTCTAATTCTTCCATTATTTACAGAACAAAAAAATTCCCAATATGAAACTAGCCAAAAATGAATGACATTCAGATGAATTCAGAAACATGTTTGTGCATCTCTACAATATTCCTAAATGCTTCTTAAAATAAAGCATGCGTTTATATTTAGCAAAATGTTTGTCGGTCTGTGCTTAGGCCGGTGAATAATAAAACGGATGTCAACCTACGCCGGGTTCTGGTCCTATATTTAGCAAATGTCAGCCGATCTTGCTCGTGTTTACTGCTTACTGTCTAAAATGTGACAAAGTACATTAAAGAGATGTATTCCAAATACACGCCAAAAACAAAACTAAAAACAAAACAGCAACTGACATTTATTGTGAAAAGAATGTGGACAGATTACATAACATTTATTACATCTTGCCAATAAACATTCTAAAGTCATACCCAATTATTTAAAATTAAACTTCAAAATAAACTACAGACAAAAACGTTTTAGCATGCCACTGACAGGGGAGCATCAACGTGGATTTAATTTAATTAACAAAGTAGAGAAGATATTGTTATATACAAAGGAGTTAGCCGCGGCGTAAGGTAAGGTACGAGGAAGTTTCCCAGAATTTTCCAGCATGGTTTCCCCTTGTTTGTGGGTGCAAGACAGAGTCTAGTCAATCGTACATATTGGCGTGCACGTTTTAAAAAAAAAACCTTGACAGTTGGAATTCGAAGTAAGAATAGGCCATAGCACCGTTGTCCCTCATAGCATAGTGTATGACATACTCCCGTCTTCATTAGTCCAGTGGTGCACAAAAGTAGCACGTTAACCCCATTCCATTTCATATCAAGGAAGTTAACATAATGAAACCTAGCTACTAAAAACGTTGAGATAATACTGATGTGCTTGTTTGTTATCTAAATGAAACCCAATGGAAAACCATCACTTTTATAATGGATATATCTGTACATCTCGTTTGAGAAATACATGTACACGACATACAGCAACACTAGATCACGACGGTAACTTCACTGAGAATGCCGTAAACACACGACAGATCAGTTCTCTAACACAAAAAAAATAAAATGAATTTGACAGAAAAGGAATGTTGAAATTCACAATTTTATGGTGCATACATGGGGTATACACGCGTCATTGTGTCAGTATAAAACGAAATGAGTACCAGTGCCACCAGAAGCAGCACTGCAAAGAGAGTAAAGAAGGATCCCACAAGCAGCCTCTCATCTCCACTACTAGACGAGGTTTCGCCGACACACATGGCTGACTGTTGATTTTTACCCGTTGTGCATACTTTACTGTGAAGGTTGGTATCAAGCCTACAATAATTCTAACAATTCGGCATTATGTCTTCTCAGCACTTCCAGCAGGCCCGTAGTCAGCCTGCTGGCTGCGGAGGGGCAATGAACTTTTAGGGGGGGGGTGGTAGGAAAGGGGGTACCGGGGTTCTCCCCAGTGACGGATCATGAGGTCGCCAGACCCTGAGGCAGCCTAACTGCCGGGCCCCTGTGACAAGATGATACCCTGGGGTGGGGGTGGGTTATCCTCCTGGGGTTTAAGGGATCCGGGGCTCTTCCCCCCGAGTAATTGTTTGGAATTTCGACCTGAAATGGTGGTCTGTGGAGTATATCCCGTGCCTGAAGTCATATACTTAGTTCTAAACAGAAAAAAAACTATGCAGAGAG